GATCAAAGAGCACGTTTATGAATCCTTATGCGATCTACACCCAGAAACAACCACGTCTTTAGTTCATTCCGCCGCCAGCGAGGTTGTTGCCAAATGCACCCCGCAAGATTTGAAATTAAACAAGATTTTCACCGTTGCTGCTGTCGTGACCAATGTTTCGGCATTGGTGATTGGACATGTGTTGGATAATTTTGGACCTAAAGTGTGCGGTTTGATCGGTGCCGGGTTCCTCTACTTGGCTAGTTTTGTATTCATCTATGCCAAGCAATTGCAAATGTCCCCCTTTTGGTCATTGTGGTTCGATCCGTATTTGATGGGATACAGTTTTTTGGCATTGGGAGGACCATTCACGTTCATTTCGTCGTTTCAGCTTTCGAATTCGTTTCCTGAACGCAGTGGAACAATCTTGGCCATGCTCACTGGAGCTTTTGATGCTTCGAGTGCGGTGTTTTTGCTCTACCGAATTTTGTACAATAAATCGCATGGGGAATTCACCTTGGATACGTTTTTCCGCGTGTATTTACTAGTACCAATATTCATCACGATTGCCCAGTTGACAGTGATGCCTAGTGAGTCTTATCAGACGAGCTCCGAGTTTGTTGGATTGGTCGATGGTGGTGGGCAGGAAACAAATGCTACTGACGAAGTTGCTGCAACAGATGTAAATGAAGAGTCAGCTTTGTTGCCCAATGAAACTGAAAGACCGCATAGAAGAGATTCCATCGGTGACGCATTGAAGCACCCATATGAGGAAGAAGAGTATTTGATCAAACACAGCGGTGATCCAGTAGTAGGAATACTCCACGGCTATTCAGCCCAGTATCAAATCAAAACCTTTTGGTTTTTATTGATTTGTTTGTTTAGTACGGTGCAGATGTTGAAAATCAACTACTTTGTTGCTACGGTTGCCAGTCAATACCAGTACATTTTCCAATCAACTGAATTGGCTGCTAAACTCAACAAGTTTTTCGATGTGGCGTTACCGTTGGCAGGTGTCATTTGCGTGCCTCTCATTGGTATCTTGCTCGACAACTACTCGTCACTACTTGTTATATCGACACTCTTATCAATCTCGGTCTTGATTAGTGTCTTGGGGTTCTTTTCCCACTACGTATTGGCCATCATTGGCGTTTGTTTATTTGTGGGGTATCGTCCCATGTTTTACACAGTGATATCCGATTTATGTGCCAAAGTTTACGGGTTTGAAACATTTGGTACTGTTTACGGATTGATTATGACGATTAGTGGGGTGTTTAATTACGGACAAAGTTACTTGGACGAATTGACCCATACTGTTTTCCAAATGGACCCAATGCCAGTGAATTTGATGTTGGCGTTGGTTACACTCCTTGTTGGAGGACTTACGGTGGGATATGTATATGTGGAGGGTACAAGAAGGATTAAGAAGAACATTGCGGTACTTCAAAGAGAGTAGCAATAGTATAGACATAGATATTGTATTTGTTAGAAAGATAGTTGTGATTTTATAGAGACTGAATTTAGAGAGCTCTTTTTAAAGTGTTTGTAAAATCAATCGCCTTTTGCAAAATAAAACAGAAAATGATTTGTGTTTATAACGCCTTTCTGTTACATATTATTTTTTGAACTCAGGTACACATACATAGACACAAAACACCGCCCCCCCCCCCCAATTTATGCATGTAATTAAACAACTAGAGTAACTGATCTCCTACCACTTATTGTTAAAAATTTTACAATAAAAAGCAATGTAAAATAATCACAATTGATAAGAATAAAGAAATGAAAAAGAAAGGCCAAATTGCCTTCCAATTGTCTCTTTCTTGATTTATTGATTCACAGTTTTCAATGCGACCTGTAAGTAATTGCATAGTTTGCTAAGCAAAGCTAGAGGAATTTTACTCTATTTCCTGCCCTATTAGTATCTACTACTCTCCTCGGGCATCACCGTCAACGGGAGAAGGATATGACACTTAAAGCTATAGGGCTAATCAGAGGGGACTGTGATCAGAATTTTTAATATTACGAAGAGGAAAAATTTTTCAAAATTAGTTTTTGTGTAATTTAACTTGGAACTGATAACAAGACAAATTTACTAAATCCCACCTCACACGACAGAGACAAAGAGCCTTACGAAGTTTTAACCAGCTTTACATAAATTTATACCAAAACGGTTAAATTACTCGTTACAAAATAATCATTATAACCGATTCGTCTCTACTGCTCAACAAAAGCGGTACTAAAAATTAGTTTTTATTTGTTTGATAAAAGAAATTTAGACGAGGAAAGAGCCAATTAGCTATATTTATGAAAAACAATAAACAATAAAAAAAAAGGGAGAATTGTCAACTCTTCGCCTAGCTAAATTACCTTTGTTCTAGGCGTGCCCCCTACGGCCCGTCTAATCTCGTTGCCATTGTTTCAATCGCTAATGTTACGGCACATGAAAGAGAGAAAGCAGAACCCCTTTTATTTTTGGAGAATAAGAAACTGGAGCCATTCTTGAGACACTATTTATTCACGGCGATTTGCACCCTGTCCTTTTATAAAAATTTGTTCACAAATGCTTTTGCAAATGACAAATGCCTTACAGTTGTTAGTTAAGTTCAGTTAAATCACACACATATATGTGAAAGACCCAAAAATAGTAACTCAGACACACACACACAAAAAAGAAGAGACAACGTTATCCCAAAATCGTATCTGTATCCAATTCCTTCACGATGTCGGCGTATTTATATATCGCTCTTGCGCAAGATGAAAGAATACGCAAGAGGAAAAACACTGAATCAAGAAATAAGATGAATGGTGGTGATTTTTTTATAACAGCATCAACCCTATCAACAAGGTCGTCGAGATTTGCAGCATCTTCAGCAAATTCAATCAAGTCGGACTCAAGCAAGTCTAAATTGAGTCGTACATCAAGTCGATCAACCACAAGTAGTGGCAACACAACTTCGCTGACCAAGTCAAGCAACTCGTCAAGTACAATAAAGCGAAAGCAATCACAACCGGAAGGACAAGAACAACAAGATATTTTGATTCGTGATGGTAAGAAATGGGAGTACGATTCCAAATTGAATAAATATGTTGCGTTGGAAAGGACACCTTATCAAACGGCCAAGTTGGGGTATCTTCATTGCCTTTCAACTTTATCATCCATGGTTAACCATGAGTTGAATTTGCAAATTAACCAATCAGTGGTTAAAGAGTTGTCTAATTTGGAGTTGCTACGGTTCAGTTATTTTGACAAGTTTGATTACGATGGAGATAAACTAAATGGTGAGTTCAACACCGCTTCTACTTTGGTCAGTGTGAAAACAGAACCGCACAAAAGCGCCCTTTCAGCCATTGTCTCATCTACAATTTCATCTACAGTACACGACAGCAACGACGAAACCACAATTACTGGGGGTAGTGACTCAATACACAATAAATGCCACAGCAACATGCGTTCACTACTTGCCAGTGATCAATTTTGGAATACTTGTTATCAGGACTTGAAATTTGAAAGCATGGCCGAGGCTAAAGATGATTACGACCTCTTACCATCAATGAACACATCAAGAGAATTTTATGTCGGATTTATCGATTATGTCCTCGTCAATTTACACATTCTAAGACCAAGTTTGGATGAGATTAATGATTCAAGAGAGTATAACCAATTGGCTAAGCAATACTATGTATATTTAAATGACCACAATTATGCACTTTTGCACCAGTTACATTGTCAGTTTGTGGGCAAAGTGGTTAATGATAAATTGATTCAAACTGTAATTGCCAATTTTGATGCGGTAAAAAGAACTTATCAATTGGATGCAAATTTGGTTGCAATTTGGAAACAATTTCTTCAATTTATTGGCCAATTTATGAAAAGTTTATCGCAAACTTCACCACTGAAAATAGAGCAGCCAAACCCAACATTTTCCAAAAAAGTAACTACTCCACAACCACGTCCAATTTCACAACAATCAAGACAAGCTCTGGTGGGTTCGCAATCATCTTCGTCAATAATGTCTCATACAAGCAAACGCGAAGGATCAGTATGGACTTTGGATACAGTAGTCTCTTCAATTGAAGAAATTGAGTCGTCGTCGTCAGGCGGTTCTACAAGGTTGCTTTCTTTGGCAAAGTCTCAAAAAAACCATGAAACAGAGTTGAAAAGCCGATCTCAAGGCTACAATGATGATGGAGAAGGTATGAAGGATGACATCAAAAATACAACGAAGAAGAAAAAGTCATTTTTTGGAAAGATTACCTGGAGATAGGGTGTCTATGGGTAGGTCAGATTGCTGGGTTAGCTATGAATGAGAAAGGGAGGGGTTTATTTTAGTTCGACATATTTTAGTGGTGGATGGATGGAGAGGGGTATATGTATTATTTATTTGGTTAATAGAGAAAAAATAGAAAAGAAAGGGAAAAAAGAACGAATATTATTTTCTTAAGCTGATACGTGAGTTTACCAACTTCAATGGCTTGTGAAGTCTGTGTGGTTGAGTAAGAACTCTTTAAGTAATTGTATGTGACTTTAAATGTCATGAATTATATTCATGCGACATAGACATTGAAGTTGGGCGTGTAGGTTTGCACAATTGTTTTTTTGGTTTTTAGTTTTTTGTTCTGGTTAGTCTTTGTTTGTTTGATTGTTTGTTTGTTTGTTTGTTGCAATTTTTCCGCTCTGTTTATTATTTAACCATTTATGGAATTGTATGTACAAAGTAATTACGATACTACATTTAGTTAATTGGTAAACAAACAACTATTTCACAAAACCAAAAAAAAACAATTTTAAAAAAAAGGAGGCAGACTCTACAACCCAAACATTAGAGCATAGACAAAAGTCATATATAGCATTTGCCTTATGTGTAAAGAAAGGGTGTGATCTCAGAGAGTATGGTAATAACGTTAAGACGAAAGAAACGGAGGTTTGGAGTAGCTTAGTACAGTTTTGTTGTGTGTATATTCTTCACTTTTTACTCAATGGTTATGATATCCCACATCCACACAAACGTACAATATGACTATCTACATACACACGTGTGTATTATAATCTGTTTTATAAGCATAGTACTATTACTCAGTGATCAAGTATTAGCTTTTTTGAAAATCCTTAAGGGGGTGGGGTGATGACTGGAAAATAAAATCAAACATGAAAAAAAAAATGTAATCAGTAAGATCTAAATGCAACTACGTCACACACTCCTCTATTCACTCTAAGAACGTCGTTTGGACAAGAAACAAAGGAAAAAAAAGAAGACAAGAAACAATTCTTCTTTTCTTCCACCATCATCATTATTATTTCCGTTGGTATAATGAACATTACCTGATGAGGTTTGCATTGATCAAAGAAGATTCAACACAAAAAGTATAGTAGTAGTAGTGAAGAGAAAGAAAGTAACACAATTTCAAAGAAGACGTAAGGCTTTGTTTATTTGGCTATGAGTGTTGTATTGTTATTTTAATGCGTTAGTAGTGAAATGAAATTAGCCTATACTCCACAAGACTACATACCAAGCAATCAACACCCAATTTGGTGGCTGAAGAAAAAGGACTAAAAATGAAAAAACAGGTGCTTCACACACACTCTCTCTCTCTCGAAATTTCTCCCCTTTTTTAGTTGTTGTTTAATATGTACGATGGTCATCCTTTATGCTTCTCATTGAAGTGTTATGCCGTTTTAAGAGTAGTAGTAGTAGTAGTAGTATTTTATTGTTATTAGGCTATAGATGCAAAGTAAAAAAAGTACGTGTACTAATTTACAATATTACACAAATGATTTAACAGCAACAATACAACAATAGCAACAAGCAAAGCAATACAATACTAACAACAAACCTCAGGAGTAGTAGTAACATAGAAATCTAACTATCTATCCATAGAGAGACAAAACAAAAACAAATAAGGTCTTTATATAGTAATACATATATATATATTTTTATCCCCCCTGAGTAATAAAACAATTACTCTAAAAACGGTTTAACACAGGAGTAATAAGCCCTTTTTGACCAAGTATCTTTCTTTTGAGGAGATACATCATGTAAACCACGATGTTGATATACGAACCTCTACATCGTTGTTTACCATATGGATAGTGTGTATGGTAAATCTATATTTAACCATCAACAAACAAACAATAACCAACATTATGTACTACATTATATTTACACTACTACCATACTCACTACACTTCGTTGTAAATATTACACAAACGAAAAGAATTGACTATTTTTATTTTTTTATTTCTTTTTTTTTTTCTTCTTCTTCTTTTGCTTCATCCTTTCAAAAGAAAAGAAAAGAAAAGAAAAGACAATACAATACAATGCAATACAAAGAATATTTCTTGGTTTCTATCCTTAGCACCTCATATATATAACCAGTGTCTCATCCAACAATCTTCGAAATCAATATTAGACTTGTAGATTTCTTTTCTCTTTCACTAAGCAACTCATTTGCATTTGAATCCAATACACACACAAACTATAGAAACTTCATCACTGCTAACTTAAAAACAAAGTTTCGCTACCTGTTCCTATTTGCATTTTATTTCGATCTTTTACGTTTTGAGTTTTTGAGTTTTTGATCTTACATACTCCTGCGTTACACACCGAGACCACAACACTACAACACACAGTATAAACAAAATGATACCCAACCCTACATCTGATCCAAACTTAATCAAAGAACACCAATTTTACGACTCATCATCCCCATCAGCAACCACCACCGCCGCCACCAAAACGATAAATTCAGACTCAATTGCATCAGTTTTCCACAAAGTAATAGCATTTGATACTGATCATGTATTTTGTATGGATAATTTCCTAAGGTTGATTGTCATTTCATCGGTGCTTATGCTTGTATACAGCTTTTTCACTAGTGTGTTGAAGAGAAGAAGAAGAAGCATTGAGAAATTAAGAGAGAAGTCAAAACCAACCAACTTGGTATAACTTATAGTCAGAGCAATTTGGTATAATAAACACCACGCATTCATTAATACATACACACACACACACACACACACACACATACACACACACATTCTGGAGTATTTTAATTTAATTTTCGTTAAGGCAATCGAGATGGCATGGCTACAATTTCATAATCACACGCATATATACATTATCCACCCAGCACTTTACGTTACTACACATTTTTTTTCGGTCTAACATTAGATTTTCAAACTTTCTTACGTTCATTCTTTTGGCTAATTATATATATACATCTTTAATAAAATAAATGTTAAATTTTGGGGACAGACAATACGTGAAGATCTTTTCTACTCTCTAATACTTAGACTCTAATATTAAAGCTTTAATTATAATAATCTAATTCTAATTCTAATTCTAACAACTCTTATGTTATTACTCTAATGCTAATAATCACCCATTTCTGGTTTCTATTTCCACTTCAGTACCTCATTATAAAGTACCTGTGACTTTTGCCATTTCCACATCCCATACATTCCAATCAAACCATATAAAGCTAGGGAAAATAGTCAACAAGTGCCACAAACTATGAGCATCGACTAACCTTTGCCAAGGCTCAAAATCATTAATCTCCAAATACAACCCACCAAGCAAAATTATGTTATTGAATACCGGTACATAGGGAATAATCCAATGGGATAATTTACCCGATCCCAACCTCTTCATTGACCCCCTCTCCCCACTGGTGGCAGCAGCAGCAGATGAACAATCATGGAGATGCAATTTCTTTAAAATGTTGGTTTCATAAGGCACTAATGTGATGGTACTATGAATCAAGTTGAAATTCCTCTTGTATACCTGACCAATGGTAAACGAATGAAGAAACCACAACACCATAGCTGATAACCCCAACACAACATTAATATTCATATTATACGAATAATCCCAATCTGCAGCTAATCGAATCACATGATACATGTAAACTGTCAATAAACCCAATTGCCATACGGTCAATTTCCATAAATGGCCTTGTTTGTATAATTTGAAATATCGTACAACAATTATATTCAAATTGGATAAAATAATGGCAAATGCACCAAAATAGTCCAAGACTTCAGTGAAGGGAGTATCGCGAAAATGGAAAATTGAACTGAAACCCCATCCGATACAGGAAACAACTAGTAAGATCAAACTCTGCTGATACAATATTCGGCACTCTTCCTCGGTAAATGCTTCCTCGGTAAATGTACTCAGTTTCCCTCCACCAAATCCCCTCTGATTATCACTCCCAGTCCCACTTCGTTTCAACTTCCGATACTCACGATAAATCACCTTGAAGCTTAAATAATTGACAAGCAAATTACCCAAACTAAACACCGTCAGCCAAAACTCTTGCACACCAACCACTGTCCTAAACGGCCATTTGCCATAAAATTGAACCACGGGCAACTGCATCAACTCTCTCTCATCAGTTATTGTTTGTTGACAATAATAATTGCAATTGGCATCACACGACCAGCCTAGCACGGTATATTCTGACGGTAAGTTATCACACCGACACGTTTGTAAACATTGTTGGAATGACGGTAGTTGATCCCCCGTTGATGCTTGTGCGATGGGGAGTAGCAGTAGACATATAACTAATAAGACAACTCTGGTAGTGGTCGTGAATCGTAGCCCTGACTGTTGATGGGTTTGACGTTGCCATTGTGGTGTGAATGATAGGTCAAGTATCATATCAGAACCATTTAGATATGTATAATTTTCCAAAAATAAAAAAAAGTGTGGCAAGTGCTGAACAGTTCAATGTGAAATGATGCAACAAGATCTTTGGTATTCTCAGGCAGCTTGAGATCAGTAGAGCCGTATTGTCAAGCGTCTATTGAAGATGTTGAAAAAGGAATGTCTTGGAAAGAAAGAAAGGGGTTGTATTATTTTAGTTTGTTTATTATTATTTGGTACCTGAAATCTCTGTTGTTTATTTATTTATTTGTTTTTTCTTGGAGATGCCGTTGTTGCATCTTGGTATTTCCGCACTTGCTATTTTAAGATCTAATGTATCTGTCAAATTTCTTTTTTTTCTTCTCGCCTTCTCTAATTCTAATTTTAGCATTTACGAATTTTCCGAAAGATTACGAGTGTATTACATAATCTACCCAACAAAACCAGCCGTTTGGCACCAGAGCAAAACACACAAGCTTGGGCTACGAGTTTACACTGACAGCGATACTCAAGCGTTGATGCCATGTGCTATCCCATTTTTGGCAACTCGACCGTTTTGAAAACAAAATAGAAGAAATCTATAAAGTCCTATAAATTTAACTAGCTAATTATACACCAATCTTCGGGCTGCACTAGAGGTCTCGCATTTGTATCCAAGCCAAAGTAAGTAACTCTCTTTCGTCTGTTGTTTTTGGTTCTTTTCTTCTTCCTTGAACCTTGCTCCTGGTGTTTGCACTGCCCGAGACTAGCAGGGTTTTCAGAATCTTGCCGACACGGGCATTCCCAAATCCTTCAATTCAAGAAGATTTTCCTTTGCAATATGTGGTCTTTCATCAGCAGGATATGAATCGAGTTCATAAAGACGACACTCTACTTCAAGACTTCGTCGAAAGATATTTCTTTCAACTTCCAAGAGAAGGAATCGATTTATTGTACACAATTCGGTAGAGCAAAAACACAGCACTCGAAGCGTCAAAAGCCCCAGTGAGCATGGCCAAGATTGTTCCACTGCGTTCAGGAAACGAGGTGCATTTGGCAACAACCTCGCTGGCGGCGGAACGGACTAAAGACGTGGTTGTTTCTGGGTGTAGATCGCATAAGGATTCATAAACGTGCTCTTTGATCAAGATTGGCTTCAATGCAGCAAATCCAAAAATTGGACCACCGCATAATAAACACCACACAACAGCACAGGTGCACTGTGTTAGCCTTTTGGAAAAGGGGGTATCTGCTGCAAGCATTTGTAGGAGTGTGTTGGGGTGTACTGTATGTTTTGTCTTATTAAGTGGAATCACTTGAGCTTGATGTTGAGTTTGAAGTTGCAGGAACTTCTGGATCAGATGATAGATTGTGTCATTTATACGAAAAAACACTCTCATGAAGATTAAAATCTCTAATATCTAAAACTGTTTAAAATTGTAATTTAACAACCATGGAACTCTTCTTTTTCCCTTTCGATTAAACATCCAAACCTTGAGTAAAAAATTTTATATACTCATTTTCATCAAATTTTGCAACCAAATTTTTCTCGAACGTGAGTAATGTCAACCCAACGCTTGAATGAGAAAAAAACATCCCTTGTACATGTAGAAGCTTTTAATACGAGTCAAAAAAGATGACAATACCTTCATCAATGTAGCCTAACCATTATTGAAGGAAAAAATATGAAAATTTCAAAAAAAGAAAATGCTCCCTTGCGGGGAATCGAACCCCGATCTGCTCGGTGAAAGCGAACCGTGATAGCCATTACACTACAAAGGAATTTATGAAAATAACAGGTCCTAGGATTAATAAGCGAGTAATAATTTATGTGCTTTTCTTTTGAGATTATGGCTCCTTTTTTGATTCTGGACAATTTCCCGTGCCTATAAACTAGCTGTCTGAGTATACAATCTGCAAATGTAAAGGTTTGAGTACGATAGGCGTGTTTATTGTGTTGATTTATGAAAACGAACCGCTGATTGTTCGCCCATTTAAGCAGATTGTGATCCAATGAACTCAGAAATGAGACGTTAGCAAATGTCATCACAGAAAAGTGAGCTCAGCTTTGGCAGACTACAATTTACTGGGGCTGTGGTCAATTTGGTGTCCCAATGATTATCATTAGGGGAAAACTCTTGCTTAAAGAAAGGTGTTTGAGATTGCATCTTCGTACATTGAAAGCAAACATGCTTAAATGAAGAAGGGAACACTTCGAAACAATTTTGGCTCTCATTTTTCTGGTTTTGGAAAGTCATTGAACTACTGCAATATTACATTGTATTTGTCAGTTACCAGTGTTGGGGTCTTCCCTATTTAACTCTAGAATGAAGCTGAGAGACACTTAGAGCTATCACGACCTCCAATGAGGTACAATGGTATTCATTGTGATCACAAACTGAAACTGATTGGTTTGTGAACATAATGTCCTCACAGCTAATGTACAGTTTTGATATCGTCAGTTTTCGAAGGCAGATAATTTTTCATTTCTACTTAATAAGCTTCAATATCTTATTGGTAAACTCCACACAATCTCAAGGGCAATTGGACCTTCAATGGGGACATATATTCCTCACCCTTTGGTCTGTCACGTCATAAAAGGATTTCACAGTTTCCTCTATTTCATCATTTTACTAAATCCTATCCTACTGATTACCATTTGTTTCACTGTTGATTCCCCAAATAACACGTTTGAAAGCACTTGATTTCCGATGGTTGCAAAATTTTTCTGCTTGATCATATGTAAGAAAATCTCTGCACACGACGAAACCTTAACCGAAAAAATAAAAAAAAGTAAGAAGAAAAAAAAAAATTGTGAATCGATGAAAAACTTTTTCAATAGCTGGATAGCAGGACCAAAGTTAATCACAAACACATATTACAGACCCGACTACCATAAACCATACACACCATGATAAGGCAGTCAATACGCTGGATACATAATGCCTCCAAAGAGATACCATACCAACCTGCTCCACGAGGCAAATTCAACCCCAAAAGATCGGCATTCAATTTCAAACCTAAACCAGTAGAAGGGTTGGTGCACAACCCACCGGCTGCTATACTAAAACCGTCAGTGCAAACTCCATACATATTCCTTCCCCCAAATGATCCCAGGCGAGAGCTTGCGGAACAGTATCGCATTTCAGAAGATGTTGTCGCGGACATGCCTGTCATAAGAGCATTTAAGGCACCACACGAAAGAGAGTATACTGTGACAAAGGAAGTTGTTGAAGAGATTAAGAAATTGAGACAAGAGGATCCTGAACGCTGGAACCTAAAGCAGCTCAGCAAAAAGTTTGATATTGAATTATCTAAACTTGTGTACTTCCTTAAAAGCGACTTGCTGAAACTGAAGAAAACACAAGACGAGAAAAATGTGCCCAAGTATCTTTTAGATAGAGAAAAGAGAAGACAATTGTGGATGAAGAATATCTATTGATGAGTCGTGAGTAAGTTGCTCCAACTAGACGTCAGGGAGTGTGGCCTAGCACTACAGTTGTACATATTTAAGCACTTGATAGCTTTGTAAATAAACAATGTTAATTGATGGTAACAGCTTCCTCTACTTAATTTCCTCTTGTCCTTTCGCTCTAGTTAGCTTCCTCTATGCTTTAGTTCCTCTTTCCGTATTCAACAGCTACCAAAAACATTTCGCTGGAAAAAATGTAAGAAAAAAAAAACTCAAGCAAAAGTTAAAGAAGTAATAAAAGTACATCATCAATAGCATGCCGGAAAACGTATGTCTGGTCCGATTAAACTAATTTGAACTTGTCATTCCGAATACTAACACATGAATTTACAGAGTGACAATAAGAGACAAAACCAAAAACAGAATAGGAGAAGAAATCAAAACAATGATAGGCCTAGAACGGAAGGACCCAAACGGGAGGCAATACTAGATTTGAACAAGTACAAAGATGAAGAGATTAGAGTCAGGTTTGTTGGTGGACGACAAGTAACAGGGATTCTCAAGGGATACGATCAATTGATGAATTTAGTCTTGGAGGATGTGAAGGAGCAACTTAGAGGTACGTAAATAAAGACTGGAGCAATAACGTCGCAATGAATACTAACAATCCAATCATATAGACCCAGAGCATGATGATAGGTACCTTAGCGAAACAAGGGATCTCGGCTTGGTTGTTGTCAGATGCACAAGTCTCTTGACTATATCCCCGGTCAAAGGCAGTGAAATAATCGACAACCCATTCGTATCGGAAAATTAAAACGTTGCAAATGTGTACAAGAGTGTATTATATTTTTAATTTACATGTTGTTGGTTCATGGTTATGCAAATTGTAGTGCCGTATACTCTTCTCTAGATAAAGTCGTAGATATTTTTCTTTTTTTTTTTTTTTTTTTTTTTTAATTTTAAGCATCCTCTTATCAGTGAAAAGAACGCCCCAACCGAAGACACGCCCTACTCACCCAACAAACGATGTCGGTACCCGAGGAGATCAGCAAGAACGTAATCCTACTCCCACAAACAAATCAACTAATTGGGCTTTACAGCATCATCCGCGACGAAAGCACCAAAAGAGGGGATTTTGTATTTTATTCTGATCGTATCATTCGTCTCTTGGTTGAAGAAGGATTGAACCAGTTGCCGGTCGAAGAATGTATTATTGAATGCCACGGAGGTTATAAATACACAGGGGCTAAGTTTTTGGGCAAGATTTGTGGAGTATCTATAGTGAGAGCTGGTGAATCTATGGAAATGGGGTTGAGAGATTGCTGTCGATCAGTCAGAATAGGCAAAATTTTGATACAACGAGATGAAGAAACTGCCTTGCCTAAATTGTTTTATGAAAAATTACCCGAAGATATTAGCGAACGGTTTGTGTTTTTATTGGATCCAATGTTGGCCACTGGAGGATCAGCAATGATGGCAGTGGAGGTTTTGCTTGCGAGAGGAGCGAAGATGGAGAGAATATTCTTTTTAAACTTGTTGGCAGCTCCCGAGGGAATCAAAGCATTCCATGACAAGTTCCCTGATGTAACAATCATAACTGGAGGGGTTGATGAGAAGCTTGACGATGATAAATACATAGTCCCTGGCTTGGGCGATTTCGGTGACAGATACTATTGTATATAAACAATTATAAACATTTCTTATGAACGATATCGGGATTGTCGCGGTACTCTTCCAAAGTTACCCACATTTTCTTGAATGTAGATAGACCTGCTAGTATAGAGCCACCGATCCACGTTGAATATTTCCGCTCTGGTGGGGCATAAATCTTAACCTTCATTTTTGTGCTGTACAGTTCATCAATCCGTATCTTGTTCCAGATAGAGTTTGAAGCTTCGCTTGCCTGGTCCTGCATCCCCTTTAGCTCTTGCAACAACCTATCACCAAAGTTCTTCAACAATGTATTCCCCCCTGATAGCAAAATGTTTTGGTACAACTGAGGCCTTAGATCTAGGTCTGTCTTGCTCACTGCCAAAGATACAAGCTCATGCAATCCAGGGCTCTCATCGTTAATTATCTGAGGATTGAACAAGATTTCTGGCGCTCGGAACTTTTCCGCCCCAAGATGTAATTCGTGCCCATCAGGTAAGGTATAGGTGGTAAACAATTCGTTTTTCGATTTCGTCTTCCTAGCATACTGAGCGCCGTATAGTTTTTCATCCTTCTGTGGCTCCTTTGAAACGAAACAACATTGCTCCTTTATTAGTCGCACGATTTCCATTTCTGAACTGCTTTGTAATGTAACTCCCGACATTCGCCTGATATTAAATGACAAGCGTGTCGTTATATCTCTTCCAGCAATATCCATTCGTTTTATCGAACTAGGTAAAGCAAAGCCTTCGTAAACTGGTACAACATGACTAACCCCATCGCCACTATCAACAACTACACCTGTTGTTCTCCCCGATGCATACAACGCCAATACCGCCTGAATAGATATATAAACACAGGGAACATTGAATTGCTCAAACATAACTTGACACATTGCGTCTCTATTAGACATGGGGTTCAATGGGGCTTCTGTGAGTAATAGCGGGTGCTCCTCTGGTTGAATTTTGAGCTCCTGGGTGAACATATGGTACCAAAGTTTTTCCATATCAGACCAGTTAGCAACTATTCCATGCTCCATTGGGTAAGTGAGCTTTAGCAAGCCCCTGTTCTTTTGTGCATTGTCACCAATAAATAGATCACCATCCGTAGAATCGACGCCACTCGAGGAAGGTAGCAAAGAACCAGCCATGAGCTTTTGGTATTTGGGTCTGCCTATCACTGCCGACGCATAAGTTCGTGGTTTATCATCCCCAGCAAATCCTGCTTTGAGGTTTCCCGACCCATTGTCCACTACAACTGGCTGGTTGTACAAGGTTTCCATGATGAATGCTTGAGAAGTGGGAGTTAAAACGCGTCAGAAAATTGTAAACAAAAAAATTGGGTGTTCTCCCTGAAAGACATACCGTAAACTATATACAATGCTGCATCTTAATGCCTTGTCAAACCCACAAAGACAACAGATACGGAACGCTTTTGCTTTGTTAGATGGAGAATCAAAAGACTCTCTAATAACCAAGGACGATTTGCAAAAGATGTACTCAAACCTTGGCATCAAACAACCCTCAGAAACAGAAATTCAGAATATGTTTACGATTGATAATGTCGACTACTCCCAAAAAGGTATATCTTTTACACAATTCCTGAACATTCTTGCAAAAGAGCTTCTGTTGATTGAAGATAGATCGTCGATACTCGAAGCCTTGCAAGTGTTTCTGGTAAAGGGTGACCACAAGTCCTTCAAGGACGAGTTACAAATAGATCTTGAAGACTTGAAAGATGCCTGCTGTTCCGTTCGCATGAATGATGACAACCGTCTTTCACGCTCTTCGTTTGATGAATCAGTAAAGGGATTTGTGCTGGAAACAATAGACGGAAAAAAGGTATTTTTAGCATCCAAGTGGATGTCTGCCTACATCGACTAGTGCATAACTTTAAGGAAAAACAAGTAGATGGAGATAGTTCAGTGCCAATGTTGCTTTTGTCACACCGGGGAAGGGGGGAAAGACATAGTGGGAAAGGAAAAGCCTATAGTTGCGCTGCAACAACGTTCACGTTAAATATACATGAATATATTATCCATATTTAGTTTTATACATTAGTTAACAACTCTTCTATAACTCCGAAGCGAATGGCAAGACGTCCAAATCACCAACAGCAACGTAATTAAAGTCTTTAACTGGCGCATCAGCTGCAGTGGCTTTAAACTCTAATGGGTGAGCAACCTTGGATTGCAAAGCAATGGATAATTCAGCAGATTTAACGGCTTTGCTCAAATCACTTGAAGTAACTGATTCTGCAACCTTCTTGGCTTGTCTGATACCTTGTGCGACATCACTAGCTTTGCCTGAAACTGAAATTACAAACAAACCAGCATCTTTGTACTTGTACAAATGTGAGGTGGCGCCTGGGATCTTGAACAATGGAGCAACAGAAGTTGGCAATGTAGAAGTACCAATGGCGGATGATAAAACTTCGTATCTACCGTAATCAGCTGGCTTAACCGGGAATCCAATCAAAGCAGTGGATTTTCCAGTAGCTGGTATTCTTGCTTCGGCGTTTTTGTGGAATTCAGTTGAGACGGCTTGTGATTTGGAGCCTTTAGGCAAGTAGGAAAATGCGGATTCTTCGACGAATTTGGTCAAGTCACCTTCATCAGCACCTTGAGCCACAATTTGAATGTTTTCTCCAGTGAAATTGTCTTGAGCAAATTGAGCCAACTCTTCGACTTGAATAGGAGTAGATGGGTTATAATATAAAGGGTTACCCAAACCTCTTCTGAATGTAATTTCATGTAATTTTTCCAATCCAGTGAAATGTGAGTTTGCGTGAGCGGCTTGGGCCTCGGCAAGAGCAGATGGTAAAACAACTTCTTCAAATTCGTGTGGGGTGAACTGGGTATTTGAAAGTACATTACCCAAAGCTTCAACATAGTATGGCAAGTCTTGTTTCAAAAATTTAGTCTTCAATACCAATGCATCTCTTTTGACATGACCCTTGAAATGACCACCCAATAATTCAGATTCTCTGGTAAAACGCAATGCTGACTTGGCACCATTATTCAAGAACGCAAACTTTGACAACAAGTGTGATGTACCAAATTTGCCGTCTTTAGCACCGGCATTTGTAACAACTACATGAAGTTTGGTCAAGCCATTGACAGACTCCTTTGTCGAAATCTTGATACCATTTGGTACAGAGCTATAAGCACGAACGGCGGTACGGGACAACATGAGGGGCTTTTAGTAACGTCGTCTATAGGTGGGTTTATCAAAGGTTCTTTCAATTAAAAGGTTGGGACTTTTCACTTTCGCAGAGAAAAACAAAAAAAAAAAATTATAAATTCTCACTCGTTGATTGGCACAAGAGGAAGTCATGTGACTAGATGTATAAAGTTTGTGACAATATTGAGGTGAAGAGTACGCTCTAGTGTCTACACATGCTCGTACCAAATTTATCTATTTATGGTATGTATACAGTATGCCAGAACGTTATATCTGGGCCAAATTGAGCCCCTTGAGTTCTTCTTTACAGATATCATTTTCCACACCATAGTCAACGATTAGCTTGGCCCACAACAAATCCATCAAAATGAGAATGTGTACACCACCCCATATCAAATTGATACTGTAAAAGAAATTTGCGTTACCGTTACCCAACACAATCCAGCAGTAGTAGAATATAGGCGACAATATAAGCGCCGTTACCAAAGTCATACTCGAAACGTAGATCATCTTGCAATAAGGTAATATTGTTCCTTTGAAAATTGGCAATAATGATAATGCAAATCCTAAATCTCCAACTGTTGGATAAGATTTAGTGAACGAAACCCATAGCAAGGACAATAACACAGCTAGAAATGAGTCACCTTGGTCGGGCGTGGCTCTTGATTCAAATAAACGGATTGCGATTGGGAGTATAAATGAAAATGAGTATAAATTAAACATTCCAAGGTAAAATGGAGTAAAGAATTCAAACATTTCAGTGAACAAATACCACCATAAGCCAACATTCGGTGTTATCTTTTTGAAGTATATCACTGCCAAGTAGCAATTATCCAAGAAGCTCCAAGACGATGTAAATGCAAATGAAGCCAATGCCAAGAGAAGCAATGACACGAGGTAGCCTGTCGAGCTGGTGACCAACAATTTTATATGTGTGGTTGTTGGGAAAGTCCTGAGTGCCAATCCAACCAATGATGGGAATATATACAACGAATTGAATGATAGATACGTTGCTGCTGCAAATGATATCATCGACCGCATAATATTTCTCTTCAACACTATCTGAATTAAACTTTCGATAATAAAATACCACGTAAACACAACGGTTGAATGGCTCAAGTTTGTCAAAATGATCAACGGGTTGAACAAATAAAAGCATGCAATCAAGTCATCGTTGAAACCAGTAACTTGGGATCCTTTGATTTTGCTACGCGACTCGTTGTACCACTGGTTGAGCTTCACTATCTTCCAAGCAATCAACAAGTCAGTGATGGTATACACTAAATCGAACCAGATGAGTGAAAACGGTATAGCTTTAATACAGGAGGCAATTATAACTACCAAAGGCGGGTGGTGGTTAACTCCTCCGTCATACAAATCAATGTCGTGGTTTAAGAAGTATATCGCCTCGAGTAGGGATTTGAACGAGGTTATAGGTGTGCTCAATTCAACCGTTGACGAAAGCGTGGTAGTAACGGATGGAATGAATGTAGGTAGTAGGAAACGAATCAAGCCACCGATAACGAACACTTGAATGAGTTTACCCATATTTGCTCTGTTGGTGACCGTGTCCTCTGAGTGAACCAAAAACGAAAAAAAAAAAAAAACAAAAAAAAACAGAAAACAAAATACAAGTACTGAAATGCTTAACTGAAGAGATTTCACATCCACAGAGCTAATTTCAAAATGTCCAGTGTATGTATCAACAAGATATCAGAGGAAGATGAACCAGTACTAACAATGCATAGTTTCAACCAATTAACCCGAAACCGTTTATGAAATCACTAATAGGAAAACAGGTGGTGGTTAGACTAAAATGGAACAAGACAGAATACCGAGGCCAATTGATGTCAACAGACAATTATCTCAACTTGCAACTAGATAACACGTTTGAAATTATATATGATACTGAAGACAAGGCTCGCGAAGAGTCCATAGGGAGTATATTTATAAGATGCAATAATGTTTTGTTTATAAGAGAATACCGCGATGAGAGCAAAGACGGCGAGGTACCCGAAAAGGAGGTGTCTGATAGTACTAAGGAAGCAGGTACTACTGCTAAAGATGATGCAATAAGTGCAGATGTCGAAGTAACAAAAGTAGAGTTAAAGGAGGCTGTAATGGAGGAATAAGAGAGCTTCTACTGGTGGTGGTGGTAGAATTACCAGCTTTACTTGATTGAAACAAGGGTAGTTGCTACTCTCGCCATGTTAAACAAAGGCTTCATTATATATTGTGTAGCTGCAATGTTAATAGACGTCCCTCTTTGAACGTTCTTAAAAGAAAAAAAAATAAAGAAAAAAAAACCGAAGCTGATTTCTTCAACATCGAAGTGTGTCAATGACTGAACCAGAGGTAGCTCCCTATGGAGGGTTTATAGTGAAAACTTTGGAAGACGAAAAAGCAAACGAAGCTCAGCTTGAAGAGCTAGCTATAGAAGTTGACTATAATGGAACCACTCAAAGACTAAGACCCGAGGCATTGAGATTGAATGGAGTGGATAATTTATCAACAGAAGAAATCAAGTCATATGTTGAGTACTATCTCAACTACACCACATCACGTAATGAGGACCTCGACAAAATAGAGTACCACCAGATCCCGTTTGATGAACAGGTGACATTTCGTGTTGAATGGATTGACGATTCCAACGTCAATATAGTTTTCAAAACAAACCAGGACAATTTAAAAGCTTTGAGACAATTGAGCAGCGACCCAATAGAGATTGACGACCAGGATCCAAGTTTTATTAATGAAGTTATACAAGAGCGTCGGGCGAAGGATTACAACCCGATAATTCCTTTCCGCAGTAGTCAGAGTTTGTCAAATCGATTGGGGTTGAAAGAGAAACCAAAAGAGGATAAACAGGAAGAAGGCATGATGGAGGATGAATCTGCAATTGAGTTGCGTATTAGACAATCCTTCCAGCTGGATCGCAAAGTAAAGTACGCATCTCAATATTCACGATACTATTTGATTCACGGAGAACCAGAAAGAACAAGGAGACCTCGACCACTGCACAGACATAAAAGAAGAGAACCTGTGAATGAAATCAAAGAGGAAGAGGAAGAGGAAGATTTATTTGCCGACAGACTTAGCCGAGGACATAATAGCTCGCGTGGACAAATTGCCGATGATGAGGAAGACTTGTTTGCCGATAAGTTGAAACGCAGCAGGTCACGGTCACCAACTCGGTCCGGTGGTAGTAGTCACTACAATCAAAGGTAAATATAAATTGGGGTCTATTTCACTCTTGTATTATACATAAGATAGAATTGAATTTTGTAGTATGCGAAAACCATCAATTACCCTCTTGACCGAAGTCTTCGGTGAATTTAATGTGGTTCGATATATCAGACTCATTGACAGTAGGCCTATTGCTTTTGATTGACTTGATAAAGTCTTTAATCGTAAGTGATGGCTCCTTCAACTCGTCCGTTTCTATCTCCATCCAGCTCATTTCTCTAGCATCAGCATCACCTGGCGAACAAGGAGTCATCTTTTCTTTCCCATCGTCATCTGTCACAGGCTTGAAATGTGTTGCCTGCTGTATTTTCCTAATAGGCTGCATCAAAGCATCTCTGACAACTACTGCAACATCATGACCAGAATACCCGTCCGTCATTTCGGCCAAAGTTCTATAATCATGAGGAGAACATTCACAAGGAACTTCACCAATATTGATTTCAAACATTCTCGACCTCGCTTCTACGTCAGGCAATGGAATGTAAATTCTTCTTTCAAATCTTCTCCTTATAGCAGCATCCAATTGCCAGGGGATATTCGTTGCTCCCAACACCAATACACCTTGGGAATCGTTTCCAACACCATTCATCTGCACCAATAATTCTGTCTTGATTCTCCTCGAGGCCTCACTCTCACCCTCTCCTCTTGGCCCACACAATGCATCGACTTCGTCAATGAATATAATGGATGGTTTATTCTCTCTTGCCATGGTAAACAATTGCTTGACAAGTCTTTCTGATTCACCCATCCACTTGGAAACTAAATCAGACGAGGAAACGCTAAAGAATGTAGAATTTGCTTCTGTGGCAACGGCTTTTGCCAAATACGATTTACCCGTTCCAGGTGGTCCATATAGAAGGATTCCCGAGGTTGGTTTCCTATTGCCTACAAAAAGTTGCGGGAATTTCACTGGTAAAATGACTGCCTCTTTTAAAGCCTCTTTTGCCCCCTCAAGTCCAGCAATATCAGACCATTTAACATTTGGCTTCTCGGATAAAATTGCCCCTGCAAGCGCTCCCCTCAACTTTTTCGCATCGGCATCGTCCTCGTCATCTCCGCTTCCTGACTTCTTTGCCTTAGTGGATCCATTCGCTGAACTTTCAGCCGAGTTTGACTTGTTCTGCTGCTTTTCAAGGTGGTCTTTCAACTGCTCTGCTCGAGTCAAATACTCGGTGAACTTTGATTTTACTAGTTCCTTTGACTTGGGGTTCTTTTCATACTTGATGGCCAACATTAAATAATCAAGACCGTTGTAGTACAACTTATACGCCTCCTCGTATCTCGTAGCTGTATCGGCATCTATCGCCTTTTGAACTAAATCAATACCCTTGCTTAAGAAATCAGACGCCCCCGACATGACTGGTTGATGTTGATGAAGAGGCACTAGTTTGTTGGAAATCTTGTGGTACAAGCTCTAATCAGAAAAAAAGAAATATAATGGCAACGAAATTTTTAATTTTGTGTACTATTGTGTGCAATCCACCAGAATTACTGCTTGCGTTGGAGGAAAAAGCCACGATAGAAACTGCTATGCTCTATGGGTTTAGGAGGATGTTGGAGATGTGATATAGTACCTTCAAGTTTTAAAAATGAGGCATATGTGTCTGTCATATGCTCCATTCTAATGCTAATATGCAACACTGTGGGTTTAAAGACACCTCTGTGTAATTCAGAGCTACTCTTGGGACCAAAAGGCAGGTTGAAGGATAATACAGCCTCATGTACTCCCATTCAACTGCTTGTTAGCATTAACGAACTGACCTATTTGTGGTAGCGCGTTTTCTCAATAGCTCACCTCTTTTTACTGCACACAAAAAAATGTCGTTTAATAACCTCAGCTTCTTCTATATCTATTGAACTGACCAGGACTTACCCAAATCAGAAGAAGGACAAACACAATGGCAGGAAGAAGTTACAGGGGCTCTGCCTCAGAGTCTGAGGCACCTTCGCGTCACCACAACAGAGATAGAGACAGCAACACCGGATCACAACAAGGCCCAACTACCACATCTTCAGGAAAGACATCTCAAAAGGCTAGGAATCAACAAGCTTTACAGCAGCAGCAATCATTCTTGCAAAAACATATCAACTCAAATGGTCCAAGAGATAAGCCCAGGATAGACCCACTCGATTTTGGAAAGATGGATGAAGCAACTTTGCTTAGATACAAGGATCGCTACAGCCTAAATCTCCCTCGGCCGGAATCGTTGAACTCAGATATTTTAAACAGTGAGATTGGCAAAAAGACATTCAGCAAACGAAATCAGGCTAGGCGACTTCAAAAGGCCGGAATGGGCCTGGATTACAGGATAAGTAAAGGTGAGTTTGGCAATCAAGTCAGGAGTCATTTCATGGGATTGCAGGCCAAGGAAAATGACATCATTACGGGGTTTTTGTATAAAGTGAAGCACCAGGATAAGGAATTTAAGCTTACGTTTCAGTGATAGATTTGAAATATATATATATATATAGCTTTAAGTAGCAAAATGTAGAATCCTTGTCTTTGGCTGTGTTCTGTTCCGCGTATCTAAAAAAAAAGAAATCAAGAGAATAGAAAAAGTTACTGGTGAATGTACCCATTCATTCAAAATAATCTATCAATGGACTCCTCAGTGGTACTATTTGCGGTGACGTTGGTCATTGGTTTTATTTTCCTTAGATGGTTAATTTCACCCATTCCAGAATCAAATGATCTCAATCTAGACACATCTGCTTTGTCAAAAGAAGAAAAGGATGAAGAATCTTCTTCCTCTAATGGAACTGCATCAACAAAAAAAAGGCGGGACAAAAGACCAGTGACTGATTCAATGATTGAAGTTGTACAAACTATTGCTCCTAGATTGACGGTGGAACAAATTCGTTTTGATTTAGAAAAGACGGGTTCGGTTGAGGTGACTATCGATAAATACATGGAAAACGGAGATTTGCCCCACCCACCGAATTAAGCACATATGCAAGGTAGGGGAATGATTACATGTTGCAGAGGCTAAGTGCACGACAAGGTGATTAATATTGTTAGACCGACTTGCGGAACATAGACGGGTTTGTTCGACACTATAAACTAGAGACCAATAGAAATATCGTCGTCATTGCCCTTTTTTTTTATACATGTTGTAAATAGATTACAGAATCAACGTGGGGGTGATTCGTTTTTTACCCTTCTTGTCCTTAAAAAAAGTATCAATTGTAGGAGCTTGCTTCTTCGGTGGTGGCGATTGTGAAGCTGTATTTGACTGAGGTTGTAGCTTTTCCAGGTGCAGGTTATCGACAATTGGATTCTCGTATAAGGGACCAAAAACGTCGCCTTCGAAGTTGATGACAGAACAGAATCCATCCATTGAACTGACCAACAACTTCGAACCATTTTCGTCCCACGTCAAGTCAGTTATAGCTTGATAATGTATGTTGGATACTTGACCCAAGGGTTTAAAATTATCATCTGTCGAGTAAACGACTATGCTATCCAATGTTCCAATAGCAAAAATCAGCTTATACGGTAATAGCAGCGATTCACTCAGCAGTTTATATAATTTCGGATTAAATGATACAATGATCGCTGGCTTTATAAAACCACCTATTCTGATGACGGGGCCATTGTGCAAATTAGCTATCGAGTATATGTACACACAATTTGACCCATTTTCATCTAATCCTGCAGGGGTAATCAATAATGACCCATCGGGTGAGCAACTCAATCTTCTGAAAAATGACTGGAGGTTTTCTGACTGATACATTTGGGTACTGCCAAGCTTTTGGAACTTATGAAGTAGTGATAACGACCCGTCATCATCAAATTTATAGGAAACTATACTACGATCAGCAGATTGTGTGAATAAGTAATGATTAGAAAATGCCACCCCTTGGATGAAATGATCATTATTTTCTGAAGTGTGAATTGGTTTTCCCACTAATTTCTTCCCATTCTCCACAACGTGATACACCCGCAATATATTGTCCATAGATCCTATTGCCAAGTAGTCATTGCACCAGCACAAATCAACTAGTTCATTACCAATTGTTATATTTCCAACGCACTGCCAACTCTCTTTCATGTCTTCATCATCTTCATCACCCAAGTCTTTGATTATAGTATCGCTTTTTGTCCATAAAAAGACAAACCCATCGTCTCCCGCAGTCGCGAGAACATCACCTTTGGAGTTGAATCTGACAACATTCACCGCTTGCGTATGCTTCCTCAATGTAGATAGATATTCTACTGTATTGTCGACAAATTTCCAAATTCGCACGTTGTTATCTCCTCCTCCAGTAACTAATCTTGATATCTGACTTTGAGCCATCTTTGGTTGCAAATCCAATGAATATATAGGCTTGTTTTCATCGTGCCAATGTACTGCTATTGTAACAGCGTCCATTGTGTGTTTGAACTGATAACGGGTGCCGATCTGCAAAGACGTAATTGATTAAACAGTGAGAGAAGAAACAGACGCGTTTTTGACATTTTTGGTGCTACCAGTTGGTTTTCCATTTTACAATAGTAGAGGCTGTGAACAGGAGCATCAAATAATTCTTTCTGTCTGTGTGTTGGAGTTACAGAGGTCCTTAATCTCCGGCCCCTGTACTTTCAACCACAATGCACACATTGCTGAGGCTTTCAATCTTTTGCTGTTTCATCATTTCTATTGTCCACTTTTGAGTAATGCCGAACAACGCATTAGACCAGAGATGACAATGTGTATGAGAAAATATTTTTCTTTTCAACAGGCTAGTGTGTGCAAAAGATGAAATAATATAAAGACTACACCGATCGATCGATTTGAAGAACGTTGAGCAATCGCCTAAGGAACTAATACTGATACCCACATTGGACCCTTTTCTCAAAAGAAAATTCCGAGCAAAGCTTTGGCGAGGCAAATACAAAAGAAGAGAAAAGAAAGAGAGAACAGTGAAAAAAAAAAGAAAAAAGAAACTTTCTCCCCCACTTTAGTTTTGCAGAATTAGGGTTTATTCAAATATCAGATGGAGCAGCAAGTATAGCACATCTACGAAAGAGCATCTTAAAACAAAGACTAGATTAGAGTTTGCCATGTCGAGAGGGGAATCAGCGCATGGTGAACCCTCGTCAACCAAAGCACAATCGCCGATACTGTCGACGTCATCAACTCACGCGAGCGAAGAGGAAATTAACCACAAAGTGGTAAATACCGAACCACTTAGACAAGAAAAGTATACTGAAGCAGATGCAGGTGACGGAACGAAAGCCCACGAGCAATACCTTCATGGTGTACCATTGTTGCTCACAATATTGTCATGTATTGTAACGTTGTTCATTGCCGCATTAGATCAGACTATTGTGTCAACGATATTGACGACCGTGGGTGATCATTTTAACTCATTTGAGAAAGTTGGATGGCTAACTTCTGGTTTCATGTTACCTATGGCCTGTTTAATCCCGTCTTATGGTAAAATTTCAATAGCTTTTGGCCGAAAAGCCACACTAATAGGAGGGATAATTGTTTTCGAAATTGGGTCGTTAATCTCGGCCCTTGCAAATTCAATGAGTTTGCTAATTGGCGGTCGAGTTATTCAAGGGGTAGGTGGAGGTGCAATTCAAAGTATGGTGATGGTTATCCTAACGGAAAGTGTCCCAATATCAAGGCGGTCTTTGGTCTTTGCATCAGTATCAATAGTGTGGTCGACTTCGAGTGTCCTTGGTCCTATAATAGGTGGTGCGTTGGAGAAGATCACTTGGAGGTGGTGTTTCTACATCAACTTGCCCATAGGGGGCGTTAGTTTGCTTGTGCTCATATTTGGATTCCACCCACCAAAGCCAAAGGGCAATATCCGTGAGAAGCTATCAACGATTGATTACGTTGGTACGTTTTTCATGACACTGGGACTTGTATTGGTTCTTTTGGGGTTGACTTTCGGTGGAATTGACTTTCCTTGGCGGTCAGCAGCAGTGATATGTTTGTTCACCATTGGAGGAGTGTTGCTCATAATTTTTGCCGTTTGGAATTTCCGCTTTTCCACCAATCCTATAATATTAGCCGAATTCATTAAATCACCCACCACAATGACTGCCACTATCAGTGCTATGTTCAATTTCGGTTTCTTTATTTCCAACTTGACATATTTGGCTGTCTACTTTCAAGTGGTGTTCAATGCTAGCTCCTTGCAATCTGGAATAGACTTGTTGCCTTTAGTTGTTTCCGTCACCATTGCATCACTAGCAAATTCAATGTTTATCAACTTGACCAAAAATGTCAAGATCACCATGGTTGTTTCCGGAGTGTTGAGTCCCCTTGGATCTGGACTTTTGTTGTTGTTGGACAAAAACTCGAGTGTTGGGAAAAGAATCGGAATTCTCTTAGTTTCTGGTATAGCCATTGGCTTGCAATTTCAAAGTTCAACATTGAGTGCCCAACTAGTTGCCCCTAAGCATGTTCCAGGAGCTTTAATCTTGGTGACTGTTTTGCTCAACTTTGCAAGAGAATTGGCGTCAACAGTCTCAGTTACAATAGCACAATTATTATTTCAGACCACTGGAACAAGATATATCAAGGACTTGCAACTTAATGTAAATAGAAACATCGACGGTTACAACGAATTCACTAGCATGTCAGCAAAATCGTTGATTTCAAACCCAAGGTTGGTTAGAACACTACCTAATGAAGTACGAGAATTGGTGTTGGATCAATTTGTCAAGGCTTTGAAAAATGTTTTCTACTTTGGTTTGGCTTTGGCTGCCGTGTGTTTTATTGCGTCGTTATTCACAACTGGGAAGAAGATCCCCAAAACAAAAGACATCAAGACAGCGGATAGCGAAGACGAAAAGAGCCAAGCTGAGGAGATGAAAGCTGTAAATGGCGCTAATGATTCACCCGATCAAGAGACAAATATGGACTCTCTGAGTTTGGGACAGAGGCAATGATCAACTGAAGAAATACATAGGGTAGAATATTAAATAATTTGCATTAGACTATTTAGCTTCAATACTTGCTAGAGAAAGTCTTTGACAAACGTTCCATATAAGATGTTAGTATATTTTGCAATTGATTCAATTGCGCCTCTCTTGATTTGACATCTTTTTCAAAGTTGCTGACAATATCATGGGTTTCTTGTCTAATTTTCACTATCAACTTATTTGTTCGCGAGTTCTCGTCGTTACGTTCTGATTCAAGCCGCATTACCTCATCCAACGCTTCGTTTGTTTCTTTCAACTTTTTGTTCAACGTTTCATGCTTTTTTGCATACTGATCTTCTAAATCACGGTACTTCTTTTCATATTTGGCCAACTGATCGGATCTCGTTTGGATTTGTTTCGCCAAGTCGTTAGACTCTCGGGTAATATTTTGCAATTTATCACTATGCTGGCGTATATTGTAAGCGTCACTCTCATCTTTTGTCAACAGCTTTGAGATTTCCTCGGCTACTCTAATCAAATTGTTGATGCTTAATTCATTCACCTGTAAAGAAGTAAGAGTTTGGCCCAAGTTTTTATATTGTTTCTCAAAGGTTGTACAAGTCCTGATCAACCCCTCAGCTTCCTTGTCTAAGTCGCTTACAATGGTAGTCAATTGGCCAATGTCAATCTCTTTGAAACTCTTTAAATTTTCAATCTCACCAGTGGTTTCGTCGCAGAGGAAACCAATATCGTAAAGTTCTTTAGCAAGCGATCTCTTCTCATTTTTGTAGTCATCATGCTGCCTGGTCAACTTTTCTTGTGTTGACTTTAGCTGGCGAAGTTTCGACTCCAACTTCCTGTTGTAATTATAAACATGCTGTATCTCGTGTCTAGGTACATCACTGCGTCCATCATCTTCATATCTCAACTTCCTTTGCAAGTCATTTATCTGTGTAACACGTGCTTCATTCTCCTCTTGCAATTGCTGAATTCGAGTTGTTGTAGCATCGGCTTCCTCGGCCAAGCCCTCGTACTCAGAAGATATGTTTTCTCGGAACCGTAGATAGTTGACAACCGCACTTAGCAATCTCTTCGTACTCAATGCTTCTGGACGTGTCAAATCTAAGAGTGTGAGATCAGCAACTCCTATATTTTGGAAAAACTTTCGACAGCACCTAAATAATGTGACGATCATGTCTGTTGGTGTTGGTTCAATGTCAAACTCCTCTATCTGTGCTCCACCATTTTGCTCAGCCGTTTCCTCAGACGCATCCTCGTCCCTACTCTTGAGGACTGCCAATCTTCTTCGTGTTTGCTCCCTCGCTCTCTCTTCTAGATCGTCAATACCCATGAATGTTTCAAGGAAGTGTGTATACAATCTGATTATGAAGTCGCTGGTTGGTTTTGCAACAAGCTCTAAGGTGACATTGAAATCGCACTCCAACAAGCACGATGTTATCTCACGTGTATCTAAATATGGAAATGCATCTTTCCTAACTGGCCTCACACCTCTTGCTGGTGTACTTATCGTGCTTTGTCTTCTCATGAGGGTACTGCCACTACTACTGGGTACTTTAATGTTTATAGTTTGATGTATGTGCACAAAACAAATTTGTTGATTTTTTTCTCTTCCTTCCTTTTTGAAGAGAAGGAAAAAAAGAAAAGAAAAAAAGTTATTAACTGATTAAACACATCGACAGTAAGGAGAATTAGCCGAGCAAACCAGTCCAAAATAGCTCAATCAATCTGGAACAAAGGGTGGAAATAACCAGAAAGGATCTTGATTTTATATTACAGGCAGAACAATTAGCATCGAGATCAAGTAGAAACTATGGCCAACGAGGAATACGTGACGGATTCCAGTTCCGACTTTACAGAGTACTGGATAGACTCATTCTTGGGTATAAAGGGTAACGAGTACTTTTGCGACATAGATGATGAATACATACGTGATCGTTTTAATCTTACTGGGTTGAATCAGGAAGTATCAAAGCTTCCTACACTAATAGATATAATAACAGATGTTATTGATATTGACTCGCAGCCCGAAGAGCATCGAGAGGCGTTGGAGCATAATGCAAGGATATTGTATGGTTTAATCCATGCAAGATACATATTGACTACACGGGGCTTGAATAAAATGTTTGAAAAGTTTCGTAATGGTGATTTTGGTTATTGTCCGAGGGTCCATTGTCAGCTAAATCCTTTGTTGCCAATAGGTTTAAACGATCAGCCGCGTATGGCCAGTGTTAAATTGTACTGCTCCAAATGTGAAGACTTGTACAATCCCAAATCAGGGCGTCATTCAGTGATTGATGGTGCTTATTTCGGCACCTCGTTTCCAGCTATGTTTTTCCAGAATTTCCCCAACATGATACCGATACATCCAAGGGATACGTACGTGCCACGAGTATTTGGGTTTAAATTGCATGAGTATTCTAAATTGAACCGATGGAGAGAATTGCAACGATTGAAATTGGAAAAGAGGTTGGCCAAAAGTGGCATACAAATAAAGAACGTAGTTGGTGGGTTCCAAGCTGATTCCGGTCAGGCTGTGGCCCGTAATGTATAATAACACCGTAGCATAACTTTAATAGACATAAAAGTAATGAAATGTGATACAGATGACAAGATGAAGAAGAGAAAAGAAAACGAAAAAAAAATAATTTAAAAGGAGTTCGGCGAATCTCACAACATCTAATCAAGAACAATGTCATGTTTGAGAACATCACGATACGTGTCCACCGCAGGACTTCTTACTACTACAAGAGCATACACCTCCCCCTCCTCTTCGATACAGGAACTCAATCGATATGACAATCTTCCGTCAAACTCGCGTGTCTTTTCCTTGATACAACCAACGGGAAGAATCCACTTGGGGAACTACTTGGGCGCAGTCAAAAGTTGGAGAACTCTATCCAACTCCAATCCTGATAGTGAGTTTTTATTTGGAATTGCCGATTTACATGCATTTACAAGCTACAAACCAGCTGCAGAATTGAAGGATAATAGGTATCAAGCAATTGCAAGTTTATTGGCTGGTGGTTTGGATACAACCAAATGTACATTGTACTTTCAGTCGTCTGTACCCGAGCATCTGGAGCTTAATTGGTATCTCACGTGTATGACGAGTATGGGACAGTTGAATAGAATGACTCAGTGGAAACTGAAGGCACAGCAATCTCAAAACAGTTCAATAACGGACGAAAAAGTGATGGAGTCCACGAAAGCTGGAGTGTTTTGTTATCCTGCTTTGCAAGCAGCCGATATTTTACTATACAGAGCAACTCATGTACCTGTTGGTGACGACCAGTCGCAGCATTTGGAGCTTTGTAGAAACATTGCAAAGCTGTTCAACAATACATACAATGTAAACTACTTCCCCTTGCCCAAGACTTTGTTGACGCCGGCAAAGAAAATTCTCAGCTTAAAGAATCCAGAAAAGAAAATGTCCAAATCGGATCCTGTACAGGCATCTTGTGTCTATGTTACTGATTCTCCTGAAGATATCCAATTGAAGATAAGGAAAGCAACTACTGACTCGATTCAAGGAGCTTGGAGTTTTGATCCAGTCACGAGACCAGGCGTATCAAATTTGATCAATATAATATCAGGCTTGACCAATGAATCGATTGAAGAAACAGTAGCAAGTATACAACATTTAAAAGATCACAAGAGCTTGAAGGATTACGTTGCTAAATTGATTATTGATGAATTCCATGACAAAAGACAATTGTATGACGAGCTTCTTAAGAATCGAGATTACCTTGATCTGGTTTGTAAGCAAGGGAGAGACAAAGCTAGGGAATTGGCTCTGGTGAACATTGGCGACATCAAAAGTATTGTTGGAATGGATTAGTGGAGGTCATTATTGGCACAATCATTTTATAAATAGACTTGTATATAGACCGTTAGAACATATACGTAAGAGCCCAATGATCATCTCTCTTGTAGTATGCTACATATTTTGTACTATCTTGTTTGTAACTGGTACGTCTTTCAGTTTTATGTTGCACAGACTCGTATCAAAAATCACAATTAATTGCTGCGAAATGGCATGGATCACAAAAGTTCGCGTTGTTTTGATTTTTATTTTTACGTGATGCTGTTAAAAGAAAAATCAAAACAATACAATATGTGGAATTTTTTTAGTATTGTGCGTATACTACACAAACACCTCTCTCTTTCCCGCTATAATTGTACCAAGCAGAGACAAGATAACGTCGCACGATAGAAGTGGAGTGCCAATTGAAAAGTGACCAATTGAAGGGCATAAGAAAACTATAGGATTACAGTTGGAAAGATCTAGGAGGTTGGACTGAGGTAATACGCGGATCACTCATTTTGTTTACATACGCAACCGTTGAAAACTATAAACAACAAAACATTACTGTGCCAGAAATTTCATCTACAATCCGAGAGACCACCATATCCACAAGACAAGACAAGACACAAGACACAACAAGCAACAACAATAATAATTTTTTTTTTTCCTTTCTTTCACGTCAAATCAAAATCACAACAAATTTACATTACATTGTTGGTAACTCTTCGATTACCATTCCTCCTTGTTAACATCAACACCAACACCAACACCAACAGCATCAACCATATACCCCACAGCACACAATGACTAGCGAAGATGATCACAAACAGATGCAAATCAAGATTCTATACTCGTTCGATGATAACCCAACAACGTTCCTTTCAAGGTCATCACAACAGTATTCAGTGCAAACGGCAGAGGTGCCAATTCAATCGACAATGTCCGACGAGCCCGAGCTAATAACTTTAGGGGGGGTTGAACTCCGAAGCTGTATCAAGCAGCTCCTTCTGTCCAATCCTGAGAACTTTAAGCTACACTCGCAAGACTATGCTGTCTACTACAAGGATATAACTGAACAACCAGATGAACCTTTTGTTTCAAACGGTGTTCTCTCGTCGCTAGTATCTTCAAAGGAGTCCTGTCTTATTCCTGGGAGAGTATGCCAAAATATGTCGGCCAGCTTTTTATTTGGTAACAAGACAAAGGCGTCGTCATTGACTTTGGAAATAAGATTGAAACTACATACCATAGAAGGTACACCAGCACTTCCACCATCTGCAAATTCAACACAGCTGCTGCATCTGCAACGCCATCAGCAGCAAACTCGACAGCCGCTTTCGACTATCAACAGCTCCCACGTTGATAGGAAACGACCATATGAGTCCTTACACAAGCCGTCGCACAATCCAGCTAAAGCAACAAGAACATTGTCGTTGCCTTCTTATTCGAATATCCAAAACATTCAACAAGCTGATCGTTCTAATACAACCACGCGATACAACAGGGAAAGTGTTGAAAATCGTTTTAAGCTGGCGCCTTTCTTCCAAGAGAAAGCAGTGTACGATAATGGGAAAAAGAGGCCAAAATACACCCCTGGAACGACACCACTGCAGCAGAGCAAGCCAAGTCCGACTCCCTCTCAACTCATCCCACAAAGAGCTGTCCGTACCAGGTCAATGTTTACAAACACTCCTATCATGGTGTCGTCGCCAATTAATGAAGAGGTCTATTCATCTGATGACCCCGAATACAAAGCTAATGAAGATCATGATGAAAACATTGAAGAAGAGGAGGAGGAGGAAGATGATGATGAGGATTACGGTGCTACCTCGCCTTACACTCCTCAACAACCACCGTATGTCAATAAAGAAACACCACCAGCGTTGCCCGAAGATTTGGATAGTAAGCGGACACATACTATCACCAGTGCAAAGTTACCGGAGAATCACGGATTAGTGTGCATCAACTCGTGTTGCCGAACTCAGTCTTCGATTGCTTGGAAATATTTTGAAACTGAGTACAAGCCCCATTTCTCGGCTTTAATAAGAGCTACTGAGTTTGACAAGAAACATTATGAGGGAATGCTTGGTCCTCTATGTAATGCATGCTTCCTCTTTTACAAGAATAAAGGATTCATGAGACCCGAACATGTTGTGCGAAAGTACAACCAGCAGCAACGATACACGCAGAAACTCAAAATGAAGAACTCAAAAGAGGAGGAATCAGAACACTCCAAAGCATCACTCAGTGCCGTTGCTAGTAAAAAGAGTTTTCATTCTTCACCAAAAACATTTCCAACTCCATCACACACACCATCAGCAATCAACCAAGTTATCCAAAATAAGTACCATGGAGGTCAAAATCATTTAAATCCGTTACATTCAGGACAAACGCCTGACTATCACGACCTACTAAACCAACTAAACGTATACGGAGGCCCATCGACTGATATAGATCCTTTGCCTGGTGCCACACCGCCGATGCTTGCAACCAAGTCCAATACTAGAATTATAAATGTACCCGATAACGATGCCAAGAGAGCAACAAAGCAAAACACGACCGTAATTGACTTTGATGAAGGTGAAGATAAGGAAAACTGCCCACCGCAGGAAGTTACCAACAAGGAGATTGCTGAACTTGATGCCATGTTGCAGTCCATACACGATGACTCAAATTCAAATTGGATGAATTTCTTCACTGATTCAGCTCGAAAGGACGAAAATAGTCCTAATTCCAAAACACCGGTTGATCAAAATCCAATCGCATTATTAAAGAAACCATCCATCAACTCGCCCTCGCACTCCTCGAATAAACTGTCAATGGCAAACATGCCTAGTTCACCATACTTATCGGCTCAATCGCAGACTGAAAATAACCATAGCGAATTGGATGATGTGTTGGGAAGCATTGCATTTAAGCATGGTGCTGCAGATTCTTCACCACAACATGCAAGCAGAACAGATACAGCAACTCTGTTGATGAATTGGCAACACAATACAAGTAATTCTGGAATGAAAGATTTAGGTTCGACGCCTAATACTGATTTCTTTTCAAACGCTGATCAAGAGGGGGATAAATATGATGGTGGTAGGAGCGTTGACTTGAGTGCAGAGAATGTGCATACTAGTTAGTTAGTAAGATGGGGTTTCGATATCCCGAAGTTTAATTAATGTATATTATCGTAATAGATCTAATCAGTAGAGATGACTATTGTAAATGGTGTGGTTCTTGAGGGGCTCATATGCTAAGTCAAGCAGTTGTCAGGGCACGTTTATCTCCCCAGATACAACGAAACAGTTAATTCCGTAAAAGACACCATGATAAAGTAAATAAATAGATTGATAACGAGTATATTAGGTATTCAAAACTATTTTAAAACTAATGGAAACTACTCACAATAACAATAGCAACATCATTCCCCGCCGCAGAAGCCGCTTGATATATCAAAATTTCAAACTGGTGGGTTAAAGCTAGACACTTTTTTGTCATGAAATTTCCTTTGTAGTGTAATGGCTATCACGGTTCGCTTTCACCGAGCAGATCGGGGTTCGATTCCCCGCAAGGGAGCTTTTCACTTTCATAACATTTTATCCTTTGTAGTGTAATGGCTATCACGGTTCGCTTTCAAATGCTTTCATTTGCAAAGTTCCGAGCAGATCGGGGTTCGATTCCCCGCAAGGGAGTAAAATTATTTTTTTTGCTTTTGCATTGTACTTGCTAGCTTTAAAGCAGAAGTAATAGGGGTTCCTTTTGTTGTTGTCGATTTATAACCTTGTATCTAGCTACTGGTGCTTATGTCGTATTGTCTTTTGAACAGTTAAGAATGGTGGTTGATTTTCTTACAAAGTTATAAAAAATTGGTTGCGAAATTTGGAAAAAGGAAAGAGAAAACTTTCTTTGAGTTTTATTAATTTAGAGATGTAAAATATTTATGTTAGAGATTCCTTATTCACATTTCATCAAGGATGAGGCAAAGGCTATTCAAGTGAACTAGACAGAAGAGTATAGAACTAAGTATTCTAGTGTGTGCTATCTGTTTCTGGAGCTCTCCTAACACTACATACACTCACCTAGGACATTTTGCGTTGTATTCTCCACAAATAAGTATTCTTGGCACCTGTCAAACTGCCTCAGAGGGTAAGAGGTGCTAAGGTTTTGCAAGGTTATTATTTTGTCTTATGGCACGGGGGCTCTAAGGGCGAAAAGATTTTGTATCCATTTGGTTGTGTTTGAAATTAAACAAATTTAATTTTGTACCACGTGGAAATGTGAATTATGAATTAGCCACTGTATTGTTCTTTCGTCTAATTCACAAAGATGAAATAATAATTACGAAGTGAAAAAGAAAAAGGCGGGCGAAGATGAGGAAAAAAACAAAAAAAAAAAACAATCAGAAGATTATTATCTTACAGCAACAACACAAGTCAGTCCCCCACTTTTATTGATAACACAACCTATTGAAATTCTGTGTCTTTAGTGGGTATGATATAACACTAATAGCAATTTCTTTTCAAAACACTGTAGGTGCTACTTTATTTTTTTTTTTTTTTTTTTCACTATGAAGTTTGCAAAGACATTGGAACGGACACTAGCTGAGGATATACCTGAAGAATGGGTAGAAGCAGCAATCAAATACAAAGCTTTGAAGAAATGTATTAATAAAGTGGTTGATGAACTACAATTTCTTGGTCTAGAGCAAAACAAATTGAAGCTTATACTTAATGATAAAGTGGTTGATGTTGGCGATGACGAGTCAACAAACCCACTGAATCCAATCATTGCTCAATATACATTGACCAAGCCTTCACCTGAAAGTCATATGGTTAAACCTATGTTGAAGATTACTTTGGATTTCAGCCATGAAGAACTATCAAGCGATAAAATTAACCAGATTTGTCATGAAATAAAGGAGAAGATTGAAGGATTGTTGAATGAGGATGAAAGTGAAGCAGACGAAGAAAAGATTATAGAGCTAACTGAAGATGAAGGCGAGTTGAAAGTTGTTTCAAGTAGGGAAGGCTCACTATCTCCAACCATACACCCTCTGTCACCACCAGCGTCGCCTCCCTTGACCGCGAGTGAAACTAGCAATCAGTTGGATAAACTAGTGTTGGATGATGATCATAAAAAGCGAGAAATCTACATCATGTTAAATTCAGACAGCAAATTTTTCAGAATGTTGGAAGAAGAATTGGAAGCGTTGGACTCGTTACGAAAAGAAGAAGAATCAAAATTAATTGAAGAAGTGCAAAATGTTGCCCAAGCAGTATCATCCATGAAGGACAAACAATCTGAACTTTACAAATGGCGAGAATTGTTTAGGATCTACCTAGATTCCGAAGTTTACTTCAAGTACAATGAAATAGACCATGAGCAAAGAAACAGTGAACAAGTTGAGGAACACCTTCAGGAATTTATGACAAACGTCAACAAGACGGGGATCCTCACCCATTTCAAAAAGAAAAAGAGTCTTGAAACGTACAACCAGTTTGTTAAAATGAATTACCATTTATTGAAAATGATTCAATTTCAAACGATAAACACGGAAGCATTACGAAAGATTTTGAAAAAGTTTGACAAGCAAACGTCATTGGGGATACAGGAAATTTATCCCAAACTTGTATCGTCAGATCACATCTTTGTGGGTGGTAAATCCTTAGCCCAGTCAATTTGCTACGTTATGCAGACTTCAGTTCTACAAATAATCCCCCAATTAGATGATTATTCTTGTCCTATATGTACCAGTATTGCATATAAACCAATCCGTCTATCTTGTGGTCACTTGTTTTGTGTTCGATGTTTAGTTAAAATGAAAGAGCGTGATAGAAATGATTGTCCATTTTGCCGAAGAACAAATGCTATATTGGAGGCAGATTCGGGTAATTTAGATTTGGAAGCAATGGAAGTCATGAAAAAATATTTCCCGGTTGAAGTGAAGGAGAAATTGAAAGATAGAAGTAAAGAAAGATATCTTGAGTTTAGAGGAAGTGACAAGGACGATAAGTGTATTATTAGTTAGTTGCAATAAGTAAATTATTCTAGAATTGCTTGAAGTTACAAGATGCTTACGCACTTTATGTAATATCTGTCTGTGGATCACACGAGGTGTGACACTTTTGATTACAACTCTCCATTTCAAGTAGCCTTCACGTGCATAATTCATCACAGTTGCATTTCACATGGGCATTAGAAAGTTTCTGACATAGCCTCTGGCATAGTGGTCACTGTTGCATTTGGCTGTAGGCGGTAGTACCAGGTAGTACTAACTTGCCTTATAAAGGACCAATGGTGTAGCCTGGCATCACCCTAGATTCTGAAGCTTTCGGGCCTAGTTCGAAGTACAGAGTTTTCTAGTAACGTGAGTTCGAATCTCGCTTGGTCCTAATTTTTTTTTTTTCTCTCTATCTTAGCTCCACCTTTCTGGACAAATCTATCCCCAGATTTCTACTAGTAAACGGTCCCCCCATTGAACGCTTCAGCTCACGAAATATCCCCCTCCATCCCCATCTCGTTTACAATTTTTCTGCCATCAATCAACGATAAGGGTCAGAGAGATTGTCATTGGTTTGCAATATTACATTATACAAGATCTCTATATAGCATATTTTTAAAACTACTGTGTATCTTCAAGTATCTGTTGCACTATTCTCTCATTGGACTTTCCATCGCTTCCCCCGTTTGACGGCGGATGGCCCACCAACTTGTTTTGTTGTGCCTTATTACCGTTTCCTTTTCCAGTACCAACGATTTGATCGGCATCATTGCCAACTAAAGGTGCCTCATTAGCAATACCACCCTTTGGTGCTTCAGCTACTCCTAAGCCCTTTTCACCCTTTGATCCAGCGGCCAAGTTGCCGGCTAAATCTATATTATCTTTTTCAGTATCAGCTTTTGAACCTACTCCTTTGACCATGTTATCCAAATTATGATTATCATTATCTAAACCATGTTTACTAGAAGATGATGCATGTTGATCAGCAGGAACGACCTCATACTCTAGATCAGGCTTGTCTTTTAAGTCCTGTGAGACCCACCACATCAAGGTTCCAATTATTAGAAACATGAACACATAACCCACAAGCTTCCTTCTAGGGGTGTTGAAAAAGATTATTGGCTCTTTGAGATTATTGTAAGGGGAATTCTTCTTCTTTGATGACGGTTTCATGTAGTATGGTCGTGGTAAACCATTGCTATGATGGCTTCCTTGCATTGCTAAAGTAGGGTAGTGTCTAATGTCAATAACCGGTGATTCTTCGGCTTATTCCGTTTCACACAGTCTTTGATAAGATGTTTGGATACAACGTTGACTCGGTTGTTTTAGTGGCTATGCTGATGCTTTGATAAAAAAGAATGAATCTTTTTTTGGCAATTCACAAAGAGAGAAGAAAGATTTTTCTGTCGCGTTGGTTTTGATCGGTCGTAGATCCTTTTTTCTATTTTTTATGTTTTATTTTTTTAAAGAAAAAAATATATAAGGCGGCCAGAAAGGTGGAGAGAGGTGGTACAAATCCATACGGAGTTAAGGTTAACCTTTACACACAGGAGTAGAGCTATCAAAGGTATAGGAAAGTGGTCACTGTCACACTGTAACCACCCCTAGAGCAAATAATGTATTACATTTGTAATTGGTGGATTGATGTTGATTTAAGTTGTTTCAACCCTTTATGTTTTTTTTTTTCCTTTGCATAAACAATTATAGATAAAACTTTGCAGCACATTCTACAAATGGGTATCACCACTTCCCACGAATAGCAATGATCACTGCTACGCTATTGATTCTCCTAATTACCCGCTTGGTAATCTCCACACCTCCTGCATGCCTCTTGAGCTGCATTTCTGAAGTGTCTCTGAAATGTGAGCGTGGTTGGTCTCTGTTGTCTTGTGTTTGCAACAAAGAAGACCAAATAGTTGGCTGTTTGATTGATATTTGTCCCTTTGGAAACTTCAATAGTGCAAGAGACCATTTTCTCGGTACTTGCTTGGAACATGGCAAACCAACTATAACAAATCCTTATCCACCACCAGCAGTTTGGCCACCACCTGATTATGAGAAAAGCTTACCTAAAATGCATGAGCCAGTATATCGTCCAGAACCGACGACAAGTCGAGTAGTCAATACTGTGCCAGGTTCAGTTCAGAAAAGTATTGATCATCATAACCCATTTCCACGTACCGCACCTAATCACGAACCAATAGATGAATCACCAAATCTTCATGGCCCAAGAAGAAGACCACAACATCAAGTGGGAGAAGCTCCACGTGAGAATTTCCCTCATACTCCTACAATCCACTCACCTACACCAAATCCAACCCCAACCCCAAGACACACACCACAATTTATCCCTGATTTTGACTCATGGTTCGACGAGTATGATGGCCTCAGTGATGATTCATATGATCCTGAAAGGCCACTAGAATGGGAAGAAATGGATGCATTAGATAGACATGGTCGATTTATTGTTGTTCGTCGACCAATAAACGTGCCTCACCAATTGCGTGATCCATCAAATGCGGGTCAGATCAGACGTGTTGTTGTTCGAGGACAAGCCAATCGGCCCAAGCACAATAAAAACCTAATCCATGAAAGTAGGAGACTAGTTGGAAACTTGGATCTTGATAAAGGATTACCTGGGTCGATGAATGTGAAGCCCACAAAAATTCAATCGTCCATGTCAGTTGTAGTTTCCCATCAGGAGCGACATTCAGATATACCGCCATATTCCTCCATGCAAATCCATGAGTTGAATCACAATCACAGTACACCAATCAACAAGCTCGACCAAAAACGAACCAAAAAAACCAATCGCAAAACATCTCCCTTCTGAATACTAGATTTTACCAAATATATTCTTGTGTGTCTTTGAGTCAACCTTAATGTTGACTATAGTCTCTCTTGGCACACTAACCAACCCAATCTCTCTAACATGCAATTTAGTCTTGTCAAATTTATCCTTTGAAGTTTCGTAGACATTTGATAATAGCAAGTTTCCAAATGGGTCAATTACCGTCAATATACCTTCGAGAATCCTCGAGTCGGTAATCGTAACATGAAAATTGGCTCCTATGAGTTTCTCACAGGACACGGCATTATTTGGTGGAGTAGACATGTTTAATCGATGTAATAAAAGTTTTGAAAAATTATTGATTTATCATTTCGCGATTTAAAACAAAAAAAAGAAGTTCAGAAAATTTTTCAAGTTAGTTTACACTTCTTCTTCTTCTTCTTTAACATCAATCGCGGATTCACCCTTTGTAAAAAGTTAGCATTTAGTTCTTTTTTTGATCAATGATTGCTAGCTTTTGAAGGTTCACAAGTGAGTATAAGCGTAGATTAACCTTAAGTGGAGCACGTTTCTGGGCGCCTGATGTTGACTTGACAAATGGGACATTGGGAATCAGTTGTGACTACAATTTCTATCGTAAAGGTGTATTTTTATTTGTCTTCTATTTCGTAGAGTATGATGTTGGTGGTGGTTGAGAATAGTCGTACGTTTCAGATGTCATTGCTTAAGTATGAGTAAAATTAGCGTTCTCAATTTTTTCTAATGAACGATGAACCAATTTCAAAACCCTCATTTCAATCCCACGATATGAAATGGATTCAAGTCAACAACAGCTTGAACTAAGTTCGATATATGAAGAATATAAGTTCTTTTTCCCTCAATGTGAGCTACACCTACACAAGGAGCAAAAACATATGGAATTAACAACAGCTGAAGGAGAACTGGTGAAAGCAATCATTGACTTACGAGGTTGGTCGCAGATATCACCAAACGCAACACGCCATTACGAGACATTCGAAGCAATGATGCAAGATTTGAGTCCGTCTTTTAGAGATAAGTTTAGTTCGGAACTTACAAATAGGCTAAATAGCTTGTTGCAATAAAAGTCTACTCTCAGACATCATCCAATTAATGACACTTAAATCATCTATGTACAAAACTATATCCACTATGCCTTTCTCTCTCAATGCTTCTTCTTCTCTCCACGTTGACGCCTTACGAAAGCTTCCACATCATCTACATCCCTTCTTGACTCCCTAATATAATAATGTGCAGCCCTAGGCATATATGTCTTTGGCTTATAAAGCACTTCAATATTTCTGATATTTGGATTATAAACCGGGATGCGAATTTCAGACCCAACACGATTTAGTTTGGTTCTCAACAAGATATTGGATCCTAAGTTACGCTGACCTCGTTTGATGGCCATGATCCTTCCAGTTACATCAGAACGGTCTAAGTAGGTGACTTTAATTATATCTCCTGCTCGCAATCCATTTTCGTAGTTGACTAATTCACGTCTTTTCCCCGTTGGATCATGTTTCGAAAGAAGTTGTTTGTGGATGTATGTCATTACGTTCTCCCCGTTTCTTTTCGGTGGGAGTGGGTCGTAAACAGTTGGTAATGCTATAATATTATGTTAGTAAAATGGCTATCATTTGATGCCGCATTCGCGATGTGGTAATTAAACATACGTTTTCTTAAGTAGTGGAATGCTCTGAATGGAGTTCCACGGAAGGTGCTAACTCCTATAGATCGAGATATAGATCCAAACATGGCGCTGTTGGGTTAAGTTGTGAATGGGGGTGTATTGGTGAATAATTTTTTCGGAAGAATTTTTTTTTCTTTGGTATTTTTTCACTCACTGTTTGGGTACACTTTGCACTATAGCGATAACTCTAAGAAAATGCAAAAGATAGTTTACAATATGAGACGGTACCTTTATTCCCATTACATAAATCCACACTATACACTCCTCCACTTGTTCTAAAAACGCGGTCTTCTCTTTCGAGCCGTGAATTTAGAGTCCTCGGCAACAATGCGACCCCTCTTCCTCATCGTCTCCTTCTTTCTATTTATAAACTCTTTCCTAGTCTCCATTAATTTCCTCTTTTTCCTATTCAATTTCAGGCTCTTTTCGTCTGGAGCGTCCATTTCGGCACCCGTCAAATTTATGTTACGTTCAGCCAAACCAGCCGTCAAAACCAAGTAGTACTTCTTGTGACGTTTCAGTTCTGGATCATCTATTATTAATCCACCACCGAACCCAGCTAATTTTGCAGCACCCATTATACTTTCAGTTTGAGAATCATTCATTGGATAGAACTGAGCCACAAATTTACCTCCTCGTTTCAATGACGCATATAGCGTGTTAAAGAACAATAGCAATCTCTTTTTGGGATCAACGTTAGCAGAATCGGCATTACACAACCACTGGATAGCAGATATTGATATAGCAGCATCGAAAGTACCGGCTCGAAACGGTATTCCATTACCTAAATCAGCCAAGAATAAGTCTCCTTCAACATCTCGATCTAGACCTGTTGCCAACATGCTGGGCGATATATCCATTCCTACCCAGTCATAGCCTTCTTCGGTTAGAATCTCTCCCGACAAGCCTGAACCACAACCTAAATCGAGTATAAATTGAGGCACATCATTTTCTAGATTGAGAAGCTCCAATGCCCGTAAGGTCATCTTGGCCTGTATATGTTGCACACGTGTGGATGATGTATATTTGAAAGATTCGGTATCATTGTAGAATACTTCTGGTGGAGCGAGCTCCTCTGGTCTTGACATGGTTGTGGTATAGTGGTTGGTAAGAAAGTAGAGATGCCTTTTTGTGTGGTGGATGTGATTTTTTATTTTCTTTTTTTTTTTTGGTTTTGGCGATGCAAAAAGAAAAGCGCAACCAAGTGTGTTTTAGAAAACTACTACAAGCAGTAACAGGGATTTACCAAATTAAAACTTTTATATATTTAAAGAAAACGTATACAAAAGAAAAGAAGTGAGTAACGTTTATACAGATGGTTAGAAATGGAACTCAGATTCAACATCCAGTTTCTCATTATATGGATATGGCGTCTTGTGCTTATGATCTCTGTGTGTAGCTTTGTGGTTTCCAGTGAAATCAAATCCTTCGGAATCATCATCCTCTTCATACTCAAATGAGTTTCTCTTAGTGCTTCCAAAGTTGAAATCGTCCATATCATCATCAGATCCATTGTGTCCAATACTTGATTCATCGTTTGAATCTAGTTTCTGTTCTCCATATGAATTTGCTTCGTCATCACTTTCAATCTCTGATGGATTCAATGATTGTTCAGCAGTAACAATTTCTCTTACTGATTTAGGCAATCTATCAGGCCTGTAGAATCGCAAGTCAACTCTTCCAATCAAGTATATTAAATTGACTATAATTTCCAAAGCACCCCAGAAAACATACATCATTGCTGGTGAGCCAACTGCCGAACGATCGTACTTGATCCTGGCTTGGAAACAAACAACTGACCTCAACACTGATGACAAGAAAATGATCAATGTAGTCACGGCAAGAATCATCATTGACACGTTATGCGCCAAATCACCACGTTCATTGCTCAAACCCTTGACTGTTTTATAATGATGGTGCGTGGCAGCAATAACTCTAATGGCATAACGATGATTATGGTTTCTTTTCAAAAAACTAGCACCTGCTTCTTGAGGCTCACCCTTTTTAACAAAATAAAATGGACTAAATGATTTAATCCACCATGGTTGGTATGTGTACAAATTTTCATCCTTTCTCGTTGGTTTGAAAAAGAATGCCAAACCAAGCAAGGAAATCGAAGTCAATGAATAAAGAATAATCAAAATGGACGAAGCTTGAATCACCTTGACATATCTCTGGTAATTAGGATGTCCCAACAAGAAAATTTGTAAACCTGCAGCCGCAACAATGGTCATAGCAATAACACCAGCAACGATTGCATATAATCCAAGCATAAACGTCCAAAACAACTTTCTTGAACCACCGACAGGATGTCTCCAAGTGAATATTCTTTGCGCCAAAATCAAATTAAAACTTGTAAGCAACACTTGCGGTAAAATCAAAAACACTTCACTAGAAATACCAACGGCAGTTTGGGTAATATCGTATGTCCATTGAATCCGTAGGCCAAACCCCACTACACGACAAATGGAGTAAAAAATAAATCCAAGACCGGGCCAAAAATAATGCCCTCGTGAAAAATTGACACCAAACAAGGCAATGTACATAGCAGCAATAATGGAATACAAGACAGTAAATAAAATCGATGGCCCTTTGTCCGATGGCATCGCATAGTCACCAAACAAATTATACTGAGAATAGGCCGAATATTCAACCAATATTTGGGGAATCTTTGGTCCTAGTAGATTTCTTGCTTGAGCCGACAAGATCTGAGATCCAGTTGCAGGATCGGGGTAGTTGTTTTGATACGTTAACAATTGCATCACACCATAGATGGGCGTGTATACATGAGGATTAACAACCATATTTTGTTTTTATGTGAAATAAGGGAAACAGTACTTTTCTATTATTTAAAGGCAAATGAAGTATGAACGAGGGTATGAGGTGTAGGTGGTGGTATCCAAAGATGTACCGTGAATGGTATCAAGTAACGAAATGGGGAAATTTAAAACGACAAAAGAAAGGAAATACTAAGGTTTGGTAGGTTGACCCTGTATTTTTCAATTTAATAAAAGGGAATGTATAAAACTCTTTATATTTAAAGAGCAAAATAAAGTTAATAATAATGTCAAAACGTTTCCCTGTGGCATCATGCATGATGAAGGCAATATTAAATACTTCATGATAATTTTTCCTTTATTTTTTTTTTTTTTGTTGTTTACCAATTTTCCGTTACTCATTTCCATAAACAGTACTTTTTAATACATATTGCATGCATATATATTTCATACACAATAACAATATGTATAAGAAACAATAGAGAAAGAGCAAACAAGAACAATTAAAGCCTTAGCGGATTTAATGCAAGTTAAGCTACCACTTATCGCTAGACATAGATTCATATCGATGGTCTACACAAGAGCCACATGGAATGGAATTCGGGGAGTCTTGGGAAGGTCAGTTGTGAACCCTATCGAATGGGTTTGTTATCTCTATGGTCGCTAACTAGATTAAAGTCAAGAATATATTTTCTTAAACTAAGCGCTTAGTTTAAAGAGAGAAAAATCATACGACCTTCAACCTTAACCAACCAGAACTATCTATGAGTAGTATGCTGATATCTTTTAATTGGTAAGGTTGTTGGGTCTTGCTTCTAAAATAGTAGAACTAGCGAATACAATGTTGCAATATGTTGGGTTTCTATATTTAGTGATGATGACTGTTCCTAATTAGGAAAGTGGTTAATAATGACACAAAATCAAACACAGAGAAAGAAAATAAAAATTAACGTTGAAATGCCGACAACATGGAGGACGACAACTCAGTACAGGGAACACAATAAAGGATGAAAGAAAGTGGAAAAAAGGATTTTCATAAAGACGAAAGTTCTCATTGTCTGAAACATATAAAATCAATGCTATCCGTCCCGCACTTTTTGTTTCTGTATTTCAGCTATAGATCAACAGACAATAGCTAGCACCTTTCTGGTTTGCCTTGTGTCTATGTGTGAGTAAACTGTGGCAAACAAAAATCAGTGCACCATTTGAATCTCTGCTTCTTTAGGTAACTAAATGTACTTATTGTTTAAGGAACAGCAACGATGCTCTAAATGTGTCTTTGCTCACTAGGGTTATGAGCGGTGGTATCCGTCTCTCATGCGGGCTTTGAAAATCAGGGGCTCCTTATCAAAAAAAAAAAGAACGTATTTATTAAAGTTTTCTTACCGTTGAGTTGTGTTTATTGAAATCGCTAAGTATTCTTCATCTGCCCCACCTTTTGCCCCTCATTGACGGTTGTGCGTTTTTTTTTTTTTTTGCAAATTTCCATCAAACATCTTCTTTTTCTTTTGCTTTTCACCATTTCATTAGAACTAAACCAATCTGCTACTACGTCTTTTGAAACCATATAAGGAGCCTCCCTATCTCTTTACAATGGACTTCAACGTAGCTTTAATATATCACTATTTTTGGTGTGACTTTTTTCTTCATGCGTTGGATTAATCATTTTATTTCCTAATGTAGAAATGTAATATGTCATAATGTAAATGTACGGTATTTTTGTGCTTCAGTTAAATAACACAAATCAAAAAACCACCAACCACAACAGAGAGAGTCAAATGTTATTACAAAGACGAAAGGGACAAAAGAACGGCCGTTACCAAGAGAAAAGTGCGGGTTTAACGTAATGGGCGTTAAACAAAGTTAGATTACTACAGTTTATTTAGACACTTTTGATTGTGATACAACGGTCAGACATAAAGTTTTCCGGGTTATCGTTGAAACAAAATTAACCGCCTTTTCCCTCAATGTCCCCCTTTCGCTTAACCCTCGCAACTTAACAACTTAAAGTCACATGTTTTGAACGGAAAATGAAGCATAAAAGCAGAATGTCAGGCTTTACTTTGATGTATCAAGAACATACCGACCTAATATTTTTCCCTCTGCCATTTCTTCAAATACTTTTCCTACCTCAGTCATTCCCACGACCTTAATGGGACATTTAATCAATCCTCTGGCGAAAAACCCAACAGCTTCAGTGGTGTCTCGCTTAGTTCCTACATATGAACCTCTAACGGTTACTTGATCGACCACAGTACTCATAACATCAATACTAAGTTTTGCTTGAGGAGGTAAGCCAATTAGAATCACAGTTCCATATGGCTTGACGTACGATACACTTTGTTGTATGGATGCTTCCGAACTAGTTACATTTAATGCCGCTTGAGCTCCAGCACCTTTGGTAATCTCCATAACTAGTTTAGCAATATCGTTGGCTTCAGTGAAATCAATAAATGCTTCAGCACCTAATTGTTTAATGAATTCGCCCTTTTCCTTTCCTCCATCGATTCCAATTACTCGCAATCCCAAACAATTGGCGTACTGGATTGCCAATGAGCCTAAACCCCCAGCAGCTCCCGAGATGACGACCCATTGCCCCGGTTTGGCTTCTGATGCTTTCAATCCAGTATAAACGGTGATTCCAGCGCACAAAATTGGTCCCACTGATTTCAAGTCAATGTCGTGGGGTAATTGGGCCGCTTGGATGGCATCAGTGGCACAATATTGTTGAAATGTCCCATCACAAGTGACGCCATGTAAAGTTTGCAATTTGCAAGCAGTTTCACGTCCTTGTTGACAATAATCACAGACTAAACAGGTGGAATTGATTAATTTTACACCAGCATAATCACCAATCTCCCAGCCTTGTACATCTTCCCCCATTGAAACAACAATACCAGCACCCTCGTGGCCAAGAATGAGCGGATGTTTCAAATTTGTTTCTTCCCAATCGTTTCTCCAGGCATGGTAATCGCTATGACATACTCCCGTATACTTGATATTGACTAATATCTCGTTGGGTTTGATTGGGGGAACAGCAATGTCCTTGTATTGTAATGGGCCGTTGTCATAGTCAACGATTATGGCCTTTTGGGTTTTGGGGATTTCCACTGACATAATTGTGAAGGTGCTTTGGTTAGTAGGATTTGTATCGCTAAGCAAAATTGGGATGCATATCATCTCAATTTATATATCCATTTCTCTTTGCAGCTGCTTAATTTTAATTTGCGGGGAGGAGGAAGGTATTGATTCAAACCTTAAAAAACAATAATCATGGAAATTTTAGGCGCCATTTAACTAGTAAGTGGGGGTAGTGGTATTGAAGGAACTTAAAAAATAAATAAAAAAGCAAAATTGCGCATTTCACGGAATGTCAGATTGGGAATCAAGCGCTTTCTATTTGAAACTAAAAAGAGGTTTTGTAGGACATGAAAGTGGAGAAGTGTGATGCAATATTGAGGAGGTGTAATGTTTTGAAAATTATGAAAATTATGAAAATTCCGTCCTTTGACTTGAGACACTTCTTACTTGAGACACGCGCTTCAATTTTTAACGCCTTTTATTTTATTTTTATTTTTTTATTTTTTTTTCTTCTTTGTTTTATTAAATCAACTTTTCAATTCAATCACGTCTAGCTTCCAAATTGGTATATACATTTGCCCCATGCCCACAACTAAAATAAACTGTTCTGCTGTACAGCTGCTACTAGCAAAAGACCAGGATACCGGGACTTTTCCCTTATCATCATCATCATCACCATCTAATTTAATCACAACACCTTATGGACTAGCACTACTAGAAATCCAAGGTGAATTAAACCTACCTCACACCAAACCTGATATACCTTTAGACCAATTACTGCCACTAGATCAAGAAAAGATGCGGAATTTTGTCACCGTTGATGATATTTACGATGCGGTCAAATTTGGCCAGTTACATTTTGATACTAAAGATGATCTGAAGGTGACGCTATTTATCGGCAAGAGTCAACGGTTGATTGGCAATGTAGTTAAATTGGATGTTCCTTTGGGTGTCTTGAAGATACCGTTGAATCAACAGAAGCTGAGTAGAGATGAAGATGTGGATATGGATGGCGGAGAAACTGAGCAAGAAATCCAAATGATTGATATAGTACGAGCAAAAATGATATTTAAGCAACGTCCATTACCTATAATGTGAAGAAAAGAGTAAAAGTTTATAAGTTATATATATATATATATCTATTAAATAAAAAACAAAGCTTTTGTTAGATAAAACGTCTTAATGTATGTGTAGTTGGTGGAAGATGTTAGAATTTAGAACGGTGGTCCCATTGAACTTGAGCAGTAATATCAAATCCATAAGATTCAGGGTCAACCATGACAATATTGTCATAAATTTGTCTAATTTCATCATGGCGAAACTCTAATTTCTCATTCAAATAACGAATAATGTCCCCATACGTGTCATGAAATAAAGCAATTGTGGCCAACATGGCTTCATATCGAGAACTAATCAAATTATTGAACCCTTCTTCTTCAAGACTCCAATTGCTTCTACCACGAGAAATCAATTTCTCAATATCATCAGCTGATGCTCCTTCTTCACTAGATCCACTCATTTTCTCCTTCAATTTGGCCACTGTTTCAACAAATTTACTCTTGAGAACAGGGTGGTCGGGTTTTAAGCCAATTGTTGTCAATTCATATTCTTTCCCAATGGTATGTTTATCTACACCAGCCAACAATAGAATCAACATCCCCAATACCCCAGTACGATCTTTACCAGCAGTACAATGAAATAAAAACGGTTGGTTTTCGTGTAAAATGTATTGGAAAATGGTCTTGAATGATTCAATTCCAAATTCCAACATGTCTTCATAAACATGCACATAAGTCGACCACGAGGTCATTAAGTTTGTATATCTCATGGCAATGGCTTGAGGAGAATAATCATCGTTGGAATATACTGGAGCGTGGATTCTCTTGATGCCGTATTTTTCCAATCCTTGCGGGTATCCGTCTTTGTCGACTTCTCCATCAGAACGTAAATCAAAAATGACTTTAATGCCAAGTTTTTGAACCTGTTGGATTCCAAGTTCGGTCATGTTGGCAACATTTGCACATCTGAATGCCAAATTTGGTTTGACATAATAGTTTAATCCACTGGCTCCAGTTCCTTTACTCAATTCAAACGTTGGCCTGAGGATTTTCCATCCGCCAATATCTCTAAAATTGCTCACTCCGTCAACATGTTTCCAACGAGGAACTTTACCCACAGATTTAGTTGCATACAAAAAACGGTCTAATTCTTCTTCTGGCGAAAGGTACTCAATAATATAATCAACAGCAAGGAAATTAAAGTTGACTCTGTTACCTTTCAATGGCAAATTGAGCGGGTTAACGTCATGGAAATTGTCATCGGGTTCAATTTTGTTGTGGCCATAAAAATTGTGATCGGCATCAGGAATTAATTTCAATACATGTGACTTAGGTCCTCGGTTCAAAGCATTGGCAAAATTTGCTGAGTCGTACTTGGGAATGATTTGATCTTCTAATCCATAAATACTCAACACCGAAAAATCTCGTGACAATGAACTCAAAGAAGTAAAATCAGGTTTAGACAAGGTGATAATTTCTCTGGCTGATAAATCGGAGGGCACATATTTGCCGTATCTAAAATTGAGTACATCTGGCATATAATCAAGATCACCGAAATCACTATACCTCTCCAATACGGTAGCTGAAGTATATCTAGCGGCACAGTTGATCAAATTAGGAACAACAATTGCTCGTGGGTCACCCTTTTTCAATAATTCATCTTGTTCCAAAGCCCAAAGAAACATGGCAACGCCACCTCTAGAATGAGAAATGATTGAGCTTAAAGTCAAATCAATGGCTAACCCATTTACTTTCCCATCCTGGATGAAATCAGCGGCAGCTTGAATATCTGCAACGTCTTGCGTCAAAGTTCTTCCTTCTAATTTATCTTCATTATCAGCTGAATCCCCACACCCTCTGAAATCGATTCTTAAACTGAATATCCCTAAATCTTTAGCTAATCGATGGGCCAAATGTCTTTGATAACAGTAGTTTCTATGTCCACCTTGTCCGTGTAAAATAAGAGCGGCTTTATGAGTCACGGGGGCTAGTCCATCTTCAAATGGGTTGTCTGAATCCATGGCATGAGGAATGGCAAGGGTACCAGTGACACCTTTGCCAAATTTCACTTCAACCTCACGTGGTGGAGGTGGAGTATATTTTTTATCCACTGGTTCTCTTGCGTGAGTCATGGGTAGTTAAATAGACAGGTAGTAGTAGTAGTAGTAGTAGTAGTAGGTATAGCGTAGTAATGATTACGATGAGATGTGTTAAAGACTGAGATTTATAAACAAGACTTCACTGTTGATAAAAAGTGTTATGAGTTATGAATTGTTATTTATTTTTTGGGGAGTTTTAAATCCGCTTATGATTTTATTTTTTTTGGGTCAAATCTTTTTCCACTTTTTTTTCTATAATACCCATATATTCACATATTCACATATACACACACATAGATTTCTAAAGAATAAAACCGTTGAACTGTTTGCTGACGGGAATTAATGTAAACAATGCCACAACCGATTGAATGAGGTGGGGTTTGAGTGAGTGAGTGAGTGAGTAAGTGGGTTTGAGTGTGAGTGTGAAACTAGTTACACCCATTGTGAAAGTGTGGGGCGCTAATTCGTTCCAAATGGAATCGTTAATTAGCCGCCCATTTATTCTCATACCCCACTTCCCCCACGCTCACACCTCACTATAAAACTAAATTAACCGAGCAGCACTCTCTACTGATAAAAGTAAAAGTCTTATGGCCTTTATTTTACCCTCCAGTGGTATCTGTTTTCTAACATACCCCAGTTTAGTCCTAAGATATATATGTCTTTTGGTTAGGGAAAAAAAAGTTAACTCCGATGGAAAGTGGAACAATCCACAACGGAGAAAAGACCACAACTCAAATAAAAATCAAACAGAACACAATACAACACAACACCAAACATAGAATTTCAATCACTGACTAATCAACTATATATCCATTATAATGGACCCACAATCAGATAGAGACGCATATCAACAACTAGGACAACGTTTAAATCAACAACATTCCGAACAGCTCTCAACGCAACTTCAAGTATTCCGATCAGCATTAATCAATTTCGTCAATGATTACAGTACTGAAATCAAGAGCAATGGTGAGTTTCGATCCAAATTCAACCAAATATCTCAACTGATTGGAATGGATCCATTAGATCTACTAATCTATTCAAACTCCAATTCCAACGCTACGAGCAGAAGCAACACTAGCAAACGAGATTCCAACAATTTCGTTACTGGTTTATCAGTCAAAATTGTCGAAATATGCCAAGAAACACGAGATTTAAATGGAGGCCTCATTTCCATACGTGAATTACAATCAATCTTGACTGACAATTCATCTGACTTGAAAATCGACATATCCACTAAACACATTGAACAAGCAATAACAATTTTAAATTCAATGGGTCAAAATTATCAACTTATTGTGATCAACAATGAATCATGGTTGAAATTTTCGTCAATCGAAAATCTATCGAATGATCAGTTGAAGATTTACGAATTGTGTGGGTTCATGGGTGGGTTTGTTACGATGGGCTTGATTAGAGATAATTACGGTTGGGATAAAATAAGATGCAAGAGTGTTATTGATGAAATGATTATGAATGGGATTTTGTGGGTTGATGAGCAAGGTGAAGATGAGTGGCACTATTGGGAACCATCCTGGATATCTCATTGATTTGATCACATATATATAAAGCTACATACACAAGCACACACACAAAAAGCTCAAAATAGGATTCATTGTTTTTGCTTCAATATCAATCATTGATGCTTTGATTCAGTTGAGCCTCAACTCTTTTTGATTTTTTTGCCATCCATCGAGCATTGATGATGTCATAGCTCTCAGTTCGTTCACGATCTGCCAAGGCAGTGTATTTAGCAAAAGCTCGGCCAACTCCGTCACCAAGAGGCACTGAGTTAACCACCGACGGATTTCTCTTTTGACCTTGAAACACAAGCTCTTCCATGATGCTCAGCATTTTCGTTTTAACACTCAAATCATAACACATGCCTTTGAACCCATTCATGATTCGATTGAATTTATAATCATTATCAAATTGTTTCCATTCCATGGGCGCAAATTCACAATCGTACAAAACAAGGGGGATATCATTGGCCATTTCATATTGAGGTTTGGTGGGATACTTGGTAATGTCCATTAATTCAAGCACAATTTCTGGTTTTTCCAAATGTTGTCCTACTAGAAACAAGATGGCAACCATGCATCGCACTTGATGCCAAAGGAAAGCCGTACCAATTAGATCGAAACAGTACAAGCCGTTTTCCAAATGGATGATTTTCGAACTGTAAATGAATCGTTCAAAATTGGTAATTTGTTTTGATCCATCCAATTTACAAAAATTGCGGAAATCATGTTGTCCTTGGTAATACCCTGCTGCTTGATTCATTAGTTCAATATCTAAATTTGATGATTTGAACAAGTATCGATAGTGTCGGTTTTTGCAACTGAATCTAGCATCGAAATCAGGCGGTGGATGTAGACATATAGAATGGATTTTAATATCACTGGGTAAATTGGCGTTTATGATTGTCAAGTAATCGATTTCCTTTTCATCATTGACTGAGTCTTGTTGTTCCTCTAAAGTTAAATTTGATCGGAGTTTGATTGATATTACTTGATTCATTGCACTTACACCTTTATCAGTTCTTCCGCATCTGGAGAAATCTACTTTATCTATAGGTTCAGGAATGAGTTTTATTTTAGATAGGGTTTTCAATATTGTTTCCTCAACAGTTGGTAATGGTGTTGGTTCAAATTGGTACGCAAGACCATTGTAGTTCCATCCTAAATATGCAAATCGTAATGCAACAAAGCGCAAATTGTGTTTACTCCAGTCAAACTGTTTTTGTTTCTTCAGTTTCTGTTTCACTTCTGTTGTAGCTGTAGCTGGTTGTGTCTTTGATGACTGTTCCAAGTCGGTAATTTTTGCAATCAAATCTTCTTTAGACCATGACGAGTAATCTATAGGTTGTGCCATTAGTGGAGGAGTGGTGGTAGTAGCCGTGGTCAAGTTTCTATAAGATCTTTTCATCAACCATTGAATGGAGATACTCTTGAACATAAACCGAGTTGTGTTCAATGAGAGCTCCAGAGATGTTATTTTTTTTTCTTCTCTTCTCTTCTCATCTCCATCAAAACTCATCTCATCCATTAAATTTACATTATCCACCATGAAATCTCAAGCTGGATCCCTTGCATGGGAGAACTTAAGATACGACTTGCATCCTTGGCTAAAAGATGCTCTACTATCATTAGGATACCCAACAATGACGCCCGTCCAAGCATCAACCATACCTTTACTTTGTGGCAATAAAGACGTCATTGTTGAAGCCGTGACTGGATCAGGTAAAACGTTAGCTTTTGTCGTTCCAGTGTTGGAAAAGTTATCAAAAAGATTATACACATCTGATGAAGAAGGCAAGCTAGAACCCTTGAAACGTAATCATATCTTAAGCATTGTCATCTCGCCAACTAGGGAATTGGCTAAACAAATCCAAATGGTTTTTGATCGTGTATTGGAATATTTACCAGAAGACAAAATACCCCAAATCAAGACGCAACTATTGGTTGGGTCACTAGGAACCGTACGTGAAGATCTTGAAAAGTTTCAGGACCTTCAACCGCAAATTCTAATTGCTACTCCTGGCCGATTATTAGATTTTTTGACGACGTCAACAATAGTCAAGACATCGAGTTTAGAAATTGCCGTATTGGACGAGGCAGATAAATTGTTGGATTTTTCATTCGAGATGGATGTGGTCAATATATTGAAGAAGTTGCCTAAACAACGTCGAACCGGGTTATTTTCAGCAACCATTTCATCGGCGGGTGATACAATTTTCAAAACGGGGATGAATAATCCAGTTAAAGTCCAAGTCAAGACGCGGAACTTCCTTGGTGAACAACTGAATGCGCCTACTTCTTTGCAACTATCATATATGTTACTTCATCCAGAGTTTAAGCTCACTACGTTGTTGAATATACTACAAGATTATGATTTCAAAAAAGTCATTGTTTACTTCCCTACATGTACATCAGTCAAGCATTTTTATCAAATATTCACAAAATTAGTTGCCGGTGATGATGATTCAAATCTACAGTTTTTTTCATTACACGGCCAATTAAACACTAAAGCTCGATTAAATACGTTGGAAAAATTCATTAGTGGCAATGAAGCCAATACAAAGTATGTTTTAATGACGACTGATGTTGCTGCTCGTGGTATAGATGTGCCTGAGGTTGATTTGGTGGTACAATTGGACCCACCTACAGACCCTAGTGTGTTCTTACATCGATGTGGACGTACAGGACGGGCCAATAAAGCCGGACGAGCTATAGTCATGTTGAATGACGGAACTCAAGAAGAGGACTATATTGGATTTATGGAAGTGAAAAATATATTCATGACCAAGATTGATCCTCCAGAGCTGCCCCAGACTCATCATGACTCATTTCAAAAACAACTTCGAAAGTATATGCTTGAAGATCGAGCTCGCCATGAATTGGCAGTCAAGTCATATGTCGGATTCATTCGATATTATTCCAAACATGTAGCCAGTCTGATTTTCCGATTAGCAACCCTTGATTATCTAGCCATTGCGAAAATGTATGGGTTATTGAGATTGCCCAAGATGCCCGAGACGAAATATATTGAGAATGAACGCATGCCACAAGATGGCTGGTTAGGCGAACCAATAGATATGGATATATATGCATACGCCGACAAGCTACAAGAGAAATCGCGTATGGAAAACTTGGCCAAAGATAAGGAAGTCAAGATTGCCAATGCCAAACGACGCAAAGAATTGAAAATCAAGAATGAAGCATGGTCAAGTAAAACAGAACACAAGGAAACTAAACAAGAAAGAAAGGAGAAAATGAAACGTAAACGTGAAGCAATTGAAAAACAATTGATGGAAAATGACGAAGAAGATGAACAAGAAACTCAACAGGATTGGAAAGATTTAATACGTCAATCAAAGAAGTCAAAAAATCAAACCATGCAAGGTTCATTTGATGATTTATAGGAATAAAAGTTGGTGTGCATCATTGCATATGATTAAACAAAATTCATATCTATTTCAGTCATTTTGGGTATTAGTTAGCGCGTATATTGATGATGTTTTTATTGTATTTTAAATCTTTCACTACTTGATTTTATACCATCAAAGACGAATAAATTATCCAACGGGATATATTGAGCTGTAGTCAATTTTAGGATCTCCTGGCTGGCCACCCCACCCATTAAGCTACTTAAATTGGGGTAATTGGTTGAATTGTGGATTAGAATTTCCTTGAAAATGTCCAATGTTGATGATTGAATTTGCGGAGTTGAATGAGTAGGAGAGAAGGGGGATTCGGCGGAGCTGTTGCTGCTGTTGCTGCTGCTGTTTTTGTTTTTGTTGTTTTTGCTGTTTTTGCTGCTGCTGCTGCTGTTGTTGTTGTTGTCGTTGTTGCTGCTGCTGTTTGATTTTAATATTTTTGACTGGTAAATGGATATAAACTCTACTAAATCATCAATTGTTGGTGGTGTTTTATATTCTTCAATGTACGCATTAAAAGTTAAAATGCCCACATAGATGGAAATCATATCAGTTTCAATGGAATTGGATCCTTCCATTAATTGACATGATGAGTTGAGACTACTCAATAACGAATCTGCAATTAAATTTTTCGATCCTGAAGTGACAAATAATAATTGAGTATTTTTACAAAATGTCGCTATTGATTCACTGGTTATTGAATCTCGTGGTTTACCAACTTGATCAAGGATTTTGTAAACTTGGTTGGTAAATAGTTCTTGATCCTTTATTGCTTTATCGCGATAAAGTCGCGACAACATTGTATAGTTTTTAGAATCGGATGCCATATCGGGTAGTTTACCTGGCAATGGAAGGATGTTATTATTCAACAAGAGAAATTCACGCAATGCAGCAATATAGATCCAAAATATTGATGTTTGTGCTGTAATTGGCCGTGAATCAATTGATTCAACTAAACTCTTTATACTTTGCGGTAATTCAGTCTTTTGAAAAGCTCGATGACAAGATTGTAAAGCTTCAATGAAATTAGTTTCTAAATTGATATTTCTTGACATTGATTCAATTAAATTTTTAAATGATTTCTTTTCATTATAAGTTGATGGCGGCTCACCATTGTGGGTGGTTTTCCAAAATTGTAACGCCTTGATAAAAATGACAATATAAGGTACATGCGCATGGTCTTGATCATTCAATTCATCCATCCTAAAAGAGTCGGCATATTGTTGTAATTCAGGCCATGGCTTGTCAATTCTCAAATCGAATAATTTTGAAGGATCATGAGTTTCAATAACGGTGCTTTCATTAGCTATTAGATTCAATGATCCATAAAATCCCACTGTATTAACCACAAGTAAAGGTATACGCTTGTTCCAAAGCAAATCAATTAAAGTATCCAATTTAGGAGTATAGTTACTAACAATAACACAATGAAATTGATCCCAAAACTTATAGTCAGTATCGTAATCTAATATCTCTTGCAAGGACTTTTCAATAGCAAATCCAGTCACATCGCCATTCAATTCATTCAAATTCGTCTTTACACAATGTGCCAATTTCTTATCCAAGTCCTTTAATTTGAGAAAGAAATTGGATGATAAATCTTCATGAGTCACTATTCTATCATCAATAATGGTGTATTTACCAATGCCAGGCAAGATCAAGTTTTTCAATACTTCACATCCAGTAGCACTAGCATTGATCAAGGCAATATGACTATTTTCCAAATTCAGTTGTCCTGAAGTGGCCCATAATCGTAATTGTCTATCGTATTGTGCTTCTTTATCGACTGTCATTTGTGGCTTTGACATATCGTAACCTCAATTGGGGTAAACAAAAATAGCTAGCAATGGTGTTTTATAAAATAACAGAAGGAACGTGAGAAAGGATTGACGTTGTTATGTAAACAGATGAACTAAGGAGATTCCAGTGGTTGTGGTTGTTGTATAGAAGTTTTTTTTCTTTTTCCCTTTATGGCTGGCGCTAAACGCTTAAATGTTATTTTTTTGTTGGTTGTATTCTGGTTGAATTATGGTTTTCGGTGTTAAATTAAATTTAAAAAAAAAAACACAACTGCCACTCCAAATTAGGGAAATAATTAGACGATTATGTTTAATCCACATACTTGGCATTTGTACGCATGCGTGCAAACAGTAACAACGATTTACATATACATTTATACATATACATATTTATAGTTAAAACTCTAACATTATTTTTTGCTTTATTGAGGCAGGGTTCTCTTTGTTATTGTTCAATGTTATATATAAAGTATATATAATACAAAAATGATGGGGCGTTTCATAGCTGAATCAGAATTGTTTACAGTTTGATTTAACCCAATTGATTGAATGGTTCGACAAATTAAACATAAATACAAACTATACAGTTGCCTATACTTATTTTAGATTACGGGTTTCAGTAGTAGACACTTCTTTTGAAAAGTTTCAAGGCATCAAACAGTCTCTTCACCTTTTGACATATTTTCAGTCTTTGCTCATTACCCTGCACAACGTGTTAAAACGGGAATTAATCCTTTTGTGGGCATTTAAGTTACAAAAGCGTAAAATCACGTGATCAAAAGTAAGGGCGTGTAAAAAGCGCTAAAAGCTTTAACACGTGCACGGACTAATACCTCCGTGGAAACTGGCCACGGTGCAGACAAAAAAAAGTAGAACAGACAGACAGACAGATAGACAGACAGACAAAAAACGTGTTGCATATGAATTTTTAATTTCTTTTTTCTTCCTCTACATTTTTGGGTTATCTATAGCTACTTCTTAATCCTTTTCCCAGTAGCTGCACCGAGGATGAAGCGATCCTGAACTGGTTACTTAGGGTAGAAGACAGACAGAGAGAGAGAGAGATTGTTTGTGAGATTCAATAAAAGATATATATATACTACAACCACTATTATTCCTTTTTCCAATGTTAATTTAACTACTATTATAACTATCTGGGTACTAATTGGCTATATATTTATATTTGTATTGGTATTTGTGTTTTCCTATACTTTTTATTACACCATGTGCCTGTATTCTTTGTCTTCTTGCCTTCTTGTCTTCTTTGTCTTGCTGTTTTTTTGTTGTTTTGTTCCAATGGGCGTCTAATTATTTTATTTTAAAAAATAAATAAAATTTTTTTTATGTTTTGTTTCTTTTTGTTCTGTTAGCTACGATGAGATTACCTTAAACGCCTAATCCTCTAGAATTATAAAGAAAAAAATTTTTCACTCTTTAAAATCTTTTGCTTTTTTCCCTTCTTCTTCTCTTCTCTTTTTCTTTTTTTACCATCAACCAGAGGATCCATATCATGTCTGCTTCTAGTGAATCAAAATACTCCACAGAAGTACTTTCTGAGTTATTGAGTAACTTACAAGTTGCTGATGATAGAGAGGCAGCTGCTAACAATATTGCCACTTTTTTAAATTCATCCATTGTTGAACACGATGTTCCAGTTGAATTTTTTGCTGATTTGACGAAGGAAATCAAAGCAAAGGATGCTAAAGTTGCAATTGCTGCTTTGGATGCCTACAAGCACATTTCATCCTCCAACAACTTGACTCCATCGGTTGAACCATATGTTGTTGAATTGGTTGATGAAGTTGCTACCAGAGCCGGTGACAAGAACAAGGATGTTCAAACTGCTGCTGCCGCTGCTTTGTTGGCCATTGCTGCCGCCATCACTCCAACTGCAGTCAAGGCTATCTTGCCAAAATTGGTCATCAACTTGCAATCTACCAACAAGTGGACCGAAAAGGTTGCTATCTTGGCTGCTATTTCCCAATTGGTTGACACTGCTAAGGATCAAGTTGCATTGAGAATGCCTGAATTGATCCCTATCTTGTCCGAAACTATGTGGGACACCAAGAAGGAAGTCAAGGAAGCAGCTACTGCTACCATGACCAAGTGTACTGAAACCATTGATAACAAGGATATCGAAAAGTTTATTCCTAAATTGATTGAATGTATTGCTAAGCCAACTGAGGTTCCAGAAACCGTTCACTTGTTGGGTGCTACTACTTTTGTTTCCGAAGTCACCACCGCCACTTTGTCCATCATGGCTCCATTGTTGTCTAGAGGTTTGGCTGAAAGAGACACTGCTATCAAGCGTAAAGCAGCTGTTATTGTTGATAACATGTGTAAGTTGGTTGACGATCCACAAGTTGTTGCTCCATTCTTGGACAAATTGTTGCCAGCTTTGAAGACTAACTTTGCCAACATGGCTGATCCAGAAGCTAGAGAAGTTACCAACAGAGGTCTTAACACTTTGAGAAGAGTTGGTGCCGTCGGTGAAGGTGACAAATTGCCAGAAATCTCTACTGCTGGTGATATCGAAGTCACTTTGGGTGAATTGAACAAATTGTTGGATGACAAAAAGACTCCAGCCAGATTTGATGTCGCCAAGAACTATATTGCTGCTATTGCCGGTGATTTGGTTGATGAAAGAGAAATTCAACCAGAAGCTTGGTTGCAAAATGTTTTGCCATTTGCCACTATCTTTTTGCATGAAAAAGAAGCCAAGGAGATCATTGAAGAATACAGAAAGAGAGCTATTGACAACATTCCACAACCACCATCATTCGAAGATGAAGAAGATGAAGGTGAAGATTTGTGTAACTGTGAGTTCTCTTTGGCTTATGGTGCCAAGATCTTGTTGAACAAGACTCAATTTAGATTAAAGAGAAACAGAAGATATGGTTTGTGTGGTCCAAATGGTGCTGGTAAATCTACCTTGATGAGAGCTATTGCCAATGGTCAAGTTGAAGGTTTCCCAAGTCAAGATGAGTGTAAGACTGTTTACGTTGAACACGATATCGATGGTACCCACGCTGAAACCACTGTTTCTCAATTCGTTATTGAAGATGGTGAAGTTGGTTTGACTGAACAAGTTGTTGAAGACAAATTGAGAGAATTCAATTTCTCTGATGAAATGATCAGGATGCCAATTCAATCATTGTCTGGTGGTTGGAAGATGAAGTTGGCTTTGGCCAGAGCCGTCTTGAAGAACGCCGATATCTTGTTGTTGGATGAACCAACTAACCATTTGGATACCGTCAATGTTGCTTGGTTAGTCAACTACTTGCAAACATGTGGTATTACCTCCATCATTGTTTCTCACGATTCTGGATTCTTGGACAAGATTTGTCAATACATTATCCACTACGAAGGTTTCAAATTGAGAAAATACAAGGGTAACTTGTCTGAATTCGTCAAGAAATGTCCATCAGCTCAGTCATACTATGAATTGGGAGCTTCTGATTTGGAATTCAAGTTCCCAGAACCAGGTTTCTTGGAAGGTGTCAAGACCAAACAAAAGGCTATTGTTAAGGTCTCCAACATGACTTTCCAATACCCAGGTACTTCTAAACCACAAATTAGAGATATCAATTTCCAATGTTCATTGTCATCAAGAATTGCCGTCATTGGTCCAAATGGTGCTGGTAAATCAACTTTGATCAATGTCTTGACCGGTGAATTGTTACCAACTGAAGGTGAAGTTTACGTACATGAAAACTGTCGTATCGCTTACATTAAGCAACACGCTTTTGCCCATATTGATAACCATTTGGACAAAACTCCATCTGAATATATCCAATGGAGATTCCAAACTGGTGAAGATAGAGAAACTATGGACAGAGCCTCAAGACAAATCAATGAAGAGGATGAACAAAATATGAACAAGATCTTCAAGGTTGAAGGTACCCCAAGAAGAGTTGTTGGTATCCACTCTAGAAGAAAGTTTAAGAACTCTTATGAGTATGAAGTTTCATGGTCATTGGGTGAAAACGTTGGTATGAAGAATGAAAGATGGGTACCAATGATGTCTGTTGACAACACTTGGTTGCCAAGAGGTGAATTGATGGAATCCCACGCCAAATTGGTTGCTGAAGTTGATATGAAGGAAGCTTTGGCCTCAGGTCAATTTAGACCATTGACCAGAAAGGAAATTGAAGAGCACTGTGCTATGTTGGGATTGGATGCCGAATTGGTTACCCACTCTAGAATCAGAGGTTTGTCTGGTGGTCAAAAGGTTAAATTGGTTTTGGCTGCTTGTACTTGGCAAAGACCACATTTGATTGTCTTGGATGAACCAACCAACTATTTGGACAGAGACTCTTTGGGTGCTTTGTCCAAGGCTTTGAAGGCTTTCGAAGGTGGTATTGTTATCATTACCCACTCTGCTGAATTCACCAAGGACTTGACTGAAGAAGTCTGGGCCGTTTTGGACGGTAGAATGACTCCATCTGGTCACAACTGGGTCCAAGGTCAAGGTTCAGGTCCAAGATTGGAAAAGAAGGATGACGAAGAAGACAAGTTTGATGCCATGGGTAACAAGATTGCTGCCGCTAAGAAGAAGACCAAGTTGAGTTCTGCTGAATTGCGTAAGAAGAAGAAGGAGAGAATGAAGAAGAAGAAGGAATTGGGTGATGCTTATGTTTCTGAAGATGATGAAGACTTTTAAGCAAAAAAGAGGTGGTATATATAGGTTATAGTTGTTGCTAGATATTTAATTTTGTTTCTGGAACATTTTAGTAAAAGAAAAAATTGATAGATTTGATATAAAAGAGGGCGTGTCATGCTATGTAGTAAAGTTAATGTAGCCGGTAGTGAATGGTGGTTGTGAGGATACAGTTGTTGATAAATAGTGGGATTTTTTTAATTGGGCTGAGAAAAATTGATAAAGCTTAATTACCAGTGAGAAACGAATGAAGATGTATCATAGTACACTCTCTTCATCATACACAGACACCGTGGAAGACCGTTTGATTTATGACTAGATAGCTCAAATGACTGGGTGGACCAATGGACATGATTTTCTATAATACCAATTTGTGTGTTTGTTTAATTTGCACAAAGATTTCTTAAAAAATCCTTTGAAATCATGAAAGGCCACCAGCTCACATGAGGACCTATTTCATTGCCAGGTTTCATATAATCACTTATACATATGCCTATCTATCCTTTTCAAGTCGATACTATTCCAACTCAACCATTAGTTCACTACTTTCAACCAACTACATAACTGCTATCTCCGAGTCTATTTGGAATTTATCGTATGCTCCATATGATGTGGCTTGTCCGGAATACGATTTAGTTCGAAAAGCCAATGACGTAAGTTTGCAAAGATAGCGCATAAGAGGAGACCATTCCCTCTCATCTCGATGGTTTTACCTTATACTGACTTTGTTGCTGGTTAGACTATATGTGATCGAGAGCAAGAGTATATACGATATCGCAATATTAAAACTGAGGCACAATTGAAGTCATTATTGTACAAGAATGAAATACCCAATTTTGATATTGAATCGTTTTGGAAATCCAAATCACGTCCAACTATAATTGCCATTGCATTATCAGGGGGTGGATATCGGTCTATGCTATCGGGTGCGGGAATTTTAGCTGCGTTGGATGATCGAGAAGTAACCAACTTGACACATGTAAGTGGGATTTTACAAGCATCGTCGTACATTTCCGGGATAAGTGGTGGTGCGTGGTTAGTTATGTCACAATTTGTTAATGATTGGCCGCGAATTAGTGACATGGTACATGGTGGAGGCAGTAGTGCAAATGGATGGAACTTGAAGCAAAGTTTACTTGAAGGTATGCCTGAGGTGAATGATCAAGTACGACGCAAGGATAAGCAAAATGATACTGGAGAATCCAAGGTAAAATCGGGGTTGATAAAACTATTTAGTAAACCGAAAAAGGCTAAATCGTCCAATTGGGCAACAGCTTTATTCGAACGAGATAAGAGCAATGCAACAGTATCCACTACTGCTCTAAATGAAAAGAGTGTATTGGAGTATTTAAAATTTTACAAGCAATTGTTGGTTGAAGTTCGAGATAAAACAAAAGCCGGGTTTCCAGTGGGGTTAACTGATTATTGGGGACGAGCATTAGCTCATAAGCTATTTACAACAACAGCTAGAACCCCAGGGGTGACAATGACTGCAGTAACAAAGAATTCCAACCTGTTTAAAAGCTTTGAACAACCGTTTCCAATAATTGGCGCTATTGCTAAAGACCCATCAGATAATGATACGAAGAGTAGTGATCCATTACAGAAATTATCTAGCTTAACCAGCTCAAGTTTCGAGATAACACCCTTTGAATTTGGATCATGGGATCTTTCAATTAATGCAATGATCAATATCGAGTATCTTGGACTGAAGTTGGAAAATGGGAAACCTAAATCAGTAGATGCTAATGGTAAAATGATGTGTAAATCAGGATTTGATAATGTCGGATTCTTGACGGGAACTTCATCATCACTATTTAATCATGTTTTCAAATTCATGTTTAATTATTTTGCTGAGAATCAACTGGATATAATTTCATCGATTGAAAACATATTGAAGTTTTTTGGTTTGAGTAATGGTAACGATGGTATGTTTGGTAGAACCCCACAAGCGCATCCTGATCATGCGGTATATTCACCCAACCCATTTTGGAAATTTAGCAGCGGAGGACAACAGGGACAATTATCATTGAATAAAGATTTGTATCTTGTTGATGGTGGCGATGATGGCCAAAACCTACCGTTCCAGCCATTAATCAGAAAGGGTCGAAATGTTGATTTTATAATGGCTTATGACATGAGTGGAGAAGATATGAATTATCCCAATGGTTCAGTACTACAACAAACCAGTAGACGGTTTGCCAATGATGGTAATGATTCTACATTGAATAGACAAGCTGTACCATATTTCAAAGTTCCTCATGGTGTGGTATCGGACATAAAACCAATGGTTAAATCAATCTTTCCTAAAGTACCAACTACAGAGCAACTAATCAACCAGGGGTTGAATCTACGACCCATTTTTCTTGGATGCGATGTAATTGAGGATTTTGAGACGTTAAATGTGAGTAGCAACGCTACTACAGTTGTGTATGATGATGATGATGATGATGACTATTTGCCACCAATTATAATGTACCAAGCAAATTCAAATTATTCCCATCAACTGAATTTCTCTACATTCAAATTAAGCTACAATGAGACTGAAGTTGAAACAATTATTGATAATGGATTCCAAATGGCTTCATTTTATAATTCGTCGTTATATGCTGTTTGTTTAAATTGCATAATTTTGAAACGGGAGTTTGATAGGAAGCAATTTGGACTGGCATTTAAAATGAGTACAGAGAGGGTTGTGGATGTACCTAGATTTTGCCAAGTATGTTACAAGATATACTGTTGGAGAGGAGGATGAAATGGCCAAATGTTTTTATTTTGTTATACAGCTTATATAGTGTTTTAAAGAAATTCGTAGCTGCTGCTTTTAATGCAACCGAAATGTAGAGTCTTGAACTAAGTGATATTATTTTGTAATGCTCAATGGAAAGAACGGAGGGGTCTTTTTATTAATAAAAGTTGACTCTGTTATTACACAAAAATTTGTCCTTTTCCAAAACTTTTACTTTTAACTTACGCGAGAGAGACAACAACAAAAGAACAACAGAAGAAGAATTTTGTTGAAATCCCACCCTAAGCTTTGATTACTCGTTCATAAAACCAACAATAACAATCTAATAGAAGACCTAGTTTTGTTTCAAATTGAAAGTCTTTTTAAGATCATCTACAACATCATTGGCATATAAACACAGAGCAATAACTCTTAATCCTTTTTCCGGCGCTTATATTAAAAGAACGTTACAAGCCCCCTTCCCTCCCTTTTACAACAACAACAACTAAAATTTTACAATGGCTGGTGTAAGGCAATTACGAATCATTGCATTAACTGCCCTTGTTTTAATCTTGATTGTCATACTACACCAAACTGGCCGTAATGCCGCTTCATTAGTGTTTGCTCAAGCGTCAGATCAAATTCCCAACAAGCACAGAGCTAAATCAAACAATGGTCCATATAAACAGGGATCAACAGGAGGAGCAGATGGAACTGGCGTTGGCATGCCAGGCAGTGGACTGAAGAGTAATCCGGTTGTTGTGTCCAATAATATAGTTGACCTGAACAATGATGAAAAGACTGATGATGCAATTAACCAGGAAATATCTAAAGATCAGAGTGAAGAAGGAGTCAAGAAGAAGCCAGCTAATGAGGCACTGAATCAAGTAGGAGGAACTAATGGAGAAAATGCAGCAGCAGCGGGAGCAGGAGGAGTAAGTAAAGGAAAGAGTGGCAAGAGTGGTGCTACTGATGTGACAACTAATGAAGCAGGCGAATACGATCCTCAACAGGATTTAATTAAAATCAGATCCTTGTCGCCAATGACGATATTTTCTAAAAGTTATTGTCCTTATTCAAAACAATTGAAAAAATTGTTGTTGGAGAAATATGAGATTGTTCCTACCCCTAATATAGTTGAATTGGATTTACATGAACATGGCAATGACTTACAAACTTATTTATTTGAAAAAAGTGGTAGAAAAACTGTGCCCAATGTGTTGATTGGTTCATCATTTGAAAGCAGAGGTGGGTCGGATAATTTTGCTGAGTATCATAAAAAGAATCAAGTCATTACGTTGTTGACTGATTGGGGTCAAGGTAGGTTACAAGTTAGTAAAAAAGACACCCCATCAAATGCTTAAATGTGATACACACGTGTATACTTATGTTTTGTATGTATTTGGGTTTGTTAGGAATTATACATGTTGGGGAAAGAACCAAAGAGAGATCCATGATCCATGTAAAATCTACTTTAAAACAACTTACCTCTTATCAAACTAATGTAACATTAAAGATATATAAACACAATACACCGTCACCTCTCTCTCTCTCTTCGTCTTCCTCTATCTCTCATTTTCCTCATTTTATTTTTTTATCATTTAAAATTTGGTGAAAGATTTTGATTTTGAAACTGAAGCAGTAACTTTCAAAACGTTGAATCTAACAGTCTTGGAAATTGGTCTACATTGACCAACAGTGACAACATCACCTTCAGAAACTCTGAAAGCTGGTGAAACATGAGCAGCAACATTCTTGTGTCTCTTTTCATATCTGTTGTATTTTGGAACATAGTGCAAGTAATCTCTTCTGATAATGATGGTTCTGTGCATCTTGGTGGAGACAACGGTACCAGACAAAATCTTACCTCTGATGGAAACAGTTCCAACAAAAGGACATTTCTTGTCAATGTATGAACCTTTAATGGCAGCGGATGGGGTTTTGAAACCTAATCCGACATCCTTATACCATCTCTTGGTCTTTCTGTTAGCCTTGGCTTTTGGGTTGGTGAAGATGTGTTGTTGCTATAGGGGTAATAGTTAGTAAAGAGATCATTGGTGAAAGGTTTCAGCAGGAAGAAGAAAGGGGGAGTTCGAGTTGGGCTTCTGTAGGATTCTTCAGTGATGGTGTGTGTCTTAATCTTTGTTAATTCAATATATGTGATGTAGTGCTGAATTCAATAAACGTTTATGTCAGTTGTATCTTGCTCCACTCTTTCTATGGTTGACGATCTATGCTATTTCTAATGACTATTACAACCTTTATTTCATTCGCTTTGTCTCCTTTAGGAAAAGATCCAAGAAAAAACTCCCTCTATCTCTATCCTGTAGTAATATTTGCTGTAAATGTACAAACCTTTTGGAAAGCTCTTTCAGATTGAACAGTTAATTCGGTTGCCATGGTTGATGGTTGATGCTTGTTGTTGTTCTGCTAGATTGGTGAAAAATTTCGTTTTGTTAAAAGAAAATTTTTTGACTTAGTGCGATACTCACACACTCACGCACTCACGCACTCACATACTTGTGTGTATAACAATAGTGAGTAACTAAAAAAGTAATTGGTAGCGGTAGAGGATACAACTGGTAGCAACTAAAAATAAAATAAAAATAGGGTTAAAGCCCTAGGAAGATGTATCCTGCATATAAATACGTCCAGCCTTTTCTTTTTTTTATTTGAATGTAACAGTCCCAATTTAGTCAATAACTATACCCAATTAGGCAATACCACATTCTACACTCCCTACATACATACAAAACATAACTATAAAATACTAAACATTTACCAGCAAGCCAAGGTTCATAGATAAAGAATCATTGCTATTTTCTTTTACCTCTTTGTTTGATCAAGGTCTCTATTAGTTAAAACAGCAAGAGTGATAATGGCGCTAAGGTGTTAGAGTCATGTATTCCTATACTGTTTGTGCTGAAGTATATGATACGATTAAACCTTATTGTTTGTTCAAACCGCATGGTTGCGCCGCCGCGTCACATTAATTTCTCCAGTTTAGGAAGGTATATAAGAGAGCAGGACGCGGGAGACACTCCTATTCAGTCGCCTATCTCTTGAGTTCTCAAGATGTCATGGAGTATATGCAGTCAGTAGAATCGTAGGTACACTACAAGCAGTGTTTGAAGTCTACTCCTCCTCCTTCTACTTCTTCTCTTTTCCAAGTTATTGATTATTGAATGTCAACGAAGTAAAATAAACACAAAAGTTAAGATGTTTTGTATAATTGTGTTGATGTTTATATGTAAATATGTCGCTGTAACAAAAAATAAACTCAATCTAGATATACATATCAATTCAATTTTTACATCATCACTATAAGAAGCTTTCACCTATAGCAATATGAATAAGAATATTGTACCCAACAACAATTCAACTACTACTACTAGTGCTACTACGACCACTTCATCGAAGTACAATTTCCTACCGAAATTTAACCATCAATCAACCATCAATAACCAGCAATTTAACAATAATAACGCATCACAACAACAACAACAACAACAACAACAACAACAACAACAACAAACTCATCACCATCAAACAAGAGTCTTTTCAAATGATGTTATTGATTCATTGGCAAATAGTCTATCATTCAATAGAACTGCGAGTTCATCGTCTTCAATATTGAGTACCCCAAGCAATAACATTAGAAAGTATCAGCGGCAGCAGCAACAACAGCAACAAGAACAAGAACAGCAGCTGTTTCAACAGCACCATAATCATCGTAACAAACATCAGCCGCACCACAAGCGAGACACTCGCCCCCACGATGACAAACAGAAAGGTGTTGAAAAGAGTGGCCGAATATCAAGAAATGGTCAATTAATCAAGAACAAGTTACTAAATCTACACCAGTCACATAAACTGTTACAACCAAGCCCTATCTCAACCGAGGAACAAGAACAAAAACAACAGTCACAATTGCAACAATCGCCTCGGAAAGTTGCTCATAATGCAGAGTATTTTACACGAAAAGTGGTGTTTGGAAATGATTCAAGCGATAGTGAGGAAGATATTGATGGTGATGTTGATGGTGAGGATCAGAATATTTATCTTATAAGATCGATTCCTGGGTATACAAGGGGGGAATTGGAACTTTTATTCAAACAACCAACTCAATTGAATGAAGAAGACGAGAGGAAACTCCTATTGGAATACAAGAGGAACCTAATGTCGAAACAGGAGAGATATTTCATGAAGACCCATTCTCTAGCGATTCGTCGACAAGTACAAGTCTCACAAAAGAAAGATGTGCTCGCAAAGATGTTTGGCGATAACAATAAGCTTATTAGTGAATATATGACCAACAACACCGATTATTCATCGTTGGATCGGTCATTTAATTTGCATAAAGTATTGAATGAAGATAATGAAGAGATTACTAATTTGCTAGAAGAAGACGCTTGGTTTCAAGCATCGATGGAAGAATTTAGAAACCTGATGGTGCAAAAGAAGCAGCACTATGTATTATCTGATGGTGATGGTAATGAACATGATTTTAAAATTGCTTTGAAGGATTTAATTGACAAGTTTGATTATGACGTTGGCGATGAGATGATGACAGATCAAAATCAAGAATTATATCAGTTAGGAATGTCACATTTAAAAGCAGTTTGCAAGCAAGGCCGAGATGAAAGTGATGCAAAATACTAGTGTACATATATGTAGTGAATGCCAATACAAAAAGGTGCTAGAGTATATATGTGACTTCTTGTGAGGGTATTTCTTTTGCACCCTTTTCTTTGGGTCTAGATTTAGCAACAATCATTGAGCGTTTCTTTTAAATTTTGGGGCGCATCAAAATATTTGTAATCAGAAACTGACAAATACAAATATACTCAACTGAAGACACACTCATTTTCTTTTCACGAGATTATGTTAAATAAACATATTCTTACATCAACAACCCATAGATTAACTCAATTGAATAGACACTTATCTACTACAATTACCAAAATGGCACCAACATCTTCTACTCCATTGAAAAATTTCGATTACTTAGTCATTGGTGGTGGATCCGGTGGTGTTGCTAGTGCACGTAGAGCCGCCAAATACGGAGCAAAAGTATTATTAATCGAAGCTAAATTGAACAAGTTAGGAGGTACTTGTGTCAATGTTGGATGTGTACCTAAAAAGGTCATGTGGTATGCTGCAGATTTAGCTCACAAGAAACATGACTTGTTCCCTTATAAATTGTCAAAAACGGAAGAAACAGTCAAACATGGAGATTTTGATTGGGCTGGTTTCAAGCAAAAACGTGATGCTTATGTTCATAGATTAAATGGAATTTATGAAAATAACTTGAAGAGAGAAAAAGTTGATTACGTATTTGGATTTGCTCAATTTATCAATGAAAAGGGCGATGTCGAAGTTACATTAAGCGGAGAACAGAAATTGCCATTTTTAGGCGACGCTGAAAAAGATTACAAGAAGAATGAGAAACTTGTATTTTCGGGTGACAAGATTCTTCTTGCTACTGGTGGTACACCAATCGTTCCACCTAAAGTCGAAGGAGCTGAATTAGGTACTACATCCGATGGGTTTTTTGAATTGGATTACCAACCTAAGAAAGTTGCCATTGTTGGTGCAGGATACATTGGAGTTGAATTGTCGGGAGTCTTCAATGCTTTAGGAACTCAAGTTGATTTCGTAATCAGAGGTGACACTGTGTTGCGTTCATTTGATGATATCATTCAAAATACAATCACTGATTATTATACTGATAAGTTAGGAATCAACATCATTAAACAAAGTGGCGGTGTTGTTAAAGTTGAAGGTGAAAAATCGGGAACTAAGAAAGTGACTTTGGGTAATGGAACCGTCCTTGAAGTTGATGAATTGATTTGGACAGTTGGTAGAAAGAGCTTGATTGATTACGGATTGGATAAAGTTGGTGTTAAACTTGATTCAAATTTAAAAGTTGTTGTTGACAAATACCAAGTTACAACAAACCCCAAAATCTTTTCCCTTGGTGATTTGATCGAAGAAGCTGAATTGACTCCGGTGGCCATTGCAGCTGGTCGTAGATTATCCAATAGATTATTTGGTGGTGAACAATTTGCTAATGATCATTTAGATTATACCAATATCCCATCAGCAATCTTTTCTCATCCAGAAGCAGGATCAATAGGATTGTCTTCAAAACATGCCATTGATAAATATGGCGAATCAAATGTCAAGATTTACAATTCTAAATTCAATGCCATGTATTATGCTATGATGGATAGCGATTTGGATAAAGCTCCTACTGCTTATAGAATTGTTTGTGCTGGTCCTGAGGAGAAAGTTGTTGGATTACATATTGTTGGTGATAATAGTGGAGAAATTTTACAAGGATTTGGTGTTGCTATTAAAATGGGAGCTACAAAGAAGGATTTTGATAATTGTGTTGCTATTCATCCAACCTCAGCTGAAGAGTTGGTTACAATGACGTAAACTGGGACCAAGAATTAGTGTTTCTTTTTATTAATAGATCTATAACAATGAATATTACATATAGGCGATGATTTTTGACAACCAAACTCTTTATATAGTCATGTCTTTTAGCAAGAAACCTCTTGTGGATGTATCTTCTTTTACCTCCTCTGATTGAGAAATCGCACATCAAAAGCACCCCAAACCCAAGCTATGCTAAACCTTTCTCCGCTTCCTCGGTGGTCCTCTAATGGGTGGTTTAGGTTTATCACCCGGCTTCATATAAAACATCGGCGCATGTCTCAAAATATCAGGCACCGAAACAAACCTAATCATACTACCCCTAATAAACACCTGGTCCATATGTTTAGCTGACCCATTGCGTCCATTAGTTATCGTAACGTCAAATAGTGATGAGTTCATATTATCTTCATTTTCCAACAATTTTCCCCTGTAGGTATCTCCATTGACTAGTTCGATGGTTATTATGTGGCCCTGAGCTTCGTTTAGTAGTCGTACTGGGACACCTGCTGACATATTGTTGTTGCCTGTGAATGTTTAGTTGAAGGTGGTTGTGTGATGGTGGTTGATGTGTAAGTTTTGTTCTGTTTGCCTTGGTTCATTTTTTTTTGTTCTCTCTTTTTTTCTGCTCGTTAGAGATTTCAAGGTTTGGTGTGGCTGTTTTGCAACAAAGATCAAAGAAAGGTGGTAACTGAAGGTCATCACAGACGAGGTCATAAAAATGAAAGAACTTTGACTTTTCAATGAAAGGCACGTGTAATTATCTTCATTTTGCAACCACTTGTTTGTTTCAAGGAGGCTAATGGTGAAGAAAAGGTGGCACGATATGAATATTTGTTTGGTTCTGATGCCAATTATTAGACTAATCTAAATAGAACCAAGAAAAATTGAGGAGTGATATTCACAATATAAACCCAAGTGAGAAAGAATTCGACCACCTTTAACAAACGGGTAAAAATGCTACTGTCAACATTTATTCTTGCTACATTTTTCGAGATCATCAACTGCTAGTCGCCTCTTCTACTTGGAGGGACCTGGCGACTTAATGCCATTTGCCACATCTTCAAATGCCCTTTGGAAATGTAACATTTGCCGAGGCTTTATATCCCAATTCGGTTTTACTCAAACAAGTAAAAACAAAATACGCGATTCATGGATAACTGGAAGAGAGGTAGTGGGGCAGGTTTACGCGTCATATTGTCTACTTCACAGTCTAGAATCTGTCGGTTCAACACAAGAGCTCAAAACCATCAAACCCTTGGCAACGATGGTTGAATACAAATAGAGGGAAGAAAATAAATAAATAAAATAAAAACCATTTGAACTTTTTAATTATTGGATGGAGTTATCGGCAATTAGACATTCCAAACCTTTGGACAAGAAAAAAATCCAAATGAATATAATACAAAACTTTAGTAAGTATCGTATAAAGTGACTGAGTAGAGGGCACACAAAAGCGGAAAAGTACAAGAATAAGAGATGGGTCTTTGTAGCATTACAATTTCCAACCCAAAGGAGTCGTTAAAACCGTGAAGTCCCATGAAATAACAATAGACAGAACTGATATTTGAGATAGCTTGGTGAAGTGAGCGAAGCACAAGGGTCATTGTTTTCTTGCAGTTTCAGTTTGTGGAACCGCGATCCTACAATGCGCTCTAGCCACTTGAATGTATCGAATCATCATATGTTTTCTATTGGGGTATTTCCCTAGTTGGCAAAAGAAGAGAGTAAAGTGAGACGTAAAGGCACCAAAACGCGCTTATGAAAGGCCCACCGTGATATGTCCCTGTAGTGTATGGGAAGACGTGTGCGATCAAATAGATAAAACAGCATTTTTTAGTTACCAGCTTTTGCTTTTGTGTAGGTTACCAAATGGTAAAAAGAGAATGGATATCTTCTTTGCCCTACAATCTATAAGCACAAGTCAACTAAAGATATTCTGTTACATCTATTTGAGGAAAATAATATTTTGCTCAACCAAAGCAAAAATCAGAAATGCGGTTCGGCGTTTGGTCTCTTCTTTGCTCGCAATGGGATCGGGGTTTAATTTCATCTCTCGCAATTTCGCAAAAACTCATTACCGTCTTGACATGGACCCGATATCGATCCGACAGAAAAGAAAAACGGAGAAGAGGCAAAAGAGACAAAAGAGACAAAAGACAACACAAGTTCTACAAACAAATGAATTACAAAGATGAAATTTATTTTAATCTAATTGTTTTTGCTTGTTTTGAAATTCCATATAGATTTGTGCTATTATATATCCCAATCTGGGCAAATGAAAGTACCCATTTTACTTCTCGGTTGATATATTTCTTTAGTCTATTTCCACCATAATGGGGTGAGTGAGTTGGTTGGATTGTACTAGCTGCAATCCATCTTAAAAGAAACAATAAAAACCCTACAAGTACTAATACACTGGGAAACAAAACAAAACATAAATCATAAATCATAAAACATAAAAATAAAAATAAAAATAAAAATAAAAAAAAACTTATTAACTAATAACTAGTAACTAATAACTAATAACTAATAACTAATAACTAATAACTTCACACACACTACATCAAAAACTCAACTAAAGGTTAAGAGAAAAACATCCATTTGCCTAATGCACATATAACATTCAGATTAATACATCCTTCATTAGATTCTTTTAAAAGGCCAGTGTTCACTTTTCTTTTTTTTCGTTTTCTTTACCAAAAGGACAAAATTTTTATATTAATAATCACTGTTGCCATTTTACGTACACCCACCCCAGATTAGGAGAGGACTATAGTAACGTGTATTGACCAGTCACCATGGTACAGTCAGAAAAGAGTCCTTCCACAGCTAATAATTCATCCCCAGGATCAGTAACCAAACCTAAACGACAGAGAAATAGAACTCCTAAAAGTTGCATACAATGCTCCAAACGAAAGATATTTTGCTCCAAAGAAAGGCCTGCTTGCAGTAACTGTATTAAATACTCAGTTGGCCATCTCTGCTCATATGCTTTACCACCATGGGCAGATGCATCTTCCAACAATAACAGCAACAACGCCAAGCCTAATGAGGCAAAAGTGACCTCGCCAAGGTGCTCCTTAATAGACCAGCCGCTCTCACCTACGCGCATACATCAGACAGAGGAGTATCGCCACTTGAAACAAACCAACGAGAAGGTAATACAAGCGCAACGGAAAGAAATTGATGATTTAAAGCGTCAGCTATCTGTCCAACAACAACTTTCACCTAGAGACCCTACATCAAAACAGCAACTACAACTGATGTCAAATTCAGGGAATGTACCTGTGACAGTGTTGAACAAGATAAGCCCCTTGACAAATACATATAGCAGTAATAAGGTGGAAATGTTGAATGATTATACTCTTTGTACTATTGACAATTCACCACTGTCCAGCAAAAACATATACGTGGATACTTATTCCTGGATCAATATAATTAAGCTAGATCCTCAATTGACGACACTTTGGTTCCGGATAACAAACTTACAAAAAATGTATCATGTATTTAAAATGAATATGCTTAAAGGAGGTCGATCTACTGACAATGTGATCAAAAAGGTACCGAAAAAGTCAAATTACAAGATTAATGAAATCGATTTTACTTATTCGCTACAGCCTTTTACCCCCAACTATCCAATCAAAGACCAACAACAACAAGAGCAGCAGCCTTTGAGGTGTCCGGTTGTTGAATGTGATTTCAACTTCATGTCGGAAGAGCAACAATTGACAACACCAAGTCCCATGAGATCGGTTTCAGTTTCGCCCGCAATAAAACTTGAACGATCAGCAACTTTGCTCGAAAAAACAGCTGCTGTAGAAATACAGCAGAAGTTGACAAGTCTTTGGGAATCATTGGTTAGCCTACCTAGGGGTGAATCAAAATTGAATGTTCAGCAAATACATTTTTTACTAGACTATTATTATAAAAGCGACATTGAAAGCAAAGATATTTTATCTTTCTACCGATTTGATATTCAAGCCGTGTTTAAAAAGACAGCAAATGATGAAGTGATGCTCAATTTACCCCAAAATACCGGTGGTGCAGATTTCGAAATGCAATTAAAATCGTGCGGAATTTTCCTATGCATGTTGGTATTGATTGTTGAAGAAGCCTTATCAGAGTTGAGGGTTATATTCAAAGAAGGAACAAATAAGGACTTGTGTTTACAATTTGAAGATACGTTCCCTAATGAAGTTATATTATTGAGTCTTGGCCCTCGACAAAACAATTTGCTACATAATGTTCAGGAGTTTTTAATTCATTTTGAAAACGAAGAGTGCAATCGATCATTATCATATTGTGCAGTTGTTATCGTGCTACTAAATCGGGAAATTGACGATTACAAGAAACCAGGATCAAGCATTATTGATACCAAAAATTCCTTCACTTCGTTATACACAACTTTCCTACATCTATTACTTGATGGATCATTGGAAATTTGGAAAGACCCGGAATTGGTGGAAATCAGGTCTCAGTACAAGAAACGAAGAAAAGATTTAAAGTTACATTTTTGTCACCTTTGGGCTAGTGCTGTTAGATTAACCAATTTGGTCACATTAAACTTTGTCCCTTTGGTCAAGCATTCGGAATACTTGGATGGATTGTTACGGCGTGTGTATCGCAAGATTGAAGAGGTTGACCTGTTGCAGTATCATTTAAAGTTTTTGTCCAAATTAGCCGAGGATCAATTGATTGTTTCATTGCATGTGCATTACCTTATTGCTAATGTCTCGTGTTCCTTGTATCATGGGATTTTAAACTTGGGCTCAAACAGGTTGGTGATCAGCAATTTAGAACAATTAGTAAAGCAGTGCCAAACCTGGATAACTGATGTTGGTGTCCAACGATTTAGCGAGGCCAGAAAATTTGAAATTTTGATTATTCTTGACTACTTGTCGTATTTTATGATTTATCTCATTATGTTGCAAGGAGAAGAATTAGGTGATGCTGATATGGTTAACAACGTTGTACCAAACATTTTCACCAAGTTGTCGCAGCTTATTCAACTGTTGCATGTGACGCCAAAGCGTCATGCTCAATACCTTTACTCAATAGGAACAGAAGTGTTGACAAGACTGATACAATTTGTAGTTGGTCTTCTCACTAGGTTCAAGGATGAAGCACGTGACACGAACTTGTTGAAAGAAGGGTGCACTACAATAATGACCAAGAAGGGACTTCTTTCGCCTACTGAATGCATGGATGATCTAACCGCAGAAATTGATCTGGTTATTTCGTTTTTGGACGCGGTATTGATAAATAAGGAAAGATTGATTAAGCTCATAAAATTGTGGAAGTTTTACATCACATTGAGTAAAGATTTGAATTATAACAAGCTTCATGCTGGATTGCCCAACTTTAAAAATGGAAATGCATCCGCATGCCCGGTATTGTCTGACGGTAATGCGCAATCAGCGGTAGGTTCATGTCCAGTTCTGATGTCGGAGAAAGTAGGAGCAGCATCTGCTTGTCCAGTAATGCATGGTAAAGGTAGTAACAGTGCGGCACCTGCATCAACTCCACTGGCCTCGTCGACTTTGCATCCAATGAAGAGAGAAATGTCAAAATGTCCAATATCACTGATCACGACTCCAATGAATGATGAAGAAATTAAAGTTAGTCAACTTCCTCCACCCTTGCAAGCAGTAAATCATAAATCACCTCAACAACAACAGCTACAGTCACCAATGCATAAAAAGATGAAAAAATGTCCTTTTGATCACGGATCAATGATGAAACATAACCTATATACCAATCAGGTAGAATCGAGTGTAAGAGGAAACTTTGACATATTCAAGACCCATACACCTAGCCCATTAGGTGGTGGTGGGTATTCTATGAACAGTCCGGCACCAATACCACAGCAGTTACAATCAGTTAATATAACAACATCTGAAGAAAGATCAATGAAGAATGCAGCGGCTGATGGTGTTAATGAGACAATGCTGTCTATGGGTGCTGGACCCTCATCACAATCAGGCTCGGCGTTAGTATCTAGTGGCTTGGCTCTGGGTACTTTAGGTGCACCACCACTACCATTACAACAACAATCCCAGTTTATTGGTGGGCTAGATAACTTGGACGTTTTGAACCAATTTCATGATTTTGATTTTGATTTCTTAAACCTGGAGAATATCTTGGAACATTTTGGCGGCTCTGCAGTTCCCGCCAGTGGAACCAATGGAGAATTAGATTTAGGATTGAACAATCTTGGCAATGGAAATATTGAAGGATTTTTCCAATAAAATTACAATAGTATCTTTTGATGACAACTTATATGGTAGTGTAATATAAAAATATGGCATATATATTTCAAAATCTAATATAAAAAAAAAGCATATGGATACAAACTTTTCTAATATTTTGAAAACAAAAAGTAGTCTAATAAATCTAAAATAAATGAACTCGGACGAAGTTGGATCATGAATAACAAATGTAAATTCACGAAATAACAAAAATAACCAGCAGTCGAAATGTAAATAATAAAAGATGAATAAACAAGTGTAGGAAAACAAAAAGCAGCCAAAATCAGGATGATCAAAACGTTGCCATTAAAAAGTTTTGCAATTTAATTGAAATTATCCAAAGGGCTGACGAAAAAAAAAAAAAACAAGACATAATAAATGAATCAAAAGAGAGGAAGGCAGACCCCTTAAACTTTCCCTTTCTATTTCGTCAGAAAGTAAAATCAAGAATCAACGGATTCACAAACTATCCAATGACTGGAAGTACAACTTGTCCAGGAACAGGTAGAGTAATTTCAATTGGTGGGGCAGGAGGTTGTGGAGGTACAGTAACAGGTCTTACTCCTGAACCATTCACCTTCACCTTCACATTCACATTCGACTCCGATTCCTTATTGACATTGGAATTTTCAATCACAGCCAGCTTATCTTTAACTTTTCCATGTTCTTTCAACATCTGTTCATGTTCTTGTGGTCCCACTTCATGGTTTTCCTTTGCGTGCTCCTCTTTATCATGCTTCTCCTTTTCATATTGCTCGACACCAGGAGCAGTATCGTGACGTTCCTTTTCATGATGTTCTTTTACATAATGCTCTTTTGAATGAAGTTGTCCTCCCAATGTACGATTGGATTCATAATGATCCTTGTCACGTTCGTTGGTAAACGAATTTTTAGAATTCCAGTTCTTGTCAATTGCAAGGTTAGCATGTTGGTTAATTTCATCACGACGTGTGAGATGCAAAAGTGTTTTTCGATTTAAATCCTCTCGATAATTTCCAGCCTCATGACGTTTATATTTACCGACAATAGCACCTCCATTCAATAGAAAATCTTGTTCAAGTTTTTCCTTTTTTTGCTCATGACGGTCACTCTCAAAACGCTCTTCTTTGGTTTCACCTGATTTGTCAACCTCATGATATTTCCCCTTGTGGTGGTACATAACCCCCTTCTTACTATTCTCCTTGTGAATGCCTTCGCCATCCTTCAACTTTTCAGAAAGCTCTTTCTTGGCATCATTGTATAAATTTTCATGCCCTTCCTTTTCCACTTCTCGGCCAGGAAGAATTTTCAAATGGTCTTCCTTTTCTATCTTTTTGTTCTTTTCTTCGTGATGCTCCAAGGTGTGATCAGTTGTCAGATTGAAGTTTTTGGCGTAATGGTGCTTTTCCAGATGTCCTTTCTCAAATTTGACATGACTGGACTCTTGCGCAACGTCTTCAATATTGTCATCATCAAGCTCTTGAGGTATGTCTCTGTCAATAACAGGTTTCCTCCAATTCGTTGGACGTTCTGCAAATGACAATTGTTGAATAACTTCTAAGCGAGATAAAAACCCCTTCTTAATCAATGGTGGAAGAGAATCCAACACTAATTTTGCTAAGCTCTTGCCAAATTCAGGTTTGACAAATGTTAACTTGTCGAAGTCAATATTCAAATCATGGGCTTGAATAGCCATTAACAACTCATCCCATGGTATCTGATTGTTTTTAAGATTTTCTAACGTCAAATCAAATAATGAACTTCTTACTATCTTGTCCTTCAATGACAACTTGAAAATGGTATTTATCAAGTCAGACTGTTTCAAAGACATAAACACTTTTTCAATTACATCTTCTACTTCAAGATCCTCAGGAGGAATATTGTTCTGAGCCTCAAAGGAATCATAACCTTCAAATTTGAAACTAGTGGAACCGTTGTCCGTTTTGTCATCATCAAAAAGATCTCCATTCTCAAAGATCTGATTAAAGCTGTGGTCATTGGTGTCATCATTGAATCTGTCAAAATATCTTAATAAAACATCTTCTATAGCTTTTTGGTTCTTAATAAAACCTCCATCTTCCAATATGATTTTACGCATGTAACGCTCTTTTGTATCGTCAACATTAGTAACCCCAGCCCCGTCACCACTGGCACTGGGTTGCTTCTCCTTTGCAATATTGTATGCAATTTGGAGAGTATTGTATGCAACCTTTACAAATAGAGCTTTCTCAAAGTCAGGTGCTGAGCTAGCAAACTCTTCAGGGGTCAAGAGCTTGACTTCACCTTCATCTGGAATAAAAAGCAAAAAAATTCTTTCCTTCTCTGAGGAAACAGCATCTACTGGGGCTGAAGCACTTGGTACTGGTTTGGACTTGATGAAGGAAGCTTTGTCTGTTGGTGTCGTCAACGTTTTGCCCACGCCAATTTTGCTCTTTACCTTTTCACTACTGGTGGTGGGACTTTTCTTCATTGGAGCTGTTGTAGCTGCTTTTGGAGTAGACTTCGGTGTATTCTTTAATTTCTCCTTGAGCGCCTCCTTTTTCTTCTTGAGCTTCTCTTCCTTTTCTTGTCTCAACCTTTCTTTCTTTTCTCTAGGACAGTCAGGATCATCCTCTTCTTCATCCTCAGTAGGCTTTTCTGTTGGTTTTGGACGAGTCACGGTTGTTGTTGTCGTAGTCAGAGGTTTTGATTTGCGTTTTTTGGACCTCAATTTCTTTTTGAACAACCACGTCGACTCGAAATTGGAATCGTCTGTTGATAGTTTCTTCTTCTTAATATTGTTTCCAAGACCGAATATTGATTTCCAGGACCACCCACCTTTCATATTTCCGTCAGTTTCTTCATCAGAATCGTCAGAATCGTCAGAAGCTTCGAGGTCTCCAGTAGTGGGGGTTTCTTCATTGTCATGATATTCCCATTCCCACTTATCTTTCTCGTCACGTTTTGTAAATGTCAGTTTATCAATCCAAGCCTTACCCCTAGCTCTGCTTGATTTGATGCTCAAACTCTTTGCATTGGCTTTTTCTTTCAAATTGTTTGGCTCCTCGCTGAACTCCTCTTCATCGCAATCCTCAGTCTCTGAAGACGAGTCAATATTGAAATTCAAACCTTCAGGGTATTCCTCGCCTTTAGGGTGCAAATAAGGATAGAATTTCGGTTTCGGTTTCAGTTTATTTTCTGGGCAGTCTTCGTTGGGTGTATCCGTCTCTGGATTCACGACAGTTGTGATGGTAGTAACCAACGTAGTAGTAACAATGGGAGGACCCTTTTTGAAATGTGATTTTATTTTGCGGCTTCCACTTTCTTCATCCTCATCATTTTGTTTCGGCTCATCATCACCTTTTTTGAAAATATTCTTCAACTTAGATGTAGACTCCCCGTCTCCACTCTTTCCAGAAATTCCTAGTTTTTCTTTTAATTTACTCAAATCACTTATTTCGAAGTCAGTGTCGGCATATTCCTCTTTGTGTTTAGCTACTGGATCCAGTTGGTCATAGCCGTATTTATCATCGTCGTCACTATCCATTTCTTCACCCTCAAACCTGCCTTTCTTTAAAAACTTTTTCAAATCTCCCAAACTTATCACATTGCCTAACTCTTCAGGTGAAATGTCACGTTTTCTCAAGAACTTTGAAGCCTCTGCATTACCAGTAGTAGAAAGTCTCCAAACGTCAATTTTAGCATCCAGTGATGTCTCCGTTGCGTTTAAAGCCGAATCATCGTTCTGACCATCGGTAGATGTACCTTTTTGATCCTCCTTAGCCTTTTGAGGTTCCGTTGAGTCGATTGTATGGGACTTACTGTCGCTGTTTTCATTTACAATGGTGTTTTCCTCGCCCTCGCCCGAAGTGTCGGTCTCCTCCTTGATTCTGTCAATCAAAAACAATATATCCTTCAATACTTCAATCTTTTCTAAGGTCAAATCCTTTCCCACATTCATCATTTCCATAAACATATCCCCGAATCCTTTAAATGACAGGTTTGAAGGCAATGATGGTTCATCTTTGTCTGATCCATCGCATTGATTCTCTTCTTCATCATCGTCACCGTCATCGGTAGCACCACCAGCATCATCCTCGTGACCAGGGATTTGGGTAGCACCTGGCTGAAACGTCCATTCCTTTTCAGCCGAGACAGTCGGTCCACTTACTTTAGTCGATTGGCTCTTAGCGGTATCTTCAACACTTCCAACTTGACCCTGCGGCAATGAGCTTGGTGAGGTATTTTGAAATGGTAACTTGAGTTTGAACTTAAAAATCGGAAAAGCAAACAGATGCTTAACTTTCATCCTGTCTGAACCCTTTGCATCTATTTTAGCTTCATCAGCTTTGATCAATTGGTTGTCCACAGTCAATGAAGCCACGGTGGTGGTAATAAGCAACAACTTATGAATCTTCATTTTCAAAGCAAATTGAATAGTCTTGCAAAAAAGGACGCAAGAAAGTAAAAGGGTTCATCGAATAGTATTTGCATCTTGATGGACTCCATAGCTTATATAATTGAGAACATTTTCTTCCGCAAGTGTTCTAAAACTTTCCTAAACTGGCCCTTCCATGGCGAATTGTATCAAAGCTCCATCAAAAGATTGTTCGTTTTTTGTAATGCTTAAACAACTTTTGTGTCACAGAAGAATCAGTTCGATTAAATGAATTTATTCTCCTGCATGTCAACACATCAACTTTCTGAACCCTGCATTGTTCTCTGTGTGTGTGTGTGTCTGTGCGTGGAAGGCATAGAAGAAGATCAAAAAAGATCAAAACAGTGTCGCATGATATTAATGTCGTAAAAGTCGGTTGTGAAAAGTGGACAAGGGAAAATGACGGATGAAAAAAATAGTGCTATACCCGCAACTCATTGGATCACTCACTTTGGCTGCATATACAAACATAACACAGTTAGACAGAGAACAGTATGATAAAACTTATAAGGCCGCGTATTCGCTTACTCCATCTTAGAAGAAGCCAGTCGCCTACACGTTTTGACTCTTTCCAAACCAGGCCAAACTTTGTTCACTCATTTTCAAAATCATATGCAACCGCATCTGGGGAAGCAAGCTTACTCAAACCCAAAACACAAAGGTCCAAAAAGTTCTTCAAGTATTTCGCAGTTGGTGTCGGCATTGGAATAGGTGGATCAGCTTTGTATTATATTAATGATGACTTTAAACACATAGTATTGACAGTAGATCGTGTGAGTGTCGTCACTGTCGCCATGGTGCGTTGTTTTGCATTATACAAAGAAACGCTAGGGCAAGAGTACGATTCTGCAACTGCTCGTCAAAATGCCTTATCCAAGACCCATAAAAAGGCGGCTGAAATAACCTTGAAAGCGTTGGAGAAAAATGGTGGTATTTATATTAAATTGGGACAACACATCACTGCCTTGACGTATTTACTACCTCGCGAATGGACAGACACTATGATTCCGTTGCAAGACAAATGCCCTCGATCTTCAATGGAGGAAATTGAAAATTTGTTTGAATCTGATTTAGGAGTCAAACTTGATGATATGTTTATTGAATTCGATCCAAACCCCGTTGGGGTTGCGAGTTTGGCTCAAGTGCACATTGCAAAATTGCGTGAAAATGGACAAAAGGTTGCTGTTAAAATACAACACCCTAGCTTGAAAGAGTTCGTACCTTTGGATGTTAAATTAACCAAGCTAGTGTTTGACTTGATGTACAAAGCATTCCCCGAATATCCATTAACATGGTTAGGTGAAGAAATGCAAAACTCGATATTTGTTGAGCTTGATTTTACCAAAGAGGCAGCCAATGCCGAAAGAACCGCAAAACATTTCAAAGATTTCACTTATTTAAAGATTCCAGATGTTATAGAAGCCGACAAAAGAATTTTAATCATGGAATATGTAGCTGGGTCACGGTTAGACAATTTGGAATATTATGAGGACAATCACATAGACACATCCAAAGTTAGTGCTTGCTTAACCCATATTTTCAACGAAATGATCTTCAGGCCTGATGTTGGTTTACATTGTGATCCTCATGGTGGTAACTTGGCCATAAGAAAAGTCGAGCCACGCAATGGATATGATTTTGAGATTATTCTCTATGACCACGGGCTATACAGGGATATTCCCTTGCAAATGAAACGTGACTACGCTCATTTTTGGCTAGCTGTGTTGGACAATGATATACCAGGGATGAAAAAGTATGCCAAAGTATTTGCTGGAGTTGAAGGTGAACAGAAATTTAAAATTTTTGTCAGCGCAATCACCGGTAGAGCCCCTAATGCGGTGTTGAATAAGGAAATTAAATCCAGAAGATCAAAAGCCGAAATCGAAGAAATACAATCGCAAATCAATAATCAGAACCTGGGTGTTTTAGAGGATTTGATGGATATATTATCCAACATGCCTAGAATGATTTTATTAATCTTGAAAACTAACGACTTAACTAGAAACTTGGATGAGAACTTGCAATCGGATTTAGGTCCTGAACGTACATTTTTGATTATGGCCAATTATTGTGCGCGCACAATCTATGAGGAAGCTATTGATATCATTAATCTCAAATTTAAGGGAATCACATGGGCATTTGAGAGATTCGTTAATTGGATTGATTATCACAAGCGGTTGAGTACCTTGTATATATATGATCTTGTATTGAAATTTCAAAATGCAAGACATTGAGCAATTAAAAAATGCTTAATTCTTATTCATTATTCTTTTTTATCTTTTCTAGTAAATTGTTTATCCTAGGTCCCATTACCGGTTGTCCACGCTTGTTTTTCTGACTCAATTCCTTCTTTTTCAACTCTCTAATCTTTTCTTGTCTGGCAACGTTAGTTAGCTTTTCTTGTATTTTCAGCAATCGTTCTTGTCGTTTTTCCGCTTTTCTTTGTTTGGCAATAGCGGCTCTTTCGGCAAAACTTGCGGGCTTGGATTTTGCTAGCTTTGATTCACGTGTTTCAGTTTCCTCATCTTCACTATGTCCCTCTTCATCACTACTCTCATCTTCACTTTCCTGTTTGTCCTTACTATGTTCTTCTAGCCCTTCATCTTTCAATAGTTTAAAGTAATTTTTTCTCAAACGAGCACGATGGGTAAGTGCCCTCTTGATATCGGCTGACTTAGCCTCTCGGCGGTCGATGAACTTCTTTTTGCTCTTGTTGTATTGTTGTTGTGCCATATTCAAATATCAGTAAAGAAGAAGAAGACAATGATGATGTTAATTTGTCTTGGATTTGAGATGCCTTCGTTAAATATTTTGTGTCAGTGACAATTAACACATGCGACATTGAAAGAAAGAAACGGGTTCATCGTAATTTAACGATTGTCTTCTAAAAGAATTTCTTGTCCCATTTGCTACTACATAGAAAAACATCGATCATATAGCTATGACCAGCAAGGGCTCAATGCTAGATCTCTGTCACCAAGATATACCACAAAAGATCATTTCAATTGCAGCTGCCGAACATCTCACGCCTCTTCTTGTAGATCGCTCATTCTTACACTAGATTAACAATATGCAATCAGATCAATCGATAGGGTTCCTTTTCCAAAGAACATGATGAGTTTGAGCTTAAGTTTGAATAAGATACAAGAAATAAGGGGTGGACCCTTTCCACCAACAATAAGAAGGGGTAGCATCAGTTACGGTAACAAATACATAAAGATTGTTGACCTTGAGGAATATAAACCTCATCAAGAACTCCGGATCGAGACGTTGTTCCTGAGCGATGTTGATTTGTCGGATTTCAAGCTATTCGAAAGTCTACAGCGGTTACATTCAGAAATCCACTCGGAGCTTGACCAATTAAGGAACCTTTATAAATTTCTAATGGGAGATAATACAATCCCACGTGTGGTTGTTGATTTTCACACAAACTCGCTTAAGATGTTGGATCTCTCAAGAAATCTGATAGAAGAGAGATCCAATTGTCCTTCCCAGACGGTGTGATCAACCTCAAGCATGTTAATTTGTATTACAATCGATTACAAGAGATCACTATGGAGTGTATAGGTCATAACGATAGAACTTCACATAGCTACTTGTTTGAATTGATTGTTTTATATAACTGGTTAGATAAAGAATAAACTTCCAGTTTAGTTTCGAATCTACCAAAGAGCGCAAAACAGTTTTTGACCGATGGTAATGACAGAGCTACAATCTGTCTTTCCCTGGGAGCGAGGAAATGAACTATATATGAGGTATCATGAAAGGAATGGGCATTGATTAGGAGAATACTTATTTTAAAGTAAAGGTTCACAGTAGAACCGTGAACACGCTTTCTGATTACCTTGTGTAACGTGTATGAAGAGATATTATGAAGTTATGAAGACAGCTACCCGTGTTACATTAGATTAAGTGTAGTTGATTCAAATAGAATTTTGAATTGATTGTCAGAGAGTATAGAGGATATATATAACCATAGGCCATTAGATATTGGATACTCCAGATGCGTTTAAGAACAGACTCGTATTGTATACCTCAGCCGTAAACATAATCAGGCTTTATTCAGCGGCCAAACGCCTTGCCGGCACTAGCTGCTTCAAGTACTAAGCTAAAGTAGGAAATTTTTTAAACCGCGTTTCATAAAGCCTCACTAAATGTGGAATTTCCCCGTTTAGGCAAATCGGCGAGGATCAAAAGATTTTCATCAACAAACATACCCAAGGTTTATCAAGATCTTTGTTTCAAAACTGCCCTCCCACCTAGATAAAGAAAGAAAAAAAATTGCTTCTCCTACCCCCTCTAGCCATAAGGAGCCAAACCTCATCCTAAGTGTTAATCGCTTACGCACATACCCCCCAGCATGTCACCATCTTCTTCCATACCGAGAAATAAATATGCTGCATTACCGCATTCTTCAGATCTAGCGTCTACTTCACCAACAAGTGGAAACACCCTCCTTTCCTCAAATGGACCTAGTCTGAAGCATCTACCACATGAATTTGGCAGTGATGAAGAAGAGTTTGAATTGGAGACGATAAATAATTTTGACTATGAAGTGCCGATTGATGAAGGTGACGAAGAGAGTCATGCACGTGTTTCAGGAATCGAGCGTACACCTCTTGGTTCCTCAACAGCGACAGATACACAATCAGGCTCGTCGAATATGAAAATGGCATTTATGAATATGACAAATTCCATATTGGGTGCAGGAATAATTGGTCAACCATTGGCGTTTCGAAATAGTGGGTTTTTAGGGGGAATTTTAATCATGATTGGGTTAACCGTGCTTATTGACTGGACATTGGTTCTTATTGTCAAAAATTCTATATTATCCCAACTGAAATCCTATCAAGATACTGTCAATCATTGTTTTGGTTTAACCGGTAAAATTGTCTTGTTGGCATCAATTAGTTCATTTGCCTACGGCGGATGTATGGCATTCTGTGTTATTATTGGCGATACTATCCCCCATGTATTAAAAGCATTCATACCGAGTTCAATCACCTCTGGGATATTTTCATGGCTATTTAGTCGTAACGTGATCATTGTGCTATTTACGGGTTGTATTTCGTACCCGTTAAGTCTTAATCGAGACATTTCTAAATTGGCCAAAGCTTCAGGATTTGCCTTAGTGGGGATGTTGACTATCGTGATCTTGACTGTGGTTCGGGCACCATTTGTATCATCTGAGTTGAAAAGTAAAGTAATCGGATCGCAATGGATCCTCAATGGCAATATTTTCCAAGGCATATCGGTCATATCATTTGCATTAGTTTGTCACCATAACACCATGTTTATCTACCAATCAATGAAAAACGCCACCTTGAAGAAATTTACCAAATTGACACACATCTCGTGTTTTATATCGATGATTTTCTGTATGATTATGGGTATAAATGGGTATTTGAACTTTGGAATAATGACAAAGGGCAACATCTTGAACAATTTCAAAAGTAATGACAATTGGATAAATATTGCTCGGTTTTGTTTTGGATTAAACATGTTGACAACTTTCCCGCTTGAAATTTTTGTTGTTCGTGATGTACTCAAAGAGATTCTCCTTATTCGAAAAGCCGTCGATGGAAGCACATCCCATTTGGAGCTAACCAAATGGCAGCACTTCACCATCACCTCATTACTTGTATTTTCGTCAATGACAGTCAGTTTATTCACTTGCAATTTAGGTATGATTCTTGAACTTATTGGTGCTACTTCTGCTAGTTTGATGGCGTATATTATACCACCATTGTGTTATTTACGTTTATCTTGGGTGCAACTAGATTGGAATCTGGCTCAACCATGGGAAAAGAAACGGTTTGTGATTAGAAAGGCATTACCTAGTGTTGGCTGTATTGTGTTTGGATTTGCCGTTATGTTTATCAGTTCGGGAATGACAATCAGAGATGCAATACGAAATAAGAATGGTAGTGATAATTGTGTAATAGATTAGAACATATAAATAGAGGAAATGTGTTGACTCTTTACTTAGTCCTCTTCCTCGTCACTGATGACAAGTCGTTTCTTCTTTGAGGTAATTGGTCGTTGTTCCTCTTCATCAGTCACTCGTTTACGTTTGTTGGTATCTGAATACACCTCAGAGGTATCTGAAGAAGGATGTTCTAACTCAGGTTCGCTTTGACTCATGGGCTCATCTTCAGACTCAAGCAGGGTGTGGCTCTCTTCCTCTCCATCCACTCTCGTAGAGTCATTTGCCTTTGGTGTTGCATCAAGTTCATCTTCTTCTTCTTCATCCTCAACAAACAACGACACTTCTTTCACCGCATTGCTAACCACATTTGCAACATCTTTAGCACCATTTTTTGAGTAAACCAGCCACACCTTTTTAAATTCTTCTAATTTCTCATTATTGGTAATACTACCTACTTCATTCAACAACTTTCTCAACCTCTCTTCACGGGTAAAAAACTCTTCATACTTTTCATCATCGGAATCGTCATCTGAATCATGAACAAACTCAGCTGATCGAGTTGGTTGAGATTCTTCAAGTAGATCAGTGGGCATTCTTCTTCTTGTTGTAACTGGTATATCACTATCCTTAGCAGGCTTGGTTTTTAATTTTGATCTCCTCTTGAGTGCTTTACCACGTTCCAAGTTCTTTGATTTTGGTCGGTGTTGTGAATTCAATTGAGCTTCCAATTCATCCAATTGATCTAATTCATTTCCATTGTGTCTTGATGAATTTGGATTGGCGTCCAATTCAAATGCAATGTCATCCTCTTCACCATCGGCGTCAACATCCAATCCGCTGTAAGCCTTATCAGTCTCTGCTTGCTGGAAACGACGTTCAAACTTCTTTTCCAATAAATCGTCCTTCTCATACAACTCACCAGTTGCCAAATAACATTTGCAAGCGCTCTCCTCAATCCTGGGAAACAAAACTTCAATTATATTGGGAAACCTGCCAAGGGCCACTTTGAACTTTTTCATAAAATAGTAAATAAACTCTTCAACCTTGACTCTAATTGATGAGCTTCTAGGTAAATGGTTTTTCAACTTGTGCAACATTTGCATAAAATCCAAACGATATAGCCCATTATAGTCCTTCCTCACAACAAACAACTTATGGAAGTAACTCAAACATATTTTGATATCATCATGATTCAAGTCTTGGAAGCGTGACAAGTATTCGATATAAGCAGTCACAATAGATTGATGGAAAAACCGCGCCTCGGTAGCTTGAAAATTCAACTTCCTCTCACGAGTCACTTCACGAATATTTTCAGCAACAGCTTCATCATCAGATTCATAGATTGCTGCCGAAAGTTTGGCATCGGTATCTCGATTCAACTCATTGATTCGCTTCTTATTTTGTCTGCCTTGCTTTCGTTTGGTTTGTACATAAAGCTGTAAATCTTCTTTGGCAAAAGACTCAAAAGATTTTAAAATGATTGTGATTACATGGATTGATTCTTTAAGGAATCTTGGCGAGTGCTTAAATGCAGATTGTGGTATTAGTACCAAAATGTTTAAGAAATCATAGAATGAAAACAACTTCCTAATGATGCCTTCGGCCAATTCCCGATCGATTTCATACTGAGTATCGTCTTCATCCGTGCCTCTCTTTTTACCAAATATTGAGTTTGAAATTTGGAGCAACTCTTTGAAACAAATCATCGCCACATGTAAAGAGTTCCACGACTTTTTAGCAAATGAGTCTCTAAAATAGGTTACAATCAATATAAAGTTGATTTCACTCAATGCAGCCCTTACTGATCCAAAATCAAACGATGTTGTGCTGTTTAGAATGATTTGCTCCCGTTGATAGTTCAAAAACCATGCGATGGTAAAAAAGTAACTGGCGTTGGATAATTCGTCGACAACTGCATACTCTGATTGACTTGTTAGTTTAGATGCCATGACTTCAATCAAGTTGTTGAAACATCCACCAGACAAAAATTCATCAATAAAATGATAAAGTATAACTCGACCTTGAGCAGTGAGGTATACGGGAGAGCTTGTTTTAACAAAATCATCAGAATCATACTTGAAATGGTTTGGGTGCTTCCATGTCTTTGATTTATCTAGTTTGTCCAATGTGCCATCAGTATTTGCTAATGCTTCTTCACCGGACACGACGTACGACGTAGCATCGGAAGAGCGAATGGAAAGCAATGTACCAAACTTGCCATGTCTTGTGGCCATTTTCAGTGTCTGTGCTTGTTTCTTTTTGGCTTCGGTTGCTAGTAGGTCCAGCAATTGCATGCCAACGGTACTCGACAAAGGAGCCAATGGTGCAGATGCGTCGGTTGATATGTTGGAACCGTGTGGTTGAGGTGCTGGACGATTGAGAACATCTTTTGAGTGTATTCCTTTTAACATCAAGTATATGCACTCAAGTGTAACTTCTCCAAACAAGTCCTTGTCAAACTCAACATTGATTGATCCTGACATGGTTAGTAAAAGCAGCAAGACTTTATTCTTTTTAAATACTTTTAAAACATTATTTATCGAGATGTCATCCTGGGTAACACCACTAGGTAGGTCTGCCGACGCAACAATTGTGTTTCTGGCTTTTGATGAAACCGATGACGTCGCTGGCTCGATGGCTAACAAGTTCCTTATGAGGTATAACACAAGTCGTAAAATTTGATTTTCGCGAGGTTCTCTGTCAATCTTGGACTTCTCTAGCACTGGAATAACAAGTCTGATCACTGCCTTCATCAATTGTCCGTTATTATATGTCAAAATATGCTTCTTGTACAGTACATGGATCTTTCTAATATTCGCATACAATAGTTTCTGATTTTCCGACAAGTTCTTGTCAAAATCCACTGGCCAAGTCAAGAGCACAAGAATTTCGAGACATGAAAGCATAATCTTTTCCATCGATGTTTTGTTTTTGATTGGCTCCTTTTTGGCCATTCTTTGCTCCCACTGACAAAGGATAACTATAATATCATTTTGGATCAATCCGCATTCGGCACAAGCAAGAGCTACTTCGTAGTTATTCTGCTTCTCATCAACAGCTCTAATCCATCTCTTTATATCTTTAAGGCAAGCTAGGGCATCATGACCTAGTTTATACGGAAGAGGTTTTATTTCTGATGTATGGTCGACACCTCCTAATGCAGACACCAAAATGGCAATGTGAGCACGCAACAATTTCTGGGCATGTGTTTCATTAGGCTTCAAAGCCGTTGTTAAAGATCGAATTTTGTCTTTCTCCTCCTCCTCTTCTTCTTCTTCTTCGATGTTGTTATCGTTGTCTAATTCAATTGGCGTATCCATTGATTGGCCTGCTGTTGCTTCAGCTTTTTTGTGCGGCTCTTCTCTGGGAATTTTCTCGTCACTGTAGTCAATAAAGTCATCAAATTCCTCTGCATCGTAATAGTTCTCCACGTCGGAGCCCGTTTCAACATCACTCATATTATGTAGAGTTCGATTTTGTTTTATGACATGTAAGAGTGGTTTGCAAATGTTAAATGGAGAAAAAAATAAAAGCACGAAGAGAAGCGCGTCCTTTAAAACAGAAACAACACGTCTTGATGGTGGCGCTACCGTTAAGGTGAATCTGCTTGAGTGGTAAGGTGAAGACAATTGTATCTCTCAAACAGTGAGATGAGATCGTTCTGCACCAGTAACTTTACTGCTAGTAGAGAAGGTGGTGGTAGGGTGCTCAGGTCAAGCAGTGATGTGCAAAAATTTGTTGTGTATTACTGATGAACTCAGCTAGGTTTGTCGCCTCTACTTCTCATACTCGATTAGACTGCTTCAACTGGAACGTAACTAGCAGTTCAACTTGATCACGGTTTTACAGATTCAGATTGTTATCCCATCGATGCCTCAAGCTGTATAATATAAAGGCAGTGTCCAACAGCACGAAAGACAAGAAACAAAAGAACTACGAAACCATGGATGTGTCTGGTTGTAGCTCTACAAAATTTTAGTAATCAGCTAGCTATATGATGCGATAGTGTCATATTTGGCACAACTTTTGCAACATTCTGAGATTAAAGAGCACTAAAGAAACCACCAATAAGTTAACGTTTTTAATCAATTTTGGTTCGACTCACTTAACTACACGTATATGTAACTTATCACCTCTTTTTATGCTTGTTTCATTCAATTGGCCTTGAGATGTGCTGTTATGACAGGAAAGTGAAACCAAGATAATACGTGTGTCGTATCAAAAAAGCAGTGACGTGAAACTTTTTACGACGCAAGAGAACCTTCATTTTTTTCTATTTTCTATTTTCTATATGCAGTGTGTACAGCGTAATCCTACTTTTTGCTTTTTGTGTTATATAAGACAACAAAAAGATACTGTGCATAAAAAATAAAATTATTGTAGGAATAAAGTGGGGTAGGGGTTTTGAGAAGTCCTCTACCAACCAACAAAACCTCATAATCTAATTGTAGATGATAATGTACTTACCAAGTTTGACCCCAGTCTTCTCCTACTGTATTTTTCCCCTTGCAACTTTTTCTTGACCGCCTCCCACACGCATTTTTATATGAAGGTAGGAGCCTAGTCTCAAAGTGCAAAGATTGAGCTGAGGGGTTAAAATAGAGCCATTTATGCAGCAGACTCATCACAATCTTAAACCAGAAACAGACAAACTCCTAACTGCAGAGGCTGTTGTCTAAACTAAAGAAAATACGAGATTGCAAACAAAGTAACTCTAAACGAGCTTGGTAGAATAAACATATATTAGCTCTAGTGCAGCCAATCTCAGATTTGCTTTGGCCACTTGAATTGCCAGCAGATTGAACAGTTTACAGAGAGCTGAAGTATCAGTTTCAGAAGGAGAAATCATAATCAGGTCACTTTCCTGTCAATTTGAAACAGCACATTGTGACACACCACCCTAATTGATTTCTGTGTACAAAGAACACACTTTTTGAGATATCATTACTCTCTCCTTCTGTCATGACCAAACCTATTTCAACAGTCTCTTTGTGTACCAAACTTTCCCCTCAACCATCACCAACCCTTGTATGGTTATGAGACGTCAAAATAAGCCAACCAGAACAAAGTCAATATGTATTTTACTATTATTTCTGGTTTTTTATTTTTTTTTGGTCACAAATCATTCGAATCGGATTCAAATTGAAAGTATTTGACGTATTAAACAATCTTCAAGCTGAATGTGCATGTTACCAGAATGTCTAACATATCTAGTCCTTGAGTAAAGTACTTGAAATCTCTCTTTTCTTTGCCCCGCACCAATTTAGACCAGACAAAAAAAACAGAGGTCGAATAGGAGTGTGTACATGTGTTAGTTTTTTCTACTCCGACCGTTGCAAGAAATGGCACTGTAAAACCCAAATAGCTCTTATGCTTCCTTCAGACCCTACTACTTAAACTCGACAACATATACACTCATCTCAACTGATAACTGGACTCAATCGTTTATGAAAGGGGAATACAAAAAGAGGCTCAGTTGAAGCTTTATTTAAAGTTAATTTTAAAAAACAATAAAGCCAGCAATATACAAAACAAACAAATAAACAAAATAAATAAAATAAAGAATAAATAAAACAAAAAATGTATATACGAACAAAAGACAACTAAAAAAAAAAATAAAAGAAGTCAAAAGCTTAGACTTTCAATACATGGCCAAAAGGATTAAAAAGACCTTGCAGTTTAGAAACGAATACATCATTTAAAAGACTCGAAGCTATTGCAACTGTTGTATATACATCAAAGTCATGGAGCCTACTTCGACTTTGGCGAGTAATCCCGACAATCCTGTGAAAACCGCCCCTACCTCCAATAATCACCACCCAATAAACCCACCAGCATCAACTGATGCATCCCCAGCTTCAAGCTCTACCCTGGGTAATAATAATAAAAGTCTGAAAAGTTCAACTGGAAACAATGGAAACGAAGAAGAGAATGATAATGACCCGGACAACAATGATTCGTCACAGCAAACACTAAAGCGAAGGAATAGAATTCCAGCATCTTGCTCGATGTGCAGGAAACGAAAGTCAAAATGTGATAGAGTACGGCCAGTTTGTGGCACATGTATTCGAAAAGGTATCACTCACCTTTGCCACTACGAATCCAATTCTGGTCATAGATATCTTTATCAAGAACCCCACCATTACAACGGGCAGGGCTATATGCAACATCCAAACTCCTATAATTACAGTGGCTCACCACTGTACACTGGTCCTGGAAATGGACAGCATCCACCACCGCCATTTCCCCCTCATGTTCATCAGCAAACTCAACTACCCCAAAATTATGTACCTCCCTCCCCCAACTCATCTGACCCAGCTAATTATGCACCACCAAATAACCAACAGCATTTTCCTATAGGTCCACCACCGCCGCCTCAGCCACAGCCATATCCACACATATACCAGAGTTCACCGTTCAATGGTCCACCTTTGTCACAGCCTTCGCCCAATTTCCCGTCTCCAGGAGCCCCAAATTTATATTCACCAGTAAATGGACCAGGTCCGTCCTATTATAGGCCCATTCCACAACCACCTGCTAATAACGGTGCTGCAGAAAAAGCCCTGCCGCGACAATTGCCAATACCGGCACCTTCCTCGCAAACCAGAAATTCTCAAGATAGCGGCAAACCAAATTTACCCAGTCCGTCCAAAATTTCAAGTACGGCATTTGGACCTGGCTCACGTCATCTGCAATCTGGGTCAATTAGTTCACTCCCATTACCACAACCACCCTCAGCCCCTCTAGCAACAACTACACCAGCATCCTTGCGTCCTGATAATCAAACCCAATTACCCCCACCACCAGCACATCTGATTGCAAAAAATGTGGTGACAACACCATTGGCCAACTACCCATCGTCTCACCATCCATCACCCAATGACTCCAGTGGTCATAACCAGCTGAGAATACGGTCGATGGTATCCGAAAATGTGCCTTCACCTGTCACAAGTATACATAAGCCCAGTGCAACGGCTTCAACTCCAGGATCATATTCCAACGATCAGAAACCAGCTTCTTCTATGCAGAACTCACCAAGTGTCAAGGACTCGTTTTCATCCACGTCTTTGGTTTCAATACCTCTAGGACCTAATTCGTCATTACAAGTGAGCACAGAAGACAGAATGAATGTTTTTTCCAATGCAAGCTACTCAATAGCTTTGGAAAACCATATCATCCAAGAACAAGGGGTACTTTCCTATCTTGGGTTAACCAAAAGTGACCCTTTTATCACAATTTTACGAAACTTCACCGTTCATTTATTTAGGGTTGGAGAAATGACAAAGTTTATTAGAACAGATGCCAACAAAAAGCGCAGAAACTCAACAGGCTCAGTCTCGAGACTTTCTTCGAGACACAGTGATGGCTTGCCGTCATTTCAGAAAAAGCCGAAACTTCATATGACACCAGTTGAACACGATACCAGTGCAGGTGCAGAAGCGGTATTAATGGCTCATAGTGACTCAAATCAATCAAGCAATGATGCAGATATTAACAATCTTTCCAAAGCAGCAATCAAGCATGCACGTGAGCAGTCGTTGAATTCGTTGAATGTGCCCTCACCTATTGATAAGTTTTCGCCAAATGTGGGGGAGAATAAAAAGGAGGAGCGTAAGATCCCTGCCGTTATGCCATCAATTGAATCATTTTTTGTTGGCCTGAACAAGAAGGACTACTATTCGTTGGTTGAGAAAGTGATTCTTGCTGTTTTGCCCGATCAGGTGAATCTGTTTAAATTATTTTGTCGATTTTTCAAATATGTTCATCCATTCATCCCCATCGTTGATGAAACATCTTTAATTGTCGAAGTCAAGAATTTATTGAAAAAGTTTCCTTCATTTTTGCATGAAAGATGGACTTCGGTCAAGATCAGCTCCGACCAAGACTTACGGACAATGGGTATCTTTTTGCTTATTTTGTCTTTGGGGTACAAAAGTATGATCCATAATGATAGTGTATACAACGATTATACCGATGAAGAAGTGTCCATGATTCAAGACATGCAACAAATTACGCCCGATGAGTTCAAAAAGGTGATAAATCTTTGCATTAGTGATAGTTTGCTCGCGGCAAAGTCATCGTTTAAGTTGGTACAATTATTAACCCTTTTGTATTTTTATAAAGAGGTTGCCCCTGATGATGGTCATGGTATTTGTGGAGCCGATTCGCAAATTTTACTTGGTGTAACTATACGGCATGCATTATCCATTGGGTTAAATCGTGATCCTACATCCTATACTGCATATGACGCCATTTGCAAGAACTCCCAGCTTATAAAGACTTGGAGACACTTGTGGAACTACTTGACAGAGGCAGATGCAATGAGTAGTCTCCATAATGGTACCAATTTGAATTTGAGAAACTTGAAAATGGGCGATGTTCAAGCTCCTTATGAGCCAAAGGATAGAACGGGTGAGCTTAATGAAACTATCAAACGATTTATTTCAATATGCGAGTGCTATCGCCAGTTGTGTAACAAAATCAACAATGTTTGGGAAAAGCCCAAAATCATGGACATTCTAGCCGACACCAACCATTTGGAAAAGATCTTTTTCGACTTTTTTGGAAAAGATTTCTTCCTGACTGTTATTTGTAAACCAGCAAAAGTGAATACTGATACGAGCTCATGGAACCCAAGTTCTCTTGAACATGAGGAGCAATTTTTGAAGGTTATGAAGTATTGCATGTTTATTCAATTGAGAACTAATTTGTCAGGAATGTACTACATGATTGCCATCCATTATGAAAATGAATATAACGAGTCCAAAACTCCGTCAATGAATGCCGGGATTGAGCTATTCAAGATATATATCAAGAGTGTGGTGCAGATTGTGTACATTATGACACATGTGCTAGATAATTCAGTTGAATTATTTGGCAAAAATTACGACTACATGCTAACGGCTGCCAATGAACGATATATGATAAAAACTCATTCATTCTTGACCTCGTTCTTTGTTAGGTTACTTCATCAAAAGAAGGACTTGTCTTTCAAAGTGTTTAAAGAGCCAAGCTACATTCCTCGACTTGAAGTTATCGACACCTTGTTCACGATGGTTTTGGTCGAGGCGGAACTATTTGTGGGAAATTTCCGCAAGATGTCGCGTACTTATATCAATAGTTATCGATTATACATTATGACGTATATCATCATGCGTCAATGTGTGGAAAACCCCGATGTGTTTTTTGAAAAAGCGATAAATGATCAACTGTTTTTCCACCAGGGTACCAACATGATTGAATTCTTTACCCTTGCGGAATTACATCATTTGTGTCGTTTATGCGGTGAGTTCCGTAATGCTACTGAAGAGAAAAAGAGGTTGAAACGGGAAAAAATGAAAGCGAAAGGGATCATCGTTGATAATGATGCTGATATTGACAATTTCAACTTCGATTCCTTAAGAGACCTGTCTTCACTTGATGTTGATGATTTTGCCATTTTCAACAATGGAAGTGGTGCAACTTTTATGTCATTTTTCGATGACGATCAAGTGTTTGACAATTTAAATAATTTGCCGGATGACGTATTGGATCCGGTGGCACGTAATGAAGATTTGATCCGGTTGTATAACATCTATGGTGATTTCGATGAAGATTTAGTCAAAATGGGAACATCCTGAACAATTAGAGGAGAAGTATCGATCACGATTAGCACCTTCATTGTATAAAGTATAAAATGTGTATTATTAATAGGTAAAATTCTGATAGAGTCGTTTGGAAGAGTTAGCATGTCTATATGGTGGGTATCCTAAAACGTAGAATCGTATGACCGGGCGTAATTGGCCAAACGCCGTACAAATACACGGGTTTAGGTAGCGCTGTTACTTTAACACAAAAAAAAATCGGGAATTCTTTCAAGGCTATGGTCTAGCAACTTCCTCCGAATCTTGAGAAGCACGGCGTAACACTTGCCATCAAATCATTTGTTATCCAATCTGTACATCTCAGAACATATAATGCAATCGGTGTTTCAAATAGGACAAGAACATTCAAAGCAGAAACGAAATCGAGTTTCGCTCAACTGTTTGTCGTGTAAACGGCGCAAAATCAAATGTGATCGAAATAAACCGTGTGGCTCATGTGTCAAATATGGGTCTGTTTGTGAATATCTGCAACCAGTGTGGACTAAAGCTGAACAAGATGAACTGTTTTCTGTGCAGCGCTTGGATGGTGGAAGACACATGAGTGGTGATGATGTGGATGATGTTGCCGTCAAGAAACGCAAGGCGAACGGAGTAGAAAAGAGAAGCAGTGTTGCAGTAAATGAGGGAACTGGTAAACCACATGATGGCACTCATCACCGAGAATCTGATGACAGTGGTGTTTTTGCCCAGTTGGAATTCTTAAAATCTAAATTGCACGAGTTGGAATCCAAAGTACACGATGACAAGTTATCTCGTTCATCATCGCATACCTCAACACCTGCTGTTGAAAAGAAACCGCTAGATTGGGAAAGTATCACCTCGACGAAAATCAACGATGCATCGAACCCTACTTTTGTCGGAATCAACCCTTACAATGAATCAAACCCTGAAGAAACTATTAATTTCTATACCGGTTACTCGCCAGTGCACATTCAAGACATTGCTAGGAGATACAGTCATGGCCCGTTTGCCTGGTTAACTTTGTTGAAAAAGGATCCAGCTCAAAGTCATATATGGAAATACTTGCACTCAGTTCGCCAGGAAAATCGACAACGTATACGTCAAACTCCACGGGCTGCAAAGTTACCACCGTTAATCAATCTTTTTAAAGAAGGTGGCCCTCAGAGCTTGGACAAGTCAGCGCAAGGTTGTTGTGGTACAGATGGAGCTGGTGAGAATACAGAAATTAACAAGTTTGACCAGTCGAAATGTAAACACAAGGCTGCTGGTCAAGAATGGGAATTTCGACAAAGGGCAGTAGATCGTGATGGCTTTAATGACTTGAGGCTTTATGGAAATGTTCGCACCAATTTCAAACAGCTGGGAATTAGAGATGGCACTACAGCAGCGAGTCCTGCAAAAGAACCATCACAGGATGACAAAACAGAGTTCAAGAAAGATGTTCCTTTGAGTCCTGATCCAGAAAAGAAATCAAGGGGTGCCATGTCATTTGGAAAGGGCAAAATCGAGGAAGAATTGAATTTAATTGAGAATTTACGAGGTTATCTTCCAAAACAAAAGGTTATTTGGAAGTCTATTGAATTATTTTTCGCCCACTTGTACCCATTTTTCCCACTACTTGATGAACTGGATTTTGTCCGTGAAATGGAACGCATATTGGGACCAAAAGGTTATAGTGACGACAAGAGTAGCGATTTGAAAATAGAAAAACGGTTGGACCTTGCATATTTGGGAACGCTTTTCATTGTGCTTCGATTTGCGTATGTGGCATTGATAACCAACCGTAAAACAATCATGGGCAAGAAACTAGCCAGTGAAGCAGAAGATATCCATGCTCTGGACGTGCAGTACTTGTTGATGAATCCGTCTGAGATGAATCTTATTGAAATGGCCGAGCTTTGTCTTGACCAGTTCAATTTGAACCGTAGGAGTTCGCTTATTGTCTTGCAATGCACTTTTTTGCTTCGGTTGTATTACATGTTTGCTCCCGAACATGGTGATGGTGCAGATGGTGGAGATTCACTAGTAATAAATGGTTTAATGGTTCAGATGGCCCTTTCTATAGGGTTGCATCGCGATGGTTCCCTTGTGACAAACAAGAATGATATAATAACTGATGCAGATTTTGGATCTGGAATTGAAGAGGATAGTCCAAAGACTCAAAATCTTCATCGAAAAATTTGGTTCTTTTTGGTTATATGCGACTTAATCCAGGGATACCAATATGGTAACCCATTGTGTATTCGACAAGAGATGTATGATACTCGCCTCCCTTATTATCAATTGGGGAACGAAAATATTGATGATGTTGAAAAGGAAAAGCATGTTGTGAGTACGTTTGCTTATCTTGAAAAATATCGGACAAAGTTGGTTGATATCTTGAACACTTGTTTGAACTTGCACACGCCTGCCAATTTAAAAACCCTTACTAGCTATATCTCTGACTTTGAGGTGCTACTTAATAATAACTTTGGTATATTGAAGTTATTTCTTATACCCTATGACAAAGATAATTACGCCTATCCGTTCTTGAAAATCATGAAGTGCAAAAATTATATCAATATGAAGATGTTTCTCAATGGGTTATTGGCGCACATGTTCATCCATTTTGAATCGCAAGCAAAGAACCCAAATCAGTCTTCTGAAGAACAACTGCAGCGGCAACTGTTGGCTTTCTTTTACTTGCGAAAAGTGATGGCTTCTTTGTATGGAGAATTTTTACCCAATATTTTTCAACTTCTTTATGACAATCCGAAAAATTTCGGTACTGATATCGGCTGCGATTTGACTATGAATCCATTTATTGAGGCAATGTTGCATAAGATATCACAATTCAGCTTTGCCATGTTGACACGGTTGAATTCCACAATTTACTTGATGAGGTCTGATCCTGAAGCTCATGAATTGGGAATGAGATCGGGTCTTTCCTATCGGTTGAAATATGCCAAATTGGTCAAATTGAGTCAACTTGTGGAGATGATTTGTGAAATTGTCATTACGGCTATGTCACGTTTAAGTCAACGATACTACTATGCATGGAAAATTACTAAAGCTCATTCGTATATTATGAGTCATTGCATGAGAAATCAGGAATTTTTCAAACTTTTCCACGAAAAGAAACAGTTGTGGACATTTTTGGAATGCAGCGATGAACAATTGAATGAGCTTACTACCATTTGTGAAAAGGGACTGAAACCATATGTCAAATGTAGAAAGAAGTTTAGCAAAATGTTTGCTGAAGGGGCCAATGGAGCTGCTCATAGACACAATTGTGCTGACGAGGATGTTGTTGGGGGAGTAGCAGGTAAAGCCAATAGTGCAGAGGCGGCAAACTTTACAGAACGTGACAATAGAAGGGAGACAAGTATGGCAAACGATAATGGTGGCAATATACGACCCCCTAGTCACCAAGATCTGGTAGATTCAAACGCACCAAGTACAGCAACTGACTACTCAAATATTATTAATAATCCCTTGTCAACTGAATCGTGGTCGAGTCTTGATGATTTCAACACGGTGTCAAATACTGATATTGATAACTTGTGGATTTTGCTCAAGATGAAAACCAGTCCATTTAATAATGATAGTAATGTGAATCAAAATCAGGGTGAATATCATAATAGTTCAAATTTCAGTGTGCAACTGCCGGTGAATAATCCGTTTACACCGTCGGGAATGACTCCCTTTTGGCAATCTTTTCCTCAACCGTATCAACAGCTGCAACAACATCAACAACATCAACAGCAGCAGCAGCAGCAGCAGGGTTATCAACAACCAGCTGAGTATCAAGGTGGTAATGGTGATGACCGTAATGGTGATGAGACGCAGGGTAGCCAGTTTGGTGGCAATTATCTTGGTGATGGCAACGGTGGCGAATTAAAGACATTAAACGATTTTGACGTGTTTAACAGCTTCCCGTTGGAGGAAATGTTGGGTATAGCTAGTACTCGTTTGCCTTAAAGGTTGGTGAGTTTTTTTTAGTGTGTATTTTATAATGTAACAATAGTTAATCTTATGCAAGGGATAGCAGAGCCTGGAGTGGTGCCTTTCATTCGGTTTCGCTACGACCTGTAATATGCCCCGCTACTGGCTGGGAAACCTCATTATTGGCACTGGTAGCGTTTGTTTAAGAGCCAAAGGTAAGACCCATTTTCCTCACAATGCTGTGGACACGCATTAGGCTGCATTAGCGTGTTGTACGTGGCTGCGAACTTTGTTGTGACATCAAGTTGCATATACGCCTAACATTCGCACGTTTTTACCAGGACCCTACCATCCGTTTTTTTGCAAGCTATGATGTTGCCCCGTTGTGGTTCGATACCTTACGTCCATAGTGCTTACAGAGTTGCCATGTAATAATTTGTAATTGATAAAATCTATATTTAACATCCTTTATTTTTCTAAATAATAATAGTAATAGTAATAAAAAACCCATACAAAAGTTTCAACCCAGAATGAATGAAATGCGTAAAGGCACTTGGGGTTGATGATAATGCGAGATGACCTCTGGCACAAGAAAAAAACTGAAACTCGTAACTCCAGCAACAAGGAAAAGGGATGCAATGACCAGCATTGATTTATCCCCGTTTCCAAAATGCAAATAAAAAACTAACCCATAAAACCCTCTAGCCAAACCTTAGATTGTTGATTTGTTAAATTTCTTCAACAAATTGTTCAATTCAATCTCTTCTTTCATAGCAGCAAATTCAATAAGTGGGTCAACAACGTATTGATTTTGATTCTGTTGTGGCTTTTTCTCAACAACATTGTTACTGGTTGAAGATGATGATGTTGGTGGCAAGGGCGATACAGAACACGTTGAAGTTCCCGATGATGAATTTGATCTTGTTGAGTAAAGGGAATTGCTGGAGTTTGATGAGCTGATGGATGTAATTGAACTTTGGGAATCTTGTCTGTAGTGTAATTGGTTGTATAACGAAGTTGAACTTGAGCTTGAGCTTGAAGATGGACTGACGGAGTTTGATCTTGATGGTGATGGAGTAAGATATGCAGAAGCTGGAGTCGTGTTTGAGGAAGCAGCAGCAGTAGCGGTGGAAGTAGTAGCTGCAGTGGCATAAAGCTGTTGTTGTTGTGCTTGTTGTTGTTTCCACAACTTGATCTTTTCCAGCTTGATAATTTGTGCCTTGACTGGTTCCAAGAATGAGCCCAAGACTTCAACCATCTCTTCATTGGTGACCTTCAAATCCCAGTTCAACAAGTAAATCAATTGTCTTTCCATAAGATTGATGTCTTTGACATTGAATAACCCATCGGTGTATTTAGCCCAATGTTTGTTTTTAGGACTTGAATCATTGTGGAATTTACTCGACAAGATTAAGCAACTCAACAAGATTCTGTGTCTGGTGCATGGCAAACCTTGTGCATTTTTGGGCAATTTTGTTTTCAATTTTTGCAAGTAAATCAAAGTGGCCATCAATGTACCCGTGTAGACATTGGTGTATTTGATCAATTTAGTGAGAAACGTCATCAATGATGGCAACTGTTTGACGGTATTGTTGGTGGTGGTATAAGTTTGTGATTTGGTGTCTTTGCATGGAATAACTTGTAACGTAGCAACAACCAACTTGTGGATCATATCGTGGGTAATTGGACCATTGAGAAAGATGTTCAATGCTTTTAAATCAAGTGATGAAACCATGGTGGGCGTGTCAATATATACGTGAAGTGCTGATGTGTTGAAGTTAATGAACTCTATTTTGTTGAACAGAGGAAAGATTGAAAAAGGAAATGAGATTGGTGAAATCTGGCAGTATATATATATATATATATATTCAAGTGATCATTTACAAAGGAGTCTTTGGAATGTGTTTGGCAAAACAAAAGGTACGTCCTAAAATGATTGATAATTGTTTTAGTTTATGTCGTCTTTGTGGTTTGTATATTTAATTTGATTTTTTCTGGTGGGTGTTTGTGTAATGAAATCTAAATTAAAAATTTTAATTTGGCGCTTAATTCTAAAGGTGTGTATGTATACACCTCCTTAAAAAAGACTAAACAACACAGAAACGCAAGTCAAATGCAAGGACTTGTGTTCTTTTCTCATTTTTTAGCTTTTGGACAATCTCATTAATGTGCTTTCTTTTTAGTTTCATAGTTGTATTAACTTGAGACTATCTGGTTCCCTATTCGTTTGTTTATTGTTTGTCTTTTGGTATTTCTTTTTCCCCTTTGATATAAAATAATATTTATCGTCTGAGTGTTTTTTTCTTTTTTTATTTTTGGCGTCACACCCACCTACAGAATATGTGTCTCACTTTAACTTACATATGATCTGATAGGAAGCAGGTCATTGAATTTAACCACATTGAGGTTTCTATATATGCAGCCTCATGTACGATACAACCGTATCTAGCTTCTACACCCTTCAACGATCTCTTCTCCACTCTAAATCCACGCTTAATTACATATCCTAAACTGGAACAGTGTATAGGAAGCCAAGACTGAGTAACTATGTGTGTCCAAGTTCACTTTGGTATAGGGCTTGACTAGGTACTGCCCATCGCCTGTGGATGCACTTGTCTACTACACAACTATTTGAAAGAATGGAGGCTCTATTGTGGTTCTACACAGCCCAATCTAGGACTAAACAATGTCTTTACCCCATGGTTGTTCTTAAAGGCACAGTTTTGTAGAGAATACTTTACATAGCTGATACACACATTGTATTTTTAGTATGTATCGTCAAATAAAACTATTTTGCCCTAAAACAATTTTTCTTAAACGCGTCAGAGGGAGAATCAGAAAGGGTTTCGCCTTGTTTTATTAGGTCCTACGCTTGTTGCGATTTAACCGCCCGTTTTTCTGTCTCACTCTTTTATGTGGTTTAAGTATTTATTTTAGTTTTAGGCTCACAGATCCTGTCTAAAAGGGGTGGAATGCAAAATACTTAAAAACTTTATTCGCGTGTTTTTGTCATCGTCGTCTATTTATAAATCTTCCATTGTTCATTCAATTGTGTGTTTCTGGAAAACAATCCGGACCAGACCACGAACAATGCAAGTCTACTCGTGTTTTTCTTTCTTATTGTGACACAGTTTGGATACGCGTTATTTTTTTGTCTTTTCCTTTTTTTTTTGCATTCAAGGGGCAAGAGATTCTTTTGGAACACAACAAATCCAGCTTCTAGATCTTTTTTTCTTTTGCTGAATAACTGTTTCAGTAACTGTGCCACTCTTATAAAGCTTATAGGTCAAGTGACTTTGCCTTATTGGAGCAGGCTAGTTTCAGATGAAACTGTTTTGATGCATTCATTCAAATGGGTTAGAGGACGCGTGACAGTCTTAAGGTGAACTCCCCCCTTCCCTCTTCCGCCTTCCAAAACTGGCTTAAGAGATTATAAACTCTATGCAATTTTTTTTTTGGACCAAACTTATCGTACGAGACCTCGTTCCAACCTCGCCCTTTGCATCGGCTTAGTTTGCAGCATTTTAGACCAAAAATATGCGCGTCTATTTTTGTATGCAAAAGGAAGATGAGAAGGAGTCCAAAACGCGACAAACCACTAGAGTAAAGGCATTGACATAAGACTAACGTCTTTGACTGTTTACACCTGCTTTGCCAACCCTTTGCTTGCCAACTTTTTTTTACAACCATCACCAACCGAGGGTGTGTGTATTTTATCTCCTTCTTGTCGTGTTGTACCTTCAACTCTCCTTTGCCAACGCGTGAATTACATTGATTTGATTGCGCATATGGCTCAAAAAACAACGCTTCTTTCAGGCTCCTCATTCATTAGGTTCGAAAATTTTGACGTTTTCTTTGTCACTTTGACGGAGGGAATAATAAACCCCATTTTGGAGAAATTTCCACATCTCAAAGTTGAAAAAAAAAAACTCGACCCAACTTTCGGTGTCAAAGCACCGCCACAATGCAATTTATCTCTTTTCGTAAGACAAAGGTAGTAGTCTTTGTATATTACTCGCATGATGTGAATGTGTATTGGTATGAATCAGTTTCTCAATTTGCCTTAATCCGTACAAATTGTTTGTCATTTTTGTGAGCGATTCTGGCGCACAATCAATTAACTCAATTTGGTTAAATTAATAAGAACCGTTTTCTCTGCTATTTTTAGACGATTTGGAAAAAAGGCAGAACCAACCAGCAGAAAGAGCTGCGGTTCTAGAAACTTATTTTTAACCTTTGGCAAGTTCAGACGCGTTTGATGGATAGGCGTGTATTTTCCAGAACCCGTTTATGCCAGGGAAAGAAGGGAGTCAAAATTACGAGTCAAACTCGACACGCAACGTCACAAGAGTAGTAAGATTAACGAGTTTTCGAAACACAGGTCCATCAGAAAGTACACTACTACATATTAATGAAAAAGAAAAGGCGCATTTGTAGAAACGATACCAAACTATTACACTTCCACTTCTATTCTGTCAAAAAGTCTTCCAGAAAACAAAAAAGCAAAAATAAACAAACACACATAAAATATATAAATCAGAAATTTGGGTATATACTGGGTCTGTCATGCAGTTGAGTACTCAGACTGGTGCACAGCGAATCTTGTCATCATATAAATATAAATATATGGTGTGTTATTATTGCATTTTTTGAAATCAGAATTGGAATTAGTTTTAACACTCTTCTTGACTCTCTCTCTTTGGACACTGATCCTAAAATGTCAAGTTTCATGAATATATGAATAGTGTTTACTCTATACACCCATGACACTGTTCCATAAAAGTCAGGATCTTTGTATATAGAAAGAAGAAAAAAAAAGTGGTAAAGAATTGTAGAAAAGTTTTTTCTGTTTGCAAAAGTTGAGACCTTTTATACTGAGAAGAGAATGAGAATAAGAGAGATGAGCATTGAAGTGGTAGCGAATTATAAAAATACACTAAAGATGGCTAAAACTATCAAAGCTACACAACTAAATTCTTCAACTTGGTCAATTGTTCATAGTACTCAACAATATCATCGCCCTTCTTCATTCCAGGACAACTCTGCATGCGTTCACACAACTGCTGGTATTCAGCAATTGATTGAGCACCAATTATACCTTCAAGCCAATCACAATACAACTTGTTATACTGGCGCACAATCAACTCCATAAACTGGTGGATATACAGCAGGTCATTTACATTGCGATAAAGTTGTAAACACTCGTCGATGGGCATAATCAATTTAGCATTTATATGACGAACAATTGTATGTTGAGTGAAGCTTATTTGATGAAGAAGCTTTTCATAGAATGATTGACAAATGGACTTGATAAAGGGGTCTTTGTTGTGATTGCTGTTATGCGAGCTTTCATTTTCGAGGAATTTCTGCCATAACTGGCAGTATTTCAATTGTATTTCGAAAAACTCAATCAATTGTGGGCCTAGTGCTGTTAGTTTCTTGCGCAACTGGAGAAGGCAATTGATGTAGTTCTGCACTTGTGGGTTCTGCACTTGAGGCTTTTGCACTTTGTCAACCTCCTGCTTTGTCTTATGTTGTACTGGGCTTTCCGGCTCAGATGGTAATGGTCGGTTTTTGAGCATTATCAAAATATCCTTTTTACTTGGCGAACGCGTCGTTAGTTTCAGATCACTGGGCAGCTCATCTTCATCCGTAATATCTAGTAAATCTTTGTTCTCTCGTAAGGACTGGTTCCTTCTTGGCGGTGGAGTCGTTGGATATACTTCTTGTTGTTGCTTTGGTGTTGTAGTTCTTGTGGCCCCTATAGCCTGCGATTTCGATCTGGATAAATGTTGTTTTGATTGTGGGCTCTTTGCTGTTTTTGTATTCTGCGATTGCGACGGTGATCGGGATAAGTGCTGTTTTGGTTGACTCTCTGCCAGCGGAACAAAGAAATCAGCAAGGGCATTCAACTTGTTAGGTTTAGTTTTCTCACTCGAGTCTGAAGTGGACACACTTCGTTTCACCATTGATGACAAAGACCGTTTAATCGAGGTTGCTCTAGACACTGTCTGTTTTGCTTCATTTTCATGGCTTTTCTTCAACCTATCTCTAGCACCTACTTCCTTCTTGGCGGTTAATTTAGCGTCTATTTTGTAATTTGAATGTAACCCATTTACGATGTTGGTGTCAACAGCTGTGCTCAATGGTCGGTTATTAAAGTCAACAAATTGCAACAGGTACGCATTTCCTCCATTCTCGTGCATCAAGTAGTGTTGTGGGTAATATTCAGGGACCCTGGCTTTCAAGATTTCATCCGTCTTGTACAAATCGGTCCATCTGGTTATAGGATGCTTCGTCTTCATATTGTCAACAATTGTAAATTTAGAAGTTACTGAATTCAACTTGACTAAACATATTTCCAAGTCCTGGAAATTCCTCTTTACTCCATTATTAATTCCCATCTTGATATTGTGATTGTTCAACTTTACCAACTGATCCTTGATGGATTTAATGAATGTGGGCAATTTGTGCCATACTTCCATGGGAATCGCCAATTGATCACGAAAGTAGATCTCCTGCTCAATAACAAAGCTCAACCTCAAGTAATAGCTCAATAAGCTAAACTTAAACAAATTGTTGAAAATACCCAGGCTATTAATCAAATCCCCCAAGTTTATTGCCTCTATTGAACAGTTGTACACAAATTGAAATACATTGCAATTAATCAACTCATCCTCAGTAACCTCACTTTGATTAATTATTCCTGACTGTTTACTCAACTGCTTCAATACTGTTGTAATCAAATCTTTGAATCCGTCTTTGATCCTTCGAAGATTTAACAACACCAAACTTTTTTCCAGCGTAGCGTTCCATTCCAATTTACTAGTCTCCATGAATGTTTCCAACTGTTTATACTTGCCAATCGTATAGGTGAGAAACTCAATTATTTGTTGCTGATACTGGAATTTAGCATCGTTTGTCGGTTCATGGTGGTTGAAAAAGTCAGTCCGCATGGGAGAGTTTACTTTTTTATAACTCGTCTCGTGGTGATGTTGGTGGTGCTGGTTGTCGCTTTTTGGTAGTTCAGGTAGTTTGATGTTGGGCTTAGGTGTCGAAGAAATCTGTCCCGCATGCTGTTGTCTTCCGTGTATAGATTGTGGAAACTTCAGGGGTGTTAATGACAACTTTTCCGGTTTCCGTTTCAGCAGCAGGCTGTGATCCCTCAACGATACCAGTCTTTGAACATTTCTAAAGTTGGGGTTCGAGGTGGGTAAGGATATTTGCGGATGCAAATTATCGCCGCGAGTGTTGTGCTTGTATGATTTGGATCTAGTGGGTTTGTTCTCTGTGTGTGCCTGCCTCTTTGTTGTTGTTGCTGTTGCAAATGTTGCAAATGTTGTTTCTGGTTCAGCAAATCTCAACCAGGCTGGACAATGGGGATCATACTCAGCTTTCGTTCTGTTCTGCGTAGCTGTGCCTGTAGTTTTGGCTCCTATCAACTCTCTTTGCAGTAAATGTTGATTGTATACAAAATCAGTCATATGGCTTTTCGTTGGGGTAATATCGTGGCTTCAGAGGCTTTATGTTAGATAGAAAAGATATACTCGCTACGAAAGAAAGGCTTTTTCTCCGTTTTTTTCTTAAAAGGGACGGTAAAATATATTTATACTTTTTTTGGGGATAGCATTGCCATTTGTTTAAAGAGAAATGTGAGATTTATGTATGTAGATTCCATTTCTTCATATTTGTTTCAAACTTCTGATTGAGTTTTTGTTTGTTTACATTTTTGTGTTTCTGTAAAAATAAAAAACAAAAAAAATCTTCTTCTTAAACTGTCAAAACCACAATAAGAGACAGGAAGACGTACTGTATCAAACTGGTTTTTAAGGGGGGAATTCAGTTTAGTTTAACAATACGAAGAAGAAACGTATAATTGAATCTAGGCCTCTTCTTAGTTCTTTAGTTTGAATCTACGAACATCAACAACAACAATACCCATATCCATACAGTCACTCATACACCAGTACCAACACAGAACGCACCTTTTTCTTCTTTACCCACCCCTTTGTAGTCAGCTGATGATGAAACCCATGACGCAATACTAACTAAAAATATAATCAACACGTTACTCGTGCTTTAGAGAAAGAAAAAAAAGTAGGCATGTATCATTCCAATCACGTCCTTGACGCGCATTCCAGGCAACTAAAACCAGGTTGTCAATAGAGAGCGTCACTTTCACCTTAACATTTTGTAAAACATTTACAGTCTTGTTCATTGCGGTATATTTGTATCAAGTGAAAATGTAAGTAAAACACACAAGAAAAATAAAATTCTTAATAACTATTGGCACACGACACCGAGTGTTTCTAGAACAGCCCATGGGCCCATGTTATTTTTAGAACAATATTTACGACGATTGTCTTCAAGATGCCTTCACTTTCGTACTCACTAGATACTTCGGAAAACACCCCTTACATGTTTCCTAGCTTCTGCTGGGTAATCTCTACAACGTACTTTTGACTTTTTTTGTTTCTTTTTCCGTTCTTTTATTTTTATCGCTTCACTCATCAAAGCTAACCGACTCATCTTCCATCACTCCTTTGCCTATATACTCAGAGATAAATTTAAATGTATCAGTGCTTTCATGCAATGATTGCACAAAAAAATCCACATTCTCCTTCATCTTAAATTGATTTTGCTTGACGTCATTCACGTCACTCATATCTTGGGCACATATAGGGCACCGTGGTCCATGAGTGTCACTAACATCATCAAGGAAATGATTATTTCCATTACTAATAGGATTAGCAACAAGACTTGACGACAAGCATTTCTGATGGAAAGAATGTTTGCACTTGAAATGAATCATGGGAAAGTCTAACTTCATGTGACATGCCGAACACTTATTATTCTGCATGACAAAAGGGTGTGTTAGTTCGGATAATTTGTAGGAATTCTTGGTTGAGTCATGCTCGTACATCTCAATGAGCTTCTCGTTGTTGGTGATTTCTTGTTCTTGAGTTGTGAAATACTCAAGTAAATACTCCTTGACAATGCCAAATGTTACAAATTCATTGTCGCTCGATCCACCACCATTGAGCAAGTCAATCAATTCGAGGGGGTCCAATAATTTGAACTTCCTAATCTGCTGTAATATTGCCTGTATGTCATCATGATTGACTTTTTCATAAATCTCACGCTTGGATACAATAAATTCAAGCATCATTTTGTAAAATTGGGGCTTTGTCTGTCCGTACTTTTGCAACACATTAAAACACCCTTCAACGTCCTCCTCTATTTTATACGTCATGAATATACCTTCTTCATCTCCATTGTCCTCTCTTGCTTTGATTTCGCCCGGCTTGAATTTATACAAATGGCTCAATAACAACAACGAGTCGTCGTCTAATAAATTTCCATACTGGTCGATGATGGATTGCGCCTTATCTAACCAATCTGCTTCGCCAGTTTTACTACTCAACGAAAGGTACATTTCAAGCAATGTGATCAACACCTCCTTTTTATCCATGAGGTTTCCTTGGTATCTGTCAAATGCCTCAATACATGCCTCGAGGAATATAACAAACTCATGCGGGTGATTGGTAAAGCTAGAATAGATCAAGTTCGGTTTGGGGGGTAAGTATGTCGGCTCTTTGTTTAAAGGGGATTGTTGCTGTGCTTCTTCTGTAGCACCGTTGTCTTGATCATCATTGCCACGAAGAGTCAAGTAGTTTAAAAACGCCTTGTAGTTGGTCAATTCAATCGCACCTTCTCCTGCATTTTCATCTTCTTCTAACTTGCCATCAGGTGCAGTAGTAGAAGGAGCTTGCCGAGACTCGACTGGTTGATATTTCCCAGTAAACACATTAATCAAAAGCTCGGTCGTTTCAATGGGACTAGAATCTAACAACTTTTTCGACTGGTCAATCAATATCAAGAGCAAGTCATCAATTTTCAACGACTTCATATAATTCAAGGCCAATTTTGGTTTGTTCAAGTCATACAACTGGATATCAACAATCAAATTGGGTTGATTTAGCTTGTATAGTAGCCTCAATACCTGCTTGTAAAATCCACATTCTTTGAACAAGTTTATGATAAGGGGAAAGTTTAGCTCCTGCAATTTCTCATTAGACAAATCCAACTCATCAATAAAGGAATCGATCTTTTCGAGATTCTTCAATTTGCATAAACAACACAATAGTAAAGTGATGTGGTCCACGGTGGCAATGTACATTGCATGCAACCTTTCCAAGAACCTCACCATATTAGCCGTATTTATTGCCTCTTTGAATTTCGTAATCACATTCATGATATAATCATCTCTATCCTCTTCGCTGTCCAGTTTGCCAATTTCCACCTGTCCATTCTTGAATAATTCAAGACAGCTAATATAGACATCCATTGAATCATCATACTTTTGTTCGTCAAATAAATAATCTGCGTGCAATCTTTGTATCCTCAACAATGTTTCAGATGGAAGTTTCAGCTGCTTGGCTAAACTGAAGGCCACTGAGAAGAGTTCTCTTTGCAAAATTAGTTCAATTTGCTGGTTAACCGGCTTTTCGTAGATTCTGTACAATACTCCGTCATTTGATAAAAGGTAAATCTCATTATTCATTTTGAAGGCAAATTTGATCACACTTTGAGGGATCAATAAATTGAGTGAAATGTGGTTATTCCTAGTGTCAAGTATAATCACCCTTGATTGAAACCGCAGCAGGTTTTCATTATCTGTTGAGCTTACCATCAATATAAACTGATGCATCCTGGAGATTCTCGACTTGGGGACGTCAAAATTGATTGTCTTTAATTTCGTTGTAGGATCATAGTATCTTATGGAATCGGGGAGCCCCACAATCAACTCCAGTTTACTTCCAATCTCAGTACATTCCAAGTCAGCACCAGTCTTTTGCGATAGCACCCGCAAAGGTTTGCCATGGTTGCGACCCGTGGTGGACACCGTCAACACTTTCGAAGTTGTAGTGACATATAGTATTTGTTCCGGTTCATTGAATTGGATCCCAGTTATAGGATCATTGGCAACACTCTCATATATGACTCGCTGCTTTGAACCTCTATCACGTAACAAGTCACCCCTTATGAGCAAGACTTTTCCATTGGTGTACCCCACCGCCAAGCACGTTAAATCATAATTGAATTTAAAACAACTTATGGGGAACGAGTTTTCACTTTGCGCCCCATTGCCTCGACTGTTTTCAGTAACGGCAACTTGCGTTTGAAACTTGAACTTGTATTCCGAAGCTTCCAATTTCTCCATGTTTAATATCCTCGTCAAGTCCCAAAGTTTGATAATCAGGGGGAACCCTTGCTTTTCAGCCAAAGTTACAACCAAATTGCTCGAGTTAAATACAGGCTCTATAAAAGTTATCCTGTAGTCGATGTCATAAGCTTGGAATGAGCCCTCGCAGGCCATGTTCCTTGGATTAATTATCTTGAGTATCGAGTTGTTGACGGCGATAACCAAATATGCTTTGGTGGCGTTAATAGCGCCTAGTGTCGGATCAGAATACAATGCCTCATGTGATTGATAGTAGGGGTCCCGTATAGGGATAAAGTCAAATAACTGAAACTGTCTCCATGTTGATAGTAGAGACATGTCTTAGTAATCTGTAGTTGGTATTAGAGTATTTCGAGTTTGAAATTTGGAGAGCACAAAAATATTTGAAGTGTTTTCCATTCAATTTTTTACAAAAATAGTACAACTAGTAGCAGAAGAATCACACAAGCTGGTAGAAGAAACGTGTCTCTGTCCACTGAGGAAAGAGAGTTTAGCACGAATTGATTTTTTGGTAGAATTACTCCTGTGAATGAATAGGCACCACGAGGCACAACATGAGAGCCGTTAATCACAGCCAGCGAAGTGATTTTTGCGATGATAATAGCACAAAGGTTTTCACTATGTGCTGAGCTGTTCAATTTCAGGGTATTTTCAAGATGATAATTATAGAAGCTTGAGGTTTCATTAGCTATTGAAATCTCGTTAGTAAAAATTGTGGAGTCATATGCTGTCTTCACACTAATTCGCCTACTCCCACCAATTTTTGGAAATGATGTAGGATGCAATATGATAGTGGTTCCCCTAATTGGGAGTATACTGAATAATTTTGTCGCTATCAGAGTCTTTGGCGTCGTTGTTGCAAACGTCTTGTACGTCGTCGTTGCATCTACTGGTGGTATAGTTGTGATCCTTTTTAGCAGCTTTCTACCTAAAACGAAATGTCCATCCTCATATTCTATTAATTCACCAGGGTCAAGCTCTTGTTGCACTTTGGAGGTTGACTTTGATCCACTGTCAGTGCACAGAAGCACTTTATACTGTGGTGTTGTTCCTACCATGGAATAGTCGGTGGTATTCATGCCGTCACCCTCACTTTTATTCAAAGTATGGGTAAAAGAATAAGTTGCTTCAGGGGTAGTAGTAGGTGATGTTTCTGGAACGTTGTGTATTAAGCTTTTGCGAGTAGCAGATACGCTAAACACTTTATCATATTCAGCTTCAACTTCAGTTCCCTCGTTATCGTTAAATCTCAACGTTAATATGCTTGAATAAATCACATCTGACTGCATTGGGTAGAATGAATCAACAGCGGAACTTGGATGCAACACCGTACTAATGTCTGCTGGGAAATTGGCAGCGTTCTTCAACGTCATGGTTCCTATGTTTTTACTATGGGTTTCAAGTTGAGTGTTGCTTTGTAAAGTGTCGACACCATCGTCAATATTACCCGATAATGTGACCAACTGAGTGATGGTGAGAAACTTGGTAATCACAACTGGAGTGGCAAGCAGCAGCGTGACGATTTTAATCAAGGGTGATACAATACGACTAGTGGCATTAGCTGGGTCTCTTTCATCGGTTGAGTAATCAAAGTCTTCGTCCAAATCGTCTGTGTCTTCGGTCCACTCGAAATCGGACACCTCCATTGCCTCAGTAAGATTCACTCCTCCGTTATTCACAAAGTAGCTATCACCCCAGTTTAAGTCAACCTTTGATTTATCTTCTTTTTCAAGGGGCTTGTGTTGAGGTGCTTTCTTACTCTTGATCTTGTTTTTCCACACTTCGAGGAGGTTTTTGGCATTCGTCTTGATTCCTCCGAAAACTTTGTCTGTTTTTCGAGTTTTGAAAACCTTGTCCCTTTTCGTGATAAAGCTATTCACCTTTGAAAAGTCAGGTGCTGTTGAATAACAACTTGTGGCCGAATGATGCGACAAGTTTTTGCTCAAATATTCTTTTCCAGCTCCTTCTAAATTACAGTTATTCTCCATGAAATCTGAGGCACCTGCAACATGATCTGATTCCGCTTTATCACTATTACACCCATTGCCAAATTCAGCGTATTGCAAGTCCAGGGGAATGATACGGAAGTCGTTGGTTACACCAGTACCTGTTTCGATTGAAAGATTGTGTATTTCATATGTGTGAGTTGCATTTATATAGGCATGAGCTGACATGAGTAAGAAAGATGTCATATAATGCATCGTGATATTGGTGGTGATGGTGCTTAGATTGATTTTTCCTATGTAAAGTGCAATCAGAGTTTTGGAATAGCAAAGTGTAGCTTATAATTGGGTTGTATGTCAAGAGGGGGTACTGTTGCTAATATGCTTTAGCACGTGTAACCCAGTGAAGAATTAGTAGATTTGGTGTAATTATTGAAATGAATTGTAGTTGTTGTATTATTTCGTTGATATGTTGCAAATTGAATAACAAAATTCTCAGATCCAAAAAATTAAATTGTAAAACTCTAGCCACTTCCCCTATTGTTTTTATCCCCAGGGTGAAAGCTTGTAACAGCTCTGTCTAGACGAAATGATACCACTGGAAAGGATATGCTTTTACGCGTAGAATAGACAGATAATGCAAGCAAATAAAAAAAATAAAGGTCTGCTCCCTACCAGAGTCGAACTAGTGACCTTTGCATTACAAGTGCAACGCTCTACCAACTGAGCTAAAAGAGCAACTTTCACTCAAAAAACGTTTAAATAGCTTTAAAAGTGTATTTAAAGAATTCCTTTATGGTAGCGATTGTACACTTTTTCAAGCTTGCTTTCAATGAAAAATTTCTACTCAAAGCATTAATCTTAGATAACTAAAGTTAATAACATGTCGAGAACATCTGTCAATCGAGTAGTGAATGCAAGTATGTGGTCTGGAATACCATTTAGGAACTCTTAACTAACAACAGCACTAGTTCAAAAGTTTTATCCTACAGCATTAGCTGACAAGTCTTGGGACAACACTGGCTTACTATTAGACTCCAGTGTAGACGACAAAGCACAGCTGACATCTCCAATCAAGGTATTGCTCACAATTGATCTTACTCAATCGGTAGCTGATGAAGCCGTACTGAAAGGAGCCAAGTTTATAATGGCATACCACCCTTTTATTTTCCGGGGACTAAAATCGATCACTCCTCAAGATCCACAGCAAAAGTCATTGTTAAAAATGGTAAAGAATGACATTAGTGTATACTCACCTCACACGGCTGTTGATAGTGCAAAAGGTGGAGTGAACGACTTCTTAGTTGGCGCAATTACTGGCAACACAAATATCGAAAGTTCAAACCCTATAGAACCTGATTCATCAAACCCAGAATGTGGAATGGGAAGGCTTGTTAAGCTTAGCCTGCCATTTTCTCTAAAAGAACTCGTTTCAAGAGTGAAAGACCAGTTAGGTCTTGATCATGTGCAAGTTGCAGAGTCGAAAAATGGGCCCGATCATGAAATAAGGTCGATCGCTATTTGCGCTGGTTCTGGTGGTGGGGTGTTTAAAGGCTTACAAGCTGACTTGTACTTCACTGGGGAACTATCGCACCATGAAGCTTTATATTTTAAGGAAAATGGTTCATCAGTGATTTGTTGCAACCATTCTAATACGGAGCGTCCGTTTTTGAAGTTTATTAAAGAACAATTGCAAAAAGAATTAAACTCAGATGACGAAGTCATTGTTAGTGAGACTGATAAAGATCCATTCCAGACATGGTGAGGCCGTATAGCAATTGCTGGAGCTGTATAGATCCTCCAAATCATATAAAGCCGCACTTGTACAGAAAATACACAAAGAAGAAATAAAAACCATCTCTGAATTTCTAATCTCTGGGCCACCTTAGATACACTAGATACATTAGATACACTAGATACATTAGATACACTTCACACTTTGTTCATCACATCCCAAAAGTCTATGATCAATTGAGGTGTTGCAAAATGGTTGATCAGCAACCAACTGCAAAGCCTTTGCTTCTTTCCCCAGCAAATGGGTCTCAAGAAACACCAGTGAGTTTACACCAAGCAAGAGGCGCAATACCATCGCATAATTTAAAGTCAACCATTGTTCCGTGTTCTGGAACTTCGTTCGTATTTTTGTATGGGGGTTTTGATGAAAATGATGCATTAGATAGTAATGTCTATTTGTTGAATACTGACACGATGGAATGGGAGATTGACAACAAAGTGGATGGATTATACAGAGAGGGACATCTGGCTGTTTACCTCAACAACGGTAATGTCTTGATATTTGGTGGATTGCCTTTTGATGATGAGGTATCACTTTCCGGTAATCAAGGTGGTGTGACTTCAAGTGGAGAGATACGAAAGGATAGTTTGATGATGATTTACAACGTCTTCGACAAGAAGTGGATCGGTCCGCCTGATTTTGCATTGACAGATGCGCCAAGTCCAAGATCTAGACACGCTTGTTGTTTGACCCCCGATGGCACAAAACTCTTTATAAGTGGGGGATTGGTGAAATCCTCTGTGTTGAGTGACCTATATTGTTACGACCTAATTTCCGGATCCTGGACTGGACCTTTTGAATTTGTGTCTAGATTTGATCATACTATTATTTACCATGATGAACGTATCTATTGTTTTGGTGGGTTGGATAGAGACATGAATCATGTCAAGACCATTACCTTTTTTTCATTTACAACCCAATCTACCTGTGAGGTTTCTATTTCAAGCTTGGCAGCAACAAACTTTTCGTCATTAAGCTACGATTTGTACATTTTGGAAAGTATGAAGAATTCAGAAACAGCTTTGTTTGTAAGCCTTCCTACATGGAACTCAGATGGTGGGATCAATATTGCTAGCTTGGGTTTGTCAAACTTTGAAACACGAATCTTGTTTGAGAATTTGAACTTGCTGAAATTTATGAACGTGAGTGAACGTTATGCCAGGTACCTTTGGTCCTGCGCATTTATAAACCACAAAGGAACACTCTATTTATTGGGTAATAAGAAGAGGCAATTCACTCGCTTGTTGGGTGATAATTTAACACCTCGTTGGTTGCAAAATGAAGATGAAGTTGAAAACGAAAATGAAAATGAAACTGTTGGCGGCACCGACTGGATTGAGGAAGAGCAGGATTCAGTGGAACAGGGTGGAAAATTGACGCATGTATTGGAAGTTGATTTAGGACTGTTTGGCGTTGCAAGTCATCGCAGCAATAACTTGATGTACGATTTGGAAAAACTCTTTGAATCACACTTGTTTGCTGACTTTGAGATTACCTGCTTGGCGAATGAAAGTGACAAGCACAATTTTGAAAGTCAAGCTTCGTACGAAACCAAGTCGTTACCAGTTCATAAGTCTATATTGAGTGCAAGATGGCCACATTTCTACCGCATGGTGTCAGCAGGGATGAACGAGAGTCTCGAGAATAAGGTTTTTATCCCGGAACCGTTTGACAGAGTTCAAGCGATGGTTTACTATTTATATGTTGGTAGGCTTGAGCAAAACGACAAATTGAGAATATGTGATTATTCCGCATTGGTGGTTTTGGCCAACATGTACGAATTGACTGAATTCAGGGGTTTAGTTTTGCTGAGGCTAGTATCGTTGTTTCAACTGTTTGAGGCCTGGTTCAATGATAGTGAAGAATCAGTTTCGAATTTACTACTGATATGGAAGGATCTTTCTATTTCAAATGAGCAAATCTTGTTGTCGAAAGTCATTGCTCTCATTAAGCAGAAATGGAGCGTCATTACAAGATCTAAATCATTTATGCTACTCAGCAAAGATGACATTGTAAAGCTATGCCAAGCTTCAACAGATGACATCATCTCCCAGCTGGTCGTTAAAAGTCCAAGTCGAACTTCGTTGCGTTCAGTCGAGACTGCTTCTCCTGGCACGCCAGGGAGAAGAACAAACTCTCCTTTTGTGATTGATTCTCCTGTTGCACAGAATAGTCTCCAGCACATGGGATCAATATTCTAGAGAAGTTGTAAGGATAAACGTTTTATAAAATGGTATTCATTGTTGCTAAGTAAATGTAAATTAAATATCTAATGAATGTAGAGTTCTTCACTGTGTCACCCGCATCTAGTTGAAGTTATCGTCAATAAAACTATGCAAGGCATCACCAATTGCCTCCACGCCATCCTCAATATCATCAATTATATCACCAAACAATTGACCAAGCCCTTCTTGGTGTGTGGTAGTGGTGGTTGCAATGGCTTTTGTTGGCCTAGTATTGCTCGTGTCGCTAGTTGTAGTAGTTGTCAAAAAGTCGCTCGGCTTGGGCAACGATTGTGTCTCTATCTGAGTTATTGTTGATTGTTCAGACACTAGAGAAGCTTTTGTACTTGGATTTGGCTGTTCATCAACTGGTTTGACTTTATTGCCGACCCTCCACAACTGATCATAAGTCGCGTTATTGCGAACAATATGTTCCACTTCAAACGGCAAATTGGGGAATGTCAGATCATCCTTCCAGTTCTTTGGCAACACCTCAGAGGCAATTTTATTGGCCAATGTACCATTGTTCGCTGCTGGTTGCAACTCCAACGAGGCGCAGATGAGATTGTAAAAATTCACGTTTGTGAATGGTTTGACCTTGTTTGATTTAAATTTCTCCTTAAAGAATGGGCCTGAGCCTAAAAACAAAGCTCTCATTAATAGATGTGTATTGTCGTAGCCGTGAACGCCCTTTGGCTTGTACTCTCCTCCATTTTCGTCCATTTGTTTATGAGTTGTGACTGAATACCCGACATCTGGTACTATCCAAAGAGGGGCTAATCTGTAATTGAACTTGTGGTCATTGACGGGGCCACCGAACTGAAACCTCTGTGGTATTTCGTCTCTCTTGTATATATGGTAATGTTTAGTCAAGTCTTGGTCGAGCTTTTCGAATCGGGACTTAATTTCACGTAATGCTTCTTCGACATCCACATTTGGTATTAACCCAATCAATGGAAAACCATCCACATGGTCAATCTTTTTCAAATCGATCAAGTCGTCAAGATACAACACTCTCTTGCTGGATGTGGGAGCCATTCCATGATCGCTCACAAAGACTAAATTGACGATATGATCAAGGTTCCTCTTGTGAAGCTCACTCTTCATCAATTGTACAAAATCATCGACATAAGTCAAACTCTTTGATAATTCTTCCCCTGATATACCATATTTGTGGCCGTATTCATCAACTGTAGGTACGTAAGTCAAAATCAACTCTGGCCTCGTGTCTATCTCTCGGTCCAACCAGCCCATCACCCTCTCCACTTTGGATGTCAACAACTCAGACCCGTTGAATCGGTCAGAATCAAATTCAGGACCAACTCCAGGGACTTCAGATCCGGGCCACATGTGCACCGCCGCTTTTACTCCCTGCTGCACAGCAGTCTTCCAAATTGGCTCACCGCCTTGCCAAAAGTCTGGGTCTAAACTACCATTTTGTGGATCTGTACTTACAAACTGTTTGTTCAATTTTGTATCAAAAAAAGTATTGCCCACGATACCATGCTCAGATGGATATAACCCTGTGACCAACGTCCAGTGGTTAGGGAAAGTCACCGATGGAAAACTGGGGGTCATGTATGGTGCGCCATAGTCATTGATAAACATGTTGTGGAGCGTTGGTGTGTCATGTGGGTTGATATAATGAGGATGGAACCCGTCTAATGAAACCACAATAGTCGTCTTATGGAAGTCGTGGGTTGAATTGGAGAAGAGCTTGTGCAGTGGCTTTGTTGATTGACTGCTAAACTTTAAGTTGTTGTTCTTTGCAAAGTAAAGCACGAACATTAAGATTGCAACTACTGTAAGTACGCCACCACCAAATATGGTCCTGTTCTTGACTTTCTTCTCAAGTAGTCTTAGCCTATACTCCTTCAAATCAATTGGTGGTTCTTCCAAGTCCTCCTCATCTCCCAATGGCGAATCAATACCAGCATCGTAACGCAGCACCATTTCGTAGTCATTGTTTGCTCTTGAGTCGTTTCTCAAAAGCGACTTTAGCTTGCCAATAAGGCTCGAACCGGATGTGTTGTTGTCGTCGTCATTTGCGAGAGGGTCAAATAATACGTTTGATGAGTTGTTGCGGTCCTGACGCTCGGCAAATATTATATCGTCTTCGGGATCGTCCATGTCAGTGACAGGGACATCGACTGCATGGGAGGTGTTGTAGCGTATCGACATTGTTTGGAGCACGTACGTGAATAACTCAAGTGTGGTGTGGTTTATCTCTCTCTCCCTTTCTTTAGTTTAGGACACTTTTTTTTTGTGCTACAAATTCAAGTACTTATAAAGGGAGGAACTTACCAAAAAGAATAAAAGCAAAATTCATATAACCGGAAAGCTCTATGTAGTAACCACCAAGGTTACATATAGTCACTCTTTAGCTACAAGCTACATTTAGTGAAGAAAAAGAATACTTTATAAGCAATCTATCCTGCTATGATCGAACCTAATCAAGACAACTAACGTATGGCAAATTCTTCCATTCTGTGTCGGATTTGAATACTGAAATACAGTTTACCACTGCTTCTGACATTACTTCTAGTTATCGTGTTGAAAGGATTTTCAAACCTTGAATTTTTTTCTTACGTGCTGCAATTGTTTCTTGGATTTGGGTGCAAAAATTTCAAAATAAAATTGATTTTCATGTTGTATACTCAACATGATTCTACATCTCAATATGTCGGGACTTTAAAGAAACAAATTATTCAAAAATCTTCTATCAAGTTTTTCCATCTCTAATTTAATGAAGTATTCATAAATTACAGTTTCTTACTTGTTTTATGGAAAACACCCTCTTAAATTGTCCAAAAAATAGAGTCACAAGTTCTAAGTCAATATTGAGGTTTATATAGAAGTCTATAACAATAATAATGAAGATTACTGAGACAAAGGGAGGCTTACTCTACGTGGCAATCTACCAAACTACTTCAAGATATCATATGGTTATCACGCGACTTTCACCTGAAAGTCATGTGAAATTAGTACTTTATATACTTTTAAAGAAAATAATTTTCAACAATTTGAGTTAATAACTCAGTTGTCAGGCAACTTGTCCGAGTGGTTAAGGAGAAAGACTTGAATAGTTTCAAGGTATCTTTTGGGCTCTGCCCGCGTAGGTTCGAGTCCTGCAGTTGTCGATATTTTTTTTCATTTTGCTAGTTGCTCACTAACACAAAGACGTTATCCTTTTGAATATCAAAAATGGGCGCCATAATTTTTTTTTTATGTTTTTGTTTTCACTTTTGCTTTTTGGAAACATAATTAGTCTACTGTCCTCCCCCTCATGGTTGAGATTATCAAATACAAAGGATTCGATCATATTTGGCAATACTCTGGACCATGGTTGTATTACTTACTAGCGGCTTACATCAGTCTCCCCATATTGGCATATAAGTTATTGCCATACTTTTTCCATAGTAGGAGGGCATCAACTCGAAAGAGTGTTTTAATATTAGTATTGGGAGATTTGGGCCACTCGCCGAGGATGTGTTATCATGCATTATCATTTAGCAAGATCGGGTACGATGTCAGTCTTTGTGGATACATTGAAACACGACCACCAGAAGAAGTTGTCGATGATTTGAATATCGACATTGTACCCATTGGCGTTGTTCATAATGTTCACAGCTTACCATTTGTAATATTTGCAATTCAAAAAATTTTCACGCAATTGAAGCAATTGGTCAAGATACTTTGGGACAAAGGAGCTGGAATTGATGTGGTGATGATACAGAATCCGCCAAGTATACCCATTTTGCTCATCGTTTTACTATTCAAACTATTCATTCATAGACAATGGAAGGTTGTTATTGATTGGCATAATTTAAACTACACGATATTGAATCTTAGGTTTCAAAACATTAACCATCCATTGGTGAGATTGATGAAGTTTTACGAAAGCTTTTTAGGAAGATTTGCCGATTTAAACATTACGGTAACGAAGCAAATGAAAAAGTTTTTAATCAACGATTTTGGCTTTGACAAGTCGAAGGTGACTACATTTTATGACCGACCAGGAATGCAATTCAAGCCAGCAGAAAATAAACAACCCAGAAAGGAGCACGAAATTTTCCAGGATGTCAAGAATATTGAACAATATAGGATACTAATTAGCTCCACATCATTTACCCCTGATGAGGACTTTGATGTTTTGCTCGATGCATTGGAACTATACGACAAACTGGACAAATCGACTACACCACCTATCTTGCTCATTGTTACGGGAAAAGGTCCCTTGAAGGAAAAATTTGTTCAACGCGTGATTGAACTCGATTATTCACCAAAAGTTATTGTGAAAACAGCATGGTTAACCTCTGAGGATTATCCCATAATCTTGGCACAAGCTGATTTGGGGATATCTTTGCACACATCTTCGAGTGGGATTGATCTCCCCATGAAGATTGTTGACTTTTTTGGCTGTGGGGTGCCGGTGATATCGCTAAGTTTTCCCGCAATAAATGAGTTAGTTAAAGAAGGTAACAATGGACTCATAGCGGAGGATTCTACAGCTGAAAATATAGACAAACTATTGGAAAAAGTATTTACCGATGAAACTTTACTATCACGGTTGAAGGAAGGTGCCTTGCTAGAAAGTAAGTCCAGATGGGACGAAAACTGGATGTCTGTTCTAAGGTCCAGATTCGTAAATGAGTAGTCAAAACAAAAAATACTGTTATAGAGACAATAAATGTGCTTGCAAGCTGAGCAAATTTTCCAAAGTATTCTCATTCTTCATTTTCCCTGGCTGTAGGTTGGAATCGGTCCAGAATCTATAACCATCGTGCTCGTAGTTGTCGAGTAGCCTATGGTCAGGAATTTCGTCAAAGTCAGCAGCTTTGTAACCCAATAAAGTGCCAGTTACATAGGTCCAACACTTGGCAACTTCGGTGTGGTTATAACCACCCCCACCTAGCACAATGACTGGTATGTCTACATACTCAATCAATAAATGTACTACATCCGCATACCCTTCAATTGTCATATTCCATTCATTATTTGGATCTGAAGAAAGTCCATCACATCCTAATTGAACCACTAAATATTGTGGCTGATGTTTATCAATCAACTGGAATACAATGTTTTGGAGAATCCATTGCATAACTTCATTGGTCAACCCTCGTCTTGTAGGTACATTATACATACCTGACACTGAATCTTCTAATTTTCCTGACCCAGCAGGGAAAAATCCTACATCATGTCGATGCACTGAACACGTTGTAACCTTTTTTGAAAATTTAAATGCTTCAGCTACTCCATCACCATTATGTAAATCCAAGTCAAGATAAAAGACTCCTCCCAGACACATTTTGCGGATGGTGGATATTCCAAGAACGACATCGTTTATGTAACAGAATCCTGAACATCGTGAGCGATGACAGTGATGTCGCCCGCCATACCAATTTATGCCAATGATTTGACCAGGAATACCTCCTTCTTTGCAGGAGTTGACAACTCGTTTTGCAAGTTGAATTGTAGAAGCGGCAATTAGATTCACGTAGTAACGCATAAAGGGAAACGGATAACAATCAAATGATAAACCAAATTTTTCATCATCACCAACAGTCTCCTCTTCTGTATCATTGCAACCTTCAAACTCTTCACTCACGGCCATTCTAACCTTTTCATAACTGTCCAATTGCTTATCAACGTCATCTCTAGGTTGTTGTAATTGGTTTATGAAATCTTTGTCATGGTACTGCCCCATTGATGCGTCTTGGATAGGGATGATGGGTAGGACTTCGCATAACTCATCTAGCTTATAAGCATTTAGCAATCCTTGGACTAGTGACTGGCGCTGCTTATTAGACGGTAATTCATCGGCTAGTGTAGTTAATAGATCAGAATGAGTGAGGATGATATGGTTCATGTTCAATCAAATGATGAAAAGTTCTACAGCGCGTTTATTATTATTATTTTTGTGCAAATAATGTTTTTACCACTCTAAAACTATCTTATTCTTTTTACAAAACTTCCCTATTATCGGTACCAAAATAGTGTCAATTTGCTTATACCAATCATCGACGCCTACCATGAGAAATAAACGTTGATTGTCATCGTCACCTTCACCATTGCAATTAATAACAGTCTTGTGGTACGTTAAAATATTCAATATATCCCGAAATAACGTCACCGCCTTGCCGAAAAGACCGTCATCAAACAAAGCTTGCAAATACGTGCCAAAATATATCACATCGTCTTCATGTGGACCTCCTTGATTCAAGGAAGTGTTTACCCAATCTTTAACTTTTTGCCGCAATTCAGATGATGTCACATGCTCTTTTAAAAACTCGGGCATGCCAAACAATTTGGGTTGCTGCTGTATCCACTGAGGTGTAACTTCTTTAACCTCCACTTTTGCCTCCTCAATCTTTCGACTCACCTTATCCCGCATAGGCACTAAATCGAACTTTTTAATGTTTTGCTTATATTCCATGTCCTTAAAGATATCAGCTTTCACCGACGATGGCAACTGGTTCAATAAAGATGAGTCGTATGACTGAGACTCATCGTAAACAAACTCACGCTTTTGCTTCTTCACGGGAGATGCTTTTGGTGTGGTGGATCTCAGTCTCAGTGGTGATTTCGTCGGCGATTCAACGACACGAACGTACTTTGTAGTACCTCCCTGAGTAGGTATTAGTTGCTGTAGATACGCTTTACCTTTACTGGGACTTTTGTCCTTAGCGAGGCCTCTTCTCCTCAATTCGCTTTCTAATTCATGACGAATATCTAGCGGCAAGGACTCAAATACCTCCCAGTCTATTTGTTGGTCATTTTCAAATGGGTCCTGAAAATTGGAAGCAATGCTTTTTTCGCGACGAGGAGTAAAGGACAACTTTGTCAAACTGACCGCACTCTTTTTGGCAGAACTTCTTTTCGTTGGACTTTGTGAATGGTTTCTTTTCAAACCGCGATAAGATTCAAAGTCTTTGCTGGATCTAGTGTCTCGATCAGCAGCACTAAACGGTAATTTCATTTGTTTCGAGCTCTTGACTGACTCAGCATCTTTCAATCTGGTCATACTGACGGCAATACCTCGCAACTCCTTAATAGGTATATTAAGCATTCTATGCAATACTTTTATTTCACCGCCAATGACTCCCCAGTCGTTAGTAGCCATTCCAAGTCTTGAAGATTTATTAACAAATTCAACCTCTCCCATTCCTAAAAATTTGGCTGGCACAACACTAGCACCAGCTTTCCTCTTTGCTAGTCTTAGTGTCAAAGTAGAGCCACACACGCCCAAATTGATCATTCTTTGATACAACTCCCTTGCCAATCTCATGCAAAAGTCATCCAATTCCTCAACAGTATCGAACCTGATACCAAAGTTGACATCAACAGAAATGGATTTTCTACCCAACACAATCTCGGGGTTGGACGTGTCAACCTCTATATTGGTATGATCTATACCTCGAGCATATTGGTACAATTTATTTCCAGTCTTTTCCCCCAAGATCTGGACTAATCTCGAATTGGATAATGGTAAGATATCGTTAATCTTTGGTGACGACTTTCCAACTTCTGGTTCCAACTTATCCAAAATACCTCCTCCAAACCCAGGCAAATCCTTTACGGGCACTGGTTTCAAAAAGTCCTCAGCATCATTTAATAAAGAGAACTGCCCATCCGGCTTAGCCTTCCTTAATGCCAATTTTGCAAGCAAGACATTTGGGCCCAGCCCAACACTAACCGTACACCCTGTCAAATGGTAAACGTGTTGTCGAATCAAAGAACCAAGTTCTTTTACCACTTCTTCAACGCCTTTCTCTGACTTGTTACAGTATGAAGTTGCATCAACCAAAACCTCATCGATGGAAACAGGGTATATAGTATCGAAATAGTTGCTACTTACAAGATAGTTGTAAAATTCACTTGAGTATTTTTCATAAGCCTCGAATTCGTAGTCTAATGAAATCAAATCAGGACACAACTTCTGCGCCAGTTTCAACCACATACCATTTCTCACGCCATGCTTTCTGGCAACGTAATTACAACTGGCAACATCTGACGTGTTTCCGCCATGACCTACTGCTATTGGGTCTTTATTGATATCCAAATTGGGATGCTTTAAACACGACGCTGTCGCAAAAAAACAATCAAAGTCAATATGCATTATGATTTTGGAACCGGGAGTATCTTCTAGAAACGGATCTCTAGCATGCTTGTGAAGATTTTCCTTGATAATTTTCCTTAAAAATTTTAATCTCAAATCAGCTTTCCACATACTCAAATGATGCAATCTTGAATTAGCAAAAAATCCTGCCAAAAAATCAGGATGTCTTGCGTCTAAAACATACTTTCCTTTCACTTGATGTACACCCTTTGTGGAGCTGGAAGAAGGTGCAACCTTAAAATTTAGCATGTCGTCATCGACATTTTCTACTTGAGCATTTTGTTCTTCTATCTCCTCCTCAAACTGTTTCAGTTTCTGCAATAAATTTTCCTCCTCTGGCAACAATGTTGAATCAAAATCATCATCTTCGTCTAAACCTTCAGGCTCAGCTTCTTTATCTGCAACAGCGTCAGCCTGTACTTGTACTATGCCACTGCTAAAAGGCTCATTTTCGCCCTCTTTTACACCATCGGTCTCGGGACGTGCCAGTTCAAAGCCTAGACGCGTTTGATTGAAAGCCACATCTAAAATAAGTCGATACTGTTGCCAATCCAAAAGGCAATTTTTCTCAATGCAATCTACAATCCATTGCGCTTTCACCACTCGGCAATTTTTAAACATCACATTTTTCCTTGGGGTTAAGCGATCACAAATAATATGAGTGGCACTAGACTTGTTTGGCAAATAGCTCAAAAACTTGCCCCCATGGAGAATAACCAATCGATGAATTTCATTGACTGAAGGTTGAGTGTGTCCATTGACAAATATTGTACAGCCCAAGAAGATGGGAAGGGGCTGCAGGTTCTTGTTTTGTTGTTTCCTTCTCTCTCTATCCCACTTGACATACGCCTCATCTTGTCTCTGTTGTTTCATGCGTTTTGAATGAAAATATGTGCGATAATCTCCAAACTCGTGAAGTTTACCGATGGCACTTTCATCTTTATCACTTTCTGATGACTCTTCACTTAGACGTGCTTCACAATCAAGAGGAACAGCCGCCGCCACCGCAGGACTAGAAGCAGGCTCAATTTTGTCATCAGCACCTTTTGCCTCTTGATTTTGCTCATTGTCAACCAATTTTAAAACCTCCCCATCTAAACCATCATTAAATGGGTCAGTACTAGCAGAGCTAAGCACTGGGGCTAATCTTTTAGGCGTAGAAGCCTCTTGAAACGATGGATCATCTTCTGTTTGCGATTGTGCAAGACCATTGATGTGAGATATTAGGGTTTCATTGTTTAAAGACCTCAAGAAAATCAGATATTGACTATCATTTAATTCATCCTCCCCCTCCTCCTCCTCCTCCAACCGGTTTATCTGTTCCTCGTGTGTGTGCTGTTCTCCATCATTCATATAAATAGACTCAGTCCTATATCTTATAACCTCACTACACGTCGTGTAATTTTTCCACTGAAATTCTAGATTGAATGTAAGACTGTAAGAAGCAGTCTTTTTTTTTTGTGTACTTTTACTTGTAAACTAAAATTTCTCCTTCTCTCCTTTGTTTCTGCTGCTTCTGTTGTTTTGTTGTTTTGTTGTTTTGTTGCTTTGTTGTTGTGTCTAAAAATAAAATTAAATAGAGAGAAAGAGAGAACAAGAGAGAACGAGAGAACGAAAGAGAGAGAGAGAGAGAAGATCAACAAACTCAATAAGTCATTCATAAAAAAAAAAAAATAATAATAGTAATATACAAATCACCAACACACACATCATCATCATCAACACACACACTAACACACACACGTCTTCTTCTTCTTCTTCTACTACTTTTATCACAACACTTTAACAAACTACTAGAGAAAGTCACAGCAATCAATAATCTAAAAACCAAAATACCCAAATACCCAAATACCCAAATACCAAAAAACATACATAATGGTATGTGTCGAACTGAATGTTGGATCAATTCAGAGAGGTTAGCAAATGAGGTTGAATTCAAATTGAAGAAGGAGTAATCTATTTCTTTTGCTATTTTCTTTGCTTTTGATTCCATATATTTATTGCCTTCTTCGCATCTTATACTAACACTTTTGATTCAGGCTGAAAAATTATCAGAACAGCAAATTGCTGAATTCAAGGAAGCATTTTCATTGTTTGACAAGGACAGCGATGGAAAAATAACCACCAAAGAGTTGGGTACTGTCATGAGATCCTTGGGACAAAACCCTTCAGAAAGTGAGTTGACAGACATGATCAATGAAGTCGATGTTAATTCGGATGGATCGATTGATTTCCCAGAGTTTTTAACTATGATGGCTAGAAAGATGAGAGATACTGATTCTGAAGCTGAGATTGCTGAAGCTTTCAAAGTGTTTGACAGAAACGGTGATGGAAAGATAAGTGCTGCCGAATTAAGACATGTTCTTACGTCTATTGGTGAAAAATTGTCTGATGCTGATGTTGATCAAATGATTAAGGAAGCTGATACAAATAACGATGGTGAGATCGATATTCAAGAATTCACTCAATTGTTGGCTGCCAAGTAAAAAGGAGAGCTCTAGTTAATTAGAATAGCAAATTAATTTTAATCAGTCCAAGATAGTATAATATTGATGCAAAACTCAAAAATGTAATACTATAACATTGTAGATTGACACTTGTGATGAACTTTGGTGAACTTTGGTGAACTTTGGTGAACCTTGGTGAACCTTGGTGAACTATTTGTTCAAAATAGGGTTACAAAAAAAAAAATAAAAAACAAAATTGTGTATCACAACCCAACGCATTACAATTATGAACATCAACAAACACCTATGGACAAAAGGTTGAAGTTGTTGATCAATACTTACGAGTTAGACCCTGGTACTTTGCCTCTAAACCACCAATCAAACGATCGAGAGACTTTTGCCCCACAGCCACTTCCAAAATCAACCAATTGCATGTTTGATTCACACAAGAGCAACAGCACAAACAATAGTTGCAAATATGTACCACCACATAGAGCTAGGTCCAGGAAGCCAGGAAACAAGCGTAATGGGACCAAGAATGATGCAAAGATGACAGAAGATGAAAAAATGGCGAAAAGACGAGAGAGGTTTAGCGTCAAAAAGAACGACAACAATAAGCAATCTCACATTTACGGTCTTCTAAGTAGGGGTGAGGATACGCGTTTGAAGGAGTCAGAGACTCTACGGGAGGAGTATTTTCTTGTAATTTTACACCAGTTTATTACATATACCTCAACCAATACTTCAAAAACATTATCTGAAGCATTCAAGAAAATCAAGGATCTGGATCCCAAGGATATTGAAAGTGCACAATCCTTAAAACCCGACAAGGAGATTGAGACAAAAGCAGTTACTATGGAATCGTTGTCAATGTCACTAAGGAAGTTGCGAGAAAGTTTGCTACACTTGAGCCCTTCACCTTTCCACAAGAAGGTGTTTTTATTTTCAACACGGATCTCCTATTGCTGTGGCCAGTATCAGACGTACATTCCCAGCATCAATTACTTGTTACTGCACAAAGATGATTTGGTTCTATCCAAGCTGGAAGTTGAGGAAGTTGCCGTGATTTTGGCATTGCATCTAACCCATTTCAATAATGATATGCCTCAAGCTATTCAAGCTTACTTTCGATATATACCAAATCGCAAGGATATATTGCAAATAATACAGGCATGGATACAGAAAGATTACTACACTTGGATCCGAATATACAATCTGGTTGAAAGCTTTGCAGTAAAGTCGATGATGAAACTAGGATTACCTAAAATGATAAACCAAATGATCAAAAGTTTAAGTTCAAGCTACTTCAGTATGAAGAAGTCGGTAATTCAAAGTGAATTGCTTCCAGATGATTTGGAGTATGACGATTTAGTGACAGTTTACAAGGTGAATTGGACCGTTGATGATGCAGGGTTGGTAACTATAAGAAAAAGACAAAGCAGGAAAGGTAGATAGCTCCAAAATTGAAACGAGCAAACTTCTGTCTCTCGCACATGTAGATATACATGTATACATACATACATACATACATACATACAATGAATGTGTTTTTGCAACACAACTATATTCTTCTATTGCTTATGCTTAGATTTCTTACCAAAGGGTAATCCAAAAAACGATAAAGAAAAAAACGAAAAAAAAAATAAAAATATAAAAGAATAAAGTGTAAGCGAAGGAGGAGAACCAAATACTTTTAAGTACTTTTCATAAATAAAAGACACTTTATACATTATTATTAACCACGACGTTGTTCCATTCATTAACTAGCATATAAACCACCTTCCAGATTATACCACAATAACACTACATACATGTTCAAGTTTGATTCATTTAATGATACCCTGCGACCCAAGCTCCCAGAGCTGATAAAAATAGACGACATCACCTCAGGAAGGATTGACCCGCAACTTATATATGATGAAATAGAAAGGTTGAAAGCAGAGATAAATATATTGAGAAATGACATGTCGTCGTTCCTACAAGCGTTGGCCACCGTACCTGCCAACAATTCATCACAAGAGTACTTTCGAACCACAATGTCAAGATTGGAGACAATACAAAAAAGTATTCTGGAATACTGTGAGCGATATAATAAGCTATTGCCGATTATAAACTTGGCCCAAATTAAGCTTGGCCACGAGGTCGAGGCGCCCCCAGTGAACAAGACCAAAACAAGCCAGCCACAACCAAATAACAAAGTCAAAGCTGGAGCTAAAGTACCGCCCTCGACGGGGCAAAACTCCCTGGGTCAGTCTTCCAGTTTCAATCAACCAACGTCGAATAATGGACCTACAAATGGATCAAAAAGTGCCAAAAAGCCGGTCAAAAAGGGGACTCAGACAAATAAAACCATAGAAGGATCATCGACGCAACCGATAGTTATATAGATAACATACACTATAATGAATTCTGGTCTATGCTAAAACTGGTTTATCTTTGGTTACTATTATTACACTTTGTAGAGTTAAGGAGACTAATTCTTTCGCTACAGCTTCTCACAACGCTTACTGTGTAAGACGCAGTACCCCCGGTGGTAACTACCACTAGCTTATACACTCTAACCCTATCGCTACATAAACCACAATGTAGTGTGACCAATGCCACTTCACGTGCTCAATATTCAAAACCTACACGACCATAAGGCTGTCTCTATTTTTTTTCTTCTTCTTCTTCTTTTAAATTGCTGTGTAAAAGTAAACAAAATAATTTTGTACGACAAAACACAATCTTAAAGGGAGAAGTTTAAATATTCAACATATAATTAATACCACCCTTTTACAACAAAATAAATCATTCAAGGTTTAAGGTATAGACCAAATTGGAATTGGAATTGGAATTGGAATTAGAATTGAACCGAATTGAATTGATAAAAACAGTTAAAACCAAGCCTCGTATTTCACAAAGACATGTTTGAATCACTTGTTGCCAATCTAATCAATAGATTTCTCGGATCTTATATAGAAAACTTTGATCCAAAGCAACTAAATATTGGAATATGGAGCGGTGACGTCAAACTTAGGAATTTACGTTTGAAGAAGGAAAGTCTCGATAAGTTCAAGTTACCGATAGATGTCAAGTTTGGTCACTTGGGAGAATTAACATTGCAAATTCCGTGGTCGAATTTGAAATCTAAACCTGTACGAATCATCATTGAAGATTTGTACGTTCTAGCCTCACCCATAATTTTGCAAGACTATGATGCCGAAGATGACGAGAAGAGGCAGCAGGCTTTAAAGGAATCTAAATTGAAGGACCTAGAGGCAATTCTTGAAGCCAAGGGAGAAGAATTGGGTCGCGATCTTGCCGATGAGACTTTTGCCGAGTCTTTGGTAAAGAAAATTGTTGATAACCTTCAAGTTACCATCAAAAAAATACACATCAGGTATGAAGACCAATCTGTTTTGACAGAAAAGCCATATACATTGGGCACGTCATTGGAAGAACTATCTGCCGTTTCGACAGACGAAAACTGGAAACCATCGTTCATAGCTATTACGCAAGCCTTCACCAGGAAATTGCTTACATTGAAAAGCTTATATTGCTATATGGAAACGAAGGACCCTCAATTGTATTCAAGTCTTGACAAGGAAGGGCAATTGGAAGCATTTAGAGCCCAAAACAGTTGTCAAGAGTTCTTGATGAAGCCTGTGAGTGGTAACGGAAAACTTACTATCCACAAACTTGGAGCCACCGAGATGCATCCTCACCTAGATACCGAGCTTTTCTTTGAAGAGTTTGGGTTGGAAATGAACGAGCAACAATATGAGGATATTTTATGGACGGCTTCAAAGTTTCGGTGGTATTCCAAAACATCCAAGTTTCGTAAATTTAGACCAAAGTTGCCACCAAGCGAGGACCCAAAAGCTTGGTTCAGATATGCAGCTGATTGTGTTTTAAACGAAATACACGAAAAGAATTACAAGTGGAGCTGGGATTATTTTGCCAAAAGAAGAGACGAGAGAAAGTCTTATATCAAGTTGTGGAAATTAAAATTGGAAAAGAATATTGGTGAGGAAGAAGGCAAACAGTTGCAAAAACTAGAACTGACGCTTACTTTTGATGATATTAAATTATACCGTTCTCTTGCCCGAAATGAGCTTAGAAAGGAAGGAAGCAAGGCAAAACTTTACGACACGGAATCAGCCGAAAAGAATGACCAGCAGAAAAAAGGATGGTTTTCTGGTTGGTGGGGAGGTGGAAGTACAGCTCCACTGGAAGATGAACAACTGAAAACCATAGATGCAGATGGAGAGCACATAGATCTTTCTTTAACTGAGGATCAAAGAAAAACCCTTTATGATACTATAGATTATGACGAAGAGGCAGAGATATCAACAGTCGATCTTCCTGATGATTGCGTTAAAGTTCGCGTTTCAGCTGCTTTGAATAAAGGAGGGTTGGTTGTCAGACGAAATGATTTGACAAGTTTGGCCGATGTCTCATTTGAAGGCTGTAAAGCTCATTTTTATCAAAGACCAAACTCTTTTCTTGCTGGTTTCCAGGTGCTCGAGTTTAAGGTCGAGGATGGAACTGGTTCCAGCATTTACAACCATATTGTTAGTGTCAAACAAGCAATCCCAAACTCAGATGAGGTGGATTCCAACGAAGATTCAACTCCCTTCTTTCAAATCCTGTATGAGCAGAACCCTCTTGATGGCTCAGCTGACTCGAAGTTATTAGGGTCCTTGAAATCAATGACTATTTTCTACAATCCAAGGTTTATTGAGGAGGTGATTCGGTTCTTCACTCCTCCCAAGATCCACTTGGATACTGTGGGAGCTATAATGAATGCTGCTGAGTCCACTGTTGAAGGTCTAACTTCACAGACTAGAATTGGACTTGAATATGCGCTTGAGGAACATAAAACAATTAACGTGAACTTGGATTTACAAACGCCGTTGTTGATCTTGCCATTGGACCCTTCCAGCTATAAATCCCCTGTGGCAATACTAGATGCCGGTCATATAAATGTCGTGAGCGAATTGGTAGAAAAGTCCAGGATCAAGGAATACAAAAATAAGGAAAAGTACACCGAGGATGACTGGAAAAATTTAAACGAGCTCTTGTATGATCAATTTAAATTCAGCTTGGAGGATGCCCAATTTTTCGTGGGGCATACAATAAAGTCGACTATGGAGCAACTATATTCTCACGATAAACCTAGACCCGCTTTAATGCTCGACAACTTTAACGTTAATTTCAATCTTGGATTGTCCATTTTGCCCGATGCCCAAAACTTGGCTCAGATCCGGTTGGGTGGAAATATTCCAAAACTTCAGTTATCTATGAATGACTTTCAGTATAAGACGATGTTAAATATACTTGATGCGGCAATTCCTGATATGAGTGTTGAATCATCTGACGAGTCAAGTCTTTTTGAAGCCTACGGCAATGATTACAAAGAGCAGGGTATAGATATTGAAGATGATCTGCCCAAGGAGGATAGCCAGGATAAAAAAGTGCAAAAATCAAACAACTCTGAACAGCACTTGATTGAGCTCAAGTTTAGCGTTGATTTTATTAAGTTGCATTTATCGAGGTGCATCGATGGGCTTACCTTGGATGCGGAACCTTTGATTGAAATTGTCGGAAATGAATTGGAACTAGACCTTTACAAAACCGAAACGGATCTCCACATGAATTTGGGGCTTTTAGACTTTAATATTTTGGATCATATTGAAAAGTCTGGAAAAGAAGAGTTCCAGAAACTTCTTACATCGAATACTGAGTTAAATACAACCAAGAAGTTGATAGACGTCGAGTACAACAGAAGATTAAGAGTTGTCGATTTCAACAATAAAAAAATAGAGGTGTTTGATCAAGATATTGACCTCCATCTTGCTACAGTCAAGTTTGTAATCACGAGAAAATCTGTCTTGAGCATCTTGACCTTTTGTTTAAATACATTTACTGACCCCAATCAGGAGCCAACACTGGCCGATGAGCTAAACCATAACCCTGAAGATGTTGATGCTGCGCCGCAGAAAATCAATATGAAAGTTAGCCTTGACAGTGTGATTATGGTGCTTAATGAAGATGGCATTAAATTGGCAACATTCCTGTTGAATGCTGCTCAGATCAAGCTTTTGCTTTTACCAGAGGCAATGGATGTGTCGGGAAGCTTGGGGGCTTTGTCCCTTCTCGATGAGTTGAATCATGATAACGAGAGCTCGCCCCGCCATTTGATTCAAATGGATGAAAATGATCTCGCAAAATTCAGTTACAAAACATTTGATTTGCATGGTATAAAGCCATCCGAGCTCAATTTCAATGTCAGTGCTATTTCAGTTAATTTTGTTGAAAGCTCGTTTAGCAGAATTGTCAAATATGGTAACCAGTTTATGCAAATGAAGGCTATTTATGATAGAACTCGAGAAGCAGCTATAAACCAAGCGACTCAACTACCAAATAAAATGAAGTTTGATATCTTGATTCAAGGTCCAAAGATTACTTTCCCAGTTGGAAACACTGGGTCAGATGACATTGTTGCCAACTTGGGTGAGATATACGCACACAATGAATACCAAGGAGTTTTGAATGTCATTTCAGTTGGTATAAGAAACGTTAACCTAGTTTCCAACTTTCAATTTAATGAGGTGAAGCAAAACTTGAAGGTGATTGATGATTTGGATATCTCATTTGACATCAATTGGTCCGAAGATTATGTCAAGAATACACCAACATTTGAAGTTACTGGAAAAACGCCAGGGTTGGACATACACTTGACTGAACTACAGGTAGAGCTGTTGTCGTATATTTCAAATTCAGTTGCCACTGCATTCACTATAGACAGCGAATCTTCGGACTTGCAGGGCATCGAGGAGGAAGCAGCTTTTGCAAATGAAGTGTTGAAGCATAACACAAGGGTTATACAAGGAAACAATGGTGCATTAGATAAAGAAAGTAAGCACAAGGAGACATCACCAGAACTGGAGATCCCACCCGATCATTTGATGGCGAAAGTTACATTTGAACTTCCACGTATCTCATTGTCCCTTTACAACAATACGAGTAATTTAAGTGACATAAAACTGGCCCAATTGTCGACATTTGCACTCAATGAAGTAAAGGTTAACTTTAATTCAAAGCAGGATACCCTGTTTAGAGCCAACATTGCGATAAAATCCTTTGTCGTTGAGGACACTAGACAAAATACCGAGAGCAAGTTCCCCATTATCATACCTGCTGCTGACGGCGTGGAAAATCAATTTCTGTTGCAGATAAACTCTGATGTTGTTGCAGGTAGTAACAACTTGGCAACCATATTGACGGTGGAGAAACCAAAAGCCATCTTGGCACTTGACTATTTATTCGACTTGCAAACATTTTTTGACAAAGCAATCCCGTCAAGCAAAGAAGTACCCGCTGATACAACTGGACATCGGAAATCAGTAACTCTGATTCCCGAGCTGAGTACTACCACGCAAAGGGTGCAAACCCATTTTGGGTTTTCAGTTAATATCATTAAGCCATCCATTTTTCTTTTAGCTGATGATACCAAAGCCGATACAGAGGCGATAGCTTTCAAAGTTGAACAAATATCAATCTCCAAACAAAATATAATTTCTTTGGCAACTAGCAAGGTTGGCTTATATTTGACTCGCATGGACAATCCAAAGAACTCAAGATACAGAATTATTGATGATTTTTCTGTTTCATTTGCCTATGATGACAGAAAATCTTCTCCTGGCAAATTCTTGGATAAAGTCGAAGCCTCTATAGACGCAATAATAATAAGAGTGTCTGTTAGGGATGTTAGATTGGGATTGGCAATAGTTCAACGTGTGAATGACTTGTATGCAAAACATCAGGATACATTAAATGCCAGTAGTAGTGATGACAAACTGATTTCCGAAAGTGTTGATGACGACTCGTCATCCTCAAGCAATTCTTCTCAAGTACTCAAGGGAGAAGTTGATCAAGTCACCGATGGCGAGATTGTGAAAGGGGAAGAATTAACCGCTAGCTTTGGGGGATTGAGATTTGTGTTGATTGGAGATGTGTCGGAATTACCTGTGCTAGATATGAATGTGAATCCTTTCGAGGCCAGGGCAATTAACTGGTCTACTGATTTAAGTGCAGAGATACATTTAGAAACTTTTGTCAACATATTCAATTATTCAAAGTCGGCGTGGGAACCTTTATTAGAGGCATGGCCGGTTGCGCTTTATGCATCCAAGACTCAAGGCACAAATTCAAAGTTGTTCTTTGAGTGCGTTTCGAGAGAGGTGGCCCAAGTTACAGTCACATCCAGATCAGTTGCCTTACTATCTCAGGTCCAGTATCTTTTGAGCAGCGATGAGAAATTGAAACCAAGAGGTGAAGATTATCCATTCTTGATTGTCAATGACACAGGTCTAGATTTGACAGTGTGGACGAATGGGAATAAAGGTGATACCGAGACAAAGATCAAATACGGCGAATCAAGACCGTGGGCATTTGAAGACTGGAGAAAAATTCGAGAGAATTTGGACGTGAACACAGCAAGTACATTGGATGTTGCTTTTATCAATGGCGAATATGAAAATATTGAACATATATCAGCAGCCATGGAAGGAGAAGATTTACATGTTTTATATCCTGCAGTTGAAGGCGTGCATAACCGTCTTTCTGTGTCTATAAATTTGCGCGAGGATAATGTCAAAGTCATCACTCTCAGATCGACAATTCTAATCGAAAATGATGCCGAAGTCCCAATTATAGTTGAAATCTTGGGTGAGGAACGAGCTGAGTTAAAAATTGACTCAAAAAGTAGTCTTTCGATACCTATTGATCTTGCATACAGCGGAACATTCAGAGTCAAGCCTAATCTACACACATCATACAATTGGTCCGAAGAGGAAATTTATTGGAAAGATGCCATGAAGAATGAGCTTTCTTTAAGGTGCCCAGCGACAGTTCGAGAAGACACTTCAGTGTTTTACTTTCAAGCCAAATCGGTTTTTGATAAAAACGAACCATTAGCGCAGGTGTATCCCCATATGAAGTTTGTTATCTCGGCACCTCTTGAGGTTGAAAACTTGTTGCCTTATGACTTTGATTACCGATTATATGACAAAAATTCAAGGCGCGAGTGGACAGGAAGTGTGAAAAAGGGTGTCAAGAGTTATGTCCACGTAGTGAGTTTGAAGAATTTATTGCTACTCAGCATTCAGCCTCGAAACTGTAACTATAGCAAGTCAGAGTTTGCCGTCATCAATGGCGGGTTGCGTAGTGACTTCCAAAGAGAAAACACGCTAAAGCTTAGAGGTGATAACAACTTAAAGTTGAACATTTTTTACCCACGAAAACAAGTTGATAGTACAAGTTTGAAAATCGCTGTTTACAGCCCGTATGTTATTTTAAACAGATCCAATTTAAATATTGTTACTACTGAGAGGGACAACCAATTTGTGTCGCTTGCAAAGACTGTCGATTCGGAACACATCTATCCAACGATGTTTTCCTTCTCCAAATTTGAGGACAGAAAGAATAGAGCAACCATAAAAACAGAGGAGACAGTTTGGTCCCGCCCTTTGAGTTTTGATGCCATCGGACAAGCAAGTGAATTGAGATTACAACTCTTGGGAAAACAAAAGGAGATAAATCTAGGAGTGACCATTCTGGAAGGTGAAGGTATTTACAACTTGACGAAAACCGTTACAATCACCCCAAGGTATGTTGTGATCAATAGACTTCTGGAGAGTGTCATTCTAGCTGAAGAAGGATCTATTAAGGAGATAAATGCAAAACCGGGAGCTTTACTTCCGCTCTATGGCTTGCGCTGCGTGGATAAAAAGAATTTGATAATAAAGTTGGGACAAACTTCTCGATGGTCACAACCGTTTTGTATTGACAATGTGGGTCAATTGTATATAAAGGTACACAAGAGCAATGTTGGACAAGTGTTGGTCAAAGTGACGATGCTACTTGAAGATGCAACAATGTTTGTACACATTGAGGATGCCAATAACCAATGGCCATATTCAATCAAGAATTACACGGATGAAGAATTCTACATTTACCAGACCAACCCCAATATAAACGCAGATGGTGAAATAGTGAAAAGAGACACGGTTTATAAACCGATATACTACCGTGTTCCTCCGAAAAGTGTCATGCCGTATGCATACGACTATCCAAACGGTCTAGTCAAAGAAATTATTGTGAGATCACATGGTCGTGAGAGAGCAGTCAATTTGGCTGAGATTGGAAACCTAAGACCATTTAGGTTGCCATCTACAGATTCCCAGTCTCAAAAAATTGTTGATATCAATGTTGTTGCCGATGGCCCGACTCAATGTTTGGTTATCACCGATTACGACCCTTCAAAGAGTTTATACCAAATAAAGAATGAGACTGTATCTAGCTCGTCATTACCATCCAATCAAGACCAGTTTGTCCAAGCGGAGATTGAAGATAACTATTATACCAAGATAGTGACAAAGCTTGATGGTCTAGGAATCTCGTTAATCAATACAAGAGATCAGGAGCTATGCTACATCACATTGAGAGGTATTGAATTCAGATACAATGAATCCAACTTGTACCAAAACTTTAGTGCAAAACTCAAGTGGGTGCAAATTGACAATCAGCTCTATGGTGGTATCTTCCCAATCATACTTTACCCATCCGTCATTCCGAAAACCGGAAAAGAGTTGAACGACCATCCAGCGCTTTCAGCTTCCATTTGCCAAGTCAAGGATGATTCGCATGGGGTGGTGTTCATAAAGTATGCCACGACACTCATGCAAGAGTTGAATTTCGAGCTTGACGAAGATTTCCTATTTGCAATGCTCGACTTTGTCAAGTTTCCAGGAGCTTCATGGAATAAAGAACAGGTCAATAGGCTATGTGATGAGAATTTGGATATCCCTGAACCACTGAAACTTAGCAACACTAGTGACATTTATTTCGAAGCTTTGCATTTGCAACCTATCCAAGCAAACATTTCGTTTGTGAGAACAGAGAGACTCAATGCCGAGGATAAGACAAACAGTCAGAATACGGTAATGTTTTTCTTGAACATACTTACAATGGCAATTGGAAACATAAACGATGCCCCAATCAAATTGAATGCATTGTTTATTGAAAATATTAGAGCCCCGACACCAATCTTGGTTGAATCGATAAGGACCCATTACAGTCAAGCATTTTTCTACCAACTTTATAATATTGTGGGGTCTGCGGACTTTTTAGGTAACCCGGTTGGGTTATTCAACCTTCTATCCTCAGGTGTGATGGACATTTTTTACGAACCATATCAAGGATATGTTTTGACAGATAGTCCACAAGAGCTAGGCATAGGATTGGCAAAGGGAGGCCTCAGTTTTATGAAGAAGTCAGTGTTTGGATTTTCTGACTCTATAGCTAAAGTTACTGGATCCATAGCTAAAGGGTTGACAGTGGCAACAATGGATTCCAAGTTTCAAGAACGTCGTCGCTTACAAACTCGTAGGAACAGAGCCAATCATGCCGTATATGGCTTCACTACTGGAGCAAACTCGTTCATCGAGGCGGTATCCTCAGGAATCGGTGGAATTACTTCGGCACCCATTGAAGGTGCCGACGAGGATGGCGCAGCTGGATTCTTTAAAGGTATCGGTAAAGGAATAATTGGTTTGCCGACAAAGACAGCCATTGGGTTCTTTGATTTGGCATCCAATGTAAGTGAAGGCATCAGAAACACTACAACTGTTTTCGATGGCGAGAAGCTTGATAGAATCAGATTGCCAAGGTATATCAATCCAGATGAGGTGGTTAAGCCTTATAATGAAAGAGAAGCACAAGGCCAATTCTGGATGCACAGTATTGATGATGGAATTTATTGGAACCACACTTATTTGGCCCATTTATTACTTCCGGGAGATGAGATGGCGGTCTTGGTAACATTAAAAGATATCATTTTGTTTGACATAAAAACGCTCAAGTCGAGATGGGTTGTCAAGTTTGACCAAGTCAAATCTATCTCAGTAGAATCTACTGGATTGACTATCGAATTGAAGAATAGAAAAGGTCCATTCATTCCAATACCTGATCGAAAGAACAGAACTTATTTGTATCAAAAGATTGGCGTTGCTGTGAAGGAGTACAACAAATTTTGCCGTGTTACTCTATAGATGCAAAGAGGCTGGACTTACATAGTATTTACATAGAATATATATCTTTTATCAGCTTATAAAATGTTGGGGCATATCACCCACTGTCTTGTGGTAGGAACCGATAAATTTCTCGGGTGATTCATCACCTCTTGTTTGTAACTTGATCTTTTGCACCAAAACATATCCCTTTTTGCACTTGACACATAACCCTTCTTTTAGTAGAATGAAATCACCAGGCTGCTGTAGATGATGCAGTTCAGCACTCATGGGTGGACTGATCAAGTCTGTCACAGAACCCAAAATAACCCGTTTCTTTTCCTCCACAACTTGTCCCTTTTTCTTAGTTTTTGTATTTAGAAATGTATAAACAGGACCCAAAGCGTCATATAACCTTTTAATCTGCCTGCTTGTGTAAATGCTCCATAGTGCTTGACTTTTAGATTTATCAATTTTTGGGGCCAATGACCGCTCATAGGTATTTGGCAAACTAGTGTTTAAAAAGAGTCCCCTGTCAATAACACCCTGTAGAAGCGAACCTCCTTCTTGAGCTAGTCTATCGGATAAGCTGTCATAATCGTCAGTATCATTTATTTTAATGTCATTGGATTGGGCTATGATACTTCCGTGATCAAATTTGGTGGGATGTAACGATTGCACTGTGACTCCAGTTGTTTTGTCATCATTGAGCAAGGCATATTGTATAGGAGATGAACCTGAATATCTTGGTAGTAATGATGGATGAACATTTAGCCCGCCATATTTGCAACTGCTTAAGAATGCAGCCGGTATAAGTTTACCATAAGACACAGCTATAGTTAAATTGAAATTGTTACTACTTGTCAATGCAAGAATATCTTTAGACGAGTCGGCTCGTAAGATCGGTATGTCATGTTTGATTGCAAATTCACTAGCAGCAAGTTCTGTAAATGTCTTCATGTACCTCCCACTAGGTTTTATGCTTCTTGTTATGACTTTAACACTGGACACCTTATCAGGACATCCATCCCGCAATTCAAGAACTTTACTTAGACTGGCAACACTGAAACTTCCGCTCCCAAAAAAGGCAATATTCAAGGGATCATACTTGTTGTGTAGTGAGCGCAGGAATGTTTTTGAAAATGGGTGTAAAAGCTTCATCAACAGGGCAGAATCATTGAGGATAGAATCAGTCCCAAATCATCGCGATTAGTAAACGAAAAACAAAAACAAAAAAACATATAAAGTATCAACAGACGTGATTTCTTCAAAACTACTAAAATCATGCTGACAACATCAAATGAAATATTGAATAATTTATCAAAGCTTTTAAAAGTTCGTGGTATTGATGAGTCAACATTATCACTATGCTACAAACTATTAGATGAAGGCGTGGACCCTAGAAAATTGGCAGGAAAGATCAAGGACATACAAAAGGAGATTTCATTGTAACCGGAACAAATATATTACAGAGAACTGAAATGAATCTATTTTTGCTTTTTTGGCAATTACTATAGTCAGACTTAGATATCTAGAAGCCGCCTTTCTTTTTCTTTCGTTTTGGTTGTGAACCACCTTGACTACTAAGTTGGGACGAAATTCGCAAAGTGTCTCCCAAACGCGACTGCGATCTATGTTGTGATGCAGGTTGACTATGTCCAGAGCCTTTAACAAAGTTGGATGAACCACCGAATTGTGAATGGGAGCTTTGCGATAGTCTTGGTGGCGCCATTGGTTCAATTTGGCTGGATTTTAACAAAGGAACAGTTTGGGATGCATCAAATAGTTGCGAACTGGGTTGCTGTTCAACTGGTTGTGATGCAGCAGGTGTGTCCCATTCATCAAGTATTTCTTGGACATAAGCGGGAGATGCTGCCTTTTGTGCTTCGTATTTAGATTGAAATTGATTTTGTTGAGCTTGACATTTTATGAGCGATAAGCCTAACAAGATTGAAGTGTTTGTTATGGATCCAGCAACGTTACATTTCGCAAATATTTGCTCTAGCAACGCGTGTATGTTGAAGATGTGTGTTTGGGCATCTGGTATATCCAAAAACCCATTTCTTTGTATTATTGCAGTATTGATGAAGCTTCGTATACTTAAATCCTCTGTAAGCGGACTATTTTCAAATTCGGCAATCATATCGTCGAGCTCAGCCAAGTCCAGAATTCCTAGCGGAACACGATAATCAATTTCTAATAAAGATCGATAATTTCCTAAAGAAAACTTTTGTTTCTCAGCATTGGTTTCAAAGGTCGCATCTAGCAATGAAGCGTATTTTTGAATTGCCGCAACCAGTTCTCCCTGATCTTCTTCTTTCAAGACACTTTGTACAAGAACTGCATGAAGTTTTTTCAAATGGTTATGCTTGTGTTTGTGGTTCTTTGTTGTATTTTCTCCAGAATAGCTACACCCTTCTAATGTACTGGGAGGTTGTGCTAATGGCTTAAACTCTAGACGTCGTTGTCGTAAATGCAAACTCGATGATAACTCGATCACAATTATATTGTCTGCATCGTCCATGGCCAATGGTACCAATTGTTTCAAATCCACCGCATTCGATCTTTGCACTATATAAGGATCTCTCAAGCTACTTGGTCTTCCATGGTCAAACCCCAAAGTGTAAACCAACACCAATGGGTTAGCTTGCGAATACAAAAACACCAAATATGAATTGTGTCTAGTAAGCACCGAAAATTTAAGCGATGGATCATTGTCATTGAGAAAGTGGCGCCAAGATAGTAGTCTCTCAATCTCTGTTCCACGTCGTTGTAGCCAAATCAACTCTTTTGATGTTAGGGAAAATATCATGTCTCCCACACATTGTACATCTCTTATTCGCGACCACGTATTTGAAGTAACTAGCACTTTCTGAGTCATCGAAACGAAATCATATTGAAATATTTTAGTTCTTGTTGACAAGAGGATGCTGTTGAGATTCAGCAACCAAGTGAGTCGTAACCAATGAGATAAATTGCTAGCATCGGCTATGGGTATTTGCACATCATGGTCACCCATTCGCAGCACTTTATCATACTTTTTGTTAATCAACCATGCTGTTAGGTTACCATTGACATCAATCATGGCAAATTTGCGAACATCTGAAGCACACACAGCCACATTGGCAAACGTCGATTGATCCAATTTCTGTGAGGCAATCTCCTTAATAATTGATAATTTGAAATCAGGAGCAGATTTCGAATTGGTGGAGTAGTTTTCCAATTTGCAAGTAGTTGCATAAACCTTAACACGCGTTCTCACAAGGATAATTAGCCGATCGTGGGCTTCATTTTCACCAACTTCAACCTGTCGTATCTGATCTAGAAAATCCACTTCATATGGATGCGATAGTTTTATTGAAACACCATCCTGTAATCTAATCGATAGACTTAGAACCGAAAGTGCTTCACCTGTGACGTGAATGAGTCCATGAACTAATGCATCTTGCGATTTTGGTTTAATTTGAAATGTTTGAACAATATCTCCAAAACAGGGATCGTATGCCACGTCTGAATCCATTGCTTTAGTTTCCAATCCAAAAGAAGATATGATTTTATAAGGCACGCTATCTGTGGCAAAGTATCCCTCATCGGACCTAAATGAAGTACTGGTGTCTTCTGATTTATAGACTTCACCCACAGAATGGTTTAGCGGCTTCTTTATAAGATCCTTATACGATACTTCACATAAATATTTACTCTCCTCTGCATCACCTTCCTTTCGAGGGAAATTGATCTTTGGTTGCAACCCATCATTTGAGAGTGTATCTGTGTTTGTCACTGATTCTACTTCAACGTTTGGATTTCCAAATACTCCGTAGCCTAGTCGTACGCCTAGACCTGACTTATGTGGCCACATGCCATAAGATAACGTGACAATGGAGGAGGTTTTATTAGCTTTTTTTTTGCTAGTTGTTGCGTTGGGAATCGTGGGATATTTCTTTGATACTCATCTGGTTGTCGTTGTTTAAAAAAAAATTGGCGGATTTGTGTAACCTTTCAATTGATTTTTTCCAGAGTGTATGAAAATAAACGCCGAATACGAAATACTGCCAACACGTTCAGTGTATTTACAAAACATAACATAAAGATGCTATGGCGATACTGGAGTCCATTGCTCCTATTCAGCTACATTGCCACACTCATACTAGCAGAACAGGTTAAATTTGACATTTATGGAGACAGCAACAACTTCCCACCAATTGGAGATACCAACAACAACAACAGTGCCACCACTCTTGCATCCAAATATGGAACCATTGCCAATAATTCATTATTGTGGGGTCCATACCGATCAGCATTGTATTTCGGAATCCGACCAAGAATCCCCAAATCTTTACTTTCCGGATTAATGTGGTTCCCCATTACTGATTATAAATCGATGGGTAAGATCCGTCATTTTTATGAACAGTTTGATCGTATGGGTAGAGCCAATTGGATATCGTATGATCCAAGGATTGGTGGCCGCCAATTGATCCAAGATGATGATTTACAGTTTGATATTATTATTGATTTTATTAAATCGCAAGAAGGATTATCATGGGCAGTTAAAGTTAAAGCTGTACCTCATAGAGGCAATGAAGACGGTATGATTTCGTTTGTGTGGTATACAGGATTAGAAGGCGAAAAGAATGAAGTGGATGAAATCACGGGTCAAAGGGAAAGAAGTGGATATTTCCGATTAGATAATAGTGCCAAAGACGGAGGATATCAAGGGAAACTCACCTTTGGTGGAATATCGGAAGAATTGGGAGCATTTAGTCTTGAAATAAATGATGGACCTAGTAGTAATAAACACCCAAGGGGCAAGGCAGGGGCCGGTAGAGAATTAGATCCAACATTAACTCATCATTTGAGTCTTACTGTGCCTGATGGCAACGTATGGCAAGCTCGTGATATATTTGTTACAATCTTGCAAGAGTCAATCGGCCAAATTTCCGAGGCAAACAATGGCAAAGTTGATCATTTACCTCCTGAGAATTTATTCATTATTCGAGATTTGTACCACTTTGAAGGTAATTTACATTTTGTTCAGAAAATTTATCAAGGTGCATGTGAATTTGATATCATTTATACAAATGTATTCACGCCTGATGCTGATAAATTAACTTTTAATAATATTGACCATCGAATTGAAGAATCTTTACAAAAGTTGGATAATGATTTCGCTAGTCATTTCCAAATACAGCCGCCGTTCAATTCAAAGCCATATTACGAGTTCGCCAAGGAAATGTTATCCGGTTTACTTGGTGGAATAACCTATATGTATGGTGACCATTTAGTCGATAGAGAGACCATATTTGACGAAGAGACATTTGAATCATATCAATTGAAAGGATCATTTGAAGGGCCATATGAATTGTTTACTTTGGTTCCATCGCGCCCATTTTTCCCTAGGGGGTTTTATTGGGATGAAGGATTCCATTTGTTGCCGTTATTAGATTACGATTCTGATTTGGTGTTGGATGTTGTTAAATCATGGTTTAATTTGATTGATGACGATGGATGGATAGCTAGAGAACAGATTTTGGGGACCGAGGCTAGGTCAAGAGTGCCGAAAGAGTTCCAAGTTCAAAGTCCGCATATTGTTAATCCACCGACATTGACTTTGGTCTTGAGTAAGTTGCTTGATTTTGCTGCTTCGGGAAAGGGAGATATTGATTCATTTGGAAATATTGACGAACCAGTGGATTTAAACGAAGGTGATGTTCCCTTGGGTAAATTTATCTTGAATAATCCTGAAGTTTTGGTTAACTATACCAACGACGTTTATCCTAAGTTGAAATCACATTTTGAAATGTTTCAAAGAACGCAACAAGGGTTTATTCCAAACGACGAAGAAGAAGAGGGAACGGGTGTTTCTGATGCAATTAAAAACTCGCGAGTATATCGCTGGAGAGGCAGTACATTGACTCATTGTCTAGCTAGTGGAATTGACGATTACCCTCGTGCTTCACCTCCTGACATTAGCGACTTGAACGTTGATTTAATCTCATGGGTTGGCGTCATGGCCCGATCACTTCGTTTAATGGCTGAAATATTACATAAAGATGAAGCTGAAGTGGCAAACTTGAAGCAAATTGAACAAGATATTATCGATAATATCCAATCCGTGCATTGGTCATCCAATGACGAGGCATATTGTGACGTGACATTGAATGAAGACGATGAATTGGTTCATGTTTGTCATAAAGGATACGTGTCCTTGCTTCCATTTATAACCAAATTGATCCCCGTCGATGATGTCACCAAATTGGCAAATGTAATTAACCTAATCACTAACCCCAATGAATTATGGTCAGATTACGGTATTCGATCATTATCGAAATCAGATGAATTTTACAAGACCAAGGAAAATTATTGGCGCTCACCAATTTGGATCCATATCAATTACTTAATTTTACAAAATATTAAAGATTATTACCAGGATTCGTCAAGTTACTTGTCAAATGAATTGAAAAAGAAGTTTAGTGACGCCTATCACGATTTAAGAGTCAATTTGATTAACAATGTGTATAATCAATGGCAGAAAACGGGGTTTGTTTGGGAACAATATGATGATGAGACTGGCGAAGCAAAGGGAGCTAAAAACTTTTTGGGCTGGACATCAACTATTTTGTTGATTTTGACCATGCCTGAGAGGATATAGATATAGAAAAAAATACACTCATTACATTCTTCCTGTTTTTTTCTTTTTATAGATAATGAACAAAGCACATTGTGGCCAATTTCCACTCTAAAAATATTCTATATACTCAATCATACAACATTCTTTTTCGATGGATCTTCATCAAACCTCAAGTCCCAACCAATTTGTTCACCCAACTTAGGCAACACTTCAGCAACTGATTGTACATCCTTGTCACCTCTACCAGAAACATTAATAACAATATGTTGATCCTTGGGTAAAGTCTTGGCCAATTCGACACCACCATAAATAGCATGAGATGATTCTAAAGCAGGGATAATACCTTCCAATTGCGACAAAAGTTTGAACCCTTCCAAAGCTTGTGCATCAGTAGCAGCAATAAAATCAGCTCTGCCGGTAGACTTCCAATAGGCCAACTCAGGTCCTACACCAGGATAATCCAATCCCGCCGACACTGAATGAGTGTCGTGGACCTGTCCGTCGTCATCTTGTAAAACAAATGTTCTTACACCGTGGAAAACCCCCGGTATACCGGCAGTTAAAGTAGCTGAATGACGATTAGTATCAATTCCATCACCACCAGCTTCCACACCCAACATCTTGACTTGCAAGTCCTTTTCAAAGGGGGAGAATAATCCAGTGGAGTTGGATCCACCACCAACACAAGCAACCACAGCGTTGGGTAATTTGCCATCGTTCAATTGAGCAAATTGTTGTTTAACTTCTTGTCCAATCACACTTTGGAAGGTACGAACCAAGGTTGGATATGGATGAGGTCCAATTGCTGATCCAACTACATAATGAGTAGTTTCCAAATTGGAAACCCAGTATCTAAAAGCTTCTGACGTGGCATCACGCAAAGTTTGGGTACCGTTCTTGACGGGAACAACATTAGCACCAAGGATTTTCATTCGGAAAACATTCAATGCTTGACGTCTAGTATCTTCTGCTCCCATGAATACTGTGCATTCCAAACCAAATTTAGCACATGCAGTGGCAGTAGCTACACCATGTTGACCAGCACCCGTTTCAGCAATGATTTTCTTTTTACCTAATCTCTTGGCAATAAGTACTTGTGCCAAAGCATTATTGATTTTGTGAGATCCAGTATGGTTCAAGTCTTCTCTCTTTAACCAAATGGTGGCACCGCCAGCATGTTCAGTTAATCTTTCTGCTTTATGCAATGAAGATGGTCTACCAATGTATGAATACAAGTCTTTAAACTCCTTCCAAAATTCTGGATCAGCAACTGCATCTTCAAATCCTCTTTCCAATTCAGCTAAACAAGTATGAAGGGCCTCAGGAACATACTGACCACCAAAGTCACCAAAACGAGGATTGTATTGATGTGCTTCTTCAAAATCAGGTTGTGGCTTGGTAAGATCACCACCTTCTTCTTTATCTTTAGTACCATTGTGGAATTGCTCTGGAGCATTTGACTTGTAATCATCACCAAGAATAGATCTGACATATTTGTAAGCAGTTTCACCACGTTCACCTGGTTTAGATTCGCCAATCAAAGTTACAATCTTTGATCCAATAACTACCCCATCAGCAACTTTTCCCACGGCAAGGAAATGCTCTCTTGTTGACACACCAAAACCAACTGCAATAGGCGTATCTTTTCCAACGTATTTTCGTACTCGAGCACACAATTCTTCAATACCGGCAGAAACTTTACTGGAAGCTCCAGTGGTACCCATTTTGGAAACCACATACACAAAAGAATTGGCAATTTGTCCCAATACCTTTAATCTTTCATCAGTAGTAGCTGGAGCTACTAATGGAACATAAGATAATCCATGCTTTGAACATGCGCTTCTAAACTTGACTGCCTCTTCAGGGGGCAAATCGACAATAATAAATCCATTGACGCCAGCTGCTGCTGCATCTTGTAAAAATTTGGCTTCACCATATTTTAAAATTGGATTATAGTAACCCATCAAAATCAATGGTACGGTAACACCGGCTTCATTCCTTGCTTGTTTCACCATATCCAATACTTTGGCCACCGTCATTCCATTTTCTAAAGCTTTAGTGTTAGCTGTTTGAATGGTTGGTCCATCAGCAATAGGATCAGAAAATGGTATACCGATTTCAATAATATCAACCCCAGCCTTTTGCATATTGGTTAAAATGGGGATCGTATCTTCAATAGACGGGTATCCTGCAGTGATGAAGTTGACTAATGCATTACGGTTTTCCTTTTTGCAACGTGCAAATGTCTCTTTTAATGCAGCAGACATATTTGTTGATGTATAGCTAGTAGTAAAGAAGAGATGAATTGCCTGTGATGGTAAAATTGAACTGGTTTTTATAGAAACTGAAAAATTATTTCTCCTCTCTCTGTTTGTTCAAAAGGGAACAGTGAGTCAATCCATTCCTATATTATATGCAGGATACACCAATTGTATTATTTTTGCTCTAACATCATGATGTTATCAAATAATGCTGTAGCCATATACCTAACCAACCAACCAACCACCATTCAACTCAGAAGGATTTACACGTCTCCACAGTATTGGATTCCCCAATTTTAAAGGCACTTACTTTAATAAAAAAATTTAAAACTAATTATACCTTATATATATATATATATATATTTATATGTACAACCCTAAAAGGAACAAAAAACTCTATGTAATAAAAACTTTCTTATTCTTCTTTTTGAAATTGAACTGAACTGAAATTGATGCTGTGCTGTTGTTGTTTATCTAAACATTTTTTGTCATGATCCCCATTATTAATAAAACCTAAAGTGTAGAGAAGCTCTATAGAGCTAGCTTCCTTCCTTCCTTAAAAGACTTCACCTTGGTCAAACATAGCATCGGCAACCTTCAAGAAACCAGCAATGTTTGCACCCTTCAAAAGTGATGGCAATTCACTTCCTTTATCAGTTGAGTACTTCTTGGCAGTGTCATAACAGTTTTCAAAACAGTTAACCATGATATCCTTCAATCTGGCGTCGACTTCTTCCTTAGTCCAGTTGACTCTTTGCGAGTTTTGAGCCATTTCTAAACCAGAGACAGCAACACCACCACAGTTGGCAGCCTTACCTGGAGCATACCAAACACCGTTGTTTCTGTTGGCTTCAAAGACTTCAATAGCTTCTTGAGTAGAACCCATATTAGAACCTTCAGCAATGTATTTACATCCAGCGTCAACTAAAGCCTTGGCTTCATCACCACTAACTTCATTTTGAGTAGCTGATGGCAAAGCAACATCAACTTGTCCAACCTTGGTCCATGGTCTAACGCCAGCAATGTATTCGACAGAGTTGTTACCACCAAAAGCAGAAGCTTCTTCTTTGACAATTTGTTCCAAACTCTTGAACTTCAATTTAGCAGCAGCAATGGCTTCAATTTGTTCAGAAGTGACTCCATTCTTGGCAATGATGGAACCCTTCGAGTCAGACAATGAAACAACGATACCACCCAATTCGATAACTTTCAAAGCAGCGTATTGAGCAACGTTACCTGAACCAGAAATGGCAACTCTTTTACCCTTGAATGATTCTTTACCGTTGGTGGCTCTTTCAATCATCTTTTCAGTGTAGTAAACACATCCGTAACCAGTGGCTTCTGGTCTAATCAAAGAACCACCCCAACTCAAACCTTTACCAGTCAAGACACCGGACCAGTTGTTTTGCATTTGCTTATAAGCACCAAACAAGAAGCCAACTTCTCTTCCACCAACACCGATATCACCAGCTGGAATATCAGTGTCAGGACCAATGTATCTAGCCAATTGTCTCATGAAAGAAACACAAAATCTTCTAATTTCAGAATCAGTTTTACCCTTTGGGTCGAAATCAGAACCACCTTTACCACCACCCATGGACAATCCAGTTAATGCATTCTTGAAAATTTGTTCAAAACCCAAAAACTTCAAAATGGACAAGTTAACAGTTGGGTGGAAACGTAACCCACCCTTGTATGGGCCCAAAGCGGAGTTGAATTGAACTCTGTAACCATTATTGACTTGGATTTCACCCTTGTCATTCTCCCAAGTAACTCTAAATTGAATAACTCTTTCAGGAACGGAAACAACTGGAATAACCTTCTTGTATTTTGGTTGTTCAGTGAACAAAGTAGAGTCTTGAATAGCAGTGACTAATTCGTCATAAGCTTGTTGAAATTCTGGTTCGTGTGGTAAGACCATTGTGATTATTGTATAATGTGAGTAAGTTTGTTTCTAAAGTAAGTAAGGGATATATGAAAGTAAAACTCCTTTATCTGAAGAAGAAAGAAAGAAAGAACAAGGAGGAGAAAGTGAAAATTTTTGTTGATGATTAAAGAGTATTTATATATTTTTCTGCATTTGGTCTACAGAAGAGTATGAATAGGAAAGATGATTCAATTGAAATGAAATAAAATGGGTTTGTGTAAGTATAGTTTACATTTGTGTAACTATAGCACATGCCCGAGGACAATAAAAAAAAAGAAACATTTTAAATGGAATTAGTATGTGTGTATGGAGGTGTATTTCTTATCATCCAATCAAATTGCGTACTGATTATGCAAAGCAACTTAAATTACGTAATTACATATTTCTTTTTTTATTTTCTCACCTTTACCGGCGGGCCATTTTTTGTATTTTTGATGCGTTGTTATTATTCTTTTGAAGTACTGGATGTATCTTTAGATCTTACGAGAGCAGAAGACATAGAGAATGTTAGGTAGATAGATAGTGATGGAGAGAGTATGTGTAAAGGTAGATAAATAAAGCCGTATCGGACTTGTATTCAAACAATTCTTACTGGAAAGTGTAGTAGTAGTAATAGTAGTAGTAGTAGTAGTTCTAGAGTCTATTCAAAAGTAGCACCATATACTTTTTCATTTGCATAGAGCCAGTCAATTGTTCAGTCACTTCTCTGTTTAAGGTAAAAGAGTCAATTTCTCACAACATGACTGAGTCAGTAGAGAAGCCCTTCTTCTTTCACACATTATTCGTCTTGTTGAAGATATCCTTTCTCCGCCATCAGTTTGCAGTGTAAGCTCTTCAACAGAGTCAATAGAGAAACACCTTTGACTCCTATACATTACTAGACACTGAACGTACTTTTAAGCCCTTGAGTTTGTTTTATCACTGGCAAATGAGAGAAGAGGTAGTGTACTTCGGATAAATCTCAAGGTGTTTTTTGGTTTTATATTTTCTTGTCTTTCTCCTCTTACGGCAAAATGCGAATGAAAAACAAAGCGGATTTTTCCGATACCCTTTTTTTTGTCTCTTTTATCAAGTACCAATTGCGCTTAACCAAAATAGTGGGTTTCAAACCTAAAGTCTGTTCAAGCGCCACTCTAATATACTCCGGGTCTCCTCTCCTCTTTCATTACTTTGGCCACGCCTCTAAGACCATGTTTGCTTATACTCACGTAGATAAACGCTTGATGTATAATTTTAAAGCTTTAGTTCTAGGTTGATATTATGTGATTGGCTATAGATTAAGAAAGAACAATAACAAGAAAAATAAAAAAATCGTTCTATTCTGTCCATCTTCAGGTACCAAAAGCGAGCCACAATGGAAATTCCCTTTAAGATGATACATATCCTTTTTGCAACACATTTATTCCATATCTAGATATATATATATATATATATATATGGTATGTATAACTCTACAAACTATCTTGGTATCTAATCTACATGTAACAATAATAAATGGTGAGATCTTTCTGTTCAGTGTACATAATCTTGCAGCTTAACAATTAAAGACTCTACATTATTCACGTGTTCATGAGTCTTCTAACAATGACACTTCTACTTTCTAATTCAAATGAAGATCATCTAAAAGTAATACATTTACACTATCGATATTAGTACAAACTTCTAGTCACATAAAACTGCCCCCTTTGCTAACCTCTTAAAACGCATCATCAGGAATCTCAACTTCATCTTGAGGTTCCTTAGGTTCTTGAGCTTCGCTCCATTGAGTTACATCATCAATATAACTCAAGATATTCTCAACACTCTTACTATCTTTAGAGCAATCCAATGGCAAAAACTGTACCATGCCAAAATCATCAATTAAATTGGCTATACTCTTGGTCATTTTGGCAAATTTTGGATTTATATCATCCTCCTGTTTAGCCAACAAGTATGGATCTGGATTTAAAAATTGTTTTAATTTTCGTTTTGACACTTCATCTTTAATCAAATCAATCTTAGACAAGATATTAATATGAGGTAATTCAAGTAAAATCATGGCTGACATGGCACTTAATGCGCCACTGAAGAACTTTGATGAGTCAATAATAAACGGCGATTCTAATAAATAGCAAGCACATAAATTAAAACTAAGACTCAGCTTTAAATGGTTAACAATGGTGGGCACAACCGGTATATGAGTGTACAATTCAATTTGTCCCGGCATGTCAAATATGAGATATTCATCATTATAGTCACCAATCTCTTCATCTAACCAGTCGAGGTTCTGTAATAGGTACTCAAAACAATAAATTAGCCCCCCATTGGGTCCCAAATCTAATTCTTCCATTACATCTTGTAACGAAATCAAGTCACGGATATCAATGGTGAATTCAAATTCAGTTGGCTCTGCTGCTGGGTCCAAGTTGACTATGTGGGCTCGACGACCTATTGATTGCATGTGAGCTATTATTGAATTGCAAAAGGTTGATTTACCAGCTCCTGCTGGTCCCATTACTAATACTCCCGTACGTGACATTTTTAGCTAGATTGAACTGACTTGATAGATTATACTAAATTAGGTTATATATTGATGAGGTGTGGAAGATGTGTCGTGGTTACTACTGTGCCAATAGTTTCAGATGCAAAAGAATTAGTGTTCAATTAAAAGGTTGTTTTAATAGTTCATGACTAGACCTACCATTAATGAGTCTCCGATTTAGAAGATGAGGGAACAAAAAAAAAAATAAAAAGCAACTTGTCGCGACACCGAGAAACTAACGAATGTGACATAGCGACATGTTGTATCCATCGTCGTTCTGGTAGATGAACTTAATATACTTCAAAAACATGCCTTTGTAAATCCAACTACGCCTCATGGTTATGTTGGTTTTCATTGGTTGCCAACCCTGCAACAGTTCAAAACCATTGTTGAAGAATTTAACAGTGAAATGGCTTCTGGTGATTGTTCAAAAATGTTTCCTGTCAATTTCGAAAAGACCTTTTCGAATGTAGAGTTGATAACGACGCCGTGGATAGAATACTTTATTTGATGTTACGATCTAAGGAAGAATATGTTTCAGCCCTATTTTTGGAATCATTGCATAGATTCAATGAAGTTTTAACAAAACATATACTCTAGAACTTGTCCCAAACAAAATAACGTTAATATATATTGAATAAATCTATATGCCACACTTACAGTTTTGAATTAAGCTAGCTGTCATGAAAATCCCAAATAAATCCTTTCATTTTGGCATGAATTGTTCTACTTTATAACCGCCAAAGACAACCACCCCCCAAATAATTATCCAATAAGTCTTATTTCACTTTTCTACACCAACAATCATCGTAATCATTCTCAACTTGAATCATCACATCATTGCTAAAATTGTCATTACCCCCACCATCGCTAAACAATCTTTCAATTTGTTTCTTAATATACCAACTATTCTCACCACGATATATTTGTACATGAACATATCCATTAATTTTGTTTCCTCCACTAGGCCAAAATCTTGGAGTCGTTATTGATTTGACTCCCTTAATGTTTGATATTTCATGTAAAGTATTACGAATAGTTGACTCTTGCTGACGCGGGATTTGTAGTAATAGACTTGATGCTGTTGACTTTATTAATGGGATTGCTGAAGCGAGGATTAGAATTGCAATTATAAAAGACGCAATGGGGTCAAAACCTTGCCAATGGAACAAGTTGGTCAAGATTGTTGAAATTACTACTCCCACTGAGCCTAATGCATCGGCTAATATGTGAAGGAATATACCTCTCATGTTATCATTAACTGGTTCGTTTGATTCGGGGGTATGCGAAGCAGGGGAATGAGAATGGGAATGCAGGTGCAGGTGCAGATCCACATGCAGGCCACCTGCATGACTGTGACTATGGCCATGACTATGTCCGTGCGTATGCCCATGATTGAATGCAAAAACACCAACAAGATTAACCAATAAGCCCAAAACCGAAACCACAATCAATTCATTAGTTCGTTGCAAATGAACCGGATTAATCAACCTCCCCACAGCTTCAAACATTATGGACCCACTAATCCCTATCAACAATGTAGCATTAGTAAAGCCGGCTAAATTTTCCAAATGAAACCAACCGAGAGGGAAATTCAGTTCATTATCGATTTCTCGTTTGGATAATACGCCGGCAATAAGCCCCAATGCTAATGATAGACAATCTAGTAACATGTGTAATGAGTCAGATAGTAACCCCAATGATTTTGATCGGAATGAGTATAGGAATTGGATAATCATAAAGCTGGCATTAAGTAGTAAGAAGTTGAATATTGCTCTTGTATCTTGGTGTTTGACAACTTGGGATAAGATCAGTGAAGAAGATGGAGATGATGACGACGACAATGACGACGCTGTTGTGGTTGTTGCGTTACTGTTGTGTCCATCTTGATACAGCCCAAACCGTTGGCTACTCTTCAACCCAGGTATAATCAACAACGTCAACAATAAATCTCCGATACAGGACCAGACACTAAACAGTTGAAATACAAGATATTTCAACACAGTATTAACTGAGCTCAATCCCATGAAAAACAAAACTTGAACTTGCAATTTATCATCACCATTATTATTACGAGGAAACTCTTGAAATGTAACTAGACTAATTGTAAAAGTAATCAAATTTACACCAATCATACTAAAACTAATCTGATTACTTAAAACCAACCAAATTAATACTCCTAGTAACGTTGTCATTATAGTCACATTTCGATCTAGGGGTAGTTGAAATTTAGTATCGCGATGAAGTATAGTAAATGCCACACTAATTAACCCATATCCTAAAATTACCATGGTCTTGGGTCCTGGTTCATTGTCAGAATAGGCTGAACTGGGACTCATTATTAATAAATCAAGTAGCAACATTAATGGCGTGTATACATTGAATAAATTCAAATATAGTCCAAACGCAATCAAACTGCATCGATCAAAAGGGAGACAAAGAGTTGATAGTAACCCACATGCAATTGCTAAATATATCTTGATTGAATTGGTGGTCTTGGCGGTAAGAAAGCTGGCTTCTGATCGACTAGATGTGCTATCGTCTCTTGGAATGATGACCTTTATCCATTGGGCAAAATGCACAATCAAAAGTATGGCCAGACTTGAAGCAATTGAAACTGCAATTCGCAGTAGTATCAGAGGTACATAATTGGATCCTTGATTCGCAGTAGTACTTGTTGTTGGCGTCAAAATTAACCCTTGTGATATGAATACTATAGGATAAGCAATTAATAGCGGTAGTGACGTACTCAAAAGCAGACCAATTGTAGACTTTGTAGAAGATATCGACGAAGTTAGGTTGATTCTTGGTGTTAATTTTGAGTAGGGCAGGGGGGTATCGTTGTTGTAGATGTACGGTACTTCTGTTTGTTCCATAATGTTTCAACAATTGTAAAGGAGATAACAATGAAAGAAGGATTTATTCTACTATGATGATGATGTTGTTGTTAGTGAAGATGCTGCTGCTGCTTTAGTAGAAGCTCGTGAAAATATTGCAGAGTTAACTGACAAAAGTAAAAGTAATCTATGTTCTTTGGATAACCACTTGAATTTGTTTAAAAAAAAATTTCCAAATGAAATTTTGCGCTCGATTTAAATTTGACGCGTGTCTGTTTGAAACATCAACTGGGATTCAAAAGATTACACATTATAGCATACTCCTCCTTACATGTACTATCCTATACTTCCTCCCCTTCCTATCAAACAACATCTTACTTTAAAAGTATATTCTATTATCTATAAACTCTATCTTATTATAAATAAGTTGTATTTTTTTTTTTATCTTGCAATTCATCAAAGCCATTATTCAAACATTTTCGTCATTCATCCATCCAAAGCATGGCTTATTGGACAGTAAATTCTTCAACGTCAAACTTCTTTGGTGAAATACCCATATTACCGATATACTTGACGGCATCCTTTCTCATCTTCTCCTTGGTGTCATCGTCCCATTTCAATTCTTGACTCATGATTTCAACAACTCCATCAACGGCAGAAAGAGCTTCTCTGGCATTCAAGAATGCTAATCTAGTTCTTCTAGCAAGGAAATCGACGGGAGTTCTTGGGTACTCGTATTTCAAAGAATAGATCAATTCAGCAATGGTGAATGGTTCATCAAATGATTGGTAACTTAATTGGTTTTCTGGTGAGGCTTCTACTAAACTTGGAATGAATTCCTTGTTGGCAGCTAAAGTGATTGGCAACTTGTTGTAATCACTGGCAGCATACAAGTCCAAAATCATAGCTGAACGAGATCCATAGTTGTGCGATAAATGCTTGGCCAATTTCAATGGAATCTTGTATTCGTGAATTAATCTGGCCGAATAGTTTTTGGAGTAATCATCACCACCAATCAAAATCAATTGATTAGTTTGACATGGTTTAAGGTTCTTGCCAGCAAAATCAAAATGGTTAACTACGTAATCAATAGTTTCTTGGGCCATTTCTCTATAAGTGGTCCATTTACCTCCAGAAATAGTGACTAAACCCGAATCTGATTCCAACAACAAGTGCGATCTGACCAAACCTTCAGTTGAGCCGGAATCTTCTTGTCCCTTAGGCACAGTTCTTGGGTCTCTAACCAAAGGCCTAATACCGGACCATGCCGATAACACGTCAGTTCTATCAATAGGGAAAACCAAGTATTTTTGCATTTCATTGATAATATCTTGAATATCTTCTTCAGTTGGAATTGGGTTTTCTGGAACATATTTAACTGGAGTATCAGTAGTACCTGCCAAAACTTTTCCTTGCCATGGCAAGAAGAACATGACTCTTCCATCTGAAGTTGATGGATCTAATAAACCAATATTTTGTGGACAGTAGTATTCGGGTAAAACAATGTGAACTCCACTGGATGGAACAACCATTCTTGGCTTTTGTTTAGTCTTTGGTGGTAACCCTTGAGGATCTTCATCCATTTCCAAAATATTGTCAGCAAAAGGTCCAGTAGCATTGATGATTGAAGTAGCTTTCAAATCGTATTGTTTCTGGGTTTCCAAATCAGTGGCTTTAACACCATACAATTTACCCTTGTCATCTTTCAATAATTGATCAACATTGAAATAATTCAATACAGTAGCACCATTTTCAATAGCAGTGATGGCCAAGGTAGCATTCATTCTCGTGTCATTAAATGAACCATCATGGTAAACACATGCAGCTTTTAAGTTAGATACATCCATCATTGGAGCAATAGCAGCAGCTTGTTCTTTACTGAAAATGGTGGAATTTCTCAAATTTTGTTTACCAGCAAACCAATCATACATTTTACAACCAGCAAAGAAATAAGGAACTTGCCAGTAAGTATAAACTGGAATCATGATTGGCAAAACCGAACATAAATGAGGAGCGGTTCTCAACATGTTACCTCTTTCGTTTAAAGCTTCAATGACTAAATCCAATTGGGCTTTTGATAATTGGAAAATGGCCTTTTCCAAGTATCTAACTCCACCATGAGCCATCTTGGTTGATTTAGAAGATGTACCAGAACCAAAATCGGTCTTTTCCAATAAACATACATTCAAACCACGAGTGGCTGCGTCAACAGCACACCCAGATCCAACGGCACCACCACCAATGATTAACACATCAAACTTCTTCTCTGGTGTTAACCTAGATACCAACTCTTCACGAGTTGGTGGGGCTGGGTAATCTTTCTTTAATGGTTTGTAGGATGTAGCAATTTGGGCTGGTTTCTTAGGTTGGATAAAATCTAAATAGATAATGGTACCTCCAGCGGCTGCACCCAAAGCTAAGGATACTTTACCCACTGCTGATTTGAAAAATCTTGACATAGTCTAGTGTGTGAGTTGGTAAAACCCGGTTTTGATCACTAAAGGAATAATTTGAAGTTATATATATATATATTTGCTTTTGACGCTGTGAAAAATTGCCTTTTCGTTTTTGTTGACTGGGAAAAAGGAACTTTTGCAGAAATATTTTTTTTATTTTATTTTTTTTTCAGGCGTTTAATTTTTCCGAGGTAAAAATAAAACTAAAGCAAAAGTAGTCACCAAAATAAAATTGGGGAGTCTCTATAGACAAGGGTGGGTTTTTGAAGTTGAATAGATAAGTAGCTAGTATTCAAGACAACAGAAAGAGAGAAAGAAAGGAAAAGAAAAGAAAAGTGGTGGAAAAAGATTTAAATAAGCAATGTCCAATCATGAATTATTTAAATTTTTAGTTTTTTATAAAACAAAACGGCCTCAAACAAGCAATAGAAAAAGAGAGAGAACACACGCTACACGTGAATGTGGTTAATACATTTTAACTGTTTTGTGTCATGAGACGGACAATCGCAATTCGACGAAAAAGAAGAGGAAGAAGAAGAAGAAAGCAATTTAAACTATTGTGCATATATTTGCAAAATAGATTAAATCCCACCGAAACTGCAACCGAAATCCGAAATCAGTTTCAGAATGTTTGGTATTCTTTTCTATCTTTCCTATTTCAAGTATATTATATATTCCAGTATAAAAGATGGCCATGACTTAACTACTCTCTCCACCAACTCTTTGTTCCCCACCATCGGGCATTGGAGAAAAAAACAAGAAAACAAACAAAAAGATTCGTCATTGAATGAGCAATACACAAAAAACCAAAATACTCGAGATCAAAAAAAAAAAAGCATATGATACTGGTGTAAACTGTAGAACCCAACTAGATCTAGCAACTTGATTACATCACGTAAGAGAGTATCGCTATGTTGATGCAGCTAAGAAAATAGAAGTTATTAAAAGAGTCTATATACAGTTGCTGTATGCTCTGTGTGTGTGTGTGTGGCAGTGTCCCTTGCCATTTCTTTTTTTAGGTTTTGGTCAAGAGACACACACGTACACATACACACACAAAACAGAGGTCAGATGTTCTTACCCATACGTTTGAGTCGGTTGAAAAAAAAAACGAATGGTGGTTGAATGACAACTTTACACTACTGTCAAAAGATCACACTTTTTTGGGGGGAAGTGAAAAGAGTGTGTAATTAAGTGGGTGCAAAATATTGGGTATCTTATTCTCTCTGCTTAATGTTTTCGGAAAGATTCTTGGAAAGATAATAGTAGCTGATTTGTAGAAAGTAAAAATCACAGAAAAGTAAGACACTTTTCAACAACTGTTAATGTCTCTCTGTCCTATTTCTTTGTATATCAAACTGACAAGTTCTTCTAGCGTCAAAAAATTAACAAAACAAAATCCCACTCTTCTTCTTTTGACGTTTTGGAAGAAATTGAAATTTAGGACTGTCAACCTATCAAAAGTGTCTGATAAAGATCTAGACAAAGTTATGTTTTCTTTGTGGCCTTGTGCCCCAGGTTTTTTTCTATTGTCCAAAGGGTATTCTTTTTGTTTAAATCGGTGATTATATGTGTGGTGTGTATACTGCATATGAATTGCCCTAGTTTGTGTAATAATGTCTTGTGTTGCTGTTTTAAAAAAAAAAAATAAAAGTAACTTTTGTGTGTGATGTGATTTCATATATTCAATCGCTTCTTTTAGCCGAGGTTAAATTAATTCTTAAAGTTATAACCAAATTTTTTCAACGGCTGATGATTCAAAAAAATGAAAGGAAAACAACAGCTTTAGCTTTGTGCTCCAAATTGATCAAATTCCCCCCACCCCCGGCGGCTTTTGCGCTACTAAGAACGACCCCGGACTGCAGAGACACCGCTCCCGCTGGGTTTGTTTTGCAGCTAAAGCTTTGAAAGCTAAACCAGTATTGTTGCAAAGATTTTCCTGCTTGGCAACAGAAGAAAAGACCGAGATCACTGTTGAAGGGTATGCATAAGGAAGTCTCCAACTGTATACAATTGGTTTAGCTTCCCGTTTTCATCGGCCATGGGCTTATTTGATGTAAAATTTGCTTCAGTCCTCCTATATTATTTTGCAACCGTAACTCTAAACAAGATATTTGTTTATGTATAAACAACACTCCATATGGTTTATTTATTTGTATATGACTTAATAGAGAATCTCAAATCGTCCAACTCAGCACTCTTTGCCATTTGACTAACTGGTATCTGGCAACACCCTCCATTGAAGGCAAAAATAAAAGTTTATAGCAAGTATTTTTATCCAAAGTACACGCCAATACTAACCAACAAAAAAGAACACCTCCAAATCCTTTTATTACAACCACCACCTTTCCAACTAGAATAACAGCTACTGTTTAACACTTTCCACCCATTCCAATGTCAAGTTCAAACAATCAAGAAGCTCTTGAGCAATTTAAAGTAATAGCTGGCTTGGAATCAGATGATTCTTCTAGTGACACCGATGCCAAAATTCACCGCCTACTAACAGTTCATGATCACGATTTGAATAATGCCATCTTGACATACTTGGAATCCGGGTTTGACACAGTTGAATCGGCTCGAACACATTTACAAAATGACATAGGCTCAAGTTCGGCGATTGATACGAGAGAGATTGAGGATATAAATGGTGGTGGATATCACGACAACGACGATGGCGATGACGAAGCCGTTGGTGAACTAATACATCGATCAGCATCAACAAGAACTAGGGGCGAGTATGTCAATTTGCAAAGCCAAATGTTTCTCAACTCACTTATGCCTCGATTGCCTAAAGCGCCTCAAATATCGACGCGTTGGCAGTTGGACGTGGGCATTCATAGTTCTCTTATTCATGAACGTGAAGAGAAACAGAAACGAGAATTGTACAGAGAGAAGGAATCAGATGATGAAACAGTGGTGGAACAAAGTCGCAAAGTGAAAAGTGACACGTCAAGTAGTAGGTTAAGTACTAATACTACCACCAATACTGCTCGCAGCAGCTCTATTTTGAACACCTTATGGATCATCTTGTTGATTATACCCAAAAATATCCTTCTGGTGATTATCAGCTCTATCAAATTCTTTTTCGGTTTTGGCTGGAGTAGCAGTGATGAATATGACAATAATTTTAAATTTAATCGACTGTTTGATTTTGACAAGTTTCATCCCGATTATTCATACTTGTCGACATTGAAAGAAAAGGAGGAACTGAAAGAGCAAGCCCATGCAATTGACTTGTACGATATAACCGAGTCAGGATTCAACGAATTGCACTCTCATTGCCAAAAGGAATATGACTGGCTATTGGTTGTCTTGACTAATGACTCAATTGAAAATACCAATTTTGTCAATCGGTTACTCAAGAACTCCGTATTCAAAAAGTCATTCAACAGAGACACTGGAGAATCCAAATCAACAAAGTTGTATTTTGCCAATGTTGATCATTCACCAGAAGCTTGGGAAATTGGACAAACATATAAAATCAAGAAAACGCCATATGTAATGCTTGTTGCTAATGTGTCTGCTAGTCCTGATGTCATGGCATCAATGTCAATTGTTTACAAATCCAACTTGTCGAAACAATTTATTATTGATGACGAATTGAATGTGACTGTGATGAAGATTGCCAAGTATTTGGCCAAGAATATCGACAAGTACAACCCTCAATTAGTTGCAGCGAGGTACGATAAACAAGAGACAGATTTTGGTCGATTGATTAGACAACAACAAGATGATGCATACACTCAATCATTATTAAAAGACAAATTGAAGAAGCAAAAACGTGATGAAGAATTGCGCTTGAAACAGGAGGCGGAAAACTTGATCAAGTTAAGACGCTGGTTTTTATTCAATTTGATCAAAGACAACCACATTGATAGCTTAACTGATGGTACCAATGACTCACTCTTACGTGTGGCTGTTAAACTACCCAGTGGTAAACGATTGATTGAACAATTTAACAAGTCAATATCGATACTGCAATTTTTCATCTACATCGAACTCAAGTTATTCATTGAGGAAATGACATTGGAATTGAATCATGCTAATGAAAATTGGTTACAAGATGAAGCAATGATTGATGAATTGATCACTGAATTGGAGCTGGACTTATCCAAGGAATGCAGATGTAAATTCGATGATGTGCAACATTATTATACGGAAAATCCATTTAAATTTGAAGTTGTGCAACCATATCCTAAAAAAATCATTTTTTGTGATTCAAATTTGACTATTGGACAAGTGCCTGAATTCAAAGGTGCTAATTTCTTAGTTGAACATATAGTGGAAGAAGAGGATGATGAAGAAGACAATGGAGATGAAGACGAAGATGCTGAAAAGGACTGAATAAACCAATTTATAGATCTTTCCCGATGCATACATTCTTGATTGATACTCTGGAATGAGGAACTCTTATTCAATGTAGGCAGTTGTAGTTGAATTAACTGCCTTTACCAGGTGGAGCCAGATGATTCGTATCTCTTTGTGTTGTTGCAACTCTTCCACCTCAAGCGAGTGTGTAGTAACCCCATTCTCAAACAAATGGACTCCCACTTGTGGTGGTTACTTTAGCAATTGGAAACGATTGCTATACTTTTCTAAGATTGGAGTCAATCCACAACATCTTGTAGCCAATGATTGACTAACACTACAAATACAGTGTTTTTATTTTTATTTCATCCTAGTGCGACATAATTGTTCATACCAATGCGACATTTATTATTCAAACCAACACGACATATTTTTCATACCAGTGCGACATAAATTTTCATACCAACGCGACATAAATTGTTCGAACTAGTGCGACATAATTTTGTATTATGTGATTTTGTTTCGGGTAGGAAAGGAAAATCATAATATAAGATTAAAAAGGGATAATGAATTGTTCATTAAGTTTCAATGCCTACACGACAAAAGAGTATTCAATGTTGATTGGTTGGCGATTGGAAGTCGGCTGACTTATATTGGGGCATAGAATAGAGAATATGCGGTAAGAGAGAGGGATGGAGGACTGATTATATGACTATATGAGAGAATCAAACTTTCCTGAGACTTACCCACAAAGCATGTTCGAGATAATCAACCTTTACTTTTTCTAGCTAATAATATATTCTTTTCTAGCTGACAATATATACTTTTCTTCTTGAATAAAGACACTTATGTCAATGGATAGCTAATTTACCAAACCAACTGAAATTACTCATCTCCCCAAGACATTTATAGACAATATAGCCATTTCTAAAGAAAACCCTTACTCCATGTGCCTTTTAAAGAATGACATCACAGTACCAAATTTAGAGGGAGGTGAAGATTCACTCCTTTGAGTTCCCAAACCTTCGTCTTTTTTTCCTTCTTCTGCTTCGAGAGGATTTATGTTTTCCTTGTTCTCTTCTCCATCTTTGCTCGATTCAACTACTTTGGCTTCTTCTTCTTCATAATTATTAAGAGCTCCACTATCCGGAATGTGCTCTGCAGCTTTTTTGCCCACAACTTCTTCTTTATAAGAATCGGGAGCCCTATTTTCTTTAGGTGGTTCTTCGAGGTGGAATAGATGCTTGATACTGGCCTTGACTTCCTTGAGTTTACGCATGGAACGCTTGGCGCGTTTTTTAGGACTGTCATGGTCACCACCTGGTACATCTGCTGCCCCACTAGAACCGGAACCTTTACCAGGTGAACCTTGTTTACCACCACCACCAGAAGCAGTGCCAGCACCAGCACCAGCACCAGAATCATCATTGGAACCTCCTTCAGACTCCTTACTTTGGGCGCCAGAACTCTGACCGGAGTGAGTCCTTTCAGCATTTTCTTTAAAAATTATTCTCTCAAGCTTCTCACGATCCAGTTTTGACATCTTAAAGTCGTCTTCTCTAAGTTTGGCTAAAGCCACAAGTAAACATCCTCCAACACCAAGCATTTCTTCTGCCCAATCTTCGACCTCAATCTTTACTGTATCATTGTTGATATCTTTTACAGTAATCTTAATAATCAGGTCCAATGATATGAGGAAACCTATCTTTGATGCCGCAAACCACATTTCTATAATAACCTGTTGCAAGATTGCTTTGTGCGATGCCTTCGTCGTGTCACAAATGTTGTTGAGGGTACACAGTTTGACTTCCGCAACCCATGTTAAATCAACCTCCGAATTCCCTTTACCTCCTGATTCCGCTTCCTTTCCTTTTGCCAGCTTTATTTGTACCTTCACAGTGTAATCAGGGCGATTCTTTTTCTTACCATCTCTCAAAAGACGTTCTCTGTCGAATTCAATCTTGCACTCCACTTCAGACCCCCCTTGAGCATAAGCGAATCGTACAATGGGATATATGTACAATTCCGCCAATCTTGTTGCCCAAGGGGGTTCAATAAAATCAATAAATTGAGTGGGAGGTACTTTGAATTCTGGTAGTGTACACTGAGTGAACCCTTGTACCGGCATCAGCATCAAATCTTCCCTTTGAAAGTTACCAATGTTTGGGGTGACCGATATCTCAAAATCATTATACTTGTCCAAATCTAAACGTGCACTTAACTTGGTGCTTAAGGCACGTCTGATAAATTTGGGATAAAAAAATAAAACTAAAGATACCGTGATCACGTTGTTCAATGAATCCGCGTACTCCTTTGCACCACGGTACTTGCATCTTGCGCAAAATTGCAAGTCACTGATAATCTTTTCTATCACAGTTATAGATTTATCTGATAAGTCGGCCTTTAATGGGGGTTTACCAATATCTATGAATCTGGCAACGTTGTTGGTAATGCTCAACACCTCCTGTTTTTCTGATTCTTGAAGAATCAGAAAAGATTCCCCGTATCGATCTATCATAAGCTCACGTAATTTGTCATCCTCTACTTGCCCTCTATTAGTCTTCTCTAAAAACGCTTCGAGCATATCTGAAATTTTCTTTGGTTTCATAATGGAGTACTCTTCAAAAGTTGATATTTGCTCACCCACTTGAAGATGATCGAAAATTTTAAAACCTCGCGAGTCCCACGGGTTTGAGATCAACATGATCGATTGCATATTGTGATTAGTAACAAAAGATGATGGTATATCAACAATTTAACAACAAAGGAGACCAACAAAACAACAACTCACACACACACAAAAAAAAATAGAAGCGACTGCTAGTTCTCTTTGTTGCGTTGTTCACAAAGTGCCATCGGCTACCAATAAGGACTAGTATAATAATTTGTGCAACCTTTCTCAACACTATGTCGAAATTCTGGAGGCCACGCGGATTTCATGTATATGGTGTATAATTCATCATTTGTATACCACTTTTTGAACTTCACCTCCACCACCTCTCCAGTGCCAGTAACAACAGTATGTTTAAATTTTGTCAAATCTTCATTGCTATGGAAATGATAGCCGATAGTACCATACGGGAGATTGGGACTCAAGACTTTCATATTGTGTGTGTGTAACATTGAACCATTTATCGGCTCCTCCATCCACCAGTTAATACAACTACTGGGGTACCTGGGGGTCAAATCACATACGGCCCTAGCATCACACTCAGCATTGGCGTGGGTTGACACAATAAGGGATAATAGTTTACCATGGCTAAAATGTCTTAGATCTTGAACTGCAGAAGGTCTTTTACCGATTAACCTTAAACATAATTGTACCAAATGTGGAAAGTCTTTTTCTAAATCACCGTTGGAGAAAAACGTGTTCACGTCAATATCTCCTTTTAGTGACAACTCCCTAAGAGAGCTGGTGTCAAAATAGTCAATCAATTTAAAATTCCCTGTCATATACATGAATTCATAGTAGATCTCGAGCACGGGAACTTTTATAGTACAACGAAAAAGCTTATGGCGCCAATCAAGAACTAAGCGAAGCCCCATCTCTGTCAATTGCTTTACCCTATCAACGCTTTCCAAAACGACAGGTAAATCTCGGTAGGGAATGTGAAACAACTTGAAAGTATCTGAGTACTGTCGAAAATCAGGGGAAACAAGAACAGTAACATCATGGTAAAGATCAAGGGAGTTGTACACCTTATAATCTGCACTTTCACCAGGCTCTGGAGGTTTGTAGTTGAGAAGTGTTTCAAAATAGCGAATTGTTGTAAAATGCCTTAGAATGCAGTCAATCATTGTCACATTGTAAACATACAATTCAAAATGATAAATTTCTTGCGTCCTGTCCATTTTCGCTAAATATCTCTCAAGCGTATCGGATGATATTATTGTATACTTTTTGCTCTTGAGGTTGTTGAGACTTTTCGAAATGTGAAAAGTTTCATTCCAATCTTTTGGTTTCTTCAGCTCGTCGTATATTGGCCATGGTGAATAAACATATATGTTCCTGTACAATTTGGGTTTGGCAATGTAGTAAAATCTGGAATGTAGTGGAGCTAACGTTAACGTATAGTGTTGGTTGAGATGATGGAAAACTTCTTTCAATACCTCAACAGGTAAACTTGACAAGGAAATCATCGCGCTGCTTAAGCTCTTTGTTCAATAGGACAACATTCATGGAAACCGACCTATTATTTATAATTTTCGTATCTCTCCTATAGTTTCCTCATTTTCGAACTGGCTTTTCGGCGCTAAATTGTTGATTGCAAAAGTGCATCTCATCATCGATGGTAGTGAGACTTGTGTAGCCGTTCTTGCATGTGATTAACCTAGTATACTATGCATCTCATGTGAAGTCATTAATCTGAATCAGCTTGGAAAATGTTTCTCATGTATGGGAAACTAAGGCAACATCGTTAAAACTTACATTTTTTGTTTTCTGGTTTCTCTTGTATAGCTCGTCACTTCAGTAGAAGCACAGAAAAAAATGTTTGTGTAATTTTTCCATTTGATGCCAACCAATGGGGTTATGCTAATACAGTCTTTTTATTTTTGTTTCATACTACAGCGACATAATTGTTCATACCACGTTATTACCCAAAAGAATTTCCATACCTCTGACCCGATTGAACTTGGTCCTGTGGAATTAGGGTAATTAGATTAAAAGTATGAAATAATATCAAACCAAATGTTTTTTGTCTGAGCTTAGTCCTTTTCTACTCGCCTCTCTTGGGGAGACTTTTGCAGTTATTTTCCCAAGCCAAAAGCTGTCCCCTTCCTATTCACAAGAGTCCATGCAGTTTAGAAAGATCTCTTTTCTAAACAGTATGGTATAAAGCTACTAGCATGCCTACATAAGCCTTGATAGCTTTCTAAGGTTATCTTTGCTGTTGCCTCTCTTACCCTTGGAGTTAATTGTTCTTTTCTAGATAAGTTTGACCGTTTAACTTTAGTCTTACATACCGACCAAAACTCTTCAATTGCATTTAATGAAGGTGAGTAAGCTGGCAAAAATACTAGTTCCATTCCACTCAGAGCCACCAATAACTCGAGGTCACGACGTTTATGGATGGCTGCGTTATCAAGTACCAAATACTTCATTTCCTTAAGTGCCTGGCTTGCCTCAATTTCTCCAAGCACAGACTTCACAAATGAGTAGAAATGATCAGCTGTGGTACCAACCCTTGTCTTCTTTTCCGCAATGGTAGTGTTGGAATTGACTTTTCTCTTCTTGTTAGGAGAAGTCTCGGCTGGGAGTCGTACCTTCAAGTAAATACACCCTTTTGGAGAGATAGCACCCAAGAATGACACATTGAGACCTCTGGTGACAGGAACTTTAAGGACAGCCTTTTCACCTACTTTTGACCACCCGTATTCCCGTCTCATACTAATGTTGAAACCAGCCTCATCAATGAAAACGCAATTCTTTTCAAGGTCAATTTTATCCTTATTTTCAAGTGCCCACTCGAATCTCTGCTGTTTCAATTCTGGCAGATCCCTTCTCATGGCCCATTTGGAAAGTCTCTTGAGACTAAACTTGCATACCTTGGTGAGAAAGTTATAAATAGTAGAAATACTTGCCTTCACACCCTCAAATGTACTCCTTAGTTTATCCAACAAGAAGTCCAAGGTAACAGTAGGGTCAGAAAGAACCAAATCCTTCAAAAAGAATTTGTGCTCTTGGGTGAGAAGAGGTTTGCGGCCACGCTTTTTAGGTTCGTCATAAATACCATTAATTTCGTTAGCAATAAGGCAATTCCAATTTCTTTTCCAAGTATAAGCTGTTTGTAAACTGATATTGAGCGCTTGTGCAGCTCTGTACGCAGAAGACCCTTGTTCGATAACTAGTTGCCAGAATCTTTGCTTCTCTGCTTCAGAGTAGTATCTGTATGGACCTCTTTTAAATTTATAGGTTTCATCCTGTTCAGAGCTAACGTCTACATCTACATCATCACACTCCATGTTGGAATGTAAATTGTCAGCTTCAATTTTAGTTGGAGGGACTGCTTCATTGTAATCACTGTAACAAAAACAGGACTCTAATGGAGCTGTCTGGAAGTCCAAATCCATGACGTCCGGGTCCAAAGTAAAAGAATTACCAAGTCCATCTACATATCTGTTTGTGTGTAACTCCAGCTTGAAATTCATTATTCCGTTTTAATCTTATATTATGATTTTCCTTTCCTACCCGAAACAATCGCATAAAACAAAATTATGTCGCACTAGTTCGAACAATTTATGTCGCACTGGTATGAAAAATATGTCGTGTTGGTTTGAATAATAAATGTCGCATTGGTATGAACAATTATGTCGCACTAGTATGAAATAAAAATAAAAACACTGTACACTAACACTCTGATAAATTTAATGTCGTAAAATATTCACACGAATGTCACAAATGTATTTCTATTTTTGTTAAAAATAACACGACACTTGATGAAAACGAAAAAAAATTGATTTCTTTGAAAAAGCATCGAACAAGTCTCTGAAATATCATTCATAAAAAACCGCAATTCTATCATCTCACTAACTCCTCTTCTACTACTGCTACTACATATCATTCACAGACAATGGTGCAAATAAGCGAAGTTACTGATCAAACTACATCTTTACCTACTGCTGGTGGTGGTGGTACATCCACCTCCAAAGAGAACAGAACCGCCGCCCACACACACATCAAAGGACTCGGTTTAAACGAACATGGAACAGCCAAGCCCATTGAAGGTGGGTTTGTCGGACAACAAGATGCACGTGAAGCGTGTGGTATAATTGTTGATTTAATCAAGAGCAAGAAAATGTCGGGAAAGGCAGTCTTGATTGCCGGCCCACCAGCCACAGGTAAAACAGCATTGGCATTGGCTGTCTCACAGGAATTGGGACCAAAAGTGCCCTTTTGTCCTATTGTGGGGCTGGAGTTGTATTCAGCTGAAGTTAAAAAGACAAGTGCATTGATGGAGAATTTCCGTAAGGCGATTGGGTTGAGAATTAAAGAAACGAAAGAAGTGTATGAAGGTGAAGTGATTGAATTGACTCCTGAAGAAGCCGAGAATCCATTGGGTGGGTATGGTAAAACTATAAGTCATGTGATTGTTGGGTTGAAAACGGCCAAGGGAACGAAAAACTTGCGTTTGGATCCAAGTATATATGAATCATTACAGAAGGAACGCGTAGCCATTGGAGATGTTATTTACATTGAATCAAATACTGGGGCCGTTAAACGCGTTGGGAGATCAGATGCATACGCTACTGAATTTGATTTAGAAGCAGAAGAGTATGTGCCACTTCCCAAGGGAGAAGTACACAAGAAGAAGGAAATTGTTCAAGATGTCACATTACATGATTTGGATGTGGCCAATGCCAGACCTCAAGGTGGACAAGACGTATTGAGTATGATGGGACAATTGTTGAAGCCGAAAAAGACAGAAATCACCGATAAATTACGCAGTGAAGTCAACAAGGTAGTTTCAAAATATATTGATCAAGGAATAGCCGAATTGATCCCTGGAGTATTGTTTATTGATGAAGTAAATATGTTGGACTTGGAAATTTTTACATATTTGAATAAAGCATTGGAAAGCAGTATTGCCCCCATTGTCATATTAGCTTCAAATAGAGGATTAACTACCGTTAAAGGATCTGATGATTTGTCAATTAAAGCCCCTCATGGATGCCCACCCGATTTAATTGATCGTTTATTGATTGTTAGAACCTTGCCTTATAACCAAGATGAAATCAAGACGATCATTACAAAAAGAGCCAACTTGGAAAACTTAATCTTGTCTGATGATGCAATTAATAAATTGAGCCATGATGGGTTACAGACGTCATTGAGATATGCATTGCAGTTGTTGACACCTGCTGGTATATTAAGTTCAATTGCTGGCCGTTCAAAAGTTGAATTACAAGATGTTGAAGAGTGTGAATTGTTGTTTTTGGATTCAAGAAGGTCAACTAAAGTATTGAATGAATCAAAGACATTCCTTTAGAGAGAGAGAGAGAGAGAGAGTGTGTGTGTGTGTATTATTTTTCTTTATTATTAATAGATCCAAAGTGGGGTGGTAGAAAGAGGGAAATGAGGACATAATCTACTAACTGGCTGAATTTCTTTGATGTAACTATTTTTGCTCTCTAACTGTACCTAATTTTTGCTCAACTGTTCACATTCTTTTAAAAACTCCGTCGCCGAGAGGATATCAGTACTTCCGTAAATGACATTTAGTCTCCCCTTATCACCAGCACCACCAGCAGTAGATCCACTTGCACCTGCACCTGCACCTGTGCCAACACTTGCTCCAGCACCTCCATTCCTACTGCCAGCTTCGCCCCCTCCATGTTGACCGCTCCATTCAGTCAAATTAACATATTCCAAATAGTTACCACCACCCACAACAAACACAATCAGATCACTATACGATTGTCTCTTTGGTGGTTTGGAATGTCCACCTCCTCTTGCTTTGGGATCGAAATACAAGTACTCATCAGTTAAACTGATCGATTGTTGATTGGAATTTGCTGGATCCATAATTGCTTCCACAATTTTAGTAATGGGGAGCAAATTTCGTTCAGGGATGAAATTTTTAATCTTTGATGCTATCGAACTTAAACCTTCAGATATACGACCTTCAGTCAATCCGTAAAGTTTCGATGATAATCCACTAAGCAACGCTGAAGAAGTTTGCGCATTGGATGATGATGTGGACGACGATATTCCTCCACTGCCATTATGGTTGTTGCCACCGGAATAAGAGTCGGACAAATTGGACAAATTGGCAAGTTTCAGATGTTCTTTAAACTTCAAGATATATTCGTAGGCTGACATGTCCAAATCGGGGTAATGCTGAAGCAAGATTGATTTAAATTTGGAAATATAATCTGGCGATAAGTGATCACTAACAAGGGTCAAGATGATCAATGTACGTAATTTATCCAACGAAGTATCTTGTTTAGCATCATCGTTATTCAACAAATCCATAAATTCCTTCAATATCTTTGTATCATTATGATTACCTCCAGCATTTTGTTCAATTTCAAAATAAGTATCCAAATTCTTGGCTTGTAATTCATTAATCAAATTAGATAAAATATCCATATGCATATCCAAAGTTGCCTTTCTTGCCGTCAACTCGGGCAATTTTTCAACAGCTTGTTGAATATTTGCTGTTGAACTGGTGGAGTTTTGATCGATATCATCCAAAGACGTTATGCCCGTCTTGTTGGTAATCTCCTTCGCCTCCTGTTTATATGCATTCAATTCAACATCGGCATTTTCAACCACATCAGGAAATGGCAACTGGGCATACCTGCTCCAAAAAAAGTCACGAGGATCAATATCGTAATTTTTAACCGATTCCGATTCAATGCCATTCTTATCCTTGGTGGTTTTGCGCAATTTGATGGTATTCCTCTTCAACAGGTAAACATCGCTCACCATACACTGGTAAATCCACGAATGGGCAAACATTGACGCTAAGTCAAAGTTCCTATCCAACAAAATAAGTACTGGCCGTTGCGTTAATGCAGTACTATGGTCATTTCCCAACAGTTTGGCATTGCTCAAGTATTCTCGCAATTTCAAATCAAGTTCTTGGGCCACAAACTCAGCTGGTCCGTGTTGCTGGGCACGTATTATCGGAACAACATCCATACTTATAATTAATGATAACAAACCATCAGCAATGGTGCCCACCAAGTCATGGATAGTTTCTTCTTTCGTTTGTGAAGTATTGAAAATTGTAAATATACTGCTCAAATTTAATGAAAACAAGTTGGGTTCAGTAACAACAAAATCCAAGTATTGATCCCACACCTGTTTTATTCTTGATGCTTTACCCAGGAGGGCCACTTGTTTGGCAAATTCCTCCAACAAATCACGAGGTAAATGGGACGTAAAGTTGATGTAATAAGTATCATACTTGTCATCATTCAAGTCATGGATTATAGTACTGATGTTTTCTTTACTGGGTTCAACAAAGTAGATAACTGGTACATCTGGTAATTTTGATCGTTGTTGATTAATCAATGCATGGACAGTGATTCCACACCGTAATAAATCATTCACTCGCAAGACTGATGACAAGATATTTCGCGACTTTTGGTCGAGAACAAGAACTTTCCAGATGATTTCTTCCGACTTGGAGGCCAATGTCAAGTCTGCCGAACCGTCTTTGTTTAAATGAAGCATTCGTTCTAAAATCGAAATCTGACGATTCCTTAGATTGGGTGAAAGCTGTAATGACATAGTTAATGGTGAATTGGGTTATGTCAAATGGTAGTAGTGTCTGCTGTGGTATAAAGTGTACTGTGATTGGGGCTTGTTTTGCAAGGCGACTGTTACGTGTTGGAATTGTTGTCAAAAAAGTCCAACAGCAAAAAAAAATAAGAAGAAAACATAAATAAAAAATTTGAAAATCGTTGACTTCCTAAATAAGTAATACTCGTGAAGGCAGGGGCAATGTTGGAAAACCAACATCGGCATCTGTTCCCACTCTACAAGGCCACTATCCCCTTCTTACTGTTACATGTGATATGTAGATTACTACTCAATAACGAGTAAATAATTGAAAAATATACAAAATTGATACACTATAAGATTATAAATACAAAAAAACTAGATGCTACTTTAAAAAAACAACAAAGTAACATAAATAAAATAAAATCTAAACCCATGAATATGACGACATGCTAATCTGAAGTTAGCGGTCGTCGTCATTGTAGAAGTGAAGAAAATTAGAAGACCGACTCTACCACTCACTCACTCACACAACCGCAAACACATTCTCTGTCCTCATTGAGACCTGTACTCAACTATTCCTCGCAATACCTTAATTCTACCATAAATTTCATGGTCAATAGTATTTTCATCTTCTTTTTGATCTTTTGGCTTATTCTTGTGTTCAGTTCCTGGTCTAGGCCACACACAATTCAACCCTAACCTACCACACTCGGTACATTTTGGTTTCGATTCACAACACCTCTTTTTACGCTGACGACAAGTAAGACATCCCATACGTGATCTGCGTGTTACATGTTTGGCATTATTGTCATTAGTAGGGGCGGCACCAGCAGAAACAGGAATATTGGGGTTGTGCTGATGATATGGATGAGGGATCGAATTGGGTGGAAGTTGCACCGCTGGTACCACATTATTGGTAACTTGCGGATTACCATACGGATAATCATTTACTGGTGCCTCATCCTTTTTTGCACGGGGTTTTCTACCGGGTTTCTTCTTTTGTCGTACGGGTTGACCATTGTCCCCTTGAGGTATGTGAGGTTGCTTTTGTTGTGGTGGTGGTTGTTGTTGAGGCGGCTGCGGGAAGTACTGCTGATTTGGATTGGGAGGGTAAGGGCCCCATTGATGTGGATGTTGACCCTGACGTTGGGGGTCAGGTCCTGATTGGTAATTGGGGTCTTGTCCAGGGTACGGCTGTCCTGGAGGAGGGGGAGCCATTGCGCCGGAGTGATGGTGCTGTGGTTGTTGCTGCTGTGGTTGTTGCTGTGGTGGTTGTTGCTGTGGTGGTTGCTGTTGTGGTTGTTGTTGATTAGGATTAAAGATATCCTGAGAAAGATAGGCTGATTGTGGTGGGTATTGATGGTAAACTGGTGGTTGGGGTCCGTGGTGAGGTTCAGATTTAGTTTGTTGTCCTTGATGCCATCTTTCTCCATCTGAGGGATTGTTAGTGGTAGGTACATATGACGCTGATGGGTTTCTTTCCTGCAAATGCGAATATAAAGGGGTGGTGCCTGCACCATTTATATTTGCAGTAGAATAAGGGTAAACACCGCCGCTGGTAACACGCGGTGTTTCATTGTAATGCGAAGGAGATGACTGGATCTGATTCTGATTCTGGTGCTGTTGTTGTTGTTGTTGCTGTTGTTGTTGTTGTTGTTGTTGCTTTTGACGACGTTGCCGTTGTGTCTGAGGTTGGGTTTGTTTCTTACTGCTCACCGATGCTGTACTCATGTTCTTCCTTTAATCAGTATCTTAATATAATAAAATAATTCAATCACAAATGCAAGGGATTTGGGGGTGGAATGTGTAATTGTTTTTGGTGGAAAAAGAAATTTAAAAAAAATAAAATTAAAACAAAATTAAAGTTCAAAATGATGATGATGATGCAAATGTGCAATCTAATCTTTGATGGTGAATGCAATGAACCAAAACAAAAAAATAACAGAAAATAAAACAGGAGGAGTTTCTCTTTGGTAAAATAAGGTTTAGAACCGGATAGTGAATGAATTAATTCAAATCTTTTCGTCTTAATAAAACAAAACTGTAATCGAAATTATTGTGTTTTGGTTTCGTCCAACAAAATAATCTAAACGCAACTTCTTTTCTTATTTTTCTTTTTGTAACAATATCTTTTAAAATTGAAATTGAAACAGGATTAGGAGGAGAATAAATTTACAACGACCAAGTTGACAAAATGGTTGGTTGTGGTTGTGGTTGTGGTTGTGGTTGTGTATTTTTTTCGCCTTTATGATGATTTTGATGATAAAATGTGGAGAATGTGGCTAATTTTCAAAACCTTTGATCTAACTTCTCTTGCAGAATTTGACGACACCTTAAAAAGAAAATAAAAACAAAAAAAGGACCGAAGGGCAGATGATTCTTCTTTTTTATTCGTTTTTTCTTATTGATCTGATGGAGGAGATTAAGCTTTTCAACAGGGATCAAAATGGGAAAAAAGAAAAAGTTTCTTATGCGAGGTCTTTTCTAGACGTCTTTATATGAATTATTTATAAAAAATCAAAATTTTTGGTTTCACTTTATTTCATTGCTGATAAAATAAACACTCACATAAGAAAGGAAAATGTATTGTTTATAATTTTTTATTTTTTTTTATTTTTTTATTTTTTTATTTTTTCATTTTTGTTTTTGTCTTTGTTTGTGATGGAAAATAAAGAAGAATGTTTGTGTGGGTTTTTTGTTGTTACTTCTTAGGAATGGTTATTTGTGTGAATTCTGCACAATGGCCTATTTTTTAAAAAAGTTCTGTAGTTTGTAGTTTGTAGTTTGTAATCTTTATTGTATCCTTCAAGAAAAAGCCAATAGACATATATATATGTAAGCTGTGTTAAGTAGGTTTTTTCATTATTTAAAAAGCACAAATTTATATTTTAGTCTTATTGTTTTGTGTAATATGCCTTGGTCGTGCATTTAGCTCCAAGAAAATAGAAAATCCGAATATTCGAAAATTTTCTGTGTCTGTTTTCTATTTCTTTATTGCATTTGTGTGCACTGAACATACAAAAGCCCATTTGCCTTGGATAGGATCTTCATTATTGGTGGTAGAAGAGAGTGCGTGTGGTGATGAATTTCCAATGCAGTGATCAGTTGTAGGCCTTCATTGAGAGTCCCATTTGCCCCTGACTGTCCTATTGGTCAGGTGTGCAAGTTTACTTTGTTGCCAGAACTTGCGACTCTTTAGAAATGTAGCTTTATCATAGATACACAGTGTAGTTTATGATTACCACACTAGTGCAACTGAGTAGTTAGATGAAGAAGAAGGTGAAGGTGAAGGTGGATGATGGTGTATAGGTGTGATGAACAAACCTTGTTGCAAAGTTTCCTGGGAACCAAATTATTCCTCAGTTCGTGTCCTCCATGCGTGAGACAAAAGCTAAGTACCGACTGCACATTTATCGCCAAGAATGATCTCTATCATAATACAGTGTAATGTCTTAGTATTGGTCACCCTTCCATCGATCAACATTCTTTGTCTATGTAGTTCTTTTTTGAAGAGTAAAAGAGGTGTTGCAAAACTTGGTTTCCTTTTCTTTACCTCTAGAAGAATAAAAAACCATAAATCACTCAGAGCATTCACCATCAAAGTAGGACAAAAACACAAGACAGGACAATGCCGAAGAAAGTACGGCTCATATTTTTAGCAAATAGATCAACTGCGACAACTATAGACTTGCATCGAAACACTCTTCACTCTTTTAAAAATAATAGACAGCTGACAATAAGAATAGGAGTAGATCTCCCCTTTCCCCAAATTTCCCAAGTAGTTTTCAGATACGACTTCGCTTTTGGATTATTAGAGTGTGTTTATTTACTTTTATTTTACTTTATTTTTTGTCTGTCGGTTTTTTTGTTTTTTGTTTCTTCTTTCGTCTGTCAAATTTTTTCTTTAATTAAATTTTTTGGGGGTTTTTATTTTAAATTTTTAAAATTGAATATATACGGCTCTGGTACTGCATATACGTGATGCTTTAAAAATAACTTTCTGTTTGCTTTACACTTTAGTGAATCCTGCATATATATATATGTACATATTTTTTACATCATACATTGTGCATTGTAATGCAAGTTACACAATTTTGCTTTAGAATAAATTGATTTTTAGCCATTGTACACACACACACACACATACAACACACACTGATATACATATATTGCTTTCATTTAGGTAAGGTAAAGTACACACTAGAAATATATCTCACAAGATTATTTTCTTGTTATTCAAATATCACATCCATCTGTAGTAGTTAGCAGGCAATCAGTGAATCAATATCTCTTCTCCTCCTCCCAACAAATACATGTACGTGGTTCCCTTAATTAACAAGAAAAAAAAAATCTAGAATTAAAATGAAATTAAAATTAAGTTAAAGAACAAAGAACAATACAATTTCTCTATTTGTAGTACAACTATTCTATATTTAGATACACAATGTAATACTCGAAATGCCTAATTAAAAGCAAAGGCAACTAAACTTATTATTCTTTGCTTCTTGAAAACAAAGAAGAATAACTTAATTTCCCCCTCTATATATATACCCCTCTTTACATTCAGATCGCCTTAACGCAATTTTTCATCTTTGAATCCTTTGTTTCTTGCCTTTCATGAGTTAGATGGCCTCACACTAATACTCTCTCTGCACAAATTCTCTTACTCTCCGCCCCTCCCTTGTTGTTTTTTTTTCTTTTTTCTACATATTTTTGACCTCTTATCCTTCGTAAATATGCCTCGTGTATTAATAGTTGCTGTACAAAAGTTGGAAGTCGATAAATAGGGACTAGAGCGAGAAAATAAAAAGAAAAAGAAAAGCATTATTGAAGGGTGCACCAGCAAAAGGCGGCAATTTTGCCTTTCCATTAACTTTCATAATTTCCGCCTTCCGCTTTCTTTTGCATTCCTCCCTTCCTTAATCGATTTATTTAGGCTGTTTTTATTATTATTTTGAGTATTTTAGTTTTTGACTTTTGTTCTATTTTTCCAAAAGTTTAAGAACCAATATGTTAGAAAGACCATACGCTTATTATACACCATGCAATTCGTGAGATATCTCTCTTCGGTTCCATGTCTGATATTTATTTCGCTATTGCGTTTCTTCAGTGTAGGCAAACTTTTGTGTTCAGTATGCAACTGAGCCTTTTTTTATTATTACCTCTTTGTGGTTTCTTTGCTGTTGTTTTAGTGGTTGAATTTCACGTGCTAGCAGAGAATTTGACCTTGAGTGAAACAGTGTTTTACGCCCAATGGAATAGTAAGAAAGCTACTTGGTGAAATGAAACTAGGTGAGAATATCTTTTGCTCGGTTTGTCTTGCCTGAACCACCTCTACATGTTTCTTCTCTCTGCTCCTACTTCAAGTTCCTTTCTTCTTTGCTTTCTGCATTGTTGCATCTTTGAATTAACCTTCGTTACGATTTCCTTTTCGGTTATTCTTTCGTATTAGCTTGACTCAATTTTTTTTTTTTGAGTAACTTGAGGCTAAGTCCCTTTCTTTTACCCTTCTTTCTTTCTTTCTTTCTTTCTTTCTTTCTTTCTCTGTCATTTCAAACGCTAAAATTGAATCAAACGAAAAGGAAGAAGATTAAAAAAGTAAAAACATATTTTGCCTCTCCAGCATAAGTAAAATTACAATTTCAACGTATTGGTTCTACCGAGGCGTATCCCATAGTCCTAAAGAATGTTCACTTCCTCTTCTATGTACATAGCTCTACTTTCCAGTCATGAGCCAGAAGCCAAAAAACATTATATGCACCTTGGATTATGCATAAAATCTTAGATTGCCCTAGATTATCTTCTGTCTTTGTCTAACTTTTATGATTCTGGCGTCTAAATTATTCTTTTCTCCTTTCTTTCTTAGTTTTGTGTACGTTTTGTAGCATGTGCGTTTACAAAGTCAAAGATAATAATAGTTGAAAAAGTATCAAGGTATTATAGCAAACACGATTAAGTTGTGAAAGAGTGTTGGAAAAAAAAGGTTTGTTTTCTGATAACTTACTGTGTTTTAGTAGGGTGGTGAGAGGCTTTTGTTTTTCTAACCTTGTGTTTAAGTTTCGATTGTGCTCTTCCGAAGGTTTAACAACAACAAAATGAAAAAGATCCTGCATATTCTTTTAACCTTTAACTTCTTTAGACTAAAACTCAATTTCACGAAGTGACAACGTTGTTTAGATTTTATCTCAGTGTAGGGATTACATCATCATCCAAATAGTCACGTATAAACTAAAAAAGAATCATAATATTTTCCCCTCCTCGTACTTCACCCTAGTCTGTACGCTTATTCGAACTGCTGAAGCAACTGTTGCTGATAATGTATACTTTGTTTTACTGAAATATGTTGTGGATTTAAAAAGATTAGCGCCCAACAACAACAATAATAATAATAAGTGTATATGCATAGAGAAAACAGACAAAAAAATTTCTGAACGGTGTCTATTTCATAGTTACGAAGAGCAACAAAGTATTTCCGGCTAAGTTATGTACGATAGGCTATGTAAACAAATCTAAACTATAAACTCACACACACACTCACACACACATACTCACGCACACACACAAAGCAAACGAGAAGAAAAAGAAGAGTACTCTCTTGCATTTTACGGCCAAGGTGACAGATTCCTTGGCCTTCTCTTTCTTCTTATTTTTATTCCTCGGGCATATATTAATTTTCTTAAAAATAGACTGCATTTATATTTCTCCCCCGCTCACCTGTTGATAAATCTGGGGGAGGAAGGGGGGAAGAATGTTAAACGCCAAAAGCGCCTCTACTTCTTGACTCAGTCACTACAACTACTCGTTTAGCTGTTTTAGTCTCGCTTGCTATTACCTCTCAGCCTTTTGATTTACTAAAAGCAAAGTAGACTGAAATAGCAAAAATATTCTTGTATTGAAATTTCATGCCTTACAGGTGACAGCATCATTTTTACGTGCGTTTAGTTTAAAAAAGCCACTACCACTCAGTTGGTTTTGTGGGGAAGCAAAAAGTAATCTTGTCTTCTTTTAGGCGTCAACACAGGGCGCATCAAAAATTCCTTCTTTTCGCTTACACTATAGATTCTAATTGCACTCCATGATAGCAAGATTTTTTTAAGGATTCTAGTTTGAAAAAAATATGAACCCTTCCTGCCTCGGTATTTCTTAAATGTATTAATGCTTCGGATTTATGGATAAGTTTAGATCCTTCTTTCGTTGTCTTTCTTCCGGATTTCCTTTCGGTTTTGTGGCTCACTTCGATCAAAATCTCAAAATCCGCCTCAGCGCAAGTTAAACAAACAAACAATTGACAACAATTGACAACAGTTGACAACAGATTGATCATTTTTTACTTTTGGGTCTCTTTGTTCTACTTTTAGTCCAGATCTTTTTAAAGCTTTTCTTTTCTTGTAATGGAAATTAATGCCATCAACAATGAGATTTCATGTATCTTGGAAATCTAGAGTCGATGGGAAAGAGACAGGGACTGCAAAGGAGTGATCCAGGTATCTTGTTCAGGTCCAATACCTTTCAAAAAACCCATCTCAGTTCCTTTTCCTAGTGATTGATTTGTTGTGATGAAAGATTTATTTACAAAAAATGTTCCGAAAATCATTTGCTCTATATTTGACCCGGAATTAATAAACAAAAACAAAAAACAAATCACAATTTTAAAACAATAAAGGTTGAAGACCTATTATAACAGCAATTAAAGCTACGCATAGTCACTTAAATTGAGGTGGGCACAATAATAGCATCGTGTATTATCACAAAGCGTCTTTGCTAATAAAATAACCCTCTATGCTTTTTAATACCCAAATTTGGAGGTTAGTTTTTTGCCATCTTTGTGTGATATATGGACTGAAAAATTATTGACCACAAGAATCAGCATCAGCCAAGGGCTGGATCACAACACTTCAATATTCGGAAGTTTGACATGTCCCAATACTTACTTGCTTCCGGATAAATACATATGACATACCTCACTAAATTTGCGTCTAAGTCATCGAAAGCTGCTTGGTTATCAACCGTAGCGTCAATTGTACTTTCTTTGTCGTGGTCTAGATTCTACGCTTTTTCTTAAAGTGGAAGAGAGAAACAAATCACTCTTGAACTCTCCTTAAATTGCTCAACTGTCAAGCTCTACTTCCACTTTTCACTCTTTTAGTATTTCCATGAAGTCCAATCATTCTTCCTCTTGTTTTTTTTCTTTTTTATTTTGCAACGAAATGGAAGAAGGTGCTTTAAAAGTGATATTGGCATCCAGTTCTACTCTTTTTTTTCAAGTGGCTTAGCTCGTTTTAGACGATGGATAATTGATCTTTACATATTCTGCATTTAATAGACAAGGCTCTATTTCCCATTTTAAGAATGGTTACATTTTTAAACAAACCACTTTACCCCTTTTCAAAAACTTATTCTTTCGTAAATTTGGGTCTAGGCTAAGTTGAATGTCTTTTAATGCATACCTGCTTTCCTTTTATTCCTTATTGTTTTTGTTCTTTTCAACGCCAAGTAAATTATTCGTAATTTACGTTTACATACGGCTGAGCTGAGGGATCAACTAGCTCGGTATTAATTTGCTACACACACATGCCTAACTATTCAATTTAGCCAAGCCTTCTGTCCCGCCCCTAACTGCTCGTAAATGCAACAATGTTTAAAAGTGTATCCATGTACTTTACTTTTGTCCAACGCCTTACAACAGAGCTTTTTGTCACTTACATTGTAAAAAAGTCTAGCTTTGCGATTTAAACTGCTTTTTATATCTACCTTACATCATGCCTGGTGCACCCATGGGCGGCATACCTGCGGGCATTCCACCACCAGCACCAGGTGGACCTCCAGGTGGACCTCCCGCACCACCTTCCTTCAAACTCGATCTTCCTGCTTTCAACAACTCATCACACAACAACAAGTTAGATGCAATACCAGTAGCTGAGCTTATAGCATTTCTCACCACCCTATATGAATCCCAAACACCCTCCACTGTTGGATCCAAAGGTTCACCAGTTTTCAAATCAACACCAACAACGTGTCCATCATTTATATCATCTTGACAATTAGATATAGTTTCCAATTGATCTAAACCAGCATTAGCTGACAATGTCTTTGGTACCACCAAAAGTGACTCGGCAAATGCTTGGATACCAGGCTTGTTTTTACCTTTCAATATCTTTTTATCATGAAGCAACTGGTTATTACAACTCATCCAAAAGGCTCCAGCTCCAGGTATAACACTCTTGTCTTTTATTACATTAGCCACTGACCTCAATCCATCTCTAACCGCATCCTTTGTTTGCTGTAACGAGTGAGAATTCGATCCCTTAATTAAAATGGTGGAAGCACGAGGGTCCTTGTTTTCCGTCACATAAGTGAATTTATCTTCACCTATACTATTTTCATAAACCAACCCGGAATAACCCAAGACTTGTGGAGTCAAATCATCAACCGAGTTTTGTGCCTCACCTCCACACACCAATTGCAATCTCTCCATATTTCTTCTTTTGGCTCTTCTTAAAGCCAATATTCCATTCTTGGCCAATACATCCAATGACATGGGGTCTATTCCCTTTTGATTTATTATAACAAACCCTTGGTCAGAATTTAATGAATCACCACAAACTTGATTTTTCAAATCAACAATCTTTTTCAACTTCTCATCAACAAATTTACGTTCCGATGCAACTAATTTATCACGTTGCTCAGCCGATGAGTAAAAGAATCCTGAGTTGACTTCAGTCTTTTCGTATTCTAAAGATACATTCAAGATCAAAATATGGGCATTCTGCACCCTTTTAGGCATATCAGGATGACGAGCACCATGGTCCAATACAAGCCCTTTGATCAACTCAGTCTCCTTTGAATGGCCGTGTTGCATCGTTATAATTTCAATCATGTGCAAGTCTAAAGGATGATCATCATGCTTGACCGTTGACACGGCATCAGTAACAATAGGCGTCAACACATCAGCTAAATCATTGGTGACTTTAGTAATCAATGAACTTCTAGCAATCTGTAACAAAAATTCACGGTCAAAAGTCTCAGTCTTGGTCTTGAATTGATCTAAAAACTTTAAACTCTCATCACGCGCAACATCAAACCCATCAACAATAACTCTTGGGTGGATGCCTTCGCTGATAAACCTCTCTGCTTGTTTCAATAATTCACCCACCAATAAAACCACGGTAGTGGTTCCATCTCCCGTGATTTCGTCTTGTGCAGTAGCTGCACGAGCAATCATTACTGCTGTAGGATGTTGAATTTGCATTTCGTTTAATAAAACCTTGCCATCTTTGGTCAATTTCAATGCCCCTGATCCATCAACTAATAATTTCAATGTTCCCTTGGGACCCAAGTTTGATGCCAAAACTTGTTGCAAACCTTGAGCAGCATTGATGTTAACTTGCAACGCCTGAGCCCTTCTGAATGACTCGGCTTTGGGGTTAAGTAGTTGAATTGATGAAGACATTTGCCGTGTAAGTATGAAAGTTGGCAACGTATTTCGGTGCTTTGCAATTTTTTTTTTTCTTCTTCCTTTTTTTCTCTTTTGTCTTTTTGATGCGTGCGCTACTTTCTTCATGGAACCACATCGAAAGAAATCCACACACGCACGCACAACCGCTCAGGGAAGACGCGACCAAGATGAGCTTAGAAGAACAGATTTTTATTCCAGCAAGAGACCACCTACTAGTCAAACAAGATGAAAGAGAGACGGTAATTCGATCGTGTCGGGAAATAACGAGCTACTCGAAAAAGGCAATTTTCACACTACACCGATCAGTGCTGGATGACATTGTGACAAAAGAGCTAACTCTATACTTGAATGTAATTGGTGAGCACCTACGTAAAGTGAATGCCATATATGTAAACAATTACCACTTGCGAGGTTCAATTCTGGGGGCAGTTGAAGAATTGATTGAGTTTTTCACTTTTGGGTACTACAAACGAACAGGTGGATTGATCAAGTATGAATTGTTTACACAACTACTCAACCTTGTGGCAGACGGGGAAATCGATGCAGTTGTGAGCTACCTCTTGCACGCAGAAACTGCCTTACCTGAAAAGAGTCTTTCGCCGATTGGATTTGTTGACAAGTCAGATTATATCATGGGATTATTCGATTGTACCGGGGAAATAATGAGAATGGTTATCCTGCAGTCATCGGACACTTCGGGAGAGCTCCAAATGGCAAAAACATTGGAAAACTACAATTTTCTAAAAGACTTACACGAGCAGTATACCATATTAACTACATACTACCCAGGCATATCCATACATCATGGCGCTTTCGATGACGCTTTGAACCTGAAGGGTAATTACTCATTTAAAAAGAAGTTACAAGTGCTTGAATCGTCACTTAGCAAGATACAAAACACGCTACTCGATATCCTCATCAGTGATAAGGAAGTTTTATAGATAAAAAAATCAATTGTTTTATTTACAATTATTTTCCCCACTCTAAATTCTTGGAATTGGTCCGCCTGGAGAGTTTTCATTTCTGGCTGTCAATACTTCAACCCCATCTTCAGTAACCAACAACATCTGTTCGAATTGTGCCGACCTCTTTCCATCCTGTGTAGTTGATGTCCATTTATCAGGCCAAGTACAATCTTTATAAGTGCCCAAGTTAAGCATAGGCTCGATCGTAAAAACTTGACCCGGTTTGATAATTCCAATAGCTTTATTCTTGGCATAGTGAGGAATGTTTGGTTGACAATGAAACAATGTACCACACCCATGGCCACAATAGGTACGTACTACTGAGCAGTTGTTTTCTGATGCGTGCTTTTCGATAATGTTTCCCAATTCCCTAAACGCAACACCTGGTTTGACTGCTTGAATTGCTAAATCAAGACATTCCCTGGTAGTTTCAACTAAACGCACAGTATCAGGGTCACTCTTGGCTCTATCACCAACATAGTAAGTTTCATTCAAATCAGAATGAAATCCCATGTAATATATCGTAACATCCAAATTAATAATATCGCCATCCTTCAACTTAGTCTTGTCAGGTATACCATGACAAATAACTTCATTGACTGAAGTGCACAATGATTTGGGGAAATTGTAATAGTTCAAAGGCGAGGGGTAGGCATTTCTCTTGATACATTCCCTGTGTAAAATCTCATCCAATTCATCAGTGGTAATCCCTGGTCTTATATGGCTTGCAGTTATATCCAAGATTTCTCTAGCTACTTTACTGACTTTCTGGATCTTGGTAATCTCCTTCGGGGTCAAGGCGGGTATTTTACCAACACGATCATTTTTAATTTCACTGATTGGTTTCCCATGTTGGGCATAATCGGGTAATTTAATATGCTTAGGAATAGCCCTTCTTGGGCTCAATGGATAATGAGGTCTTAAGTCGCCAGTATATGAAAAGTTGGGAAAGGGAATATAAGTTTCTTCTCCGTCATCTGATTTATGGATTGCTTTATGAATCGAGTAACTAGAACGGAAACAATTTTGATCGCAAAACACACTGGAAACACCTGCTTGTAAACACACAGGACATTTCAACATAGAGTTTGTTTCTTTACCGCACTGCGGTGCTGCACATACAGAAGCCATAGTTGGGGTTTAGTTGTTTGTTTAACTGTTCGTGATCTATCTGAGATGAGGATAGAGTCTTTTGTTAGTAAAGATTTTTTTTTTATACGATTTGATGTGGCAGGTAGTGTACATCTGCAAAAGAATTGCTGTAGACAAAAAAAGGGAAAAGTTGAAAGTGTTTTCCTGAGTGATTTTGCCGTTGAGTTACATATTCTCCGTACACTTTGACCACCTTCAGCAATGGTATGTTCTTTTATCCACTTACAAATTACATATTCATATATGCATCTACTAACTCAATACAGTCTTTGAAAATAATCCCCTCCGATTCAAGAGAATCTGAAGTTTCATCCACTCACTTCAACGCAGCATCCAAGAATGCACCATCATTATCAGAAACATTACATACCCAATCAGGGCCAGTAAATATATCGTCCAAGATAAACAATCTTCATCCTTTGCAATCAAGAGTTAATAATTGGGAACAAACCCAACAAGATACCAGATTCGAAACTTATAGGCGTATATTTGGTGCTGGTGAACCTATCAAGAGAACAATGGAGTTGTCAATTGTTGAAAATACCGATTTTAAGCCTCAGGTATTGGGAGGCAGTGATCCAATGCATAAAGATATGTTGTTAGGTAAGGATAGTAGCTTGGATTGGGAGGACGTTTATCCTAACGGATTAAACCAAAACGGCAACAACGTAATGGACATGCATGGTGAAATAGAAAAGAAATTAGGTCTTTAAGTAGAGTTGTTTAATGAATTAGGAATTGAAGTCTTCATACAGTCAATTAATTTGCCTTACATATACATCTCTCGCTATACACGGAATCACTTTCTAGATCCACTCTTCTTTTTAGTTTTAACGCTAGTGCTCCATCCATCTTCATCAACAGTTTGAACCTTGTCAGCACTGGAAATGATTGCTGATGACCAGCTGGTGTAGTCCTTGGCAGCTTCGCGTCCCAAGGTCTGTTCCACTTTGCCTTTTCTCTTAGCAAACTCTTGGGCGAATCTTCTTCCGTCCATTGTGGTACTTGACGCGTAAATGGTTTCTGAGATTAATTGTTGCGTATCGGGAGAATTGTGAGGCAATGTGATAAACATTTCTAATAAGTCATTCTTTGATACTGATGGGTAAAGATTAGTCATTTGCGATCTAGCCCAAACTAAAAAGTCTTCTCTAACAGCTTGTAAATTGACTGAAGAAGTGCTTGTTTTTGCAGCAGACACGTTACGTAACAATTGAGGGGTTAGCTTGGATGCTGGTACCCCTGTAGAAGTGCTTGAAACAGTTGCTGTTTTTAATGGCGTCTTTTTGGCAGAAGCAACAGTTGTCCAAGCAGTGGTCTCCTCCTTTGGCACTGCATGAGCTAAAGCATTGGCAAATGACAAATTAGGAGAGAAGCTGGTACCTGTGGAAGTGCTAGCCGATAATGGGGCTGATTGAGCATGTGCTGTAGCTGTAGCAGCGGCAACGGCAGCGGCCTTGGCCTTGGCCTTGGCAAGTTCAGCTTCCTCTTTTTGAATCTCGGCCAAGGACTTCACCACGGGAGTTGAGTCAGAAGCAGCGCCCCATGTAGGCGGAAGTTGTGTTTTCTTGTTCTCCTGTTCAATAGCAGCTGCCTTCTCTGATGCTGCATTGGCTGCCCATGCCTTTTGGGCCTGCTCGGCTTTTAATTTGCTTTGTAACTTCTTTTGCTGTTCAGACTTTTCAGACTCGACCTTTTGTATTTCTTTCAATGACAAGTTTGGTTGCTTAGCATCGTCAGTTTTTGTTTTGGATGCCCATGGCGCCAACGCTTGTGGTTTTGCAGGTTTCAAATCAACAGTTCTGGTAGGTGGAACTGTGATCTCCTCTTCCGCTTCTGCTACTTTGACTTCAGGTTCGTCTTTTTTCTTTATCTCGCCGGCTGTCTTCTTTGGAGGTGTAGGAGTAACTTCCTCCTTAGTTTCAGCAAATGAGGTACCAGCAGGTTCGTTGTCATCTTGTAAAATATCTGTAACAACCGAATTCATAACCAAGCTCTCATTCGCATCCTCTTCTTTGCCTGATAAGGAGTCATGTCTTACATCTGGATAACCACCCACATTATGATTAGTACTTGCTCCTGGCGTAAAAGGAGAGTTGATTCGAGAAACTGATTGGCCAAGGTTAGCACTCGATATCCATGGCGAAACTGGAGCAGGTTGGCTCATTTGTGGATTTCCAATTGCACCGTGATTATTCAAACCACCAATGAAATTACCGGCACTGGAACCAGTTGCAGAAGCAGGACCTGATACTTGGCCCACAAGCGGCGAACCTGTATCAACTGCCCAATTACTATTATTTCTCGAGAGCAATGGTTTCTGTTGGTGTTGAATCTGTTGCTGCAATAAGGATGGCATAGAAGGCAAATTAAAGTTTTGGTCAAAGCTATCATGAGTTGCAGATGTGGCTGCCAGTGGATTAAAATTGTCAATTCCTGTAAAGCCTGGTCCACTTGGAAAGCCAGTGTTTATGTTGCTCAAATTAGTCATTGGCAGGTTAAGATTGGCCGAAAATGTCTCATTGGCCGGTGAATTGATGAAGTCGCCGGCAAACATAGACTGTGGTAAAGTCGATGAAGGCAAACGGATTGAGTTGTGAAGCGACTGTCTGTTTCCCAACCCAAAATCTTGCTCCTTCTTGGTCAAATCTGGCAAAGGAACTTTGAAAGGTTGGATGTAATTTTGTACAGCATCACATAAACTTTTCAACGTTTTAAATTCCTGTTCCTCTTTTCTTCTTATTCTCAAATCAAGATCCAAGTATCCACCGGTAAACCATTCCTGCATCATATCACCGTTGAATGGACCCTGTTCATTCCCAGAGGGGTCAATATAAAGCCATTCGAGTTTGTCAGATGAAACTAGTGCCTTAGGTTGCGAAAGACCTGGGGGGAGCTCAGTCGAAAAAGTCGAGCTAACAGAGTTGCTGTTCCCAAAACTTCCATGAAAGCTGGGAGTCCTCTCAAAACTCAATGGATTTGTTGACAAAGGGATCTGCCCAGTTTTTTCATCCGACAAATTCAATTTGTTCAATGACTCAGAAATGTTATCACCACTAAATCTCTCAGCGTTCCCTTTGGTAGAAAAATTGCCTTCTTTGCCATCTTGAGAGACGAGGTTTTCCTGACGGGCATCACCTTGCAGTTGAACTCCAGAATTTGGGTTGTTCTTCTGGTATTGCTCCTGTAAAGTCAAGTGGTAGATAAGCTCCGGCTTGGATACTTTGTAGTTTTCATTCCCATCTGTCTTCACTTCTGAGTTCATTATCTTGTCCTGGTTATCGTACCACACCTGGAACACCTCATCCATGCTATATGGCTTCCCATTCTTGTTCTCCTGAACATTTTTAATCAGACTACCATTGCCGTAATGGTTGTGGTAGTTGCTATTCAGGTGAGCATTAAACAGGTTGTTATTATAACCATTGAAATGATGCTTTCCAGAATTGCTGTTGCTGTTGGATCCAGCATAAGATGAGGTTGAATCATCGAAATTTTCATTTGCAGAATGATCGAGGGTCCTACGTGATCTTGAAAACATTTTTTTTCTTCTCTGTTGCTTTAATCGGTTGATAAATTATACAGCTTGTACTCTGTGACTATATTAGAACAAATTGATCTTTGTCTCGAATGCTTTGCAGTAATACTGAGTGTGTATGTTCAAAGGTGTACTCTAAAATTTTTCTTTTTCATCTTTTTTTTTTCACCAAAATCGTTTTGTATGGGATATGTCTCGCTACCAAGTTCCGCTGAGAAGGACAAAAGAACTTTACACAAATGGCGTATAACGACTAAATTGACCTTAACACGTCAACTCCTGTCGTGCTCTATTTAAATTGTGTCATTATTTACATTTTTTGCAGTGGTAAATTCACCGTTGTCTATTTTTTTTTGTTATACAAGATATGTCATAAAAGGAGGCATATTTATTCATTCCTATGATGAGGCTTGAGTAACTCAGTAAAAAGTCTTTGCCGTAGATGATACTTTTCATATGGTTGCTATTATTAACGCTGAAAGTACTCGCTTTGGAGCCTCCTCATTTGGACGGCTTTTATGAACCGCCCACAGAATATCATGGAATGCGCTTGGGAGAAATACTAAAGGTGAGACAACCTCCTGTCCCAATACGTTCTTACTTGGCACCAATTAAAGCCATATCATGGCAGCTTCTCATTAGGTCAGAGGACTCGTTTGGTAATCCAAATGTAATTGCCGCAACCATATTGGAACCTCCGAACGCAGACTCCAGCAAAATATTAGCATATCAGGCTTTTGAAAACTCTGCTACTGGGGATTGTCGTCCTTCTTATGCAATCCTTTCGGGGTCTTTTGAAACTTTCCAAATCCAAGCCGAGCTCGCATTTATATCGGCGGCGTTATCTAAGGGGTGGTTTGTACTAATACCAGACTATGAGGGGCCGCAACTGTCATTTCCGGCAGCAAAAATTTCAGCATTTTCAGTAATGAACGCTATGAGGGCCGCCAGGACGTTTATTAACAAAGAAGCCCACTTTGCAATGTTGGGATACTCTGGTGGTGCATTTGCATCAGCTTGGGCTGCAATCCTTCAACCTCAATATGCGCCAGAGTTGAAAATTGTAGGGGCTGCATTAGGGGGTCTTATCGTCAACATTAGTGCTTTGGTTGAAAATGTGGATGGAGGCCCATATGCTGGTTTGGTTGTCAATATCCTAAATGGATTGGGAAACGAGTATCCCAGATTTAAATACGCAATTCACAGGTACGGGTTGAACTTGAGAAACTATTGTCTAGTATCAGCGGCAATCCACTATTTTGGCTCCAAGTTCAACGTTGACGTTTACAAAAACTTTTTGCAAAATGGAATCATCAAATACTACTTCAACAAAAACAGTCTCTTGGGTAAACAGGCGCCAAAGTTACCAATCTTTATTTACCATTCAATGTTGAATGAAATGTCGCCAATAAGTGAAATATATAAATTGATAGACCAATGGTGTGAACAGGGTGCACAGTTGGAATTTTCCGAGGATTTAAGTTATAACCACATGGTGGAGGCATTCTCAGGAATACCGGCAGCTTTAACGTGGTTGGAAGACAGATTTGAAAAGAAAAAGATGCCAGCCAAGTGCGTCAGGGAAAAGCGGGCTTCTAATTTGATGTACCCTGGCAGTTCAACGTTGATCAAGCACCATTTAAAGAACTCCCTACTGCAAGTCATGTCATCAATCAACCTTTTTTCATAAGTCAATCGCGCCCTCAAAGCTCACTCAAGGTGTTCCTCGCCAAATCTAAATCCTCGTTAGGTATCAATATTATACCCGACTTTGCCATTGACAAATATCCAATTTCAAGTACATTTCCTCCTGTTATAATCAATTTGTTTGCCAATCCGGCTACGACACCTGTACAATTTAATGGAAGTTTTGACAAGTCCATTGCAATGGGCACTAATACGTCTTGAGATGATCCGATGGTACTTGTTGATTTATATCCATATTTAGATCTCAATTTGTGTGATTTTGGTAATATTAAACTTAATTCATTGGAGAATGTTCTGGTAATTGCAAAGTATGACGGCTGTAAGGTGCTTGCTAACGAGATTAATTTAATCGTTTTCAAGATACAATACTTTATCTCTCCCGGTCTAGCTCCTGTTAGTAATACCTTGTTCTTTTCATGAATTTGAGGATGAATATCTTCTCTTGCTAACAATTCAAAGGTCTTCTTATGTAATTCTGACAAGGCCGGTTGCTCTTGCTTATCCATATCATACGTAGATATAAAACTGTTTGACGATTCTGAAAAGACAAAATGTTTCAGAATCAATATACGTTCAACCCTTTCTTTCAACTCGGATGGAATCAAAACTATGTCGTTAAAGTGTGAGGAGATGTACAATAACGATATGTCATTTTCCGATAGTGGCTTAGTCAATTCCAAGATCCTACTAGATCTGTCATATCCCCCATCAGAATCTACAATCAAGCTCAAGTATTGCTGCGGTAGAATTTCGACATCAGTGTAATCTAGTTCTTGGCACATCTTTAATGGTTGATCAAAAAACCTGAGGGACAAATTTGTAGAGCAAACGATTGTGCACTCAGTCGGCGTCAATGCAACGTGGAAAAAGTAGTCTTCTGGCGCTTCTTCTTGTCCTTCAATGGAAGGAAATTTTGCAGAATGTGGGTGTGACTGTGGCTTGCTCGAGTTGTCGACAGGTTTCCGGCTTGATCCGTTAAAATCTGTGCTCAACTTTGCAAAATGGACCCCGATGTCTTTGATTCCTGACGTGGTCTCATCCTCGTCAACATCCTCATCGTCGTCGTCATCATCATCTCTATCTGTGTTATCTTCGCTGCTTCCGGAGGAATCGCGGTGTTGTTCTTCATCTCCAATTGAGTCATATAGAAGTTGTACTATCGAATTGGCAAAAATCCAAAGCTTCGGCCTCAGAATAGATATGACTGATAAGTTGATATCATTAAAGTGCACTTGAATGCTCATGGTTGCGGCTGTGTTCTCAATCAAAGAATGCCCTTTCTTTGCAAGATTATTTTTTTTTCAAAAGTTAGAAGTGGGGAGAAGATGAGTCGCGAACCCTGTATTGACAAACTTTGAGTCATCTGTTGATATTTTCCTTTTTATTTCTTTTTTTGCTCTCTTTCTTCTACTAAGACATATACCGACTATAAAATGTTTCATACAATTCAATAGACTCCTTCTGCGACTCAATAGAACTTTCAACGTAAATCTCAACATTGTTTCTGAAGTCATCGATCCTGTTGAGTTCAAATTCTTCCAACTCGGCTTTTATTGTATCACTTATTTGCTCAGACTGTTTCTTCAAGTCACTCTGTCTCTCTTTAAGCTTTTCGACTTCAAAGGCTCTCTCTGGCAGAAGGGGTTGCTTTCTGGATAGTTTGTCTATTTGCGTCGTTAATGATGATAACAGCTGGTAGACTTTTATTCTTGTTTGTAGCGCATAATTTATAGATTCAATGATACGCAAATATTCATCAATGGTAAACCCTATAGTCAACTGATCTGAAATGTTGAGCCTATCCAAATTATCTTTTATTTTAAATTCGACCTCACTGAAAGCGTTGAGTAGATCTCCTGTGGCTTTGCTAATTTCCAAGGCCGAAAGCTCCTCCACAGTGATTGCCAATTCCTCTAAAATATTAATCATATCTTGTCGCTGAGTCCCAATTAAATCAATTGTTTTAGCAAATTGTTTCAAGTTGTATTCCAAATCATCAAGGTAATTCTTCTTCTCCACGAAAAAGTGGTCAGGGTCGACAAACTTATTAGACATGGAAAACAACGAGCTCATGAAACCGGTCGAGGCGGCGGCCGCACTAGCGGCAACATTGGCTGCAGATGAGGAGTTTGAATTAACAGTTCCTCCTTCGTGAATAGTAGAATCTTCGAGTCCACCTTCGTTGAATCTTCCGTCGCCGTCATTGGTTAAAAATGATACAAGATCTGGATCATTAGCAAGACCAGGCTTGTTGGCGATGTTTCTTAACATCTTCTCTAGAGCAAATCTTCTATGTTCTATCAATTTTTCGTTAAACCTGCCAATTATGCTTTGTTTGGAAGGGGGCGGTGGAATAATTCTACCAGCATGGTTCGCCTGGAGTTGATGATAGATCCATCTAAAGTCTTTATACCTCCTTGTCACTTCTGCTGTCTCTATGTTTGAAAAGCTTCCTGACTCAGGGTTTTTATTTTTAGTCCTAATGGTGTACACAATATGCGCTGTAGTTATGTCGCCCACTTTTGTCGGATCGCCAACGGTGATATCCAAGCCATTATCATCTTTGTTGTGCAGGTGCTGCTTTTCGGGATTTTCCCTGTCCTTCTGGTCGCTTTTTCCGTCATCCTCTATTTTAGTCTCTGCTTTGCTTTGATCTGCTGGGTCAGCAGCTGGGTCTTCTGGGGCTTTAGTTGCACCACCTAATGGACCTAACGACACATCGGATGATTCTGACTGAGAGGACCTCAAATGTTGTACATTAGTCTTTGAGCTGAACTTTCGAGGTCTGGTCGCCTTAAATTTTTTGACATTCAAAGGTCTACTGGGTGACAACGCAGGATCTTCACCCAGAGAAACGAGTTTAACGGGTGATTCTCTATCATGGAACAATTCGTCGGTTTTTCTCACGCTTTTAGGTGTCCTCTCATTCAATTTCAGTGTCAAAATATCGCTGTCCTCGGACCCATTTGTAAGTTCAGACATGATTTGACTCTTTAGCTCCTTCCTCTCTTCTGATTTGATCTCATGTAATTGCTCTTGTTCCGAGTTGAAATTTGCCTCATCATGTGCATCGTCCTCATCTGCATCATCATAAATTTCATCTTGAGGCTTTTTGTCTTCAAAAGGGTTGGTAAATGGGTCGTCAATTGAATATGATTGGAAATCGTTAGCTAAGGGCGTAATGGATTGACCGAAAGTGGATGACGTTGCATTTATGCCATCGGCAAACCCGCTAGTTGCTTGGTCTGCATTTGGATTATTGGAGTCAAATTCATCATCCCAAACTGATTTAGTTAAATCCTCATCCATGTTCTGTTGCGGTAAGGTTGTGATGGGTGCTCTAAATAGATCTTAGTGTGGGTGTGTCCTTATTTTTATTTTTTGTTTTCTCAACTCAACAATAACCTAGAAAAATTGGTAACGGGGCAAAGGGAGTGAGAGAACAGGACAAGGAGAGTACCACATTCCTTTGCACACTTATAGTTCTATGGTTACACTGAAGAGGGCCTTTCTAAGGCATAGTATGATGTTGTTTCTTTAGTTAAATAAATTGCTTCTGGGATATACATAATTGAGCAACATAAAACTCCGACACGGGTGTTCCCATTTGCAACCAAATTGAGCAATCGAACAAGCCATTTTCTTTGCGGTAAAGTAGCATTCCAATTATGCATCTTGCAAGCAAGGGGTTGACCCTAAGGAGGAGTTCTGGATTCATCGTACTGGGGCTTTTATACGTCTCTCATGGCACAAATCTGCAATTAACTATGAGCTTTACACATTGTGTAGCACATTATCGCAGATATGTACATACAGCAATCCAACCTCCAAAGATATGTTTGCATGAATGCACCTGCTATTAGCTCACCCCTTCGGTGCCTGTGCTAGAGGAATAGTATAAAAGACACGATTTTTGACCGCAAAAGTCGTTGATTAAAACTAGAGTCAACTAAAGATGCGTATTTTCCAATTCATAGCGTTTGCAACACTTGTCGCTCATGCTCATTCAGCTACTAGACAATTGAATTTGTTTACCAAAGTCAAGGGCGACTCTCCACTTAAGGAGAAGTTTGACAACAAACCGATTTTTTTCCAAACCGATCCACTGGGACACTATTATCTCGAGGTGGCGACTGACGATTCAAGTCTCGCAAAACGAGAGGTTTTTAGTGTTTATACGTACGACGATGAAGAGCAGGCCATTTATAAACAAATTACTGATAATTTGAGGGCAAATCTAACTGCTGAGGATGCAGTTTTGCAAATGACCTTTCTTAAGCCATTGGTTACACGATTAATTGAATTGAAAAGTGGCTTATTAGAGAGATTGTTGTCTTTTAAAGATATTGCAGGCTTGTTCATTACAGAAAACGTACCATTACCTGGGGGGCAACAACTGTCAGCCTATGTCGTTACAGCATCCGGCTATAAAAAAATTGGAGATCAGAAGATTCCCATTGATATTGTTGCGAGAGAAGTAAGATGAGACTCAGAATTCAAGTGGTACCATAATCAGTGGTTCAGAGTTTGCTTTGTATTTTCCCGTTATTAGCTTAATGTATGTGATTAATTTTACAACTGTTTGTTCGCTTGTAGTTCATAACAGCTCCCCTCCAAGAAATTTTATTTTAATGGTCCCGGAATTATAAGGAAAGAAACAATTAATATATGTATCCCAATGGGGAAATCTATGCGGCTGTATTTCCGACTCCATAATTTTTCTCGACCTATCAAATCGCAGTATTTTGTAATCCATGTTTGCAGTGGTACCTAAAAAAGGTGTATCTCTCTCCATGATGCTTCCACCAAAGATATTTATACTGCGTATTGAATCTTGAACAATTTCAATAGCATCTTATTGAGCTCTTACTCTCATAATCACTAATATATACGCCCAATTTTGTAGTTGTGGGTTCATTTTTTGACATTCTCCAGACAAATTTTTTTATTTTTTTTTTTTTCTTTTTAGTCCTTCTCCTACCAAACACCCTCACTTGTAATAAATTTTCAAAATACCAATTTTGAAAAAGGTTTCCTCCAGTAACTCACCAACAGAAACAGACCTACCACGAGGAGAGACTGTAATTTTAGTATTTTCATTTACTAAACATAAGTCATATTTCGATACTATCCTTTCAAAGTATCCTTTTTTTTTATTTATTACATTTAAACCTCGGTCTGGATCAACTGGATTGATTTTTAAACAACTACTACTATTTATTCCCAAAGAGTATATACACTCCATTTAGTTTGACATCATGTTGAGATCATTACGCCCAAAGACTTCTTCATTGACGAGATTTTTCTCCAGCAGCTCAATCAGGTCACAAGTGCAAGGTGCCAACGTTAAAGGAACGGAATTTAATGCCGCCAAATATATGGGCCAAAAATACCACGTCGTTGACCATGAATACGACTGTTTGGTTGTCGGTGCCGGTGGTGCCGGTTTGAGAGCTGCATTCGGTCTTGCTGAGGCCGGTTACAAGACTGCGTGTGTCTCGAAATTGTTCCCCACAAGATCCCACACAGTTGCCGCTCAAGGTGGTATCAACGCTGCCCTTGGTAACATGCACCCTGATGACTGGCATTGGCATTTCTATGACACCGTTAAAGGTTCAGATTGGTTGGGTGATCAAGACGCTATCCATTACATGACCAAAGAAGCACCTGCTTCCATCTATGAATTGGAACATTATGGTGTCCCATTCTCAAGAAATGAAGAAGGAAGAATTTACCAAAGAGCATTTGGTGGTCAATCAAAAGAGTACGGTAAGGGTGGTCAAGCTTACAGAACTTGTGCTGTTGCCGATAGAACTGGACATGCTTTGTTGCACACTTTGTACGGTCAATCCTTGAACCATGACTGTCATTTCTTTATTGAATTTTTTGCCATGGACTTGATGATGCAAGATGGTGCTTGTATTGGTATTGTTGCTTACAACGAAGAAGACGGTACTTTGCACAGATTCTTTGCCAACAGAACTGTTATTGCCACTGGTGGTTATGGTAGAGCCTACTTCTCCTGTACCTCTGCACACACTTGTACTGGTGACGGTTACGCTATGGTTTCTAGAGCTGGTTTGCCATTGGAAGATTTAGAGTTTGTTCAATTCCACCCATCAGGTATCTACGGTTCCGGTTGTCTTATCACTGAAGGTGCCAGAGGTGAAGGTGGTTTCTTGGTTAACTCCGAGGGTGAAAGATTTATGGAACGTTACGCTCCTCATGCCAAGGATTTGGCTTCAAGAGATGTTGTTTCTAGAGCCATCACTATGGAAATCAATGAAGGTAGAGGTGTTGGACCAGAAAAGGATCACATGTACTTGCAATTGTCCCACATTCCAGCCGCTGTTTTGAAAGAAAGATTGCCAGGAATCTCTGAAACTGCTCACATTTTCGCCGGTGTTGATGTTACCAAGGAGCCAATTCCAATCTTGCCAACTGTCCACTATAATATGGGAGGTATTCCAACCAACTGGCAAGGTGAAGTTTTGAAAAAGAACGATAAAGGCGAAGATGAGATTGTTCCAGGATTGATGGCTTGTGGTGAAGCTGCTTGTGCTTCAGTCCACGGTGCCAACAGATTAGGTGCTAACTCATTGTTGGATTTGGTTGTTTTCGGTAGAGCTGTGTCTCATACTATTGCTGGTAACTTGAAGCCTGGTGAGCCAATCAAAGCACACAGTAAGGATATTGGTTACGAATCTATCAACAACTTTGATAAAGTAAGAAATGCTGATGGTGATAAAACCACTGCCGAAATTAGATTGAGTATGCAAAAGACAATGCAAAAGGGATGTGCTGTTTTCAGACTTCAAGATACTTTGGACAAATGTGTTGAAGAGATCGGTGCCATTGATAAACAATTTGAACACGTAAAGACTACTGACCGTTCAATGATTTGGAACAGTGATTTGGTTGAAACCTTGGAATTACAAAACTTGTTGACTTGTGCTACTCAAACTGCTGCATCAGCTGCCGCTAGAACAGAATCAAGAGGTGCTCATGCAAGAGACGATTACCCAGACAGAGATGATGTCAACTGGAGAAAGCACACATTGTCATACCAAGATGCATGGGGATCTCCTGTACGTTTAGATTATAGACATGTTATCAAGCATACCTTGGATAACGATGACTGTAAACCAGTTCCACCAGCCAAGCGTGTTTATTAGAAAAAGGACAATCATTTTTTGCGATTAGGAATTTCATACATACTTTTGAGAACACATTCGTATGTAGTTAGTAGTCACCTGTTAATATAAAATATATAAAGTAAGAAAGAGTTTTGTTGTAGTCCTTATGATTTGTGATTCATGCATATCATTCGATTCTAGAAAGTCATGAGAGAGATTCGTCACATGGAATAAAATGGGAACTCCGGATTTAAAAAAGTCGCAAACTTTAATTTCCGAAAACAGTAGCAAACTAAAGAAAAAAGGAGAACAATAAAGATCAATCCCGACTTGCCAATTCCAATATAATTCCTTTTGCTTCTCATGCGTTTCGTCTCAAATAGTTATTTAGTCAAACTAACCGATTTCTAATGTCAAATACTTTAGTATAAATAGTTAACAATTTGTCCCTCTTCCTTGACCTTGATTTTCAATTCCTTTTTCATGCTTTTTTTTTAGCTTTTATCTACCCCATAAGTATCTCAACATTAGTTATTTAGTCAAATATCTTGTTAGAAATAACATTAGATATCTTAAACCATTTAGACAAAGATATTACCGTGCTCACAATTGCTACCCCGTCACCTACTTCTCCACATTTGTTAACCGATTACACACAAAAATGAGTAAAGAAGAAGAAACCATTTCTTACTGTAATGCAGAATTGGGCCCATTGCCAACTACTGCTCCAAAAGTATCTGATAACATTGTGGACCTTTTCTCCTTCAAGGGAAAAGTAGCCTCTGTCACTGGATCCTCGGGAGGAATTGGTTGGGCTGTTGCAGAAGGTTTTGCCCAGGCTGGTGCCGACGTTGCCATTTGGTACCATTCCCACAATGCCGATGAAAAGGCCAAATATCTTGAAGAGAAATATGGCGTCAAAGCAATTGCATATGGTTGTAACATTGGGGTTGCCGAGGAAGTGCAAAAGACAGTCAAACAAATTGAATCTGATTTTGGTAAAATTGACGTATTTGTTGCCAATGCTGGTATTGCTTGGACCGAAGGACCAGAGATTGATGTTGAAGATTTAAGCAAGTGGAACAAGATTATTGATACCGATTTGAATAGTGTTTTCTACTGTGCCCACGCTATTGGCCCAATTTTCAGAAAGCAGGGTAAAGGTTCATTGGTATTGACAGCATCTATGTCAGCGACGATTGTCAATGTTCCTCAATTACAAGCAGCTTATAATGTAGCAAAAGCCGGAGTTAAACATTTGTCTAAATCTTTGGCGGTTGAATGGGCGCCGTTTGCTAGAGTAAACAGTGTTTCACCGGGTTATATTTCAACTCATTTAACTACGTTTGCTGATCCAGCATTGCAAAAGAAGTGGGTGCAATTGACTCCATTGGGAAGAGAGGGGCATCCAAAGGAGTTGGTTGGTGCTTACTTGTACTTGGCTTCTGATGCTGCTACTTACACAACTGGTTGTGATTTGGCTGTTGATGGTGGCTACACTGTACCATAGATATATCTATAGATAGATAAAATACAAAATAGACCCTTTGTGGGTGTCAGATGTGAAAGCTTTGACAGCAATGATGTCATGGGTAAGAATTATTTTTTGTATCTGCGTTAATGTGAGTACGAGGTAATTCTCTCAAAACAGATAGCTGAAGAAATAAAGTGGCATTTGAGTAGCGGTTAAGTCTCAGAAAAGTTGCACCTCTTTCCGTAACCGGCTGCAAAAACCCTCTACTTCCCCACTCTTTTATTCCTCCGAAGTGTCGGAGTTTTTGTCCATTGGACTAATTACTGCACATGTCAATTTTTGTGCTCCATTAGTACGAGAGTTTTTCTTTCCACAATTATACCGAAGTTGCTACTTCTTCTGTCTTATGCACAGAAACTTATAGGCCAGGTGAAGGCTATAAATACATGAATAAATGAAATTCTGTTGGTTAAGGAAATTTTCAAGCTTTTGGAATTACAATTCCTTTTTGGAGATAGCCTTTACAGAGACTTAAACATGAGTAATATCCAATCTTACTGCAATCCAGAATTAGGACCATTACCAACAAAAGCGCCAAGT